TAATAATAATAATAATAATAATAATAATAAGAATCATAATATTAAATATTTTTCAAAGTTATTATTTTAAGACTGTTTGCTTTAGAGTTCTTCTAAGCCCTATCAAACTTATTATTTCTTGTATTTTGATTAGTTTAGCATTATTTGTTAATTATTTATTATTAAATCTATTTTATACTCGTTGAAAAACAACTTTATTCTAATAGAGTAATTGTATTTTAGATTAACTTTGATCCATACCTATTGTTATACTAATTTTTCCTTCTTAATCTAGCTTATTTTATAATAGCTTTTGCGCTTATTCTTATTTACACTATTTATATAATCCAATTTCATGATGGATCCAGCATCTATTATAGTTAATTGTTTAATATCATTATCAATTTTACTTCCACATTTTATTTTAATATTGGATATTAATTCATCAGCTAGCTTTTGACTACTTTTTTACTTTGATGATCATATATACTGCAAAGTTATTAGAGTTTATTTGTTTTTAATATTGTACGCAATCATTCAAAAAAGACACTCTCTGTCATAATCATTAATCTTAAAATTTATAATTGAAGTTACATATCAAATAAAGTTTAAATTAAATATGATTACTTTCAAATTTATTTTTTTATTCAATAACTGTTTAGCATTGAGTATTCTCTTTGAATCTGCATCAGTTAGAGTGATTTTTATATTCAATTGACTATATTTTTGACCTTTTAAAAAATCTACCTTTTGTTTATCAACAATGAGAGATGTTGAAAAATTGAATGATTCTAGTAACATGCAAAAAATTACTAAAGGTCTTCTTCGGAAAATAAAAATACGAATGCATGAAATGCCCGCTTGCGAGAAATAAAATATTTTTCAATGCTCAGAATATTTTATGAAGTATTAGATTTATTAATTATTAAGGATATTTTAGAAAAAAGTTATTTGATTATCATATGATTTGAAAAAGAAAGAGAATAAATTAAAATAACTTAGAAATAATAAGAATATTCGATAATGAAAATTAAAAGAATCAGGAAACATATATTAGATTGAAGATGATAAAAAAAATTAAATTTAAATATTCAGTTAAGATAAAATTAAAGGAAAAGGAGGAAAATAAATAATAAAATTAAATTAAAATCTGAATGAAAAATCAAAAAGTTAAAATTTTGATTTTAGATAAAATTTGAGCTTTGTTTTATTGAATGAGGGATATGACCACATCTGAGATAAAATATTTATGTGTTTAATTGTAAATTTACAAAATAAAATTAGATTTAAGAAACAATTGTAATTAACATTAACAATATCCTAAATTTAATAATTTTCATGTAAAATCTTTTTAGAATTTGATCGATCATTCAGCCTGTTAATTTAAATAATCAATCATTTTTCAATTAATTCAATCTCTTGCCAAATTATGAGACATTATATATTGAGAATTTAGACCTGCTAAAATAGAAAATTTTCTTAAGATATCTTTTAAAAAATATTGAAGTTTCATCAACTATACTAAATTCTTACCTAAAATTTAATTTTACATCAAAATAGTGGGTATTTTTAATATTCTAAAATACTTTTTAATGGCTCTGATTCGTAGCCAATAACGTTATATACAGTCCCATTTGAGAATTATTTGCAAACTGGTTCTTTTTCTTAGCAATTATTTAAAACTAATTTTAATTAAATCATTTTTGGTTCCCTAAAATGATAATGGTTTCATCGTTGTTGGTGAATATCATAAATCTTAATATGTTTCAAACTTGATTTCACATTCCCAATGTTTTCCATTGGGTGTATTGAGGAAAGTTGAGATTATTATTGAATTCAAATTTGAACCAAGAATCAAATTAAGCTCAGCTCCAAATATTATGGAATATCAAATGAATATTTTGTGCACACAAATGAAACATTCAAGATACTGGCCATATTATTATTGCCCATTAACTTTTGGATATAATATTTAATAATTATTATCTTTTTGGATATCATATTTAATATTATTATCTAAAATGCTTTTGAGACTAAATGACGATTTTTATTTTGGAACAGCTAATTAGAAGTAAATGAGAATCAATTATTTCGACTTAAAATTATTTTCCTTTATAATCAAAAACGAAGCACAAAATTTTTACCAATAAATCTATTGTTTTCTATAAAGACATATTTTAAAAGATCCTTTATCTCAACTTACACCAGAAGTATTTTAATAATCCTAAGAAAAAAAAATCATAAAATAATTATAATTAAAGACACTTTTCATTTAGATAAACAACTGGAAGAGGAGCATTATGACAATTAAAAGGACTGTTAATATTGACTCTATATGTGAACTGCCTATTGTCTATAATTTCAAATACCTTTGGATTGACAATAAAGGATCTATATCACTTCATTTGAAAACTCTTATGACTAAGATTAATTAAATAAATTACAATCTCTATTCCATATCTTCAGCTATGAATTTTCCTCAAATATTTACATGGCTGTGGCATTATCCTTAAAGAATAAGGCAATAATAGAATGCTTTTTGCCTAAATACTCCTAAACTATTAAAGATTAATTGATATTGACAATTGAAAAGTTATCGAAGAAAGGTTTGTCATACAAAAATGAGAAATTTAGGGGAAGCATTTAATAAAATAATTTACTAAATTAGGAGGTTATACCACACAATTTTAGTTGTTATTCAAGTTTGCCTGGATCAATTTTCCAGAACACAAAAGTTAGATGCACATACAAACTAATACTGATGAGTCATCTTAACCTCACTTAAGATGATGTATTGATTAATCTAAACAAATTGCTTAAAGATAAGGATTTTACATTTTAGATGGTAATTAAATTTGACCAGTTAAAACGAGCTATCTTTAGCATAAATGTATTCTCATAAAATTATTATTATTTAAGTAGACCAAACAATCAAGTAATGAAATTATATATATGATAAAAATCTGTAAGAATTTTAACTGAAAGAAGAAAAATCATCCAACATTCAATACAATCAATATATGATATATAATTATTCTCACCTTCTAGAAATGGGTTAATAATCATCATCATCAAATTATCTAAATAAGTAATTAGTTAAAGAAGATTTATTATTATTATGAAATAATATTGCAGAGTCACTTACAGAATAGTACCAAAAATACAAGAAGAAGAAATAAATTAATTATGCAATGAAGTTTTAAATTATAGTTTAAACAGAGTTAACGTTGTTTTTTAGATGAAATGATATTTAACAAATTAAAATAGAAAGCAAGGATGTTGGCAATTAAAAACCATAAACTTAAATTTAATATATTTTTATTAGTAAAGGAAATCTCTAAGTTTTACTATTGGAGCACAAGGTTTCTTAGGATTTTAAATAATAAAAGGATATTTTACTGCTGAAATTTATGACTATCATCGGTTTTTTTTTAATTAAGGAATTGAGGGGATTCTATAATATTAATAATTTTGTCCTAATCCTTGACAATAGAAATGAATACAGAAATTTAGTTAATCCTGTTTACTTTCAGTTTTTACAACCATATTCACCATTCCTAAACCCAATTGAGAATGTTTGGAACAATTTAAAAAACTGTGTTTATAAGGAAATATTCACTGAATCTCCTGATATTGACAATAATTAATCCATTATTTCTTTTCCAACCTCAGTTCAGAAATTAATGAAAAGCATATTATGTTATGTATTCCAAATTTAGGATAATGTTTTTATATTGATGATTAATGATTATAATATTTATTTAAAATTATATTCAACAAAGTATAATTCAGAACAATGAAAGCCAAATCAGAAAAATGTTTTTTTTCGTAAGTAATTATCTTCATAATGATCAAATTTATTAGGAAAATAAACGACTAAAGTTGATTCAAATTAAATTAATTCATTCTAATCATTATGGAAAATAATTTGATTAAAGTAGAATAGTTTATATTTTGGGGGTTTGTGAAGATAATGATTAAGATTATGATAATTCTAATAAAAAAATAAATCATAAAATTGTTGATTAAGCCAAAAAGGAAAGTAAAGAAATGTTGATTTAAACATATATAAAATGAATCGAGTTACAAAATAAAATAAAAAAAAAATGATATATATTTGTAAGTAATATTAACAAAATTCCAAATTTCAATTGTTTTAATTATATGACCACCTTTTCTGTTATTCCTTATTTGATATCTGCAAGTTATATTCGTCTATGTTAGACATTAGTGTAATCTTATAAAAGAATTTATGCATGCATCGAGAAATTCCTTAAAACTTTAAGAGAAGGAATGTCGCAATTTGGTTTTAATACCATAATTATTTTACATCATAATTTTTTTTCTAATTCATTATTTTCTTAAATTAAAAATAAAAGTGCAATACATAAATGCAAGGTACCTAAAATATAAATAAATTTGCTAAGATACTGTCCTATTTTTAGTTTTACTCAATCTATGAAAGCCTACTTTTTAAAGAAGCCTAAGCTGTCATATTTTGCTCCTCTAATGTGTTATACTCTTCGTTAATTTTAGGAATCAATCCATAGCTAAATATATCATCAGCAGTTATTTATTGTTATCTCGGTATAATTAATTTATTTTCCTGAATAAAGCCATCCTAATTTCATTAAATGATGTTGCTTTTAGATGATGTTATAAAATTTAGAAACATAAATGACTTTGGATAATTAATAAAAAAAGAACAAAAGTCCAATAGAAATTTCATAAAGACTTCATTAAGTTTTATTACATCAACAGTAATGTGTTATATGCTTGAAAATTTAGAAATTTAAAGAGTTTTAAGACATTGAGAAAAATATAGGAATCACAAGAGATGATTTAGAGTAAATTTAATATTTGAAATGGAAAAATACAATTTATTTTACATCATTACAAATATTCATCGGAAACGATATATCTGTTTTGTAATATTATATGGATTATATTAGATGCAGATGGTAGTCATCCTTTTCGAAAGTTTATAGTAATCTTAAAAATTTTTGATTTTATTAAATTTTATTATAATAAAACAAATATTATGTAATTTATAAATTTGGAATTACTAACTGTTTATTTTCTTGGTTAAAATTAGAATAAACAATTTTAGTTTCTTTTTTGTTAATGATCAAAATGTTAATTAGTCATTTGGCTCATAAAATTTATAATAAAAGCGTTGCTGGATGAGTTATATTGAATGAAACATATTTCTTTGCTTCTGGTAGATTTGTTATTCAGTCATAAAATAGGTAGAAGGAACAAAATGTATAAAAATTAAATATCTATACAAGGGAAATTATTTATTAATTAATGAAAATATGGAGAAATTAAAAATATGAAGCAAAAAAAAGTTAAAAGTTGTTGAGAATAAATAGTAATTATCGAAATGAATAAGTTTAAAACAATTTTCGAAATTGACCGCATACTAGAGGCTGTGTTTGAGAAGCTTTGTAAAGGGCTATAGTGCCCCTTCCCTATCCTTTTCTTATCTCCAATTATTCGCTTATGAGGGCTGAGTTGTTAGCGGTAATTTGACTTTATGTCCAGGTTATCAAGTCTCTAACTTAGGTTTGGCCTCAAGTGCTTCTTTACTAGCCTCAGTCTATGTTTTTTTGTTCGTATACTTATATTATCCTTTAAATACATTTTCATTTTACCTCAGATCTTTTAGAATTTTCCTAATTCCTATTTTCTCCTTCAGCTCTCACCCAGACTTGAACTATTCAGGTGACATGGTATTTAGGCCCATCTTCGAAAGGTATCACTTGAGTGTGCGAAGAGAGTCTTTAACTCTTTTCTGACTCCACACTCTTGGACATTTAGGATTTTAAATTCACACAAATCATCTAGGTCTAAAGAGGACCCTAGAAAATTAGCCAAATTGATTGGGTACACAAGTAAGAAATAATCTGTAAGAGGAGCTTAAAACTCTTCGTCGATTTTCTGCTGTATCAACAAAATAAAAGATAATAATAATAATAGATGTGAATGATGTATTACTATGAACAACCTCTTGGAAGACAAGTTTCATACTTGTGTGAAGGGTTATTTTTTCTTTATAGCTAATCTCAATCAATCTTGCATAAAATAAATCAATGAAAATACTCTTTTGTCTTTCTTGAGCCTTATTGTTCCTTATTATGGATAAAAGGATAAGAATCTCTACTTAAGTTCTAAAACCCTTTGCAAATTTGCTATTTTTCAATTCTACTCCTTAGAGAAAATTTGATATAAATTAATTCCATAAATTACGGTGCGGATTTAGTAATCATATGATGTTAAAGAATTTTGATGAGGAATTTATGGATATATTTGATTAAGAGGAATTGATCTCCATTTTTCTTATTAAATATCAATTACTAATTTTATAATTATCAGCGGCTTTATAATGGTGGGGAGATGTTTATTATGTAACCGAAAGGTGTATCAATAACTATCAAAACATCACAGCATTGTTATTTTGACTTCAACTTTAAATTTTGCTCAAGACTAAATAATATATATTATTTTGAAGAATAATGGGGTATAAATAACTTTAAGTTGAACTTAAGATTGTCCTTAAGGTTAAAGTTGTCAGATAATTTTGTGAACGTTGAAAGAAAGAAAATGTTTTTCACAAAGAATATGTTAATCAAAGCTATTGTTATTTTACACCCACCTATAATAGTTTTCTGGTAGAAGTGAACCAAAGTTAAGCAACTGTAACAATAAAAAAATAAACTTCTTAAAGAAATCCTGGAAATTTATATTTATACAGCACTCATTTTATAGATGATTAGTATATTTTTTAAATTTGAATTTAATTTGAGAAGAGCTCTAAAATAGAAGTATTTTTAGGCAAATTGAGAATAAAAAAATGCCAGCAGAGAGTTTCAATATTGTTAAGTCTTCGGATGACTAGTGATAAAGTTGATTTCATTGAATTTCAATACATTTCTTTTGTACATTTGATTTTATGGAATTATATTTTCGATTAAATTAAGCAAGGCATTGGTCGCATCAATACATTTTGCAATATACTTAACCTCATTTGATTTGTTACATAATCTGTTTAATTAATGGTACTATTAGAATTACATTATATTGACAGTTCTGAAAATACAGCTTATGAAATTTGAAAAGATTTCTTTACTTTTGATTATATATCAGCAGAAGAATATCTAAAATTGAAAGTGAAATAATATTTCGATTTTTACAATTCATCTCAATTAAATCATTTTTAATTTTCACCAAATTTCATTTTTAAGTCAAAAATTTGTCAGAATCCTTATCATTTAAATCTACACAGCTCTATTTGGATTATAGTATATATTAATATGAATTAAAGGATTAAAAAATTTCTGCGTGCTTTTATTAGAAACTAAAGACACTAAACATGTTATAAAACCATATTTTAGATATAATTTCTTAGAATCATTAATATAGCCAGAATTACTTTATAAAATAAGTAATAAGTAAATATATGTTTTCAACCGAAATTTAATTATTAAATGTTTATTATAATCAAACGGAAGAATACTTTGGGACAGAATTTGATATAATCTTAACACCATATAAATTATTCTTAAATGCAAGACTTTTTTAGGCTTAGTTTATTAGGTATTTTTTTATTTTAAGATACCTCAAGGCTATTCTTTATTTTTATACATTTCTATTTTATAACAATTTTTGAAGTAATGCATACTTTGTAATCCATGGCATTGCAGTAATGATTATCTCTTTAATTTTATCAAAAAATAGGAAATTCTCCTCAAGAAAAGTCAATATTATTTCTTTAAGAATTTTAATCAAATATTGCAAATTAAGAGCAAAGAGAATGATGAAATACGGTATCTGAATTTAGTATGATTAATTCTATTAATCAATATAAATTCCTATTCCAACTGCAATTGATATTCCGCAAACATTTGCTGAATAAGCATCTAATTTATTTAATATGAATAATGCATAAGGTTGATATCTTTTACTTAGTTCCCAATATAAATATACTAACGACAATAATAGAATCCCCTTTTTCACAATATTTTCATCGTAATAAGAAAGGAAAATTATTAGAAGTTATTTCACAATAATTTTAATTATTTCCCAGTAATAGGCTTGGATCTTATATTCATTGTATAAATAACCCCATTTTTATCTTGTTCTTTTTTCATTTAATTATGATTTATTGGAATACAAAGAAATTAAAAAATATGTAGGGAGTATCAAAGAGATTAAAATTAAAATTGGTAAGCAAAACTTGAATAACCATTAATAATGAAGCTGTGTATCATATCTATATGCAACATTAGCTTAAATCCAAAAGAAACCTGATATCTGTCTAAACGATATTAATGAGATTAATCTACCCACCAAAAATGGTTAAAGGTAGATGTACATATATATTAAGGTTGTAGTTATTACATTTAGATTGTATTTCAGTTTATTTATTTTTAAAGCAAACCAATATAAGACTAAAAATACAAAAATATAAATAAACGGCATGATTATTTACCATATTATTCTTGAATAATGAATCTGAACATCAAACATATCTTTTAATAAACAATCAAGTGAATGAGTCATCGATTAAATTGGATTGCTAATAGCGGTTACAATATTGTCAATATCTATGAATGTTTGAAATCTAAAAGTAAAAATAACAGAGACTATTTGCAAATGATTCGTTGTCATTTTGATTAAGATGCCAAAATTAGAGTGATATTACATATTAGACCTTATTAATTTTTGAATTACTTTTTTAAGAACCATTTGCTCATTTAGTGAAACGTTGCTTCTAACTGAGATTAATATAGAGATTAAAGTCCTTAAAAAATAATCACAAAAAATATACCATAAACTTATTGCAGTAATTGCAGCAATATTCTAATTATCGTCAATACAAGAGCCACAAGAATACTTTTTATTAGTTGAAAAATATCCAAATCCTCTAATATTTTCAATGTCACATTCTTCACATAACGCTCCTATATGACCTTCATAACAAGATGTATCTCCTTCTATCCATCCGCCATTACAATTATCAAGTAAATTTATACATTGATTTATCTAATCTGTATCAAAATAGGGTCTCCAAAACCCTGGCTTTAATTTTAATTAAGCTGAGTTAATTTCGCTAGTAGAGAAATCATCTTTCTATGAACAATTGTTAGAATTAAGGACTAATGAATACAAACCTTGGGATGCATTACATGGTATACAAGTACCATCAAAAACGCTTTTAATTTCACCTAATTAACAAGGTAATGATTATATATTCATTCTTATATAATAATTGTTATGAAATCCTATGATTTCTTAATTTTTTCCATATATTGGAGCGAATATTGAATTGCAATGAAATTGTAATTATAAGGTGAGATTCTATTAATCATCTAGGTAGAAGGCAATATTATCAAAATTATAATCAGATTAATTAAATGTGACTTAACTAAAACTAGTAAAATCAGAGGTAAAATTTGAGTCATCTTTTTCTTTAAGTATCCTACCACTTATTTCGCATTAAGTATTAACTAAATTTTCTTAAACATTATTAAATAAATCCATAGGAATCAATCTTAGATGAAAATTGTATTGCATATATTCTTATTTTTTCCAATTAAAAAATTAATATTTAGACAATGCTTATCCATTTGGAACATATAATGAGTCAGAATAGGTTTGTAAAAATAATTTATAACTTCCAATCTTAATTTATTCTATCAGAATATTTTCATTTTCTACAATCTTAACTTTAGGTAGGAAGCTATCTAAATCAATAGATATTTATAATTAAGAAGGAAGTTAACCAAAATCATTTCCATATTAAACTCCTATATTACCATAGATTATTGTCCTTTATTTAATCAAGTTTTAAACTATCTAATCCTTTAAGAATAAACCTCCGCCAAATTTGGCCTTATTAAAAGAAATTACAGAGTTCAGTATAAAAAAGGCCTCATTTCCTATTACATATATTGACCCGCCTTGCGATTTAGCGATATTGTTTGAAAAAATAGAATCTTTAATCAAAGTTTTGACATCCTAAATTTATAGACAAGTACCACTCTAAGCAAAATTTTGAATACACTTATAGTTTTGTACCCTTAAATCATATTATTTTTCATTGATATTCTGGATTAAGGATTGTAAAATTCTATGTTTTTCAATAGATTTTTTTATATTAAAACAGCCTAATTCTCCACATTAATTATCATAAATACTAATCGAATTCATAATTATAATGGTCTCATTTTCCTAAATATTAATGTTTAGTAACCCATTTTGACAAATATCACATTTGATACTTTTTAAATTAAGTTCAGATATTTCTATAAAAGTAAAATATGGTTCAATATCGATGAGACTTTATATTGGTTATTGATACAGATTTATTTAGTTGATAATACAATAACTATTTAATAAATTATCTTTGTTTTATTTCTACATCAACCAAAGAGGGGACTCTTAAAGGACTGAATCATTTGAGCAGACATATTGTTGAATTTCAACGTTTTATGATTAACGATTACATCTTTCTGTTATGGGAATATGATCTAAGGCCGAAATATTGGTAAAGTGACACTCAACGATCCTGATTGAGGAATTACTTTGCGTTGAATTCACACTCACTAAAGAATTTTATATTATTGAGTTTGAAATTCTACAATTTATAAGTTCTATTATTAAGGTCTTAGACAGAAAAGCAAAAGACTCATGAAATAATGAAAAAATCATAATATTCTTTAAAATTACTAAATTTGCATTATTAATTTGGAACAAACTTCGACCGAATTTTAAAGCCTATTATAATTAACTGTTAGCTTCATTAAATGTACTAATAAACCTTAAGTATTCTTACTTTGAATTTGTGAGTGTCAAATTTTCAAGTATAACTTACTGTTGTTTTGCTAGTAAAGAAAACTCTACATACAACATAGATCCCTTTAGTGAATATACATCATTAATAACAATGTTTGAAAATGAGATTTTTGTGGCCTCTAAAACATTTTAAATGTAAAGCAGACCCCCATGATTTCTACAAGAAATCTTAGATGCAAAAATATTTATAAACGATATCACTTAGGAAACAGAAAATGAAGTATCAATAAAGAAGGCCCCTCCATTTTCATCAACTTGATAAATTGAAGGACTAATCAAACTAACGACTGCATCCTAAATTTAGACAGATGATTCCTTTTCTAATTACAAATAAAGTCCTGAAACTGTAGAGTTAAAAATAGTGAAATTTCTTATCAATATTTGTTGACATATTATTTTGGCATTTCCCGTTTTGACTTTTATTGGAAAAGTATCTATTACTTCTTCCATAAAGATTTTCTGATCTATCCTAAAACCCCAATATAAATAAGGCTGTAGAATTGAATAATCAAATAAGTTATTTTCTACAAAACTGCAATTGTGTATTTCTATGCTTCTACTTTAAAAATAAAAAATACTATTTGAAGAATTTGTAATCATGTTGTTTTTGATGATTAGATTATTAAGATGAAAAGTACAAGACTTGCAATCGACAAATAAAATCAAACATGAATTTATTTAATCAATATAAATATATTGATGCATTAGATTTTTTTCAAATGTTGAATTTATAACATCTATTTGATAGTCTTCTTCAGATGATATTTTAATAATTGAAGCTATGTTAATTTTGTTTGTGATTAATAACAAATTTTGAATTAAATGCAATTCTGAAAATTTTATTTGCTTTAGGGTTTAAAATGTCAAGATAGAAGTTTTTATTTCAATAATAGGGTAATTAATTGATTAAGCCTTCGAGATCCTTAAATGAGTAATATCAATTATTGGTACATCATAAATTTTAATCCAAGCATAAAAGAATCGATTTTCTATAGATTATAAAAAACAATCAAAATTTTAATAAAGCCCTTTAAAATTGTGGTTGTCGTGTTGTTAAATTGAGATTTCATTTAATTGAAATACATTAGCATTTACAATTACTAAATCAGGTATTCCATATAATTTTTCAAAGGTTAATTTATCTATTTTAACCGATTGAGCTTCCAAATACATTAAAGTTATATCCAGTAAATTGTCAGTGGTTTAGTGTTTGTTTTCAAACAATTGATTTTCAAGTATCGAAATTGAATTCATCATTATTTTCTGATTAGGTTAAGTGATTTAAATGATTTTCATAAATTTGGCACTCTCACTATGTTTATTTAATTAAAAGATAGCATTTTATATAAAGATGAATTCTATATGAACTTTTTCATTGTAAAAGAGAAGGGTACTTTCTAAAAGCTCATTTTTAATAAAATTTAAGTTCATTAAACTTACATATTGATTAAGATTAAAAATTTTACCAGATATAATTTCATTTGATATAAAATCAAACTAATTTAATCTGAAATTTCTTAAAGAACTAATCTAAAATAAACCGCTTTAAGAAGATATTCGACAAGAAGATATTTGTATTTAATTAACTAATAATTCACCTTTTGTTTAATATACTAATGCTGAATTAAAAACTACATTTTAAATAATTACGTTATTTATCTCAACTAAATCATCTTCCTTAAGATCAAACCAGAATAAATGTAAATTTTCAAACGAGCTATTTATAAGACTAAAATTTATAATTTTTATTGACTGCTAAGATTACGTCTATTCAATTCTTATTAAGCTTCTAATAGAAAATCCTCTTGTACAATCTTTCACATCAAAATCTTAGATTAAAATATTTGTAGCATTTGAGATGATTGTATAGAAAGTTGTTAAGTCAAAGTCTTACTTATAGTTGATGTTAACTAATTCAATAGTTTATTCAAAAAGACTTGTAAAATGTAATAGGTTAGGACCAAAGGTGAAATATTCTATTTCAATTCGTATTCCTTCGATGTGCACTTTCTTAAAATTTACAAGCAACAATTATTTTTTAAATTTAAGTGTTGTAATTTCATTACCATAAATTTCCAGTTCCACGTCTCTGAAAAGCTATTAAAAATTAATGATTACATAGCTGAAAAAATATTCGAACTAAAATTTTGAGAGATTTGAAGTTAATCTGTTACCATACAAATTTATTTTTATTAGCTAACTATTTTTATCAAGATTTATTTAATTGATTTTTCATTAGCCATTTAGTAAAATTCTTATGTTTCAAACTAAAATAATTTAACAAAATTTACATATTTAAAACTTGAGTTAGAAAATAAATCATCACTTAAAATATTGTCTTGTCTAAATTTCAATTTTTCCTAATCACTATACAATAAGTTAAGTTATTATTCATACTCATCCAAATTACAATATAAATTTAAATTTATGATAATTTATTTCAAACATGGACCATCTTAACAGTCTACATAAGTTCCTAATTCTTAATCAAATATTCCTGTAAATCCAGATAGGCAAAAATAAGAGAAATAAGAGTATTATTAATTATTAAAGAGTGGATTTATCTAATGTACTTGCTATTCATCTCTTTCTTTACACAACTAACAATTTTATGGACAACTAACGCATTTGTTATCTATTAAGCTACGATTTCTTCCAACTAAACCCTATCTACATTTAACACAGATATTTGTATTATTAATGATTACACATTCTAAACATGATTCAGGACATATTTGAATGCAATTTTCTCCATAGAATTCATATCCTTATTCACATTTATTGCAAAGTATCTCATAATCTTAATCATTTTAACTTAATCCATAGTCAGTAAATTTATGATTGGCATTTAATAAATCTATGGTGACTCGATAAAAGGCTTGAATCTCATTCTTCCAATTATCTTTAGTAAATTTATTCTACTAATAACAACTCAAACAATGTAATTCTGATGGACACGATTGACATTCGCCAGTTCTTTTTGATGCGTAAAAGCCATTTTCGCAACTTAGACATTTGTATGAAGCCTTTTTTGGGGCTTAGACTTCGCCGACAAGATGAATTGTTAATTATTCAATTACGCAATATAGACAATGTAATTTAAATTTTGGACATTGATCGATAAATGAATATATTAAATTATCTGGATTATAAGGACCAAATAAACAAATACTATATTCTTAAATTCCTTACATTCTTTTAAAAAATTATTAACAATTTTCTAATTAATCTTTAATGCAGAGAAGCAATGAATCATCAAAATAATAGCCATCTTCACACTTTGCACATTTTGTGAGTGTTTATTCCTCATACTTTATAAAGTCATGGTCTAAGGAATTAATTGATGGATTTGAATCAGAAATTTCGAAAGCATATTTACAATTTTCTATTTCATTTATTTTGCAATCCTCTGCATTTAATGACAAATAATATAAATGAGTATCAATACAAAACAAACAGCGCAGAATTTTTAATTCATTTGAATATTTGCAACTGCTACAAAATTTTCCACATCTCTAACATTATCCATTAACAAGTCCAAAATTAAGTTCACAAGAGGTGCATTAAGTTATGCCATCGCAACTTTTACAGGATTATGAACATTATAAACAAGAGTAGCCATCTTCTGATATGTAATACCCACTTATACATTCTTGGCATTTTTTCTCACTTTGAGTTAATTTTATACATGCGTAATCTAATAAATTACAACTAAGATTAGAGTAATAACGATTTTGTTTACAAATGCCAAATGTCATGCTTGATAAATGTTTAACATTTAACTCAAAACAATTTGTTGTTAATACTTTCTTTATATCACAAAAGTCATTCACACCTTCTAGTAATATCAACTTAAAATTATTATCTATGTAATAAAGATCATAATCTAGAGCAGGCCTTAGTTATTTAGTATACGCATCTTAATCCTTATTAACTTATTGTGTGACAAAATCAGTAGTACAGATGGGACGAATATACCAATCAGCGGGATTCAATAAACAATCTACGCAAAGTACATTGTAGGAACTCGATTAAGGACTATATAGTTGTAAATTCATACCATTTTATACACTATTAATTTTCTGGTAAATAAAAGTATCCAAACATACATTAAGAGATTGGTAATTCTATTTTAATTTCCATATAATTTAATGTTGGATAGAAGTCTGCATAAGATAAGCATACTTTATTTCTTTCAAATTATCCAAAAGGACACACACATTTATGAAATTCTTCTAAAAAGACTCTTTCATTATTATCATAACAAGATAAACAATTAGAATTCAATGGTCCATCACAAGTTTAGCAACTATAATGACAATCTAAACAATAATAATTAATTTTACTAAATTCAATATTTAAATCAAAATAATAATTTGATTTAAAATAAAAACCAGATATTTATCCTTTCATCTTTTCATAAATAGTATAGTCACCTCCAAAAATAGCATAGTATTTTGTATTTATAAATAAATTGTTATACTGCTAGTTTCCAAGATAATAGGTTTTAGATACTAAATCAACATCTTCAAAATAATTTAATTTAAATTAAGACCTTTAATCATAACTATTTAGTCCATATTCAAAAGAAACAAAGTGCCATTTCTATAATAAATCTAAATACTGCAGGTCTCCTCTTAAACTGATTTTATCATTCTTTGGATTTTAATCTAATGGACTAGGATATGGCATCCAATAATGATGAGCTAAAACATCATATCCACTATTTTGTGAATCTGATTAATCTATATCCACTGTAACTTTTAGTAATTCATCTCCTAGTTCTATTTCATCTTGGTAATTTTTGAAAAGAGTTAATCTAACCAATAAATACTTCTTTAATTAATAAGCATCTTACGTATAGTATTTTACCCATCCAAATATTGAAAACCTCCTACCAAATTATTCAAATTCGAATTCCTTTTATACTATCCCATCAAAATTGAATAAATCTGGAAGCAAATTTATTGTATATTCATATTCATTTTATCTTAAAAACGATATTCTCTATGAAAATATTTGATAAATTGATCTGACTAATTCATTCATGAATATTTTGGATAGTCTTCCTCTAAAAATGGCTAATTCATAAACCCCATTAATCTAAAATTAATTGATTTTAATTACAATTCCAGATCCTCCAACATATAATGCTAAATCTCTTATTTGCTTTTTTATCTCAAATTCAAAAATATTATAATTTTGTGTAGTTCCTAATGTTTCAAAACACAGTTTGGATCCCTTAAAAGTTATAACATTTAAAATCCAAATCCCTTCATATTCACTTGGATTATAATAGATTTAATTCATTTTTTCATCAACAAACAAATGATGGGTAACTTCAGTATTCGTTATCACATTTGTATACAGAAATGCCAATACACGATTATCATTTAGTGTTTTCATATAAAATAGTAGCTATTATTTTGTTTTCATTTTATTAGGTTCTTATTCCACCCAAGGGTAAGAGATCACCTACCAATTTGCTATGCAAAAACTCCAAAATTCAAATTGCAATGAATTCTAAATTTGCGGAATATATTTCATCTCCACGGGATTTGAGTTACTAATCAATAAATCTTCATTGAACTAATAACAATATGTAAAACAGAAAACTAAAGGTAGATAAAATGATGGTGTTTAAATCTTCATATCTTGTTAGCTATATTTATTATTATAATTAATCCTTAATTAAAAACCTAAAATCTCTATATGTATTAATAATTTTGTATTGTCTTTACCAACGCGTGTTATAAATAATTGATTAAAATTATATCAATTATTATTAGAATATTTCTTTAAACTTCTGCTCTATGGAAGCTGCGTTGAAGTTAACATGATTTCAACTCATATTTTTCAAATATTTTTTGAAAGAAATCTCATTACATAATTAACTATAATTCTTTTTACTTATATGAAAATTATATCAAACGGTTAGTTTTAAATTTAGTTATAACTTAATTTAAAAATAAATAAATTTGTATTATTATATAATTTATCTTAAATTGGATAAACTTTGATTAATGTCATAGAAAAATTAAACAAATAAGGATTAGGGTAATCTTATCAAAATTTAAAATTAAGCAGAATAATAAAGATGAAAAACATTTGAAACAAAAAAATCATGGATTCAAATATTGATATAAATATAATTGATGATAAATTTTTTAAGGCTTTTTTTATTAATATATCAATTATACAACACTGGTTTATCTTTAATAAATTAAGTAGAGCATTAGCTTTTGTTAAAAGTAGCAAATAAGAATGTTAAAATGGGAACCTTTAAATATTCCTAAGCCTAAACTCATTAGTAATCTTATTTTCTTGATTCCGATGATTATTATAAAAATTAATCTAAAAATTAGCCGATATGATAACAAAATTTTCTACATGAATTGCATTCGAATTAATTAGTTTGATAAGTCTTTAGCTTATTTTTAGATGTCTAATAATTGGGAAATAGAATTGACTATTATTAATACAGAATTAAAATCAATAGTAGCCTCATAATATTTATAATTATGATAAACATATCACTTAGCCTCATATATTAAGACTCTATATTATCTAACATCCTCACTTCTATTTACTACAAAATAGCGCTATTCTTTCATTCGATCAGATTATCTGATTTTTTTTGGATTAACTCTTGTCATAAAGATGGCTGAAAATTTCTTATTGCTTACTTAAATAGGAGTAGCATATCCTTTATCAACACAAACCTTAAACTTATCCGAGAAGTATATTCCATTTTCAACAAGAACATTATTTCCAAATTCATCTTTACATGAGTCTTTTGCATAAACATTCGAAAATCCTTCTTTTAAAGTAGATGTTATGATATTATTTACATTTTCGTTCTTTGTTCCATGAAATAATATTCTCCACTCATCTTTGTTACCATCCATTTTAATCCAGTTTTAATCGTTTCCATACTTGGTAATATCTAAGCCAAAACCACAGCACCCTTTGGGAAAATAATAATCATAACTTTAATCAAGAGGTCCTCTTTTTTAAGACTCTTGAAAGCCATCCCAAACCATATTAAACCTGCTATCAAAATCTTGATTCCTTAGTCCAATCCCTTTCTTTTTGTTACGTTTACATTCAAAAAAATAATTATAAATTTCAACTGAGCCATTACATACTTTTTCAAGAAACTCAATAGAATCTGGTTGATCTATTAAGTCAGCTTTACTCTTAATTTTGAATGAAATAATGCTGCTTCCTTCTGTTAGATCTAAAATTTACACTTCTTTTGGATCAACCTTAAAAATTTTTGAAATGTTTTCCTAAAAGTTCAATAGATATTATTCCCTAAACATGCAATCAGATTTTAATTATTCATATTCAACTTAAGTTGTTCTGAATCGAAGACATTATTAATCTTAACCAAATGCTCCTATTATCGAATCAAACCCACAAGAGTGTATCCCATCAGTCATAAATAATTCTCTGTTTTAATCTCTTGCTAAAGCTTCTTTTAACACATAAAGCATTAATTCTTTATTCTCTTTTTCAATTTTTTGACCAATCTAATTTATTGAAATTGTTGAAGCATGTTCACTTTGTCTCAAAGCTTCCGTCAATTATAATTTTAATTTGCTCTTTCTATATTTTTTCTGTTCCTCGCTTATTTATTCTTAATATTAGTCTAAATCTGCAATTTCCAATTGCAAATGCTCTATTTAATCTTTTATTGAATGTTTATTTTTGAGTCTAATATCGCTTTGGATATTATATTGTATTATGGAAAAATCAACTTCATTTTATTAAATCAACTCACTTTTAGACCTTAGAGCACTTTATTCTTTAAAAATCTGACTTGCATTTTACATTTTAATTTAATTATTATAATAATGATTGATTTTTTCTTTTAAAGCACATTTATTAATAATTTTTAATATTCTATCAGACTATATACCTAAAACTGTAAAGTATATTACTCATTTTATCAAAAATTTTATTACCACTGATTTATTATGAGAACAACTAATATAGACTAGTTCTTTATTGTCATATTTACAATACTTCGTATGTACTTTTTTTGTATTGTTTTTAACAATAAACTCCACAATTCTAAAATTATTCTAATTAATTTAACAAATAACAAATTTTAGAATGATAGAGATGTTGATTGATCTAATAATAATAAATTTAAAGTGGAAACATCGTTTTCCTAGAAACAATATGATGTGATTGCTAAAACATCAAATTGTTTGTTAATAAATAAAAAACATAACCTCTGTGCAATAGTGATAAAATGGTTTCATATCAATTTACTTTGTGAAAAATCTACAAATTCTAAAAATAAGGGTTCTTAATTTTTTCGTTCTTGAGATTTAGAAAATCAATTTATCATTATAAATATGTTAATATGATATTAAGATATTTCTAGCAATTAAAAATAAGTATTAAAACTTAAATGAAGATGAGAGTTTTAATTTAAAATCAATTAAATATATTTGTTTAATCTCATTTATAGACACTTAACTGGCATCTTATTTTTTGCTAATTAGACAAGATTCTGTAATTCTTTATATGTATTTTATTCAAAAAAATATTAATTAGGTTGGTTAAATAATTCATTTTCAAAGTATTATTCTTTTTGATGCATTATAAAATATGCTATTAAGGAGTTTAAGAATTTGCAGTTGAGAGATTATTGGTAATAGGTAATTATACTATTTCCAAAAATTAAACATCAAATAGAGTCTTAGTTTCATTTTAGAGTGGGTACTGACAATAATCTGTATGACTGCTATTAGTTTGACAATACCAAAATAAACCACATTTCTTGCAAACTCTTAAACTATGTATTAGTGAAGCTGGATTGTTTGATAAATGAAATAACACTTGTTAATTTAATTTCTTAATTTCCATAAACAAATCTTACATTAATAAATATTATATTAACTTTTCAACGCAATCAAACCAACCGATATTAAAGGTTACTTTATCGATACCACTATTTAATCTTGCATTCATCAAGGTCTATATAGTTTGCACTTTTTCTTATATTAAAAGTTATGTGTATAATTTAATATTAGTTTAGAGTTCATAAAATATTGCATCTGCTTCTTTTGACTGTTGAAACAATTATAAAGAACTTTTGACCTCTTGCGAAATCATTTTATGATCATTGAGGAAATACTAAATAGTTCTTCGTAGAATTTAAACAAATCTTCTGCCATTTCAGGATCCTCAAGCAAATCAAAATTATTTAGAAATTCTACATCAGTAATTTCTACCTATATTGATATAGTGTTTATTAATTTTATGTGAATTTAATTACAGATTTCTTATCCAGAGTCTTAATTTGAAAAAAATAAAACTTATTCTATCCCATATTTTTTCATTTCCTATAATATTTTTTATTAATCCTACTGTTTTTCTTGAGATTTATCAAAATGAGTAATAACAGCTATAAAAAGTTTACGGTATCTATGAAATATAAAAATTTATTTGAATAATTGGTTTACCATCAACTACAGTTTTTCAAATTTTAAAATAAAAAATATTTTATTTAAAGGTTGATATGAAACGGCATTCAAGATTCCAACGGCTTGCTAAATTTTATTTTATAATGTAGCTAGTCCTGGAGTATCAATTACTTAAAATCCTTGTCCATAAGCTGATTAACCAAGAATAGATTACCTATTACAATTTATCATGAGTAATATTACTTTGTGGTTGATTTGGCTGCATCTACTTATTCCTAAGATTTGCAAATTTTATTAAATAAAGTAGTTTTACCAGAATCAGTGATGCCTATTAGTACGACAACAGGGTCCAAATTATTTTTTTCCAAATAATTAGGTTCATTATTAATAGGTAATAATTTCAGTTAGTTTTCAACTTTATCACATTATTATTATAATGAAATGAGCGATACATGGTTACACTATGAAACCTATCCAACTAGGTCTGTTGTTTTCTTTTCATTTTACAATTTAACTATTTCATCAGTTTTCTTCTTTATTTCAACTTTATTTTTTTTACATTCCTCAAATAATTGACTTCTTTAATATTCAGCTATTGTATATTTTACTTATAGTTAATTAAATTCACTTCTCATTTACTCATTTAAAATCTATAAGTCTTAACAATATTCTGAAATTTTCTAATTTTTAAGTTATTATTCAAGCAATTCCTTCTTTAAATTCTCAATTTAATTTATTGCCTGATCACTTTAAGATTTAATGGTTTATTCTTTATTTTAAGATTCAATCAACATTTAATTTTATAGATTTCTCACTAGTGACAATTCCATAGCCTATTAAGTTTTAACGTTTTATAATTATGTAAAATTATATTGTATATCAGTATATTGATCTTAAAGCTCACTAATTATTTATTCAACCTTAATTTTATCATTACTTATATTTGTTATTTCTTACAAATGCTAATCTTTAATCAATTTTATTTAATTTTATATATCATCTTAATTTTATGCAAATAATTCTCTTAAACTGTTTAACGTATCTTCATTTATTTTTATAGTATCTTCCATTTTACTCTTATCAACTTTCATCTGATATTTTTCTAATTCTAATAGATTTTTTTTTTCTTCAACTTATTTTAATTATTCAAGGAATTGATATTTTAGATATAAATAATCTAAACAAACTTTCAAATTTGAATTAGCTTAAAAAAGAGAGTTTTCCATCTGTAAATACCCATCTAATTAGATTTTATATTCTAAAAAGAAGATGTAAATTCTTTATACTGTTTTCATATAATTTTCATTCAATTTAGGCACTAAAACCATTACTTGATATAAAATATCAACATCACCTTCTAGAAATCTTTAGAGAATTAAACTAAAATTATATAATATTTCGATATTTTTCTGAATTTCTTAAATTTATGAAGTAGAATATTATTTGTATTGAAAATCTTTAAAGACATAGAATAAACCATCTGATAACTTTTAACTTGCATTACGTATAAAATTATTCACTTCTTCAGATCCTACAGTTTTATTTAGATTACTTATGATGTAATGAGTTACATCCACATCTTTTTTCTCTATTCATTTGATAAATACTTTTATAATTTCTCCGTTTCATCAATTTCCTTTTAAACAATCAATTAGTGAGCATTTTTCTTAAATTTATTCATAAGTTATGATTAGAAATCAGCTATCAATTTTTCATCTGTTCTTTTTTTACTATAAGAGTTTATTATTATAGTTAATAACTAACATTGATTTATCCATGCTGTTAATTGGCTTAGATCTATATCAGCTTTATTAATAAAATATTATAAATCCTCAGCTTTATTTTAAAATTAATCACCTGGATTTAAGAGAATATAGACAATTTTAATTTTTTATTGTTAACAATTTTGTTAAAAAATAATTGAATAGCCAATTAGTCATTGCTTTCTGTGTCATTGAAACCAGGGTAGTCAATAATGAAATGCTAATACTCTTAATTATAATAAATCTTAGGTGTTTTAGTGGTTGAATCTAATCCTCCTCTTATTTCTTGGAATACATCTGATTTTGAAAGAAGTTCAAGAGTTGTTCTGCCAAACTTGTCTTCATTGATATAAAATTAGGCTCCACATAAAAAATTATAGATTGTGCTTTTTCCACATCCTGTTTTTCCAATTAACATAATTACATTATCATGATTTTAACCTTGAAAATCCTCCATTTGCCTTTCAATCTTTTCAATCAACATCGTTAGTATTTATTATTTGTCTTCTTTTTATTTTTCAATTAATTTTAATTCATTTAATGAATAATATTTATTATTTATAATTAAAGAAATGTGGGCAATCTAAGTTTCAAGTAAGGTTTAGTTTGAACATCAAGACTCAAAATAATGAATACCCTCCATGAATAACTAACTATTGTAGAATTATCAACCAATCATTAATAATCTCATCATGCTTATTTTTCCATTCAATATTGATATATCTTCTAAACAAAAGTTATATTGAAAGATCAATATTTAATAAATTTTGAAATAAGAAAATATCTAATTTGAAACAAATGGCAAATAAAAAAAATATTAATTTGACTGATATTCTATTAAAATCTCTCATTTCATCGTCTAATTGAAGAAATGAAGAATGAAGAACAACATTAGCAAATTTATGAAAACCTGACAACAAATGATTTTTTATTAGATTCGGGATGGATGTTATCAATTTCCTTTATTAAAAAAAGATTTGCTTAAAGAATATTCTGCTTCCTTAAAAATTTAAAGAAATGATTAAAATGATTGTAATAACAGTATTTCATAAATTTTATATTTTATAAGTTTCATAATTATTTTTTCCTCCTCCCCAAAATGTTAAATATTATCCATTGTTTGTTATTGTTCCGTATATACACCAATGTTTACAATCAAGTTCTTAAACTAAAGATAGATATCCATCATTTTGAACTTTCAGTATGCAAATATGCATTTGATGTCTCAAAAATATAAGATTTATAACTTGATTATAAATGATTGGGAAGTTAAATTCATTCAAATAACCTGTAGTTTTCTTAAAGCATACTCTCTTCTTTAAATTTTCTTGAAATTCACCAAATTCGTATTATTCGAACACACATAAATGATTTCTTCTCTCAGGTAACCAAATGAATTAATCTTCCTTTAAAAATTTAACATGACATCCAATTTCTTATTCTGCTTGCTTAACAACTTAACTAAACTTCCACTTATTATTTTTTCCTTTAGCCCAAATTATAATTGAATCAGATCCACATGAAACCAAAACTGACTCAGATTCGTTTAGACTTAAAGAGTATACAATACCATTATGTTTCTCTAAAGAATATTGAGGTTTTAATTGATCATTATTAAAATCTAATTACCAAATTTTAATTAATTTTTCTTTACAACATGAAATCAACTAGTCTTCTTTTTATGTTAAAATTAAACATTAAATCATTCCTTTATGCTCATTATATTTTTTTAAACTTTACCATTTATTATTCGATTATTTCCACAATCTAATTGATTTATCAGAAGATCCGGAAATAAAATAACCTAGTTTTTAACTAAAAACTAAACAATTAACTAGCTCTTGATGTTCTTAAAGTGATTGACTTAATTTGATTTTTCCATTCTCAAAATCCCAGATTTTTATCTCCCTTCCACTTGTTGATACCATTGTCTTTCCTGTTGGATCAAATACTATAGCTTTACATGCTTCTTTTTATTAAATAGAATCATCAATAAATTATAATTATAAAGTACTCTATCCACTTAGATTACACAAAATTTCATTACAATTTTAGTATTCTGAAAATGTTGTGAAGAATTACATATTTTTAGTAACTTTATCTTTCCAAATATTATTCAATTAAGTAATGGAGTTCCCTAATTTAATATGATAATCTTAAAATTATTAATTCTCGTTTATTAAATCTATCTCTTCAAAGAAATTATATTCTGTGTATATTTACATTAATTCTTTTTAATTTTATATCCAATCCTTAATTATATCAAGCATTTGGTCTATTTTTTATAGAAGACTAGACTTCAAAGAAATCATTTGATTTTATAATGATTCCACTTTTTAGATGTTATTGTTGTTGAGATTTTCTAAAGATTCTAATAATTTCTTCCGTCTTTCTTCTATTATATTAATGGCTTCCCTTAATTCAATTTTAGGGTGAACAAATTGGAAATCTTCCATGCATTAACAACATAAAAGTCTTTCATTTATTTTTAGTTTAGAATCTAGAATAACCAATGAAACAGGTTGTTGATGTTTCATTAAACAATAAAAATCATTAGCATTCTCTTTCATCTTTGGTTTGTACATAATTAATTAATTACCAATGAAGTTTTATTTATGTTATAAAAATAGTATAAGTAGAATGATAACATTAAGATTTCTAGATGATAATAGCGATTATGTCATTTAATCAGCAATAAAATATATATTATTCAAGTTGCAAGTTCCCTTTAAAAAAACTAAAATGTCTCCCAATATCCAAGATTAACTAAAAAGAATTTATTCGCTGTTATTCCAATTAATATAGTCTAACTAAATTTACTTAATGCCAAGAGATTATTGTTTGTATTCTGAGAATTAATAATTTCACTAGTTTATTAAATAATCTTATTAAATAAAGATAGTAATAATCTCTATCCCCTTTATATACACGATGATAATATCTTTTATATCACTATTGTAGTTTACCAATTTAATAATTAATTTTGCCAGAAATTAAAGAAATCTTTTATCTCATTGTAATTGATAAAAATGTGAATTTACCAGTAATTCAACATAAAGCAATATAATATTATAAACAAAAAGAATTATGTATTTTTTTTGATAAATTTATTTGATTGGTTTTTAGTATCAGATTTTGTTCTAAATGGACTATTCTTTACAGTAAAGTTGCTGAAAACTATTAAAAAACTACTTTTATCTTGAATTTAAATTAATAACTCTATCCATAGAATAAATCAGGATGAACTTTCTAATTTTCATTATTTTATATACAAATAAGTGCATATTTAATATTATGATTAATTAGGTTATTGTTTCTTAATAAATTCTTTAATTTATTATTAATTTATTTTATGATAGATAATTTAGTTAGGTATTAAATAATTAGATGTTTATATTGAGCAACAACGATTAGGATTAAATTGAATTAGGCCATAAATAAAAAAGTTCATCTTGAAATAGAATGTAATACTCTTCATAAAGATATTTAAGTTTTATTATTAGAAGCTAGAGGAAGGTAAACCAGACTATAAAAGAATTAAAAATCATTTGGGGTTGGTTTTTATGAACATCGTAAATGGTTTATCTATCTTGTGAGACGCGAAGGCAAAAATCCCCTACGGCGAATATTTAACTAAGAAAGAAAAAATGGATTTGAGTTTTGAATATTCTAAATATAGATTATCATTTAAGATTGATGAATTATATTAATGCTATATATTATTTCAATATTTCAATTAACGTCTGCACTTATTCTGCTATCTTGACTTTAATTTTAATTTCTTATATTGTAATACTGGAATTATGTCATATGGATTGGAGTAGGAAAATAATTAATGTTCAATATTTAATTTAAAAGCTCTGACCTTTTGATGAACCGATATTTAAAAATAAGTTCTTCTTCCATTTACCTATTAAATTTGATGATCTTTTTGATATATTAAATATTTAGAATATAATATTAATAGGTGAATAGTTTTCTTTTTACGATTTTAGTTCTTGAAAGAATAGTTTATAATTCTGAAACAGTTAATTATTTCTATCATTTTTAGATTAACATTTTATAATTTATTATAGCATTACGAATAATAATATTAATTATATGAAATAATAGGAAATATTATTTAAGTGTCCGATTGAAACACATAATTTTTAAGCCGAATTTGCATGCTTCAATTAATTTTGTCAAAGTAATAGAATTTTTTGTTTTGAATGCATAAGAAATGGTGATCACAATATTCATTCAGGAGATTAAAGAAAGATTGCTGATTTGTTTGATTTTCTAGAAAACAACAGGCTAAAAATTGAAGAATTCATATAACAATTACACTAAATCTAAGCATATATTAATAAATCATTTTCTTTATTAGAGCAAGGTTTGAAGAATAAATTTCTATTAACAAAAGCAGAATTGTGTCAATTTGACCCAAAATAATTGAGCGCTGCTGTTAGTGAAATATTTCAATCTAAATTTGTTTCTATGAATATTCTACAAGATGTAAATAATAAATCCCTAGTATTATGTGATTTAATAAATAAATGTGGTGGTCTATTTGGCTTAGAGGATGTAAATATAGACAATTAAGATTATTAAAGAATTAAATAAGTAGATGAACTACTTTAAAATAGTATTAAAAATTTTCTCATATTTTTTAGGCTAAGACTTAATGTTAACAATTAAATCAGATTATAATAAACCTAAAGTTTATGAAGCTATGGAAAATTTAAAAAAATTACTCTCAATCAATCCAAATGAAGTTTAAAGTTTGCACTTAACAGGTAAAAAATCATATCTATAATTTATAGCTGAATTCCTAAAAATACTCAAAAACTATAACGAAGCCAATATAAAAGCTGATCAAGCACTTCAAAGAGACCCAAAAAACCCCTAATTACTCTAGACAAAAGGTATGTGAATCCTTTTAAATCTATTAGTTGAAATCTTAAAAGAGCTTGAGCGTTTCGATGAAGCAATTCAATGGGCTGATAAGATTCTTTTTATAGATCCAAACAATTTGCAATCCATAAAGATTAAAGGTAGACAATCTTTATAAAATTTATAGCTGAATGCTTAAAATCGCTTAAAGATTATAATGAGGCCATTAGATGGGCTGACAAAGCACTCTAAATAGACTCAAAGAATCTTTGCTCCTTGATCATAAAATGTATCCAAATCTGTAAAATTATTAGTTGAAAGTTTATACAACGTTGGAAACTATGGTGATGCTATTGTATGGGCTGAATAAGCATTAAAAATTGAACCAAGGAATTTGCAGGCATTAATTGTAAAATGTAGACAAACCTTTTTTAATATAATAGCTGGCAGTTTACGATTACATGCTAATTAAAATGAAGCTATTGCATATGTTGATTCAGCCCTTAAAATATATCCATTAAATAGATACTTATAAGAAATAAAACTCATGTGTTAATCTCCATATCCATATATATAACAACCACCATCCTAGTTGTAAGGGATTGGGCTTTTCCAGAGGTTTCCATGCAACCCACTTATTCCTTAACAAAATATTAACTTCAATAAAAAATGATTATATTTAATTTCACGTTAAGTGGAGACTAATAATACAATATTATATCTAAATTGATTTTGGAATCTTTCAAAAAATCTAATTATTTATTACTACTTTGATCCTATTTTGCTTTCATCTCAATAATCCTCATTTTCCATAGCAAAATTTGCTTTTAGGAATGCTCTTTTTGTAAGTATAATACATTCTTTCTTAATACGATGGGGAAGTTTATACTAAGAAATTACTCAATGAAAAAATATTTCCAAGAAAAAGAGTTAGATGAACTTCTTAGTTTTGCTTTGAACAAAATTAACATACTAAATAAAGCAAGTTAAAATGTTAAAAATCAACCTGAAATTAATTGGATATATAATGGCACCAAAATTATGGATAACATTGTTATTATTATTAAAAATGGTAGTTCGCACTTTATAAATTGTTTTATAATTGTGTTTAAATCCTTTTCGCCTTCATTCTTATCTTAATGTGCTCAAAAATAATTGATTAACATAATAATTGGTGAGACAATTAACAATTTCTTATTAACAGTTGAAAAGTAGATAATGTCGTGTGTCTAATATTTTGAATACTGTTTAAGGTCCTTATTACAAGCTATCTAATTCTGATATCAATTTCCTTATGTACTTAGCTCTTGAAATTTAAAACATTAACTATAATTTAAACTATAAGTAATTAATTATGTTAAGACATTAAATAATATTTATAACAATCAAGTAGCTCTCTTCCATCCAATAATAACTTCATTCAAATCCCAAGCATGTGGCTTGTATTGTCGGATGTTTGTTAGGAAATATTTGTCGCCTTCTTTCTTTAAAAGGACTTGCCTAGCATAGTTTTGACCATCCCAATCTTCATCATAGTTCTATTCAGCCAAATCGATGAGGTTTCCATTTACATTCGTAACAACAGCAACGTGACCCCACCATTATTTGCCACTTTTTTAATAAATGACGAGATCTCCTTTTTTAGGTGGAATGGAACTTCCTTGTGGGATTGATTAAAATTGTCTCTGTTATTAGGTCACTACATCTGTGACTGTGTTGAGATCAAAGATATGATAGGCACAACCAACATCACCGAAAACAACACCTTTGGTTTAGATAAGGTATCTTCTTGCAAATTCTACGCATTGGAATCTAAAGAAATAATGGATAGTATATAACCTCACTCCAGTATACAGTTATCTGTTATCAAAAGTGACATAATTTGATCTAAAGTTGATGCCTCTATTATAATAGGCTGGAACATTGTCAACAATTCCAGCAACAGCAGGTTCCTTATTACAAAGATTTCCCATTTTATTTAGTAATTCCAAAATCCAAAAATTTAATATTAGGACAATTAATTATATGTTTGATATAAGGTAAATGATTCTGATGAAATATATTGAAAGATTGTGATTTATTATGTATTGGCTATATTTTTATACTAAAAAATATTGAGATGGATAAGCAAGAGATCTAATTATAAAAATTATAAATAATTAGTTAGGATGGGAGGAAATTGTTCGAATTGCAATTAATGTTAAAAGGACAGGTTGGAGATAATCAACGAAATCGAAGTGACCAAAAAATCTGATAGTTAAAGAAGAGTATTGTCTTCGGTTTCATAACAATCATAAAATAGTCAATTAGATGTGGTATTGAATTTATCAACTTTAGAATGATTTTAAATAGATTAAGTGTGCACCTACTGAACAGAAGAATACTAAGTTTTCAGTGTTTGCTGAGGATCAGGAAAAAGACATCAAAGAAGATAAGAATTTGAATCAGAAGGCCGTTGTAATATAAAAAATTTGGAAGGGACACAAAGCCAGGTAGAATTACTAAGAAGTGAAGAAATCCCTTTCGGAAAAGAATTAAAAAGAGGAGGATAAGAATCAAGAATAGCAGTGCGATTAAGTAACAATAGCAAGTAAAGACAAAAAAAAGAATGTTTAATATTTCAATTGTCAGGAGTTTGGAGGTAATCAAGATACTCTAACTGTATAGTCAGCAACTCAACCAATTAAAAAACACGTGAAAAGCGTCCTTTGTTTGTATTTAAGAGTGGAGCTACATATGAGGGTGAATGGATCGGTAACAAAAGAGATGGAAGAGGAGTCTAAATATGGCCAGATAGTGCTAGATACGATGGGGAATGGGTCGATAATAAGGCCTGTGGGAAAGGATCATTTTATCATGTGGATGGAGATGCTTATATAGGAGAATGGGCAGATGATAGAGCGAATGGGTATGGAATTTATAAACAGAATAATGGAGCTGTTTATGAAGGCTATTGGAAGAATGATTTGCAACATGGGAAGGGAGAGGAGAAATGTATGAAGCAATATTTATTTAGGGATTGATTAATCAAGTTATTAGGGGGATTATTTTGAAGGGAAAAAATAAGGAAAAGGCAAGTACACTTGGCCAGATGGTAGTTATTATGAAGGAGATTGGGTTGACAATAGAATCAATGGTTACGTATTAAAATTAATTGATATCTGTTTAGGGAGAGTACTATTGGGCAGATGGAAGAATCTACAAGGGATAATGGAAGGACAATAAAATGCATGGGATGGGATACTATCAATGGTCAGATGGGAGATCCTATCAAGGTCAATATGTGGATGACAAAAAACAAGGGAGTGGTAAATATACTTGGCCAGACGGGAGATATTATGATGGTGATTGGCAAGATGGTAAATAACATGGCAGAGGAAAGTACGTGTTACCTGATGGAAAGATGAAAAATGGGATATGGGATTAAGGTAGAAGAGTGAATTGGTTGGAAGAATGATTGAACTTGATTAATTTGATTAACTAATTAATAATTGTTTGTATTATTAAATCATTTTAACAGATTCCTAGAAATTATCACTTTCATAATTTCATTTGTGCCTTCCAGTATTTGATGCACTCTTAGATCTCTAACAATTCTAATGATATAATAGAAATGATCACCTTTCTACTTGATATTCTCTCAAATATCCATAACCTCCATGAAGTTGCAAGGCTTCATTGGCCACATTGAAGCAACTGTCAGTAGCATATCTCTTTGCCATAGCAGAATACAAGGTTTTATCAGGATGACTGTTGTCAATCATTTGAGCAGCCTATCTCACAATCAATCTAGAAGTAACAAGATTGGTGGCCATGTCAGCAAATTTAAATTGTAATCCTTAAAATGCAGCAAGTGGTTATCCAAATTATTTACGATCTTAACAATTAGTAGTAATTATTTGGTACCATGCAAGTAATCTTTGGCTAAATCAAAAGCGAATGATGCACCTCCAAGAGAACAAGATGCAATGTTAATTCTACCTCCGTCCAATGCACTCATCGCCATTTTAAAGCCATTACCTTCTTTTCCAAGAAGATTGGATTGAGGAACACGTACATTATCAAATAGTACCATGGCTGTAGGTGAAGCATTCCATCCCATTTTGTCTTCGAGTTTACCAAATGACAATCCTGGTGTTCCTTTTTCAACCAAGATGCATGATACATCCTTCTCTGATGTTTTACACATTAACAAATAGACATCACTTACAGATCCTCCAGAAATAAAACATTTTGATCCATTAATTACATAATCGTTTCCATCCTAATTTTAGATCATCAATCATACTTTCTTTGCAAATGTCTTCATGTTCTTGCTATCACTTCCACTATTTGGTTCAGTTAAACAGTATGAGGCAAATGCATCAAATGTACCAAAACGAGGAATCCATGTCTTCTTCTATTCTTCATTACCAAATTAATCCACCATATAAGCACACATGTTTTGAATTGTTAAATATGCTGTTGTTGTTACATCTCCATATGATAGTGCCTCAAAGATTACACTTGCTGTTAAACGATCCAAGCCAACACCACCTTATCATCATTTTCTAACACTTTACCTGATTCCTATTTTACATATATTGTTGAGAATCCCATTGCTGCTAACTCACGTAAGACGTCCTTAGGAAAATGATGTTTCTTATCCCATTCAGCTGAATATGGCAACATCTTCTCTTTTGCAAAGTCCAATGCTGCCTTCTATATTTAGAGATGCTCTTCATTGAGAAAGGTGCTGTCACTCATGTATTTAAATCCGAATCTTGGGATGTGATTCACCATGAACCTATTACGTATTATTTACATTTTAAATATCCAAAAAATATAATTAATTACACCATAGCAAATGCACAATTCAGCATTTCTCTTCAGTGTTTTGGAGGATAAACTTCATAAGCTGTATCAAGGGAATGTTCATGTCCTGGAATCAATTCAATATTTTCAATTAAAAAACATCAGAACCATCATTGTAGTTGGATAGCATAATTACAAATAATACACAGACTTTGTCACCTATCATGTATTCTCTATATAACTTATTTAGAAAGTTGATGACAATCATACGGACATCATTAAAACATTTGAAAGAATAGCCTTACTCATTTCAAATGAAATCAAGCGTTCATCTGTTTTGGTATGTTGTTCTAATGGACTAAATTGGAGTGCTGCAATAACCATAGCCTACTTAATCAAAGTTAAACAATGGCAATATGAAAAAGCCTTCTATCATCTTAAATCACTGAAATCTCTAGTCAATCCCTCTTTACCACTCAAAAAATAACTCATATTATTCAACACTAAAATACACAACCACAAACAATAGAACCAGGAAAACAATATTAATTATTGTAATCTTATCACCCCATCCAAATTCTAACAACGAATTATTGAGTAGACTCAGAAGTAATAATATCTGGAAGATTCTATCCATTCCCAAGATGATATACAATCTACCGGCTCTTGTTAAGGTGGACAAACACCTATATTCTACTCACCCAATAAACAGAGCTTAATCTAAAAACGAAAGTAATCAACCAATCCTAAGAGTCCAGAAAAAAGAACAAGTAGACACATCAGGAACTACACTTTCTAAATTGATGATTCTACTGCACAGTAGCTTTAAAACATAGAGCAACAAGTTCAAAGTTCTCCTCAATTCAAAAATGAAGAAGAATAATTAATACTTAGACATAGAAGAAGAAGAATCACTCATAGAACAAAAAGTGCTTTGAATTAAAAATGATTATAATTTTATATTAAATAGTTTGAATGGAAATTATAAAATTACAATATTTGGGATTCACATACATCTATAGAGATAAGTTAGAGCATTCTTAACTCAATTAATTCATAGTGTAGAATATAACAAAAGAGTCCTATTAAATCAAATGGATTTACTCAGATGAAGTATATAATCTAAATAATCCTAATTCTATACTTTATCTAAGAGAAAGTATTTAAGAAAAAAACATCTAAAAGGTCGTATTATAAATTGAAGATCAATATTGATTATTAATATATTAATTGAAAAGTTAAATTAATTTTAGGAGATTGCATTACATGTGTCTAAATTGTTATTTCTTATCTGTAAATACTCTAAACACTCATTAAATAATTACTTAAAATCATTAAATTAGAGATATTATTAGAATATAAACCATCCATTTATTTGTACTGTAAGATTTTGGATGAATTATTGATAATTAATTAAAACATTTCAACACTCGAAGTTTTACTCTATTATTAAATGAATATAATCATAATATACAATAGAAAAACTAGAGAAGATAATTAAATGAAGAACAATTTAGAAATACAAAATTATGAAAGGAATTTCTAAATATAGAATTTAGAAATGATTAACATCCTACTCATAATTCTTGAACAAAAAGTCTCAATTTTAATTTAATACTTACCTTTCATTAAGACTTACTCATCAAAGATAAAATCAGAGTAAATAGAAAGACTTAAATTGACTTGTGAGTGAGAATGCATGATCCTCATTTATGATGATTTTTATTCAAAAAAAGTAATGAATCCACAACGCTTGATTGAAATAGTTACAAATAATCATAAACAATATCTTATTTATAGTTAATATTCAAATTATGTATTTAGTTATTTTAGGATAAAAGGTCTGTCCCTTCTTTTTCAGATTCCAATTAGCAATAATGATATCCTCGTGTTCACTTTATTATTTTTTATGATCTAGTTGCTCTGCTATTTAATACAATTGATTGTCATCATCTTAAAGCACACATTCATATTCTTTGTCGAACTTGCTCATTCCTTGTAGTGAGATATCCAATTTGTGATCAAATGAAAGCAAAGGAGAATCTGGGTTGATTTCCTTCAATTTCTTTTTTAATTCGTCCTAGGTCTTCTTACTGTATAAAGGTTGATTAACTTTTTGATTGACTTGTATAATTTCGGTAAATTGCTATTATGGAGTATAATGAGTAGAGTAATTTGTATAAATATCTGCAACTACTTGGGTTGAATCCATATAATTTGGTTTTTCATCAACAGAGTAAGGGTCTCTATTTTCATAATAGCTGTTATGCTTTTTTCTGATTTAACGGTACCATACTCTCTTATCTGCTAGTAGATGGTCATTCAAAGCCAAGTTCAACTCGTACTTTTGACGAAAGTCATTGGATCTCTAATATAAGGTTTTGTCTAGAGTTCTTCCTGTTCGATTACCCAATACTAGAGATGTCTCTATCCTATTTTATTATAACTATTGAAATTGATTGAGTATTCTTTCTTCTTTAGTCACAACCATTTTAACTTCTTTTTTCATATTGTCAATTAAATCAGATTTTTATTCTTAACGAATTCTGTTTTTTAACTTCATCATCTTCAATTGATATAATAGATCCTACTTATTAATTAATTCAGGCTAGATCAAATTGGGTTTCTTCTTTTTTGGTTCAACTGAGACTCTTTATTATTTTATCTTATTTTCTAACTTCATTAATCCCAATGAAGGTTTTATCGATTGATAGAACTTCTCAAATCTTGATGGTTCAATATTCTGGATCTAACTCTATTCGCAGGATTAAGTCTTCATCTCTGATAGTTTCTTTAATGAAAACTTGGGACCAACCAAATCCCTGTCAGACATTGGACTTTTATTCTTCATAATTTCGATTATGGGATCTTAGAAGATATTCTTTTATGTGTATTTCTCAATAGTAGTAGGAGTTGCCAAATAATACATATAATTTAATAATAATCATATGAATTAATTTTATAAATGTCCAGATGAAAACTTTTAATTTAGCGATCCAGATTATCTAATTCTTGCCAACACTTCTGAACTTGTCTATGTATTCATATTCATGTCTGTATCTCTATTAAACTCCTTACGTTAATTCTTCTCTCCTAATATGTTAATCAGCTTCTACCTCTTTAATTTTGTTAAACATCACCTGCTTTTAGTTTTTCAAGTCGTTCCCTCTCCAATTTCTCTCTATGTTCCTCTGCTAAACTCTTTGGTCTAAATTCTTAGTCATACCATATCATAAACTATTTTATTTCTTCAGGATTTCTCTGTTTTTATGGTAATTCTCCTAAATATATACTATCTAATTATTATTACAAAAGGATTTACCATTCTTTTGTTATTATTGCTATTGTTATTATTATTATTAAATGGGTTAAGTTTAAACTTTCTTTCTTTCATTCAAATAACTCGTTAACTTTCTCTCACCACCCTATGCAAAATTCTCCTCCAAAAATAAGTCCATCTCTGAATTTTCTTATAATCTCTATGGCTATTGCTTTTAAGGCTCCTACTCTTTAATATTCTTAGCCACATCCTTCACTTTCTCTGGTGATTCGCTTTTGCTAATATTTGAATTGCTTGATTCTGGTTCTTAATACTTTATTCCTTTCACTACTTCATCATATAACCCTCTTACATAGTGTTCCAATCTGATGTTTTTATTGACCTTCTTGAATATGGGTGCTTTGTCATCCCCTTGATTTTTTAGTTTAAGTTTATCCATTAATTTATCAAGTTTCTCCTTTACACTTTGATTTTCAATCCCTCCTGTTTCAATTACACACCCATCGTCCAATTAAGAAAATAAATCAAAGAATTCCTCTAAGTCATCTTAGAAGATCTTAATGAATGATTTAAATGCTTTTATCACTTTTTCCCTATTAATTTTACTCTTGTCTTTCTTGCTTTTTTTTTCTTTCTTACTCTGTGGTTTTTCTTCTCTTAATAAAGCCTATCCCTTTTGTTGAAGCTTCTGAATTTTCTTTAGCTCCTTTTATTTGTCGCTGGAATCATGCCTTTTCTGATGTTTTTTATCTTAAGACTCCATAAATTAATTTTATTATAAAATCCATTGATTAATATTACAAACAAATTGTTGTGCAATCGTAGATTGTACTATGATCATTTCCTATAATTTATGGCCAATTTCTCTCCTTTTGATAAAACTGATTTATAATTTAAATAGATTTTCGTTTGTAATTTCCAAAATATGCAATCTTAGAAATATCATTTAGTTATTAGAATATTATTTTTATACTTTATTGATAAAGCATACAATTTAAGCATCTCAAATATTTTTCTTTTGTTCTTTATATCAATAATCCATTAAAGAAATAATATTAATGAATAACTTTAATTCAATAAGCTTGAATAAACTCATTTTATTTATTTAATCATGAATCTTAATCGACATTTAATATCATTTCATCAAAATCAATAGATCAATTAAGTAAGTTCCTAAAAATCGAAAAAGAAGTAAATCTGATAAATAATATAGATTGTTAAATACGAATTAATATCTTTGCTTTTTAGATCCTCATCTTAAAGTAACATAAAATAACTCTTTTAGGAGGATCATAAAAGAAAAAATATTTAATAAGCATCAATGTATTATTTCGTTTGATTAATTTAAAAATGGGTTCAAGTTCCGGAATAGGACTCTCGCCCACAACCAATTATATTGGTTTAAACTTAGATAGAAGTTTACACTTAATTTCTCAAGTGAGATTATCAATTTATCTTAACCGTATATAAGTATGAATAGAAATTTAGATATTATGGGTTTATGTTTAACCTTCAAAGTTATTAATAATTAGAATCCCATAAATTTCCAAAGAATAAAATAATATATAAAGAAATAAAAGGAAGAAAAAAGAGTATTACGAAAGTAATCACTCGGCTTTTTAGCTAAGTAATAAATCCAAGTATAAACCAATATAATTGGTTGTGGGTTAGAGTCCTATTCCGGAACTCGAGCCCATTTTTAATTAATCAAACGAAATGATATATTGTTATAATCATTTTAATTGTAATCATCAGATTAAACTAATATCAAATAAGTGATTAGTAACTATTGGTATAAGTATAAGCAACTATAGTGATTAATTTGTTGAAAACTAAACTGATGTTCTAACCAAAATCATAGTTAGCAAATGAAAAATTAATTTTCATCATGATAAAATAACTTGGTGCTTATAAAAATGTATTTCAATTTTATAAACATTAAAAGCATTTATGATTTATAAATGAATTGATTAGTATATTATATGAAATTAATAGAACAACTTAGATAAAGAATATAATCTAAATTTTAATTTAAAATAAAACATCAATTAGATAAAAATTCATGGTTCTTATTGCTTTTATAAAAAGTTTTCGCAACATAAATTAAGAGTGGTAAGGAACCTACTACTGTAGCAGTAGAAATAAACCAAGTTTTTTTATAAAATGGATCTTCATCCTCATTTTAATAGTTTTAAATCTATTCTTTCTGCAAAATTTAGAAAATGTAGTTTTCAAAAATCTTTTATTATGTATTCATATATCCTTTTTCAAAATGATTAAGATTCTAATCATTGCCTTTAATTCGATCTTAATTATCTGCAGCTCTCATTAATGTATGATTTTTAGAATCGTTTAATTGTTCCTTCTCAAGATTTTGATTTAATGTTTATTATGTAATAATGGCTTCATTTTCTTCTTTTTTTTTTTAATCATTCTAATTATGTTACATAACTTCTAATTTGTCTTCTTTTATATCATGATTTGAAAAATTTGAAATTAAAATCTCAGAAAACTAAAATGTGGCAGAGCTAATCCAAGGTAAAAGAATTTATTATTCTACTAAATGAGATATTTATATAGTTAATTATTAGGCTAAATCTGTAATGATTTATAAATAGGATTCATCTTCAAGCGTTGTCTCACGTTCAGTTAAATCGCTGAAGAAATCTAATAATTATTAAGAAGTTTTATTTTAAATTAAATCAGATCTGAGTTATTCATTAAGTTTATAAAATGTATTTTACTCAATTTCATCTTAAGTATCAGCTTATGTTCCTAAAAATTCATTTACTTGTGTTATAGTTTTTATTTCTGTATCTTAAGTTATATTTTTGTTACTACACCATTATTTATATACAATTTAGAGATTATATTCTTAATTAGCATAACTAATCAACAACTTTTTAAATTTAGAATGTAAATAATTAATTAATTCATTTTAGGTTAAAACAAGAGTTGCAACTTAAAGAAGTTTACTAATACTATATAAAATCCAGCTTTCAAACCCTAAATTTGCTGGTATTGTAGAATTGATTATAAGGTTTTAAAGTAAACAAATAACCTAATTCATTAATCCGATTCGTGTTATTAATTCAGCACTAAATTTTAAGATATTTTCATTGAAATTTTCATTTTTGATTTAACTTAATACTTCAAATTTCCTCAAAAGTTTAATTGTATCTTTTTAAGAGAACTTTTCCTAAATAAAATTGAAAAGATAACGCTATAATTAAGCCTAACTATCCTGAAGTTTCATTGAAATAATTTTGGTGAGGATCAGATTACTCCCTTTGATGACAAATGATTCAAAGGACAATTTCCATGTTTGTTTAATCATAAAACTTAAGTTTATGCTTCCGCATTTCCCAAAACTTTAAATTAATTCTTTTGCTTTGCTTGTATTTTTGATTGCATTCAAACCAAATGTAAGGACAGTGCATAATAAACAGGCACTCTTTTAATAACAATAATCAGACCATGAAAATTCTCTCCTATAGCAAGATGTTATAAGGCTTATGACATCTGAAATACCTTCTTAGATAATCATCTTGCCAAGTATACTTCCCAGTCCTGTGGAAACTAAGACACCTCCAACTATCAATTAGGAAAAGGCTATTGTGCCAAGAATTAACATGTTATAGAATGGAAAGAACTTAATTTCATTCAATGTAATGATATCTTTAAATCCTCTTGCTTCAAAATTCTAAAATTCTTGTTGATCAGATTAATTTTGTGAATTAAGAAATTCCTTTAACTTTTTCCTATTGACTACTTTAACATCCTACTATTGAATGTCTGCTTTTTGAATATATTGTTTTGCTTAGTTATAATCCAGATTATTAAAGATCAATTAAAATTCTAATTGGATTTACCTTAACTTCCTTATTAAATATTTAATCCATTTATGATCCTTAACTCTAAATCTTAGATTAATAAAGAGATCCTCTTTCATCCAACAAATGCCTTATATTTAATTTAATTATAGATTGAATCTTGCTTCTTCTTTACATTTACCCAGTACTTCCTTAAACTGTTCTTCTGTTATTATTGAAATCGAGATAGTTTGAGTACATTTATTCTCACTACTCTTAAATATATGGTTTTTAGCTCTCTCCTTTGTATATGAGATATGTAGCTCTTTCTTCAAATGCTTTACTCTCTAAACAAATTCTAAATCTAATATCTTTTTAATATCTTCAATGTCACTTGTAATAACAAGATCGATTGATTCAGGTTTAATAATTTATAAATCTTATTCAATATTTTATTTATCCAAATTGATAAACTCAATGTCAACCTATATATTTTTCAGTAATTCAGTTTACCATTATTATAACTTATTGTTTATGATTATCATATCAAAATAAGTTTCATTAACCTTCTTAACTCTCTCTTTAGCTTCTTGGATGGTTAATGATTCAAATTTATTTTGAGAGGATTTTAAGAGTATTGATGAGATGGTTATTGTATCCCTTTCATTATTTTCTAATTTTTTCGAAGCCTTTTTTTTATCAAAGAAACAACCCTATTTGAGAGCTTTCTAATAGAAGAAAAAGTTGAATTTGGATGACATAATTTCATTTATTTATATGGTGATTTCCTTATCAATTGGCTTACTGTTCTCATAAATCTATTCAATGGTCTTTATGACAGAATCTTAATTAATATAGTCTTGGTAATAGGAGAGGTCATTGAATATCAAATTATACATGGTATCTTATTAGTTGAGGCATAACTTGATTGCTATCTAATTCTCATAGCCGATATTAATTGTTTTAGTTTAGATTTTTTCCTGCTTAAATTCTTATTACACAACAATATCTATCAATCTCTAAGATTTCTATATTACTTTCTTGTTCTCTTCTATGCTATTAGCACATATTCCTATTATTTGCAGCTTTTACTGAATTTGTTTTTACAAATCGCTCCCTTAAAAATTCTTCAAATACTTTGATAAAGACACAAACAAACTCTACCATAAAGCATATTCTTTGCTCAATAATTCAACTGCCTTTTAGAAATACTTTAATGCTTTATTTTTATCTTAATTTTTCTAATAAAGATAGAGGAAGGCTATTTCTTAATACACAGAAGCAAAAGATTTGCCTTCAACTTTGATGATCTCATTTAAAGCATCCAATTTAGCTTGCAGCTTATTTTTTTTTATTTAATTATGTTAAATATCTATTTTATAATAAGGATTGCATATAATTTCCTACTTTTCACATAGTTTTTCAATCTCATTTTAAAATTTATCAAATTTTTCAGCAACATCATCTCTCATATCTTTGTTCTGCAGAAGAAAAATAGCCCATTTCTCTTCAATACTTAATATTTTATAATGTAAAGCTAATTTTCCTAAAGAAGTATTATTTTTTTTCTGAACACTCAAGATATTACAAAAATTTTCAAACAACTTCTCTTTTAACTTGATTTCCTCCAAATTTTAGTCCACATATTTCTACAATATTTTGGCTTCTGCTTCCTCTCTCTTGATTTTCAATTATGAATAATCCTCTTCATTACAGATTAAATGCCTGAGGTGTTATTTATTCAATATCATTTATCCAGTTCCTTTATTGCCTTATCTAGCAGTTCTACCGAATGCTTATTCTTCTACTCTTTGATTAGTCGGCATAAATGTTAATATCACATGCAATCCTCCATACTTTTAAATATTTGTTGAATTGATGTCAGTGCCTCTGCCTGCAAGGTTGGTAGCAACAAATATTTGCTCAGGTTTAATGACATCAATTTCATTTTCCAAACACTTATTATTCATGTCATAAAGCTTGATCTTATTACTTGAATAATTCTCAGACAACAACTGTTTATGAATTTTCCTCGCATCTAAGATTGTTTCACATATAATGAGAACACCTCTTTTATTAAGGCATTCTCTCTTTGCTAATGCAATGATCTTCTTCAGCCATTTTTTATCATCATCAACAACCACAAAGGGTAGTTCTATAAATAATTTAGGGTTGTTTTAAGGAATAATAACTGAAGTCAGACCGTAAACTTATTGCAAAATTTCTTTAGTTTTTTGAGAACCTAAAGTGCCAGTTAAGCCAAAAATTCTCTATTCGTATTTTTTGAAATATCCCACATTAGATAAGAAATTTGTTAGGAAGGATTCAGGTGTAATTTTTAGATTATGTTTGATTTATAGGAACTAATGTAATCCATTACCCCAAAATGAAGAATTTTAAATAATTCCTGTATTTTTGAAATCAACAGGTTTTATTTCCCCATCGCTAATGACATAATGAACATTTTCTTCTAATTTAATTGCCTGCAAGGCACTACATATCCAATTAGGGAATTAAAGATCAAAATATTATTTAAAATAATTGGGCAGAATTATAAAGTCTTCTTTTTCCAATATTCCGTTTATGTAATTTTTTAAATGCTCTGCAATAAATTCATCGAAATCTTATGTTGTTTTTAATCCTATCATCTGCTTTAATTACTCAAAATTATCAATAGATTGTGAATCCAGAGGAAACTGATTTTTGCTTTCTTTCTATTGTACAATCTTTCCATTTTCGTAATAAAATGTGGATTTAAGGTTAGCTATTTACTCCTCAAGTTATTTAATTCTCTACCAAATAAGAATATAAATAGGTTAAAAGTGCTCAATACCAGCAACAGTACTGGATAATCTAGCAAATTTTGAACTCTCATCAATAAGCATACTATCAACTTCATCAACAATTGCAATTTCTAATTTTCTGTCACCCATTGTATTTAATTGACTGTGATGATGTCTTAGATAATCAAATTAAAATTAACTTACATCTCCGTATACAATCTGTTTTTCATAACATTTCTTAATAATTTTCTTGTACTTGGTTTTGTCACCATTCTCAGCACAATTAAGACCAAAAAACTCATATAGACTTTTCATACTTTTTGAATCTCTCTCTGCTAAGATTGGAGAACTAGTGTGAATATTTATTTTCTTTCCTTACAATCCATAAAATATGGCAATGATACTTATTATTATAGATTTGCCCTCACCAGTTCTCACTTAACATAATATTCCTTCATCCTTTCCTTACTATAAAATGATCAATGCAGTCATTATTTAAGTACAATTTAACTCCACCCCTTTAATTTTATGAATAGCATATTTGATCACAGCTAATAATTCAACTATAAAATTAATATCTTTAAAATTCTCAGACTCTTAATTCTTAGCCATTGTAACCCATTCTCCTATTTCTTACTCAGTCTATCTCTTTTTCTCTTCACATAAAGTCTAAATTTAATTGATCTTTTCAATATAAAATTGTTTATCGTTTTTCAAGTTAGAGCAATTTAATTCAACCAATTCATTAACTAATTTCTATATGCTCTTTTCTCCAGGATTCCCCTCAATACCTCCCAAAATTAACTTTTACACTTCCTAACTCCATATCTCATATTGCTTATCGAAGATTTTACTTAAGTCTGCATTTGGAGATACTTAATAATAATAAAGGGTCTTGAAAAATTTCACCAGATGCTTATCACCCTGAGAACATAATTGGGCCAGTTAAGGCATATTCAATATTTCTCTCTATTTCTAAAAAGTCCAACCCTTCATAAGTAATTATTTAATAATGTTTTTTAACTATTTATCGGTCTTATGTTATGGAAATCTAAGAATTAAAACTTCAATTTCAAATTATTATTGCAACTCTTCTATTGTATATTAATTTTGTGAATTTTCAATAATACATTTATTTTGAATAATGAATGTTAAGAGACTTTGAAATTTGTAAAGGTCATCGATCTCCCTTATTTACTAAAAAAGATAATCACATTACTCTGTTACCAATTCTTACTTTTCGTTGCATATCAAGCTAATCAAATTTTCGATGTATGGGTTAAATTATGTTGTATTTGTGATTTTACTAACCATCAACTTTCTTAACCATCCTTACACTACTTTCAACCATGGTACTTTTATCTAATATTTCTTATAATCATATAGAATATTTTTTTTCAATAATTAATTTGTCTCTTATAATCCAATTGTCTTTACAAAAATAATCAAATCATTAAATTAGGTCTATGACAATCCTTCAAATTAAGTTATAGTTTTTAGAAATTGTATATAATATGTTGAAATTATTTCATCATCTTGAATAATCTCCTTAATTTTTTTTGTTTCACATCCTTTGTTTTTAATTTCAAAACCACCTTCAAGTAACTCTCTATGCCAATTATCCTCAGAACTTTCAAAGATTTTAGCCAAATCATACTATGATAAATAATTAATTGTTTCAAATAGATCATAATCTTCTTTAATTTCATTCTTAACAATTTTCAATACTTCTATAATTATATCGCAATATTTCTTAAAAAAATCGGAATTTAATTTTTTATCGATTGCAGCCGCCCGTAAACCTTTAAAAGACAAATTGCTGATTATAGGTTACTAAATGAGGTTATGCTCTAGAATAGGCAACCAGGTTTTCTTCAATTAATTTCCAAATTAACAGGCATATGAAACACATTCATGTAAGGCCAACATGTATTTTTTTTCAAGATTTCTCTTCAATAGGCTGTCTATACAATTTTGTAGATCTTTATACTTTTTCTCTTCAATGATCTTCGTATAAGCTTGAATCAATTTGGTTGTTAATTTAATATCATTTCTTTAGATTAATTTTTCTATCTCTAATATTATATTTTCATCAAAGTTTAATTAATTTATCACCAATTTAGACAAAATCTTTGAATAAATATAAAGCAATTTTAGATTTATATCGGTTGTTGCGAATAAAGTGCAAATAATTTAAGTTCTTTATTTTGACAATAAAAAAAACCCTGTTTTCAGAGACTGATTGATACTGTTAAGTAAATTGATTGAGCATTCTGAATTCTAAGCCTGTTTTTTTGCATCTAATTATTTAATAATTGACAAGTTTTGTGTTAGAATTTCGTTTTCTATTGACTAGAAAGAAGCACATTCTAAGTCATCTGCATAATGATCAATTAGGAATTTGAGAATAGCACTAGGAATTGATTTGTTAGATTCAACTATTTGATTGAGAAGTTTAAAACAATAGGGTTTCAAATCTTCTTATGTGATACATATCACAATGATTTAAATCAATTCAAATGGTATTTAGTCTTTGTTTTTGCATTGATTTAAAAGAGAAATTGCCTTCTATTACTATTCTTGATTTTTATAGTCCTAAAAAATTAGTATTATTTAATCCAAGGTCTCAGGCAATAATTCAATCTATTAATTAACGTCATCTGAATTTTTGTCAATCGAATCTTAAGTAAAGTTGAATTACTTGATAAATTAGGATGTTTATGCATCAAGTTTACATAATTTTAATATTTTACTAATTTCTTTTTTAATTTCATACTATATTTATTTTTCATACAATAACGTAGTCAATATTTCCTATATTTTTGGGTCTAATATGTTGGTATGAAATTAAATATAATTCGTAATTTGTAAGCATAAGGGTAACAGAGTTTGTTTGGATACCTAGAGTTTTGATATTAATACTTCATTTACTCTATAGATATGAGTAATATCTTAATGAAATGAATTATTCGCATTAATTTTAGTATTGATTGCTTAAAGCAAACAAAGTTCTAAATTTAAATCATTTGTATTTTAAATGTGTTTGCACAATTTCTCAATTAATTGTGAAGAAAATAATTTACAATTTTAACTAGGAATGGCAAAAAATTATACGATCAATTCAGAAATAGTTTGACAATCTAACATTTCTTCTAATTTAAGTATAAGATCTCCAGACAACTCCTATTTATTTTTTAACATATTCATAAATATTCGCATAACATTTTTATCAATATCTTATTTATTCAAGATTTCCTAAAGTTTCTTGACAACAATATTTGGAATTATTTATTCGTTACTTGAAGCACATTCTAAAATTTTTATTAATTTATCCTTAGCTTCATCCAAAGTATTAGCTATAATTTCAAAGATATTTTTTGATAGTTTATACCCCACCTATACCTTCTGATATATGTATTCAATTGCATCAGTATAGTCATCCTATTTATTTTTTATTGCTTTTCCAGCTCTTTCTAATTAAATAGAAGTAAATATATGTTCAGATAATGTATGGTTTGTTTCTGCAATTTCTAAAATATCAAAGCATACATCAGAATCCTTTTCAGAGTTGGATATCTAATCAATATATTTTTACAAAGTTGAATCACCTACCTTTTGTCCATTTCGAATAACTTGTTCTAAAATTTAGAAGAAATCCTTTGGTATTTCTAATTTATTTAATTGGATTTCAAGTGCTGCTACTACATTATTTGGTATTATTTAGTATTTTGTAAGTTCCTTGAGAATTTCAATAACATCCTATTAAGATTAAAGTTCATTAATCAGAATATTTTCAAACATTTTCATAAATTATATGGGTATTTTTTCTTTAATTTTTAGTACATTTTTTAAAATTGTAAGAATATTATTTTAAATTTGTTTATACACTGCATTTTCAACAAAATAATCCAAACTGCAAATTTATGCTAAAAGCTCAATATATTTTAAATCAATTGATCCTTTAGATTAGATTATCAAAATGACCTTTGTATACAGAGACTAATAAATCAACTATTCTTATCTCTTATAATCATCCTTAAGGATGCTAAATAACTACGGGATTAGATTATCACAATTCTCTTTTGAAATCTTCTCGAGTTTATTTAAAATCTTGACTGATAAGAGTTGCAACTCTTTGTCTTGATTATTTATAATTTTTATCAAATTACTAATAGTATTTTCTGACAGCTAAATTTTTGATTTCAGTACTTAATAATAAATGATTTCAGCTACAATATATGATATGCTTTTATATTTTGAATCATTATCTTCTTTGATTCCTTAAGGATTTATCTTATAAGAAAGTAACAATTTATTTGAGAGAAAATCAGAAATCTCTATTTCAATAGGTGGCTAATTTTAATTCATTCTTAATATGGTTCCTAAACTTAAAATGATTAAGTTTTGCAATTACTCTTCAAACTTATCTAATTACTTCATAAGGTCTTTGTATTTAACTTCTTAACGAGTAGGATTACATCTTAGAAAATAAATAATAGATTAGAGTAAGTTAAATTGCAATTATTTTTCATTTTCCTTTTCAGTTGTCTTTAATAACAAATTGAATAATTTTTCAAAATCCTCCTCCTCAATATTTAATTTCAAATGACTTAAGAAATTTTGGACAATTTAGGTCAATTTTTATCTGATAACTATTGTTATTGGTAACTGATCAGTTGCAATTTTGTTAATTATCATTTTAATGTTAGCTCCTGACAATTAGTTTGCTCTTACTTTACACAAACTCTAATTTAGTATATATTCAATTCCTTCAAAATGATTTTTTTCTAATTTATTAATGCAAACCTTCAAAGCATCGTTAGATTATTTTTCATCAATAGTTGAAAGGTAAATCTTTAACGCTTCTTCACGAAAACTAACATTCTCCTCATTCTTTTCTTACAGATCTACAATAAATTAAATTTATTCATGGCTCAAACCATGTTTTTTGTAATTAATAAGATTATAAATTATTTAAAGAGCGCTCACTCTGATTTCCTAGAAATACCTTAACATAACTTTCATAACATCATCAATCACTTATTAATTTTTTTGTTTAAAACAGGTTAGTTGACTATTACCAAATAAACCACTGTGATTGGTAGAAAGTTTAGAATGAAATTCGTTGTAATTAAAAAAAATTTGTAGAATTTTTTTACTCGCCTTTTCAATATCATTCAGATTTTCTCCTTAGAACTCACTTCTGTGGAGTGAATTAACATAAACACTTTCAGATTAATTTTTTAAGAACAAGCCTTTGACCTCATCGATGCCTTTACATAATTAAAAAACCTTCTGAATAGTTTTTTCATTTAATTATTACTTTCGAGATATAATTAGAAAAGTTTCGATTATCATTCGATCACATATAAATTCCCCAAGAATCCCCTATGAAAAATACTTTTGATCTAATAATTTGTTAGGTAAGTATTCATCTTTATCAACATCTTCAATCTACTTATTTTTACATGCGTATTCATATATTTATTTTACAGTCTCATAAGTACTTTTAAATAAAGTAAGTTTTTTAATATCTGTTATTTATGTATTCTCTTCTTCAACTTAAATCTAAGAAGTTAATGCTTAATTGTCATCACAAAAAATGCTTCGAGCCTTCTCTTATTCCTATTCGGAATCCTAAACTCTTTCATGATCAACATGACAATCAACAGTTGCAATTAGTTGATTGTAGCAACCTTTCTACTCTTAAAACAGGTGCTATTATTAATTTGAGGAATTTGATTAAGGAATAAGAGTATATTTCAGCTGATTTATTGATTTTTTTATTTCTACATTAAGATTATTAAAATTTAAAATCTAATTAAAAATCTAATTTAAATCTTCCTCCTTTTACTACCTTCGGTCTAGCATTATGGAAAATACTCTAACAAGCTCAATTAATGAATCATTGTCCCTAACCACATTGAAAACATTAATGAGTCTCTGGATGTTAATTTTTGCTCCCTTCTAGATTGATAGCCTTAAGATTTAACAATATGTCAGTAATTCAATTTAATCTTTAATTTCAAGCTGCAGTTATCCAAGAATGTGATCTAAATACTCATCTGGAAGTGGCATTTCATGTGATACATGCAATAACTCTTTAAGAATACCCTATAGTGATTGTTTGTTTTAATAATATTCTTAGATTTCGCTTAATACCTTCTTCTAATCAAAACTTTTGTAATGGGATAAGGACCTCTTACCATTTTCTTAATTACAAAATTGATTCCTAGAGCTTATTTTGTCTGTATTGATACTTTCTTTTTAAATCATCAACCAAAATTCTATAAATAAGAAATTTAATATTAAAAATTTTAAATTCTTAATATAAATAAAGAAAAAAAACTGTTAAATACATCCAAAAATTTAGAAAATATCAATCCTTTCTAGGAATATTTGAATTTTTTTATAATTCAAAAGTAATTTATTGCAAATCATTATGATAGAAATAACAATCATAATAATTTTATTATATTTTTATACCAATATCTAATAAATTTCAATTATTATTACTCAAATAATCAACAATAATATCATATCAGAATGGGAGTTTACTTTACAAGTTAGTAAATTAAAAAAATTAGTTCAACAAATCATAAAGAATAATTGCAATAAATCAATCCCATCTATAGTTTTATGATCTACCTTCATTCTTGTATTATTGAGCTTCTTCCTACTTTTGCTTTTTTTATTCGAATTCAACTTATGATTATGGTGTCAAACCTCTTTTTTCGTAGTTTTATAATCTACGTTCTGCTGCCTATGCAATTAAATCCTAATGTAAGTAAGAATTGATAAACATTTTGACTGAGTTCACGATTTTATTCACCTCCAATAACTCTTTTTTATTATTCTAATGATATCAAGGAATGATTACTATTTTAGCGATTGAATTACTCATAATCTGTAGGATCCTTAGGTTCAGGTTGAATAAGACATCCCATAATTTAAAATTAATAAAAATAATCAATTTTATTCATGATTTCCTACTTGGACTTCTAGATTGCTGATTCTCAGATGAAGCTCATTTAATTTAATGGCCAGAGCAGTTTTTTCACCCTTTAAATGTGTTAGCTAAGTTTGAATTCTTGAATTTTCTGCCAATTGATATCCAACTTCCCTTTTCATTTCATCATCTAAATGACTTATAGATATAAATGTTATTACATTAATTCATTCTAAAGTGTTTTGAGCATATCTTCAGTTTTGCTGGATAGGATGGCTTCAAATTCATCTTTAAGTTATTTTAAGGATTGATATTCCTTTCTATGAATTTCAACAGAGTCAGCTACTTCATACATAAGGGATTCTAACGCTGAGATCTTACCTTTTAAGGAAGCATTGTTTTACGAATTATCAGTTGAATTAGAAGTAATGCTAAATGAACTATAATGAGTTTTTTACATTTTAATATATAATGTAAATATTCATCTGCTCATTTCTAATGATTTTCATATATCTCATAAATTCCTTTTCTTGAATGGTTCCATCTCCCTCAGGATCATAATGTTAAATATTGTTTTATAATTGATCATCATTCAAATTTCATTGCATTCTGAAGATTATTCTCTTAAGTCATCAATAGTAAAATACCCTTAAGTGAATTACCCTCATAATCTTGATCAACTTAGTAGTAGACATATACAAAATCTTTATCCGTATCTTTTCTTCAGGACGAGTAGAAATCTTACAAACAAACTCTAATACTAGATCATTTGTTTTATTGGTTGATATTTTCCAGGTTATACAACACCAATAAAATTTGAATCTAGATTCCTTTTTATAAAATAATATATCTCTTTATTGTTGTCTAAAGGATATATTCAATTGCATTGATTATGATTTTATACTCTTAAATTATAATAATAATAATAAAACTATATGAAAGAGGAATTGTTGGATTTAATTTATATATAGAACTGATTAGGATTTAATAATTTATTTTATTGTAAATTAGGAGCTGAAATTGAATTTTCTTTTATTGATATTATGATTGTAATAATAATAATAATTATTATTATTATGATATTATTTATTAAATTATTCATCTATCATTCTTCCTCTTTCATATTCATTAATTTAGATTCATCTCCTAAATCAAAATCCTTCAAACTAAAATCACATTTGTTTTATCTTCCCATTTCTGAAGTTACACTCTTAGTAGATGTTATGAACTTCATAAACTTATTTTGTCTGTCCTTCCTCAAGGCTGGTTGTTTAGACTCTTCAATTTGTTTGATTAGTTCATATTTGAGGAAACGAGACTCTTTATTAAATTAAGTCATATTACACTCTTTTTGTCACAATTCATAATGGTTATGCTCTTAATGTGTAGTCGATTATTGGATTCCTCAATGAAACTATCATCATCTAATAATATCTTACTCAATAAGTGATCTGACCAGTATTTCAGAACTGAACGATCTACTTTACTTAATTGGACAATCACAAATTAAGATGTCTTTGTACTGATCATCATTTAATTATGTCAAACTATTAATACTAATTTTATAATACCACTCTTTAAATCCATTATAATATTAAAACAAATCTTTTTCTTACTAACCCAATACCACTATTTAATACCTCAAATGCTCGCACTCGATAATACGTAATGCATTTGTAGTTGCTCATCTCTAAATTTTAAGTGTACACATTTTCGTAACCAACTATTATGATGCTGTAATTATAGTACTTTTAGATAAATTATCATAAACTTATTGCGTATAAGAGGGTTGCAAAGGTATTTTCTCAGGATTGGTATATAAACAAACTCAAATAAGAGATTAGTTAATTACTTACACTCTCTCCTGATTCATTCGATATATCTCCTAATTTTACAGTTATTTTGACATTCAAATATTGTCGAAATATAATTAATTCATTGTTTAGTACATGATCTTCTTTATCTCTTTATAGACAACAAATTCCTTCTTAATTACCCATATGGTATTATTTATATATAATAAATAATAAAAACACATTATAAACAAAATTCATTAGTTAAAATGAATTCTTCTACCCCACTCAAGACTGTCCATTAAATTTTGGAATTATTATTCTGTGATTTCTGTACCGATTTAATTAGACATTGTTCTCTCTTCTAAAATAGTATCTTATGTCAGAATCATGTCATCAGAACTTGCATCTACATGATTTTCCTAATCAAACCATGGATGTAAGGGTATTTCTAATAAATAGAATTAATACCATGGGCAGATAATCTCTAATGAGGATGCGGTTTGAGCAGTCTCTTAATAAGGTCTCTTTGGATTGGATTCAACTTCAAGAATTCTTGGGAATATTGAAATTAAGGGTCTCGCGAAGTAATCTATTCTATAGTTTCACTAATGGTCTCTGCATAAAAGGGTAGAGTTGAACATAACAACTGATAGAGTATGATCCCTATGGACCATACGTCAACTGCAAATTAAAATATGAGGATATACCTTTTTCATCATAGCCTCCTCCTAGAAAGACTTCTGGAGCCTAATATAAGATAGTTCCAGTTGCTGTCCACATTTCAGTAAAGTTGTCTCTGTATTTGAATCGTTTAGAGACTCCAAAATCAATTAATTTTATTTAAATGTTTGGTTCAGTTTAAATCAGAATATTTTCTGGTTTTAAATCTCTGTGTGAGATTCCTCTGGCATGAATTTAAGCAATAACCTAAACTAACTGTTTAATTGTGTCTTGCTTCTATCTGAGAGTGAGGTTGCGATACACTTATTCCAAATTAGGGCTATCACAATATTCTATCACTTGATAATGATGCTTTGTTTATTGGTCAATGAATAAATCGTAAGTTCTGCATACTTAAGGGATGTCTAATAATTGTCTCTACAAATTGAATGTCTGTATGATAGTGTTGACAATCTCTGGATCATCAGTTCTGAAGCATTTCACAGCATAAGCTTGAATGGATTTGGACATTAATGACTTTGTACTTTTCTTTTTAGGAATTTTATAGCATTTTCTAACTACTGAATGTGCCCCTTCACCTATCCTAAATTTTAAAAGTACTACCTATCTTTTCCTATAATACATATGCATCTTTAAATCTTACAGCTGATTGCACCTCTTCCTATTAGACAATTACATTTTCGATGTCCACTGATCTTCTAATCCTCAATCCCTATTTGCCAAACAAAAGAGCCCTCAATTCATTCCGTATATTTTCCTAATGCATTTTAATATTAGCGAATATATATATAAATCCAATTAAATTATTTATGAATCGTCTTACCAATGGCGTGATCGGATTGGCATTAAAAAACTCCTTCTTCTTTAGTACTGCCAAAAAGGCTAAAATGGAATTGACTGTCAGAACTCCATACAAAACTATCATTGACAAGTTTGATGGCTTCTCCAGAATTGTAGCTAAGACCAATGAAGTACTCTCTGTCTCTCTCAAATTTAGGCTGCTCTTATCATATAAAATCGTACTCCTGCTGCAGTTTATATTTTACCACCTGGACCATTGAAAATTAAATTTACTTAAGATGTCAAAGGAGTAACTGGAGATTTCTTGCATTTGGGAGGATATGTGTTTGTCAACCCGTAAGATAATTATTCATTAATCATAGAGATAACACCTGCGAAATCAATTTGTTAGATGTTGTTGATAGAAAAGAAGCAAAAGTCGATCAATTTGATAAAGCTGATGTAAAAGATGCAGATACTGTTGCAGGAAGATATGCAGGAAAAATAAGGAGAGCTGCATAACGTACCTTCATTAAAAAAGCAACAGCATGATTTATAATACATAAATAATTATTTAATGCATTTGAATTGTATGCATTCCAATAATAATACATTATTAATTGATTCTCTAGAATAAATTCATTCTCGAATTGCGTTAATTCATTGACTATCACATTCACATGTAGCCTTATTATTTAAAATCAAATTAACAACAATATGGAGATAAATTTTATTCTTAAAAGTTATGTCCTGTTTTTTCATTCATAGGATTTGAGGTTATTACTAAAATCAAATCAGAAAATCTTTGGGAATGAACTTAGAATCTTATATTCTCAAAAATTCTAGGTTCGATTGAGAATTAATATTATGTGAGAGGGATTATTTAAAATGAATCACAGTAGTATTTTATTAAATGATGATTGATATTTTATATATATTATTTTGAAAAACGAATATTGATGATATTTTGGAATAGATTAATGTCATGGATACCTGTCATAATTCTACTAGGGATCTTAATATTCATATATAGTATATATTTTGTGGTAATTGCTATCTTGAATTATACTAGTACAACATTCAGCCAAATTTTGAAGGATTCACTTTTGGAATAGTAATATAACACTTGATGATATTAATGTTCCTTATATCGATGCTTCGTGCTATGCTTTTAGAACCCGGGGCAATATGCCAAGTAATTTTATGTATAAATATTGAGGACCTTATTGAAGAAACTTGGAGATAATGGGATGAATATTAATAATAAGAGAAAGAGAGGATGACTGAATAAAGACAAAGGAGAAGTCAAAGATCAGTCAAGACTTTTAAAACAGAAAACGATGAAGATAGAAGTGTTGTAAATATGGATGCCGATGAAAATTTAGATGATGATTATAACATCAAAAAGGATATTAATCAAAAAGGATAAGAAAAGAGATTCTGTAAAAAATGTTGCATTCCAAAACCGCTAAGAACTCATCATTGTTCTTAATGCAGATGTTGTTGGTAAAGAATGGACCATCATTGCCAATGGATCAATAATTGTGTAGCCAAAGACAATTATAAGATCTTCGTTTGCATGATCTTTTATGCTAGTAATTTTCCATCATTTTAACAGTAGAGGCTGTCTTTTGGTTTGGGTGTCAATATCTTAATACCGGGTATTCCTTAATGTGATTGAAACTGATATGCCAGATCTTATACTGTTTCTAATTGTGCTCCATTATTATTTCATACTTTTGATTGCAGTCCTTATAACAGGCTTTTTCATATTCCACTTGTATTTGATATCCCAAAACAAGACTACTTTGGAATAGTTGGAGGACAAACCAGACGTACTGCATATTTATTATTGTAGAGATTAAAGTATAATGAAGGAGTGTGGTAAAATTTCAAGTCCATAATGGGTTCAAATATTCTATTATGGTTTTTACCAGTTAAATGATATTATAATATCATCACAACAATTTAAATAAAGAAACTAAGATAAATTAAATTAATGTCATCTTTAGGTGTAAAATCCCAAATCTCTTTCCTGTTATTTTATCAATTTAGTAAGGTTCTACTTTATTTCTAATCTTCTTGATGCGATCGGAGACTTGTCCATAGATTTTTTTGACAATGATTTCAATAAAATTGAAGCAGAACAAGTGCTGATTCCCTTGCCTTGAAAATTAGATGAACTCGGTACAGAATATATAGATTATTAATACTTATTCTTGCTCTAATCGAAGATAATTTCAATACAATACTTAATAAATTTCTAATTGCCCTTTACTTTTTTCTTTTTTTTTCCCCTTCCATTATCTTTCAGTTTAGCAATTCCTCTATGACATAATTTAGTCGTATTAATTTAGTAGTTGTTGAAAATTCATTTTATTCTCAGGAATTTAAGGAATGACCAATTTGGGTATAGTGACATTTTTATTATTAGATTAATTCTCATTAATTTTATTGTTAATTACAGGTTTCTTTGGGGATAATTTCATCAATTATTGATTTGCAAATTTATTTATATCTTTTATTACCTTTAAAATATCCTTGTCGTTTTATTAGTAATATAACTAATGGATAGAATTGGATGTATTAAGATGGTTCATTTATTTAGTTGTAACTGATTTCATTTTTTTAGAAGATACATTACAATTAGAATAAATATTATGTTCTGAAGTTTCCCAGCTTATTATTTTATTTTCATATTCTTCTATTTCAGATGATAAACTATTAAAAATAACAGAAATACTCAATATTTTAAGTAGTATTGAATAATATTCGATATTTATTGGTGGCTGCCACGATGTTAACAGGTTATTTTTGTAATTTTTGCAGTTTATTGTTTCGCTTCTAAAGAATTTGATGTGCTGTCACGATTAACAAATTGGGTATTGGAATCTGAGACACAATTGATTGATTATACGCTATAGTACCTTGAATTAAAGTTTGCGCATTATTTATTTCTACTCCAATTAATCGTAACACTTTGTTAAATATTCATTATCATCATTGAAATATAACAAATCCTTAAATAAGATGACATGATCAATTTGCAAATTGCCTAATATTTCCGATATTGGTTTGGCAAAATAAAAATGAAAGCCATTATAATACCTATTGTATTTGTGAATTGCATACTTCTTCTTTAAATTATCAATTTAGAATTATGATAAAGAACCTTAACATAATCTACATTCTTTATTTTATTTATAATACATAAATTTAATTATTATTATATTCTAATTTAAGTCAATTATCAAAATTTTACTATATAAAACACAGTTCATTTCGTAATCCCATTCGAGAATTTCTAATAAAGTTTCTCAAATCCCTCTTTTCCAAAGAATTTAAATAGCTCCACCAAATCTAATTTTTTATCTGTTTTTCTCATTATTTTTCTAATCTCTTTTTCTTCTATTGGTTTAAGCAAGGCTTATTTAATAATGTCTTCTGCACATCTAACTTTTTACTCCTGAAAATTAAAAAATGAAGAAAGATCAGCTTCATTTTTAGTCAGCAAAGCATCTTGATGGATTGTAACCATTGCCATTATTAGATCTGTGTATCCTAACACAGAACCCTTAATAAAAATGTAATCCCAAAATAGTACGCAATCCAATAGATCAAATAAGTATACAAATCCACTTAGTAAAATCTTACTTATCCAAATTGAAGGGGAGATATCGCATTAGACAAAATGATCATACACTTTTGGCAATCTCACTTGCATTAATTTCATAATGATTTCCTCCATAATAAAAAGCAAAGGCAAATCATCTTAAAATAACAGATTGAACATGTAAAAGGAGGAATCAAGTAATTCAGCAAACACACTCACGGTTTCTTATTCTTAAACTCCTGACACCATCAAAAATAAGGCTAAGAAATAATACATAGTAACATACCTGCTATGTAATTCATACCTTGACAATAGCCTACTTTAGGATATAAATAAGCTAAATTGCTTAGCACATAATCTAATTTGTCTACAACAGCCTCCTCTTTGAATACATCACTAATTAAAGTTCTGTTTATATCTTTCTTAATGCAATAATTTGCTTCACTTATTTGCTTATCCATCTTTTTATGCATTATACCTTTTTGAAAGGTGATAACTTTCCAATATGCCCATCTATACTTTTGTGGAAGACCTCTCAATCCGTAGTATTTAAACTCCTATTTCTCTTGGATGAAAAATCTAAACATATAATATTCATAATCCTATGTTATTAAATGACAATCTTAAAAAAACTATTAAATATTGTCTGGTTTTGAAAGCGAATTTCTATAATTTGAAGAGGTTCTAGTGGGTTCATCATACACTTTAAATGAATTCAGTTTTTCTGCCCACATTTCATCCAATTTAGGATTCTTCCCTACTTGTAAGTATTTACCAATTTCATATTTTTAAGAAAAGGAATTGCCTCTATCAAATGAATTCTTATTCTCTTGTTTATTGAAATCCAATGTCATCCTATACAAATTGTTATCTTGCTTTTCTATTTGAGCACATGATAATTATCCCATTAATTTAAATAATTATTTATAAAAATCTATATATCATCTCTATAATAATAATTAACATTACTAAAAGAAATTGGATGGAATCAAAAAAATTGAGTAAATTTATTGAATTAATTTTTCTGTCTATTGCAGTAAGAACTAAAATCTAATATATCAAAGTGGTTATCCGTGTTAGCCTGCTTAATAAGGACTGACTTTAATTTTCCATTTGCCTTTTTCTTTTATTATCTATGGATATCAAGAGATGACAAAGCTAACTCCTTAATGGTATTCAATCATAGTCTATCTAATGTAGTTGATGGTTTTGAATGGAATCCTAATCTTGGTAGACCTAATTTGGCTATTATCTGTTGGATCCATTTGGACAGCAACAGAGTAAAATAATCCTGTATGGGGACACTTACATGGTCTTCATGTCTTTGTTATATTTATCAGCGTTGTAACGTCATATTGAAAGTATTTTAATCAATTCTATTATTAGGTTGGTGCTATTGCAGCCATTAATTCTTATAGAGGAAATCAGACTCAAGTTAGTAATCTTTATAGTTTAAATTGTAGCTGCTTCAGTATAAAACCCACAATAGAGTGGTGTAAACGACTTTTCTTAAAACAGGCAAGTTCCTTATGGGTTTAATTGACGAAATAAAACATTCGTATTTATATAAACTTCAAATAATTATTTAATTTAACAGCAAAATTGCATAGCAATGTCTTTACAGGGATAGAACAAATTAGTTGGTTCCGATCAACTTTTCTAATTATGTACAGGATTTATTAGGTTTATAGAAGAAGTAAGTAAAATCAATGCATTCTTAGATTTTTTTACCTATTTCCAAGTAAGATACCAAGCAATTTCAATATTGGACCAAGTTTAAGGAAATTATTGATCCAATCAATTAAACCATTGAAGTCTCTAAAATTCCTATATTTTTCTAATCCATTCAAAATCCAAAATGTAACTAAGAAAATTAGGCATCCACTAACACTTAAAAGTTACAATTAAAAAACAATTTAAGTGCCTAAGATAAAATTTGTTCTGTTAATGATAATTAAAATAAATCTTGCGAATTTGAATTGAAATTGAAAGAAATCTCAGAAAAAATTAATAAGACATTCCATTAAAATAATACTCATCTAGATATATTGTTGAAGATGGATGATACAACTTAAGATGCAAAAATAAAATTAGAAATTGGTAACTAAAGAACTACATCCATTAATAGAAGAATAGATTTCAAAAGAAGAAATACAGATTATTATTCATTAAAACCAATAAACATATGACTAATTTTTCAATAATACTTATAAATGCCATCAAATATATTTTCTTGATTACCATTCAAAGATTGTGGACATTTCTAATTAAATTTTGAAATATAATTTATTTTCAACACTCTTGTTATTAATAAATAATTAATAATAATGAATGTAAAAAATTATATATTACGTAAACTGGTTGGTGACTCTTCAAATACATTGACAGTTGAATAGGTTTAGAGAATTCTAGAATCACAAAAGGATGATGATAGGATATTTAGGTAAAATGACATATGCGAAATAGAGCAATTATTAATTCATCATTGTCCAATTAAAAACTACAGACAGGCAATTCTGAATTCCATATCAATTCTTCAACGGATTTTGGTACTCTATTGTTGAACTAATTATAATCCAGTTTAGTAAATATACTAATCCATATCATCATTTTAGTAATCCATAAAATCAAAGAATTAACTTTTATCCATCGACTAGTTTCCTATAGACATCAATTAATTCAATATTGACATTTCACAAACTGATCTAATAAAATAATAACTTTAATACATTTATCGATTATTTAAAGCTACTATTCGACAAAATGGTGATGGTTTAAAAGAAACATAAAATTACCTTGCCAATTTAAATTAAGCAGAGTAAATTATTGAATCTTAATATGCATAATAATGTATCCTGAAAGCACCACAATACATCGAAGGAATAGATTAAATTAATTTATGGTGTGAAAAAAGCAGTACCTTGTATTAGACTGTAATCTCAACTAGATAGTTATTGCAATAGAGTAAGCTCACATCTTTAAAAAAATAATTGTAAATTGTCGAAAAGTACAAATCCATTCAAAGGATAAAATATACTTTGGAAAAGTTAATGATCCTAAAATAGACATTTGGTTAATTAGCTTAGGCTATGAACAAATATGATGATAATGCATATGAAATCATACCAATTATGAAGGAAACGCAAAATAATATTAATAAATATAAATTGAATGAGTTAAAGTTATCATGCATTAGTGATAACTTTTTTGAAAATAAAATAGAATCCTTAAAAGAAAGAATAAAGTCAGGCATCTTAGCAAACTTTATGAAGTTTGATGAAAAAAAATACTATTCCCTTTTGAAAAGCTATTATTTCATTGAAAAACATTATTAAATGTAATCTTATGTAACTCAAATCTGGGGTTTGGCTAAGAAGAGTATCAGCGTAACCTTTAAAAATGCTATTAAATTATTTGAATAATCTTATATTCCACATAAGATCTATCAAAATTGCTAAGATGAGGACTTACTATAATTCTATAAATTACTGTATAGTGAATTGGTAGAACAAATGTTAAATTTCCATTATTGCAATAGGTTTCATCAAGAAAATGATTTTAAAATCGAAGAAGAGGATGGCAACTCTTAATTTGAAGAGTATACTGAATAAATTAGACAATCATACTTAGAAATGAGATAGTTAATTTGGTCATAAATTCAAAAGAAAATTATTAAAATCATAAATGCACATTAGATCAATATAAAATCATTAGTTCTTGAACAGTTAATCTACTTCTTAGGTTATAATTGCTTATTGATAAAAAGGGCTGAAGATTTTAGTCATTCTGATTCACAAAAGTATGAATATCATTATTAATTAGATTAACTAAATGTATCATTGACGTCTATATGAGTTTTGTTTAGTAGTTTCATAAAACAAACCTTAAATCTATAAGCACATATTTACAAAATGAATTGTACTAGAGATTGCCCTTGACAAAGGATTCTAAGTTAATTCAATAATTAGAATAACTCACAAATTTGAATCAAGTCAATACAAAGTTATTTGAATACTTAATTGAAAAAAGGGAAGAAAACTATCATTAAGAAACAAAGAAAACAATTGACTTCCAAGATTTGATTAATAATGATAAAGAGATGCAATTATTTTATTTGTTTGAATACCAAAATCCTTTTGTTTTATAATAGGAGGAATTTGATCTCATTATTAAGGCGATTTGGATAAAAAGATATGCTACTTAATCCACAGGTGTTTTGAATTAAATTGAATCAGTTTTATCATCTTCAAGTATTAGAATTTTGGAATTGCTTCCATAATATGCTCTGCTATCCTTTTATCATCCATCATGTCAACAGCAAATAATCGCTAGTTTTCTTTAACTGCTAGAACTCTATTTGTTTGTTTCATATAATCAATTAGTAGGGATGACATAATAGAAATAATTACTAGAGAATTTTTCATAAATAATAAAGTTTGATGAAAGTAAAGAAATCGAATTCTTTGTCCAAACTTATGATTCATTTAGTGACTGTTTAGTTCTTCAAGAACGATTTTGTTATTTCAAAAGATTCGTATAGAAGTTTTGCAAGGAAGGAATAGACTTCAAAGATATTGATATATTTTCATCCAAAGAGAAGAGATAATTTGTTGACATTGCAGAAAGAGCTATAGCTTCAGAATCCTTAGCGTATTTACTTGCTTAAACCAAATCTGTGTTTTCTCTAATTGGAATAACATCATAAAATTTTGATATTTTTAAAGAAGTCTATAATTAATATAAGGAGTTCATTTATAGGAATTTTGTGCAAACGTATATTAAGATTGATGGAATAGTACAGTATGTACCATAATAAAGGTGGGATCTTAAGGATCTACACAATGAAAATAATAACATATATTTGGACAGGCTGATATAATTTATTGTTGATTAACGAGAAAGATTAAAAAGCATAGGAGGCGGTGTTATACCACCAAATGCTCAAAAGGATATTTTTTCATTCTTAGCAGAGCATTGCTTAAATGTATTATTGGAGACGTATGGGAAGATTAAGAAGGTAACATTTTATGATTAATAAAAGTTAAATTCAATTGGAAGGGATTAAATGGTGTTTGAATATACGACTTGCTGTTAATCAATAGAATCAAGTTAAAAGAATAGTAAAGAAGTTGTGCTTAACCCTAAGATTACTTTAATGCAATTAGAATATTTGAAGGTTTTCAATTCCTAATAATATGAGGAGATTGATCAGTACATTCAAAAATCGAAAGTAGATATATCATTTAAGATTATTATTAGACTTTGATCCCTTTAAGATTGCTGTATAATTTGATGAGTTCAAGTCCAAGTTATAACAAATTATCAAAATAATAGAGGAAGGACATATCAGTCAAATTCTTTAAAGATTATTATGATACATTTAAATTATTTTGAAAATATTTATAAACCAGCAGCAACTGAACATTTAAATCATTATAAATTATTATTAATCATGCTTTAATTTTCTTATATCTGACTTTGATTTGCCAAAGATTCTTATGACAATTGTTATTACTGCAGAGTTTAATTCATTTTGTTAATATCAACTAAACAAATAGAACATCTTCCAACGTTTTTTTGTATTTGCATATGATTCTATATACAATGTTCGTGGAAACAATGTCCACAAAAGATTTCAATAATTATTCCAGTCTAAAATGATTCTAAACAATAAGCACATCTGTCTTATTCAAATTTCATTTCATTTTACTTGATCTGATGGATGAGATTCTAAGACTTTAATCTTTCAAATTCTGACAAGACATTGAAATGCCTTCTTCTATGAGGGAAAATAGGTTCGGGATCTAACCATTCAACAAACCTCCTGCCAAATATCCTTATTAAAATAGTTCTAATCAACGCCATTATAACTATGCTTCCAAGTATCGTTAGCAGAAGTATGATGATAAACTAAAATAGTTATTGCTAATTTTATTAACTTCTATATCTTATAATGAAAATTAATTACAATTTTTGAATACTGATAATTTAATAGAATATCTAAGAGAAATCTATTTCTGCATCCTCTGTGAATTATAAAGTAATTCTAAATTAATTTGCTCTTATCCTATAATAAAGACTCTTGGTTAATTTGCTCAAATTGTAACATAATTTTACATTTATTAAAGAGAATCTATACAAGGAAAGTCATCAAACAGACCAACGGATAAACAAATACTTAGGTCTGCTTTAACCTCAATTTAGGATAAATTTCCTATTCCTATTTATATCAAGAATTCTGGGCCCATTCTTCCTTAAAAATATATTGTACAAAGTTCTCCTTAACCAACCTATGACTTGACATTTTAGAAGATAATTCTAGATTCAGCAGAAACGTAGTATGATTAATTTGGACAATATTTTGGTATTCCACAAATATCGTGATTCTTATATAAATAATTTGTAGCATTATATAGAGGAACTTCCTTAACAATATTACATTTTGGAAAGGTAACATTCGTTTACGGATCCGGATATTCGGATATATTCTTTACTTCTACTTTGCTTCTATCAACTAGTTCGGAGTAATTAAATGGTGCTTTTAACAGTCTGAAACACTGATTTTTTTCTAAATTAAATTAACAACAGTTCTTAAACTCACAAGAATGACACTAAAATTTGAAGCAACATTCATACAGTTGTATAAGAATTACAATGAATTTTTTTGCAATATGTTTATAAGCCGATATCAATTTCCTCATTATCTTCACTTACATTCTCTGTTGTGTTGACGATATTTCCACAAAATAATTCTCTAAATTATTATTACTTCATACATTAATACTAAGGATAACAATAATCTCATTAGAAATATTTATTATTTAGTTTATAATTCAGAATTTATAAATATCTCATTACAATATTTATTATAAATGATAGTGATTTAGTCACTAATTTATCCTTATTAGCTCATTACATTACATTGATGATCATGAATAGAAAAAGTAACTACATAGTAATGTTGAAATTTGATAGGAAGTCATAAATAAAACATCCAATCTATTATATTTAATAAAATGATTTTATTTGAATGTTCTGTTCGATGCTAATTTAATAAGCTTGAGAAAAACAGGAATAAATCATTAGATTTTAACAAAATATTGAATAAACAAATATTAAATTAAGAATAAATAAATGAATTAAAAAGTTTAAGAAATTATGAATCGAAAATATGTTTATTAAGAATTCAATTTCAAATTGATTAAAAAAATAAAAAGGCATGTTTTAAATTATTTTTATATTGAACTTTTTAATAAAACTAAATTTTAAAACATTTTTTATATTTGTATTATCTATTTCAGAAAAAAATTTTTCCTTTTTTTAAATTATTTACTATTTGAATACCTATTCCTTAAAATACAATATATAACTTTATCTTATTTTTGATAAATTATTAGGAATAATTTTATAAATTCAATTAATTAATTTGCTAGGCATCTTTATTTTTTAAACTTATTATAATCCTTTGAATTAGGACATTTTCTATTTTCATTCAGATGATACTTACAATTTAAATTCATTGCACATTAAAAGCATTTCAATATATGAAATTACTGATATTAGCATATTAAAATCTCTATTAAGAAGCATCCCCTTTAAAATATTGTATATGCAGAGTTGACAAATAGCGAATGATGCAAAAATATTAATAAGATTATGGTATTAAGTAAACCAAGATATAATGGGTTTAGAAATAATAATTCTATTTAAGAGTAAAACTATGACTGTCAAAAATTAAACAAATATTAGCAATGAAAATTTAATTTTGGCTAAATATAATTTTTTTACATGATCTTTTAAGTTTAGATTGATAAATTACTTTAGAAATTAAATTTATTAACCAATGGTAAAAATATGATAATAAAATTGTAATATTTTTGGTATAGATGATCATTTAAAAGAATTTGTATTCTTTATGAATTTAAATTTTCGTTATACTAAGAAAACCGCAGATTAGAAAATAGAGTTACCCCTTATTTTGGAGTTGATTAGCAATTTTATTTGAGAATAAGTATGCATTTTTTTTGACATAATATATTAAGTTATAAGTTTATTTTATTATATATCAATATTCAGAATCAGCAATTGAAGAGGACTTAATCTGAATCAATTTTAAAATTTATTAAAGCAGAAATATATTATACACTTCTTGAAGTATATTTAAATAATTAAATTCAAATCATCATTTTCTCTACATTCCTTACTAAATAACACTTATTTGTTGATGTTAGTTGTCAAAGGCTAAATTTTGAGTAGCAAAATAGAAAACATTGTAAATAATAATAACAAACGCTAATAATTGGTGAAATTATTAGTGCCTATCGAAAACATTTTAAAATTTTGAGTCATACATTGTTGTCAAATTTTATAAATGACACTTAAGAGGGTGCTTTATTAATTTATAAACTTAACAATTAATTAAGTATATTCTTAATAGGGTATTTTAGAAATAAATCTATGATAATTCAATCATAATAAATTTAATAATTAATAATTAATAACAAAGATGTATGGCCCTTTTAGTAATATATTATGCACTCTTCATAATAAGCCAATTACAAGGATTCAAACAGGAAAAGAAATAAATTCAGCAGAAAGACTTTTGTGTTCATTATGCAAAGGTCAAGGAGATTCTATTGAACAGCTTCAATTAACTTTAGATTAGCTTCAACAATTATTTAAAGATAGTCATCTCAATTATAAGAATTTTCAATCATAATTATAAAGCTTAAAAATAGAATTAGAAAAAATGATAAATTAATTATTTTTGTACATTTAGAATGTAATTCAATAAAGCGAATTTGAGATTACGAAATTAATCAGATACATTAAATATCAGGAATTTGGTCAAGAATTTACGCTAGAAGATTTAAGGAAGATAGTAGAATTAGTTTACAATAGTGATATAAAAAATAGTGTAATTTATAAAACTACTTAATAATTAAAAGAAATATAATCTAATTATCGAAACTAGTTTATATAGCTTTTTGAAATGCTGATAAAATTGATAAAAGGGGATTCATCAAATAAATAAGAAAGACCAAACATGATACCAAAACCATAGAATCATATACCTAAAAAACTTTTCGAAATAAAAAAAGAGTATGAAACAAGCATGGTTTAAGCAGCTATTTTTAATTAAACTGGTAACCTGCTCTTCTAGGGATAATATCCATTCTGTAATTATAAGAACTTAGAAATTCTCTAGATTGATGAAAATTTAGAATTTAAGCCTTAATCTATTATTGATTATAATAATAATAATGTTGATGTATAAGTTACTGCTTTAGCCATAAATGATAAGTGTAATTAATTATTTGTTGGGTATCAAAATGGCTTAATCTCACTTTATGAAAATGTAGGAAATGGTTGGAATTAAAAGGATCAATAATATTAGCATTAGGATCAGGTTACAACATTGATTGTAGACTTTTCGAATACTGAGTTATTTTCTGGAGGAAAGGATAATTTCATTAAAAGTTACACTTTCAAACAGGGTTTAAAAATATGCAATAAAATGAAATCTTTTAGACAAGAGTTACAAGAATTCTAATTAAATAAAGAATCTAAATATTTGCTTGTTCTAATAGAAAACTAATTACAAATTTTCAATAATAATAAGGAACTTTCTGACTTTTAGTAGATAATTTTGGAAAATGAAGAGAAGATAACTTGCTTAAGTCAAGGAAACAGATAAATATATGTTGGGTCTAATTTAGGAAATATCTATATATATTAATAATAAAAAATTGAAAGCGAATTTAAATATATTGCATTTTCAAAATTAATGTAGAATTCTCTAATTTCAATAAAATATTGTGAAGCAACCAAAATTTTTCTTACCTTATTTGAAGATTAAGTGATTCTCTATTAAATAAATTCTAGTGGCAAGTTAGATAGTTTATAATAAATAAATGGGAAATTTGAACTAAGTGCCATTCATAATAATTAGAACTATTCCAAAATAATTTTGTTTTCTATGAGTAACAATAAAGCCTATATTTATAAAAGAACAAACTAGGTATAATATTGAGTTTAATAAGTTTCATGAAGGAGTAAAACAAATATATTTTTTTTTATTTCCTAGATAAATAAGTTTATTAAATAATTTTCCAGATTTGTTATATTTATATTCAAATTTAAACAAAATTTTATGAATAATTTTGAATGACTACATTATTAGAGTTAATAATTAAATTATTAAAATTATTACAATTTGAAATTAGAATCTTATGGTTTCAAATACCTAATTTTCAATTTAACCGTTAAGTTAACTTATTACCCACCATTTTCATTTTCATAACCTCCTACTTCTTAGAATGACATTAATTATTCTCTTTGACAATCTCTCATAACTTTGAATTCGCTTGATTTTATTCAGTGTTTATGCTGAATGTATTCAAAATTTTCAGAACCTTCATACTATTAATTTAATTAAGATTATGTTTTAAATTATCGAAAATTATTAAGACTTATGTATCTTAAAATTTCCCATTTCTTTTTCAAGAAGATCAATCATTTTTACTCCTACTTTTTAAACATAAGCAGATTGATTTTGTTCAAATTTAAATGATTTATGATTTCTTTGTAATTAAGAAGATCACTCAAATTAATTTTTACTATATAAAAAATTCTAATTATAATATACTCATTATGTCGTCTATTATTTTATGACAATAAATAAAGATGTTAATTTTTAGAAGTTGGATTCTTTGAAAGCAAAGTTATTTAATCGAAAATTTAGAAGGAGTCAATTTTATCCTATCATATTCATTTCAAACTTTAAACTATATATTGCAAGATGATGATATTAAGATTTTGATATGAATCATTCAAGAAGAATATTAAATTATATTGAAAGTACCTGTTATTCTTCATAGGGTAATAATTTATAATAAAAAATTGCATAACAAAAGTAAAATATAATATCACCTTGGTTGTTAATCACATCATTCCATAAAATCTAGGAGTTTCAATATCTAAATTCTTATTCTCTTTTTGACATTCTTCAATTCGTTAATTAGATGATTGAAGGATTTTTTCTTATACTTGATATTGATTGATGAATTCAGTCATAATGAATGGCTTTTTTATCTTCCTTTATGAGCATTATTTGTTATTAACTGATAGCAAGTCAGCCAAATGGTTATTATTATATTTAGGCGATATTCTTAATGATATCTGAGGGTCGATTTAAATATCTTTTTACGATTTACCGTTCGCATTTAGAATATCTTTTAATTTAATAACATCTATGGGATTTACTATTTTTGAATTATTGGAATTAGTGTTTGAATCACGAGAAGAGAATTATCTAAAAGAGGAATTAGATCTAAGCTTCTCAACATTAAGTTATGGATACTCATAAGTTCTTTGACATTGTTGGTCTGTTATTTAAACTAAGCTTTAGTTCTTTTACAACAATTCTGTAAAAAATTGATTATATTTTTATTTCTTCTGCTTGATTGTTGGTTGTAGAGTAGTTTTTGGTGAAGTTTATGGAAGTTAATTGTGCTATGGACTTCTCATTAGATTGCTTTATACTTTATGATAATCTAATTAATAGAAAAATGAAAGATGAATTGCTTAATATATATTTTAAATAAAATTGAATGCAGGCTGAGATTAAAAATATACCATTAAATAATGGAAAATATATCACCCAACAGAGACTAGGAAGTGGTTCCTTTGGAGAGATCTATTTGGTGACCACTTAATAGAATGACATACTAGCAGCCAAATTTGTAATTATGAATTTGAATCTGTTTAGGAAGAAACAAAGTCCAAACATCCTCAGTTAGTTTTTGAAGCTAAAGTTACAAAAGCATTAGCAGGAGGAAGTAGATTTTGTAATAAGCAAAATTAGTTGGCATTCCAGTATTGCATTATTTTGGATAAGAGTCAGGATTGAATGTAATGGTCATTGATTTACTGGGTCCAAATTTGGAAGACTTATTCAATTTATGTCAAAGAAAGTTTTCATTAAAAACAGTCATCATGTTGGCAGATCAAATGATCCAAAGGGTTGAATATATGCATTCCAAAAGCTTCATACATCGAGATATCAAACCAGATAACTTTCTTATAGGATTAGGGAGGAAATCCAATACTGTGGTACATAATCACATAAATAAAATAAGTACATCCTAGATTTTGGTTTGAGTAAGAAATACCGAGATGCTAAGACTCATTAACATATCCCATATAGAGAAAATAAAAATCTTACAGGAACAGCTAGATATGCTAGCATCAACGCACATCTTGGTATAGAACAATCTAGAAGAGATGACTTAGAAGCTATTGGATATGTTATGGTCTATTTACTGAGAAGTTATTTACCTTGGTAAGGAATCAAAGCAAATAATAAATAAGAAAAATATCATAAAATTATGGAAAAGAAAATGACCACTCCTGTTGAAGTCTTGTGCAAGACTTTGCCAAGTAAAATAAAATATCATGTCTTTAGTTGAATTTTCAACCTACTTAAATTATTGTCGATCATTAAGATTTGAAGATAAGCCTGATTATAGTTTTCTCAGAAAAATGTTTAAAGAACTCTTCTAAAAACATGGATATGATTGGGATTATTAATATGATTGGTGTTTGGCTATAAATGGATAAAAGACTAATACATTCAATAATGGTAAAATCACTATTCAAGTTAATTCTAATCAATATGATGCTGATGAAAATCAACCCCCAATTACTATTTAAATTAGTAAATAATTTTATTAATAACTTAGATGAGAAAGTTTAAGATAAATAAGCTGTTGAATCCAAAATAATAGAAAATAATTATTAAAGGGTTTAGAACCCAGATAATGACATAGATTAAACTGAATAAATTGCAAGAAATCTAATGGGAAATGAATAATTCAATAAATAATAAGAACAAATTAAAAAGAATCTTATGGGTGATAGTGAAATTAAATTATCAATCCCTAATAATACTAATTAATAGAATTAGGCACCAATTGAAACAGTTTTCAATCCAAGAGTCGTTATTTAAGTATTTAGTATCAAAAATAAACTAGAAAAAAACTATTTACGAAAGATTGGGACAAAGCATGGCTATCGATTTTACTGTTGATAAGCTATTACAAAAACTATCGAATGATCCAAAACTAAAGAATTTCTTTGTAAAAGCAGACATGAAAAAGCTGAATTCTTAGATGCAAGCCTTTCTCACCATGCTCTTTGGAGGGTATAAATAAATAATGATTTAGACCTTCTAATTATATGGGAAGAGACATGCTAGAAGCACATAGGGGATTAGGAATCGATGATACTCATTTTAATCTTGTGGTCAAACATTTAAGTGACACTCTTGTTAACTTGGCACTTCCATAAGAAATTGTAGCTGAAGTAGTTGAGGTATGTGAATCTCTTAGGGATGATGTACTTGGAAAAGGATGAAATAATATTATATAAATAAATTATTGAAATATGTCTAATCAATAAAGATGTTGCAATTGTGGAGCTAAGGATCATATTGCCAAATTTTGTTATGAAAGAACTAAGAAAGTTCCTGTTACTGTTAAATTGTGTGTTTAAGTCGATAAATCGAATACTAAGGATAAGAAAGAAGAGAAATTGTAAAAAAAAGGAGATGAAATTGTCACAAAAATCTAAAAATAAATACCTCGATCGAAATATGAGGAGGATAAATATATTGGTTAGCATACCTAAATTTGGGGTAGTTACTGGAATGAAGTCTTGGGATGGGGCTTTGCATGTTGCTATTCAAATTAAAAATCTCAAGAATGTTTGGGAGAGAAAGGGAAACGCCAATCCCTCACTAAAGAATATTCCATCAAAAGGCAAATTGAAGAAACTCCTATAGCATAATAGGAGCTTAAATCAGGGCCATTAAATCTAAATGAATTATACAGAAAATCGAACCTTCGAGAAGGTGCTCCAGTTGATGTTATTTACAATTAAAATAATGCTAAAGAATTATGAATTTATTTTCTTATACCAATTGATTGTTGTGTGTTGGGTTTATGTTGAAATTAAATATTTAATTTATAATAATAAAGTCTTACATTTTTAATTTTCTTTTGTTTTTTGAAGTTCTAAAAATTTTCTAGTCTACTTCTTCAAATTCTATTCCACAAACTTCCAAAATATAAAAATGCTTATTTAAATTTTTCTGATTCTTCTGAAATATTGTTTAAGAAGAAAATTTCATTATTTAAAATTTGATATAATGATCAATAAATTCTCATTAAAATTTAAAGATAAGGATTTGGAATCACTATACCAAACATTCATGCTAGAGAAAATATAGTATCCAGTATTTATGGTTTTAGGGATTTTTTCTATCGTGATATTAGGAATCAAGAATATTGATGGCTTGATAAATAATAATCAGAGCCAATTTATACTTAAAATAGTTGGATTTTGCGTATTTCTTGTAGTCAGCATCATCAGCTTTTGCTATAAAAAATTTACTAGAATTGGTTTTTATGTTATCAACCATTTCTTAATGTTATACTAAATAAACTAAAGGGAGAACGTTGTGTAACATACATATCTTTTTGGTTAAAACTAAATGTTTGTACATTCGGTAGTAATGTTAGTGAGTGATTTTCCAGATGGAATAATTACAAACTTCACTTGGACGGTTATTAGAATGACAATCGCCAATACATTAGATACAAATCTGGACTATCAAGATCAAATATACTCGGTTGCAGTTTTCTTTTGTCTTTGTCTTTGTATATACATCAAAAATGTGCATTTACGAAAGGCATATATGTTCTCAATTAGAGACAGTTCATGGGGTATTAATTTATAATAACCTAACTTAAAGAGGTTTTATTACCTTAACTTATATCGAAGCCGACATTCATATTCACTTGCAACGAAGAGAAATAACAGTTTTAGATTTCTAGAATGATTCAAATGCACTTTCTGATGAATGTAGAGAATCCTTTGTTGCACTTCTTAAGAAACACGAGAATAGGTAATAAGACATTAGAATAATATATATGGGACAAGACTAAATAAAGGTAAAATACTTCAATCAGGTACACAATCGAAAACCTCAGCGTTCATTACAACAAGAAATAATAACAAATTACATTCTCTGAGTGCCATTTAGACACAGTCACATTTATACTTGTGATCGACTCAGAAGACAAAGGATTCATTGAATTGAGAAAAAAGCAGTAAAACATTTAGGAACAACATACAAATCAAATTCTGAAGGTGTTTAAAAGTCAGTAAAATATTCTTAGGAAAGGGTTGAAAGAGAAGAGTTTTGATTTATTTTTTGACTTAAACATAGCAATGGTATAAATGATTTAAAGATGCTAATTGAATAAGAGTTGCTTGAAATTAGTAAATCTAACGAATTTGCTCGATTATATAATAAAATAATTTTAGTAAACAGAAAGATTTGAATACGATTTCTAGTGCAATTAAAATATCTTATTGTTAACAATCTAACCTTTATTGATTTCATATTTACTATATTTATTTTAGAACATGAGGCAATTCAACCATATTATGATAGATTTATCCAGAATAAATGGTCAAATATAGCTTCAAATATTGGGATAGATTTAGAAGGAGATGGATTCATTTTATGAAGAGGTAGAAAAAATCTTAATAAAAAAAAAAATATTAATACAACCCTGTAATTATATTTCGTATATCTAGGTACTATATTGATATTCAATGAATCTCCAATGTTATCCTTTAATTCTACTATAATTCCGCAGTGTTATATTTGAAGAAGTGATTCACTATATTATGTATTTATTTAATAATAAATGGATCTGATGTTTAATAAGAATACTGAAAGAAATGATGCAGAATCAAAGAATTCATTTTAAACATTCTCGAAAGAACATTTAATTAACAGAAGTTGGTGGTCTGGTGAAAGCTCGGCCTTGTGAGTATAAATTTGAGATATGCAAAAGATTAGACACAAAAAATATATAGAAAGCATAATTCCATTTTGAAATGCTACTAATGCAAGAAAAATAGCTAAATGAATTTGAGGAGTATTAGTGAATAACCAGAAAAAGCAAAAGCATTGTCAAAACCTATTTCAAAAACTGAGGAAAATAGAAGAAATTTCTGATTGGCATCTTATAATCCACTTCTCAAAAGCTAAAAAGATTACGATGTATCTGAATATCAATATTTTATCACCTAAAATTAAATAGTTCAAAGAATTCAAAGAGAATAACTTTGAATTTATTTTTTTGGGTTTAAATAATATTTGTATGATAAAAACTAGATTTGAAAATCTGAGAGTTTATTATTAGATAATCATAAAAATACTTATATTGTACTCATAAATTATTTGTCTCTTTAGATCATTTAGATCTAAGGTACATTTATTATAGTAAGTAATTGGACAACATTTCATATTTTTTATAAAGGTTAGAAAGTAATTATTCATTACTAGCTATTAGAAATAAATCAATATATAATATGACTTAAATCAAAAATTATATCAAAAACTCATTCAATTACAATAATGGAGAGATTTGATTTTATCATAATATCAAAAGAGAGAGTAAAGTAATTATTAATTTAAGAATGTAAAATTCAAAAGATCTCTCTAACCTGTTTATTCTATTGCTTTGAAAAAATTGTGAAAAAAACAAAAGCATTTATTAATGCAACAAGAAAATTCTTAAAATGAAGTTTATAAACCAAAGTTTTGGGAAAAAGATGCACAATAATGAAGTTAGATGTAACAAATATTTTCAATTTTTTTCATCTAAATTAAATTGGAATGAAAATATATTAGTTTAGAGGGGTGGATAAATTTGATTATAAAAGGCATTGTACTTTGGAAATGAATTCTTTTGTATAATTTTTTCAAGTTTCTCTTACAAAGAGGATTATAAGATAAATGAATATTATAAACTATTAATTTTTCAGTGAGAAATATGCGAAATTCTGCTTTGGGACCAAAATTAACACTGAGTAGAGCCCAGGTGGATGACACAGAAGACATACCTGAGGAACCCGAAGATTTTGATACAATAATAATTGAAAAAAAGAAAATCAAATACAAAGCCATGAGAGAAGATCGATTTGATGCAAAGGGACGATAAATTAAATAAGGAACTGGATATGGAATATAGTTTGATAATTTCATAACGGTGTGCGTTTTTGATCCAAGCGAAGAAGTAGTGTAAATAAAAGACACGTTATCGAATTGCACAAATGGCATTGATCAATCAAAAATTAATCCAAGATTGGATATAAAATATAAAGCTGAAAATGAAGGAGATGAAATCATACTCTTTTCAATCCTTAAAAAATAAAAAAACAAATGATTTGATTTATTAAATATATTTGGTCATTACTTTCTTAAATTAGACTAGCTTATTTCGATAAACTCTCCTGAAGATTTCGAATAAATGACTGGATCTGCAGCTTCAGCCATGCTCTCAATGGCAGATTCATCAGCACCTCTCTTCATTCTATTTATTACTCAATTTGTAAATTACCTAAAATTGCCTTATTCTCCCCATTATTTTCCCCAACTATTCTAAAGTAACCAAAACTTAACTCCATTCTCTTCTCCCCAACCATAACACAAAACAGAATGATCTACTTTTTCCTAATGATACATGATATATTATACCCATTCTGGACGATCAGAACTAGACCATTCATGTTGAGCAACTGAATGATATATACCACTTGAATAATACATAAAGTCTTATCCTGGTTCAAAATTCATAATAACTGGTCCGTTGTTAAACAATTCCAACATGATATCTCTTTCATTACTTAACCCATAACCACCTCCTATATATTTATAATTCTTGGCTCCGTATACTTTAGATGATTAAGAGAAATCAATCTTTTTGCAAGTTCCCACATCTCCCTTGTAAGGATATTGTTCCTCTGTAACTAAATATTATTCAGATGCGAATTTCTCAACCAAGAATGGATACCCACCATCACATCCTTAATTATAGTAATTGCAATCCACTGAATACTAAGGTGATAGTGTGACTTTCTCTCCTTTCATTTTCAATCTGGCTGATAACATTTCCATAGTTGAAATGGCATAACATGATCCACATTGCTTTTATTATCTGGGAGGATCTAGATATCTTTCTAAAGTATAGGTTTTTGGTAGATCTGAAACATCACTAGTTTTTAATTAGGTAAACGAAGCTCTTTTTACAGTTTTGCCTTGATAATGTCTTCTCCTTCCAGCCATTTAATTCAATTCCAACAAACTCTTACCCTCAAAGTGATCGTATGCTTTAGCCTTCCATAATTTTGGAATACTATTCAATTTATCTACTGCTTCTTTATGATTAGTAAAGTCTTTTGTTAATTTAACTCTATCACCATGTCTCGTACTTTTTTAAATGAACTCTGGTTGAACAACACTAATAAGCTTATAAGAATCTGTTGCATCTACATTTCCATCAGCTTTGTAGGCTCTATAGCATCCTTTATCGCCAGTCTTTAAATTATTGTACCAACCAATCAAAGTTTCCCCACATAATGATTTATAATCAACACCATTAGGTTCATATTTAGAAAATGCAAAATATTTAACACCATTGTGTTCAACCTCGAATCCTTCATCATAAACCATAGTCCATGATCCACTTTATCTTCTGTCTTTGTCTGTGACTGTATAATCATTTCCCAATGTTAATTCAAATGAATCTGAAGCACGGAAATCTTCCCAACCAGCCTTATATGAAGAATGCTATGTGTCAGGAACATGATGTCCACAGGGCACTGAACCCATACCTCTCAATTAAACATCAGAAACTTCCATTTTCCATTTGCCCACAATCTAATGTCTTAGACAATGAACAGGTAGATCTGCTTATACTAAAGATATTGCTAATACACTTATCAAAATAAGTTAATTCATCAAATTAATTAAGACAATTAATATTTACTTTATTATAAACTCATTAGTTTTATGCTTCCTCTTATCCCTTTTATGGTTCTGCTTATTCTTATTATTCTTCTTATGTTTATTCTTATTCCTCTTATTCTTATTCTTATTCTTCCTCATCATCTTCATCTGGTTAACCCTATCCATCAAATCCTTAGAAGTTATTGGCATTCCAATCCTCTAATCCTTTGCCTCCTTCTTCAGCCTCATCATCTTCATCGATATATTTGGTCCAGTCAACCTATAGTTTGTTCTAAAGATGCTTATACTTATAAATATTATAATTTATGAGTTTCTTTGATCAACCTAGTCCAATATGAGGCGGCTTAATCTTTTTTACTTAAAATGAATCTCACATTAACACCGTAATTGGTCCATTTGCTTTCCTTACTTCTATGTAATTTAATACTTCAACAATAACTTCAGCAAAGAAATTGATTTCAAATGCATAATTTACACCTTCAGCATTTGCACTAAATTTCAAGGATGTAGATGTCAATTCAACTTTCTCATCTTTTAGGTCTCTTACTTCAACTGTCAAGAAAATGTTGTCTTTTCTCTAAGCCCACTTCACAATTGGATTGCTTTTATTAGTTTCTATATATATACATTGTCTTTTACATCACAAATTAATTATTTTATTTTACATTTTTGCATTAATTTCTCTATTTTCATTCTATTTACAAAGAGGGTTATTGCTATGACAACGAGTATTGGTAATATAACCTCAAAGGAGTGATCATTTTTAGGCCATTTTGTAAATTTCTAAATGATAATTTAAAATAAAAAATAATATCAAACATGTAGAATCCCATGTTGGAAGATCTAAAAAATATAATGAAAGAAGGTTGGCTGGAGAAAGAATCAAGAGTATTTAAATCATGGAGAAAGTATGACCCCTATTTATCCTAGACGATGGTTTGTATTAACTACTACTACCCTATATTCATTTAAGGCAGAGAAATAATATTCAAATCCTACAGAAATTATTTAATTGGCAACTGTTAGCACCATTAAAAGCTGTTAGGAAGAAACTAATAAGGAGAATACATTTGTAAATATTGATTACGCTATACATCAAGAAAATTGATACTCCTGATTAAACCTTTTACCTGCAAGCAAGTAATAATTAAGAGAAGGAGGGTTGGATTGGAGCTGTTGGTAAAGCTATGGTTAAATTAAATTTGAAAAAAAAAAGAAGTGATGATGATGATTGATAATCTGATACAATTTTTTATAGATTTCATAAATATGAATCTATAATTTTTAAGTAATTTGTTTAAAATAGTTTCATTATTTTAATCTTCTTCATTTCTTGATCTTTCTATTTTTATAACCACAATTTGAATGTAAATTCTTTGTACATCAAACAATCAAAATATGGTACTACTGTCATTTGATTTTTATATAACTCATTAATGCTATTTTAAGGGATATATTATTAACAGATCTCATCTCCAAATACAACCTCTGTAGATGCAGTGAAGTCTGTTAATTTACATTTTAGATAACAAAATATCTTCGGGAGTATTACAATGTGTTTAATTCCATTCTATCCAGAACATTCATAAACATCGTTATTTTGGACTAATTTGGTAAAATTGCATTAAGGACACTATTAAGATAATCTGGCTATCAATATTTCTGAAATCATTGCTCTACAATATTAATAGGGTAATTCTTCTGATAGACTACATTGTAATTTTATAATGTCTGTAATCGATTTAACTTCTTGATTGTATGTAAAACTCTGATATTCAATACCCTCAATAATTAATTATTTTTAGATTTTTCTCCTCTGTTTATTTGAGAGATTTTTATTTGGAACATTAGTAAAAACTTTGGTGTGAAATGAAGTTTTAAATTCTTGTTTACTTTGGTCATAAAAGATATTGTCTATCCGAATTGTTTGACCAATCTTATAATCGCTTATTTGATTATTCCATAATGTTATTTTTCCAGAATTCGATTCATCTGATATTCTAAGGTCTTAGAGTTTCACATTGCCCTTTTAATATCTGACTTCAAACAATTCATCAATTTACACTAATACATTAAATCTATTTTTGTGCATTTTGCCTTCCAACAAAGGGGTAATGTCATCCATCAATTCATTTCTATCAATTCCTTTCTTAAGACTTTCAGATAATACACATTTTTAATTATCATTTTCAGAGGGTTTTTAGTTTATTTTAATTTTTAAAGGGTTTTTTTTCTAAACATTGATTGAAACATCTTATTCTAATTCATTTAATGATAACGATAAGGGTTTAGAGAAGGGTTATTTTAATAATGCAATTTATTCAGCAAAATCAATATCATCATCTGGCAAAACTCTAATCTGAGTATTATGTTCGCTGGCAATAATTTTATTATTTATAAATTGTAAATTGCTAATAAAAATTAAAGCCTATTCAGAGATATAAATCTTTTAACACAATCGATCGCCTATCAATTCTATTGTTTAGCTATTATTATTATCACTCGTAACTATAATTTGCTTAATGCATTTTTGTGTTTTCATTTAAAATATTGGTGGCTTATCTTTCAATATTTTTACTACAGTATTGAAAATAGGATAATTGATAGGTTAATGAATATCACTTAAAAAAACTGGTTATTGAATTACCTCTTCAATTTGGATTTCTTGATTGTTAGGTTATAGCCAATTGTGTTTTTTATCCATTATCAATTTAATAATGTCCTGATATTTCTCGTCTTCTTAAGTATAAACCTTAAATCTAGTTCTCAAAGATTTTAACTCAATTACATCAGTGTATACTTTTAATAACACACCTTCAAAAACATACACATCACCAACCTTAAAACTCAATAATTTATGTTGATCCCATAAGATTAATGGTATCTTGTAGTACTCTGTGTTACTGTCAATTGGCAGAGTGTATATAATTAGTTTTTTATTCTATTATCTTAATTCACCTATTTCTGCAACCATACCTGCAACTACAATTTCTTCACCATTCTTTAAATTATAACTCAATGCACTTTATAATTGTTCCAAGACAGGTACTTAAGCATATTATTTAAACTATGTTGTTGATGTGACTTTGATCTCGTAATTCTACTTATATTGATGCATCTCCATCTCACTTATATCGTAAATAGTTTGAACTTAAAGGTTCTCATAATAAAACTAAAATTTCTCCTTTATTCTATTCTTAGTAAAGAATACTGAACACATTCCACTATCATCCCTAAATTAGAGACTATAATCTCCAATTACTTATAGTTATTCTCTTTCTATTATTGGTTTATTAAATAGCTTTGCTCTTATGGTGAACTATGTTCTGCCTAAAGGGTATTATTTTAAATCTGCTAAAGGAACAATCAGTTAAGCTTCTTAAATTTCCTCCACAAATAATTCTTATTCAGGTTTTTAATCACTCAATAATTAGAATTAAGTTATAAATCTTACCTCATCTATTTAAGTCTATTCTCTAACTCTATTAATTGATTGTCTTTGAATTAAATCAATCGGCTCTTCTTCAAATTACTATTCAGAAGCCTCTATTGTATTGCTTAATAATTCATCAACTACATGCAAAGGTAAAAGCAATTAAACTGAAAACATCCTTATAAATTATTGGATTTTGTGTTCATTACCTTAATTCATATTCTTTTTAATGAATTATTCTAACTTTATTCAAAAACATTATACATACCTATTTGACTATATCAACATCCATTATGATATTGCCTTCGCCTCCATTCTTTTAAAATTCTTAAGGCAAATAAATTGGTTGAACCTAAAATTCTTTGAACTTCTTTTCAATATAACCTTTATACATAATTAAATATATAAATTTATATTTAAAAAAAAGAGGGTATTTTCTTATATTTTATAAAATCAATAAGAACCAAAATAAAAGACTCTTCTAATTTATCAACATTTAGTATACTATCACTTACAATACAATTTTTTTATGATTTTAAGGATAAAATCTGCTTATATTAATTAATTAAATTAAATTTTACTTTATTAAGGTAAATGATGCTTTTAACTTTCAAATATTAAGTTTGTATTAAAATGTCTCTCACATGTTTAAGTTTCTGGGCTCTTGGATTGGGAATAGGGAGTTTCAATCGTCATATTTTCTATTTTTTGGAAGATTATTTCTTTAGGCTTCCAAAGTATCTATACTTAAGTGTTATTATGAATTGGCATGTTTTTCTTTTGCTTTCTTCTAAATTGTACAATCCATATGTTATCTAAATTTAAATAACAAATTATTAGGATGAATCTTAAAAATTAATAAATCAAAATAATGGCTCTTTTATGACCTATTTTGGGCCATATCAATTATCTGGTTTTTCCATATCTCCTTCTCTGACAAAAGAAAGATGAATAATATAAAAAGATGATATATCTAAATAAAATGAATTATAATTTTTATGAAACAATAATTATATCTTAAATACTTTTTGTAATTTATTCATTCAACAATAAGTTTCTTGGGGTATTTTTATAATATTTTTTCAATGGCTTAAACTACAACTGGGTGATAAAAGGTCTTATTCTCATCAAACCAATCATAAGCTTGTTTACTTTAATATATATTTATATTTACTTGTAATTCTAACCCAACAAATCGTATAGTACTTTTAAGTAACTTGATACTCCTACCTTAGATACAAAATCATGAACTCCTTCAAGGGCCTAATCGTATTTGACCAATAAAACAAGCCTATACCATTTATATACAGTCTTCTAATCCTTATAAAATGTGAGTTTATATTATTCATCCATTTTTGTCATTACTGAAGCTTCAACATCCTTATAGTTATCAATTAAATATTGGAGGAAGACACTCTTTTGATTTGGTTTGTATTATTGAAAATCATTTGCCTTATCTGGAACCTATCCTTTTCCATCAATCCATGCTTTCGCTAAGTTATTTGCTTCAGTGAACAATGGAGTTGATACATCAATAGTGATTGGTGCTAGACCTGGAGTATAAACCCATTTTTTCCATACTTTTTAAATTTCTTCTATAATCCTTTAAGCTTCTTCTTATTTGTTTTTCCTAACCCAATTTAATAAAAATTGATAAAGCTAATCTTCATCAATACTCTAAAATTTGAAATTCTCAATGTAATCTCTTAAGAATTATTAAAATGGATCTTCTTTAATTAAACTTTCCAAATATGTTAATAATTAATATCCTTTCTCATATGGAACACGACTAGTGGCTTCATCAGGATTTCTATTTGTAGTATTTGGATGCATACTAGAGAATGAGTTATCTAAACCAAAAGTTTACATTGATGTAAATGCACTAGAATTACCATTAATTGCATCTAATTTGACAGAATCCAATCCATTCAATCTAGATAAGATCTTTCTTTCTAAAAATACACAAAATCCTTCGTTAATCCAAAAGTTTGCCCAATTTCTTCCTGTAACTGTATTTCCAACCCAAGAATGAGCAATTTCATGAATGGCAGTACCTACTCCACTCTTATCACCTACTATAATAGTTGGACTTGCGAAGGTTAACAAAGGATGTTCCATACCTCCAAATGGGAATGAAGCTGGCAAAATCACAATTTTATAATCTCCCCAAATATATGGTCCTATATATTCTTACATTTTCTTCATGTAGACTGGCAAATCAGACAGCTCTTCAGCATATTCATCTATGAAATGAGGTTCTGCAATCACATATGTCCCATTTCCTGTGGATTTTTCAACTACTTCACCTGCTATTATTCCAATTAAGTATGCGGGAATCTTGATATCCAATTCAAATTGATAGAGTGTTAGTGCCTACAAATTTTCATAATTATTGAGCAATTTGAATTTCATATTATACAATTTATTCCCTGTTATAAATACATTGATACGAGGATCTTTCACCAAAACCGTTGCTGTAAAGAATACTTTGATGCTTGGTGTATCTTATAAAGGTATTATGGACCTACAATTGTTATCTTCACATTGGGAAAATAGATATGGAACTGATTTGCTATAGGTTTATTCTTTAGTTAAAAATCCTAATGCTCTTGCTCCTTTTGAATCCAAATTATATTTTATGTTTAACTTAATATATTCTCCTCTAGTATAGACTCTATCTAATTGTATCGAGAGAACATCTCCTTACAAAAGTGATTGATCTCCTTTTTTAATTATTTCATGTTATAAAACATTTCCTGAAGATGACAAATACACAGCTATGATACTTAATTGATATATATCCAAGTTAATCTTAATCATAATGAGACTTCAATACTTTTTTTAGTGTATTGCAATTAACCCTGAAAATTGATTAACTCGTAGCATTTATATATTGTTCGTCCAAATCAAGAAGCCATTCAATATGGACATGCTCTTGACTCACTTCTATGTAATTACTAAACGTATTAACATCTATTTCTGCTCCAATAGCTGAGGCTATGCAAAGGAGTATATAAATCATGAATTAATTAATTACATCATTGTTTAATTACTATTATATTAATATAAATTTTATATTATGCATTAATAATTAGAGTTAGATTCAACTGAAATTCAAAATATAACCCTTATTTCAGTCTTTTGTCTTTGATAGCATTTAGTAATTAAGGAAGATAATAAATGTATTAAATATTAGATTCTTAAAGTTGTAGGAATCATAGTTACTATTAGTGACTCATGGTAGTAGTTAAGTTGAAGTTATGAAAGAGTTTATGAAAATTTAATTAAACATTTTATCATTTAGCAATTGATTAATTTTAATTATAAAATGAGCAGAAATATTAGAGTACTTGATATCAAGAATGTGGCAAAATAAAGGCTCTCTATTAAGGCTCCAGTTCAGATTCGAAAATTTGATTTGTCGAGAATTAGAGAATAGGAATTGGAGTTTAAAAGTTTGGTTGACTCATTTGAATCTGATCAGAGGTACTAGATTTCAAATAATGAAGCATTAATTCTCCGATAAATGGATCATTTGTTTTGAAATCTCAACGTTCATTGTCTAAAAAGAAATATGTAAATTCCAAGGAAGAGTAAAATATATATGGATTAAAAATATTGACGAATTAGCGTTCTTCTTAAAAGCAATTCGATAGTCGAAGGTCGAGCACAGATATAATTTATTTGGAACAATAATAAGAAAAGAGTAATTTGGAATGGTTAGAGCATTGCAAAGAAATTGAACCTCCATAGGCGAAATGCCAGTTTTTCCATTAAAAATCAAAGTATTTAGAATTATAAGTAGATAGTCAATATTTTTGGGAGGATGTTGTAATATTGGATCTTGACATTCAACAAAATAAGTTTATAGTTTAAAAGTATCCTGGTGGTCAAATTAAGAAAGTGGATAGACTCTCTCTCTAATTTGTAAATTAAAACTAAGAAATATATTAAAAAGTTTAGCAATGCAAGTAACACAATGAATATATAAAAGTTAATAGAGGTAATTACTAAAGAAGATAGAACATAAGAAATTATAATAAATTATGTCTGTGCATAGTACTGAAGTTTCATAATTCCCTAAAACCTTGAGATAAAAGTTATTCAAGAAATATATCAACGCTTCTATGACTACATCTCTGCTGGATGAAATATCAAATGAATATATTGTGGCTATGAAGAAATGCGCAGTAGGCAATTTTGATAACAAATATAAATTTACACCATAAGATAGGTATCAATTTTATACTTCTAATCGAAAACAACTCAAAAAATTGGTACACTTTTACAAAAAGTCAGCAATATGTGCTGTGTAGAATATGATTTAAAGAGTTGAGGATTATACAGTATATACCTATGATTTTAGATTGATTCATTTACCTTTAAAATTGGAGGAATTTAATCATCATATTGATTAACAAGTTGCACTCTAACTTAACGAATTCAAAAATTAAAGATTATTTATGCTCTCCAACATACAAGATTGTTTGTCGAAAGAACATAGTTTTGTAACCACATAGTTAGATCAGTTCAAAGGAGGACAACTTGATAAATTACTTACGAAAATTAATTATATCTATCTAACCTTTCTAAAGAAGTAGATCGAAAAAGAATACTATGTTTTGAAGTTGTTCTTAAAACAATATACATATGATGATAAGAATGAAATCAAAATCGAATTAAGCACCCTTCTTGAACTAAGTGTCAAAATTATTATACCTAAGGGTGGTAAAATGTCTAGGAAGGACATTCGTCTTTCGAATGTTCAGATGATTAAACAGAATGATCCAATTATTTATATCTAATACTCTTTAAACGATATTATAGAATAATTATTAAAACCCTGTAGGTCATTGTTGACATTTGTGCAAAAGTTCTAAACTATTAGAAGTGAATTGATGACTTTGTTATTATTAAAAGAAACACTTAAAGATATATTCGATCAAAAATAAATTCATGATTTAGAAGAAGAAATTATACAGATAATAACGATGGAATATTAAAAATGTTACAATTTAGTAGAACGATTCTAAAAATTTAAGAAATTTTTGATTCCATTAAAATCGAAGGAAATTGCTGAAATTTTAGGAATTGAGCCCAAAGAAAAATCAATAACTTCAATTAATAAACAATCAATTGTGTTGAGATTGCAACAATCAAAAAGTGCGCTTTTGGAAATTGATCATTTGTGTAATACTCGAAGTAGATTGGGATTATTTTCAGTTAATTTAAATGATCTAAAATTTATATTGAAGGAGAAAGTTCAAGATCAGGCTAATCAAATAACAAATGTATGAATTCATATCTTTAGTAGAAAATAATTGATTTGATCAAATATAATACTGCAAATATAAAGCAGTAGTTTGATGAGATACAATCGAAGAGTTCCACCTTACCAAACACAGAGGAGAAGTTAGTTGAATTGAAATTGCTGTTAGGAGAGTTGAAAATGGAGTTTTCAAGAAAGAAAGTAGAGATATTATAGATGTATAACTATTTGATTTTATAATTAGAGGATAAATGTTGGAAGTATTAAATATGTTTTATGTTCCTTTTGATTTCAATTTAATGGTCGACTTCTTTTACTTGAAATATTGGCCATAAGATATCACAGAATTGGTGCAAATGAACAAAAATATGATTGAAAAACAGGAGAAACAATTCTTGCAGAAACTTTAAGCCGAGAAGTATGAGTTTGAAGAACATATCTACAAGATTTCAGAATTATTTACTGAGATTAAGACATTTCATTCTTATGAGGAGGTTAAGCATAAATTACCTGCTGTGAGGTAGCTTAATTTATATTTTGATAATGCAAAAGAAATGACACACTCATTTCATTAGAGAGAGGGGTTGTTTGGTTTACCTAATTCCACTTATCCCCAATTAGACTTATTAATTAGTGAGTTTCAACCATATCAAAAGTTATGGGAATTGGCGAGTAATTTTGAGTAGTAAAAAGATCAATGGTTATATGGATCATTTAAGAAATTGAATTCTTAGGACATTTAAATAAAAATAAATGATTATGTCAACTAAACGATCAAGATGACTCAATATTTCAAGGATGTCAATAATGAATATGCTCAATAATTTCTTAGAGGTCTCAGAGCAGCCATGGAGAGATCAAAAGAATTCATTTGGATTATCGAAGCCCTTGTTATAGAGGCATTTTAAAAAAAGCCTTCTTTTTGGAGAGACCTGTTTAGAGAATGCCATATAGCAAACTTCGATCCAAAGGAAGATTTTCCCTTGTAAATTCTGATCACAAGAGGAATCCTGAATGTAAAGGAGCAAGTGCTGGCAGTCTCTTAGAGAGCAGAGAAAGGATGGAACATCGAGAAGAGACTAAATGAAATGTAGGATAAATTATCAGTAATTGTGATTGAGATTGTACCTTATAAAGATACATACATATTTAAAAATTACGAGGAGGTTTAGATGCTATTGGATGAATAATTAAATGTTTTAGGCATATTAAAGGCTTAGCCCCATGTGAAGATGGTGTTGAGTAAGGCCAATCAATTGGAGTATAAGACAGTGCTGATATAGGATACCTTGGAGTATGGTATGAAATGTCAGAAACATTGGATTTATTTGGATCCCATATTTACTAGTGAGGACATCAAGAAGAAATTGGCAAAAGAGGCTTAATTTTTTAGGAATGTTGATCAATCATTTAAGATGTGCATGGAAAACTTTAATCAGAATAGGAAGATATGGGAATGTATAGATTCTGAGAAGATGAAAGTAGAGTTCAGCAATAATGTATTAATGCTTGATCAGATTTAAAAAAGTTTAACCATTTATTTAGAATCAAAGAGAGTGCTCTTCCCAAGATTCTATTTTGTTTCTGATGAAGAATTAGTTGAGATACTGGCACAAACGAAAGAGCCTGTGTAGGTGCAAAGACATATCTATAAATGTTTTGAGTCCATATAGGAGTTGAAGTTCGAGAAGTATTCTTTGATTACAGGATTCTATTCATCATTGAAGGAGTGTGTGCCTTTGGAATAGGCGATTAATGTAGCATAGGATGATAAATCGGGCAATGTGGAATTATGGTTGTAAGATTTAGAGACACAAATGAAAAGTTCCATCTCAAGGATATCAAATAGAACTTTGAAGGATTTGAATTGCACAAAGTAAGAATTCATTACAAAATGGCCAACTTAATCTATATTATTGGCCAATTAGATTAAATGGACTAGAAGCACAGAAACTGCTATCCGACAATAACAAAAAATGAATCTAAAATTATATTTGAGTATATTGCACAAAGAACTTTAAGACACTGTGTTATTAGTCAGATCAGATCAAAACAAATTACAAACAGCTACCTTAGAAGCTATGGTCGTGATTGAAGTACATCAGAAAGACATTGTAGATACTTTGTATAAGAAGAATGTTTAAGATGCTAATGAGTTTGTTTGGATTTCACAGATGAGATTTTATAATGAAATCGTGGAATAGGAATTTGTGGTTAATGTCAAGATGGTCAACTCGGTATTGTAATACGGTTTTGAATATTTGGGTAATCTAACTAGATTGGTGATAACGAAACTGACTGATAGATGTCAAAGAACTCTGTTGAGTGCATTAAACATGAATTATGGAGGAGCTCCTGAAGGACCAGCTGGAACAGGGAAGACAGAAACTGTGAAGGATTTAGCAAAAGCAATTGGAATGCCTTGTATTGTGTTTAATTGTTCTGAAGGATTAAATTACATAGCCATGGGTAAGTTTTTCAAAGGATTGGCTTCTTCAGGATCCTGGTGTTGTTTCGATGAGTTCAATAGGTTGGATCCGGAAGTGTTGTCAGTGGTTGCTCAATAGATATACACAATATTTTAGGCAGTAAAGGAAAAGAGGAAGCAATTCAATTTCGAAGGAGTTCACATTAATTTAACTTTGACTGTGTCTATCAACATTACGATGAATCCAGGTTATGCAGGGAGATCTGAGTTACCAGATAATCTGTAGATCTTGTTTAGACCATGCGCTATGGTGGTGCCAGATTATGCTATGATAGCTGAAATTTATTTGTACAGTACAGGATTTGAGAAGGCCAGAGAATTGAGTCAGAAGATAGTCACATGTTTGAGATTGTGCAATGAATAATTATCGTCTTAGGAACATTATGATTTTGGTATGAGAGCTCTCAAGGCTATACTGAGTGCAGCCAAGAATATGTACGAAGGGTATGAAGAGGAAATATGTTTGACAGCAATCATCAATGTAAATAAACCCAAATTTATACCCAACGATGTGGATCTCTTTATGGCAATTACAAAGGATTTGTTTCCTGATATCAAACCAATTGAATCCAATCAATTGGAATTAGAAGAAGCATGTGCAGAGTTGAATTGTCAAATGGATAAATTGTTCTTATCGAAAATCGAGGAATTGCAAAACAACATCAATGTCAGAAATGGAGTTATGTGTATTGGTGAGACGTTCTCGGGTAAAACAACCACGATTTAAGTTCTGGCCAAAGCTCTCAATTGTTAAATCTTTAAGCTCAACCCAAAATCTATTAACACTGATTAGTTATATGGGTTCTTGGATCCTGATACTCGACAATGGTCTGATGGAGTGGCTCCCATTTTAATTAGAGAAAACATTGAGAAACCCCAAAGGATTTGGATTCATTTTGATGGTCCTGTGGATTCACTTTGGATCGAGAACTTAAACACTGTGTTGGATGACAATCAGAAATTATGTTTAACTTCTGGTGAAATATTGAAAATCCCAACTACAATGTGCATGGTCTTTGAAGTTGAAGATCTATCTGCAGCCTCTCCTGCCACAGTATCTAGATGTGGTATGATATATTACATTCCATTCAAGTGGCCATCCTTAATTGCCTCACTGTAATTGCCAAATGGTTTCGATCTAGATTATTTTATTAGACGGATGAGATTGTAATATGATATTTAATATGTAGTTTGATCGATCATACCCTAGCATGGACAAAGTTGCATGTCAAATTCCCTGTTATGTACATAGAAACTATCCTTGTTTCCAATTTTATAAATCTCACTAAGAAATGTTTGACCTTCCTTGGTGATGAAGAGAAGACTCCAAATAACATGGACAACATGATGATCTTCGCTTTGGTTTGGTCTGTGGGAGCAGCCATGGATGAGATCTATCGGCCTCAATTCAGTAAATTCATCAATCAATTAATCAAAACTAATAAATCTGATTTGTAGACCATCTATTAAGATGAAGCCACCTTCTAGTTTCCCAACAATGATGGCATTGATTATTTCTTACATTGTTTTTCCAATGGAAAGTGGGTCAAATGGATCAATGTAATCCCATTTTATCTATTAACTAGCTTAGCAATAAAAAGTAGATCAATCCTGAAATGCAATTCCATCAAATAGTAGTCCAAACGCAATCCTCTATTCGCAATGATTATTTGGCTACTATAGGTCTCCATATGCTTTATTGTGGACCAACGGGAACTGGAAAAACACTATCGATGGCAGCAAAATCAGGATTTCAAATTGTGTGTTCTGGTTCAACTACAGGCAACTCTATCTAGCGATTGATCGAGACCAAGATCAATAAGAGAAGGAGGAAGGGTTATTATGCATCAGAGGAAGGTCACATCTTTATATTCATAGATGATCTAAATATGCCTTATCGAGAACCTGAAGGTGCTTAGCCTGCCATAGAGCTGCTAAGACAATGGATGGAGATGGGGGGGTGGTATGACTTAGACAATAAGGAATTTAAATACATGTGTGATATCACATTCCTTGGAGCCATGCAACCAAATGTAAGTGGAAGGAATCAGGTGACAAAGAGATTTCTGAGATTCTTCAATATTCTCTATATTGGGGGTTTTGACAACGAAAGCATGACGAATATGTTGGAAGTGTTTATCTATTGGTTGTCAATCAAGATAGAGAATGGAGTGGAGTTCTTGAATATCAAGGACTAGATTATAGTGACCACGCTGTTCTTATTCGAGAAGGTGCAAACCAAATTGTTGCCCACTCCCTCGAAATCGCATTACATATACACAGTCAGAGACATTTTCAAGATATTTTAGGGAATGAGCAAAGTGCACAAGATCATTAATTAATAGTACTTGGTTAAATTATGGAGTCATGAATGTGCTAGGATATTTAGTGATAGATTGGTAGACATGAATGATATCAAGATTTACAATGATATCATGAAGGAATCACTGCAGCAATTGTACCCTGAACATCTTCAACATAATCTATTCCTCCCGTTCTTCAACAACTAATATGAGGAGGCGCCTTTGATGCATCGAGTATTGGACAAGGTTAAATGGTACTTAGAACAATATAACTATCAATAATAACAATACAAAATGGAATTGATACTCTTTACTAATGCTATTTTACATGTGGCCAGGATCTCTAGGATATTGTTGAGTGGACATGCATTGCTAATTGGCATGGGTGGAAGTGGCAGAAGTAAGACAAACATCACTATATTTTAGCCTCCTTATCAAAGTTGGCTAATTTCATATTGTTTTAGCAATCAGCAGAAACAATTGATTCTAAACAGTGGGATGAAAATCTGTTGTCAGTGCTCAAAGACTCAGGAATGGAAAATAAAATAATTACACTAATATTTTAGGAATCTCAATTTCATTAGGATTACATGTTGGAAGACATTTGCAATATCATGACTCACGGTGAGGTGTCTCATCTCTTCCCTCCCGAGGAAAGAATCAAAGTCTAAGAAGAATTGCCGTATTCCTAATTTATCAAAAATTGTAAACACAACATGCATATCATATTGTGCATGTAACCAATAGGGGAGACTATACGTAAACGGTTACGCTCATTCCCAGCCATTATTAATAGTACAACCATCGATTGGTTCATGAGCTGGTCAGATGAAGCCTTAGAATCCACTGCTTTTGGATTTCTCAAACAGAATGCTTTGGTTAAGGTGGCTGTGGATATTCATCACAAAGTACTCGATCTCACTGATAAGTACAAAGAGGAGATGAGAAGATACTTTTATGTGACTCCCACCCAGTATCTCTAAATGCTGAAGATCTATCAGAAGATCTATGAGGAAAGAGTATTACGATCCAGGAAGGCCATTGACAGAATGGAAACAGGAATTGAAAAGATTTTGCACACTGAGTAGGAAGTAGATAAGATCAGGAATATGCTGTTTGAATTGCAACCTCAATTAGAGAAGGCTACGAATGATAATCAGATTCTCCTAAAGAAGATTAAGAAGCGATAGCAAGATGCAGATTAAAAGAGAATGGTTTGTGAACAGGACGAGAAAGAATGTAGTGTATAAAGAGAAGAAGCCAATTCTTTGAGGAATCTATGTTAGACCTAATTAAATAATGTGATTCCTCTGCTTAAGTAAGCTACAGATGCGTTGGAGAAGATTTCAAGGGAAGACATGATTCTATTGAAATCTTTTATCTACCCTCCTCCTTCCGCAGCTATTGTAATGGAGGGACTCTGCTATGCATTCGAGATCGACGATCAAGTTTAATCCAAGAACAAAGATCCCCCAACTATTCAAGACTTCTGGGACTTCGCAAAAAAGAATCTATTGAATGATAAACTAATCAAAAGAATCAAGAAGATGAAATTAGAAGAAATCAGAGCCATCAATATCGTCAATATTGAAAAACTAGAAGTCTTCTCCTAAAATCCACTATTCGAACGAGACAAAGTATTTAATGCCTCTACAGCTGCAGGCAACCTCTCTGATTGGATCCGAGCTGTTCTCAATAGCTACTAAGCAGTCGAAATTATTGAGCCTAAGAAGTAGCAATTGGCAGAAGCAGAAATTAGATTGAAAGATGCAGAAGAGAAACTAGGCATCAAAAGGTCTGCTTTGGATGAAGTCATGATTGAATTGAAGAGATTGTCTAATGAGTATCAAAAGGCTAGAATTGAAAAAGAGTAAATCGAACAAAAAGTTGAAAGTATCACTATACAGTTGCAAAGGGCAGAAAAATTGACCAATAATCTCTCAGATGAAAAAGTTAGGTGGAAAAAGAAAACTCAGAAAATTAAAGCAGAATAAAACACTCTTGAAGGAGATAGCATTCTATGTTCAGCCTTAATATCTTATATGGGAGTATTTCCTATTCAATATAGAGAAAATGCAATACAATTATGGTAGATGAAATTGTTATAAGAGGGCATTCAATCTTCCTCGCCATTCCAATTGTAAAAACAGTTGAGTGATCCATTGTAGATTAATAAATGGCTACAATAGAAATTGCCGAATGATCAATTCTCTATTGATAATGCGATCATCATGAAATAGTCATCTAAATGGCCTTTGATTATTGATCCTTAATTGTAAGCAAATCAGTGGATTAGAAATATGGAAGACAGCAAAAGCTTATTGATATTTAATGCAAGATCACCAATCCAATAAGTGTAATTGCAATTAGAACATGCTATTTAAATTGGATATGCTGTCTTGGTTGAAAATGTTACAGAAGACATCGACCCCCTCTTCATTTAAATCTTATCATAGAAGGACTTTGGATCAACTGCTCAAATAAAGTTCTTTGATAAAGTCATTGAACAATCTAATGATTTCAGATTCTATCTTACCACTAAATTAGACAATCCACATTACCAACCTCAAATTTGTGTTATGGTTACTCTATTGAACTTCTAAGCAACACTGCAAGGATTAACTGATCAAATGTTGAATGTGGTTGTCAAAATAGATGAACCAGTAAAGGAAGAATTGAGAATTAAGAACATCTTCTACTTTATATCTAATCAGGATAAACTAATCAAAACAGAAGATTAAATGTTGGAACTGCTCTCACAAGCAGGAGGAGATTTATTATAAAATGAGACTATCATTATAGCTCTCCAGAATACAAAAGATGAAGGCAATAACATAGAAGAAAGAATTCGTAAGTTGGAGACTGATAGTCAGGCATTCAATGTCACTAGGCAATCCTATTAATAAGTGGCTGAAACTGTGGCAAATTTATACTTCGTAGTCTATTATTTAGCAACAGTTGAACCCACTTATTTGTGGTCATTAGATTTCTATGTTGCTCTCTATTCTAAGGCTATTAAAGAAGCATAGCAAGGTAAACTCAAAAGAAATCAAAATATCATTGACAAATTCATATTAATGCTTTACAACGCTGTCAATCGATCTTTGTTAGAAAAGGATAAATTAATTTTTAGATTTCTCTTATGTCAACGACTAATGAATGTTCCCATAAACTTGGTTAGAACATCAGTTATGGGTTGTTCATTGACTTCTACTGAAATACCTATGCCTAAAGATTACTCATGGCTGACTTACAAAATGTGGTTAGCATTGGTAGACCTCTAATAATAATATCCTCATATCTTTAATGGTATTTGTGATTCATTTGTTAATAATAAACCTTTTTGGGATCATTTCTATACTACTCCTCATAGTTTCAAGAATTAAATTCTAAATTTGGATTAATTTTAAATTAACATGATAGTCAAAATCATCAAACCAGAATAATTCATTCAAGCCACAAATGAAATGATAAGAACATTTATGGGGTACATCTTCTTAGAAAGTATTCCCATCACATTTGAGTAATTTTACCTAGAATCAGATCAAAATACTCCATTGCTTTGTGTTACAACCCCAGGAGCTGATCCAAGATCTGAAATCATTGGTTTAGCTCATAAATATGGGTTTTAAGATAAGCTTAATGTTATCTCCTTGGGACAAGGATAAAGTTAATTAGCGATTAAGTTGATTTTGAAAGCCATCTAAAATGGAAATTGGGTGCTCCTACAAAATTGTCATCTGGCAGCCTCATTTATGCCTGAATTAGAAAAACTTTACGAAAATTAATTGAAGCAAAATATCCATACAAATTTTAGACTCTGGCTAACTACTTTGCCTACTAATCTATTACCATAAAATGTAATTATACGAGGTAAATTAAATTCGTCTCATATTTTTAGCACTTAAAATGACCTATGAATTGCCAAGGGGAATAAAAAACAATATGTTGAGGTCTTATTTGTCTCAAGATCCGGAGAAGTTTGAATTATGCAAAAGATTGAAGGAATGGAAGAATTTATTTTTTTCTTTGGCTCTTCTTCATGCTTGTTTGCTTGAACGTAAAAAGTATGGACCCTTAGGATGGAACATAGGATATAATTTCTCATAACATGATTTAGAAATGTCTAAAGAATAGATTCTGTATTTTCTGGATTAGAATAATGATATTCCTTGGGATGCTCTTCATTATTTAATAGCAGAAAATAATTATGGCGGTAGAGTCACTGATCCTGTTGATAGGAAGTTGCTAAATATTTATGTGTCCGATCTTATTAATAAAGACATTGTGGAAGGCTTTTCATTCAACGATGTCTATAAAGTGCCTTCAGAGATGCCATTGAAGGGATACATAGAATATATAGCAGCCTTTCCAATTGCAGATCCTCCTCAGTTATTCGGATTACATCCAAATGCTGAAATCTACTCTGCCATTCTAGATACAGAAAATTTAAGTTCGACTATCTTGTAATTGCTTCCAAGAACTTTAGGAGACTAAAGCATTCATCCAGACAAAATAGTTTAGAAGAAAGGAAGATCTATATTGAATGAACTACCAGCTTAATTTAATATTTCATTGGTTGAATAAAAGTATCCATTACTATAAGACAATTCTATGCATACTCTCATTCAATAAGAAGTTAATAAGTATAATAAATTGATTTCTCAAATATTCAACTCATTAGAATAACTTATGCAAGCATTGGAAGGCTATATTAATATGACAGATTAACTAAATGACATTTACAATTCCATTTTCGATAACAAAATACCCTCAGATTGGAGCAAGCTCTCTTATTTGACTACAAAGCCATTAGGATCCTGGTTCAGCGATTTACTTAAAAGAATTCAGTTTTTAGACAGTTGGATTAATAAAGGTGAACCTACTATCTTTTGGCTTGGAAGCTTTTTCTTTATTCAAGGATTCTTAACTGCTGTATTACAGAATTATTCAAGAAAATCCAAGATTCCAATTGATTAATTAAAATTTGATTTTGAGTTCATGAAACAAATACCAAATCAAGGTTCTCAAAATGGGATTTTTATTGAAGGATTATCAATCGATGGAGCTCAATTTGAATTGGAAGAATAAACTCTACTGGAGCCAGATCACAACATATTATTTTTCAAATGTCCAATTATTAAGTTTATACCAACTAATTAGCCAAAAAAATATAATCATTATTCCTGTCCTTTATATAATACTTCTTAAAGAAAAGGAGTTCTAACCTCAAATGGTTTATCGATCAACTTTATCTGCAATATTAAAATACCAATTAAAAATGAAAAAAAACATTGGTCTAAAAGAGGAGTGGCTCTGATCATTTAAATTGATTGATTTTATATATTTATTGGCTATTTTTATAATTAATTTATTAAGATAGAATTTTAATGATTTTCAAAAGAAAAACATTTCAAGGATTCCAGAGGTATTTGAATAATTTGCTAAGACTTATTTATTAAGATATTTAAATTAGTTTCAGAGAAAAATATCAGAGCTAGGATAAGCTGATAAAATATTATTAAACCATATAATTTATTGAATATGTTATATGGATGGAACCACGGAATGAGAAGGATGGTCAGTTTTGGATTAAGTTATGTTTACTTTAAAAATAAAAAGAAATTAATGAAGATAAAAAATAGAGCCCAAAGTATAAAATTTATACAATAGTTCTTTATTTCTAGTGCATTTATCCCTTTTCAAAATATTTTCTCTTATTGAATGTTATGATGAAATGAAATTCAATTAGGTCATTAAATTTTGCAATGTTTATGTTCCTTATATTTTTTTTATCTTTTTTTTATTATATACTTCTTTTATTGAGGATCTAAATATCAACAGATCTTTCCGATCTTTCCAATCTTTTGGAATAAGAATTCATTCTATTAGATATTCTAACTCAAATAGATAAGACTCTCTTAAACTTTCATATTATTTGGATAAATATAAATCAATTTCAGTAGATAATTGTAGTGTAAAGTTTTCAGAGATTTACTCTACCACTTATATATGAATGTATTGAAAATTGAAGAATCATTTTGATTAGAGAAATTATAACTAAAAAACATTAATACTCCGTATTGAATTAGTATCTTCGTATGACTTTGTAGATAAGAAAAATGACTTACAAATGTGCATTACAAAATCACTAACTTGTGTATAACAAAAAATTTATTCATAGAGTTTTGAAATAGGATATAGATCCTAATTAAAAGATGAGATTTGTAAGATAATATTAAACCAGCAATTTTGAACACTTTTATAATAGTGAACTCTACAAGAGCAAGATATATACAATCACTTAAACTATAAGTAATATAATGATCATTACACTTAAAATAAGAATTATATTATTTTATTGTTATAAATCCTGATAAATAAACATTTCCTTAAAAAGAAATTTGAATTCACTGCTGATGAGAGTTTAAAATTATAGTTGCTCAAGAAATTTCATCAGAATAGCTTATTATTTTAATTGCATTTTATCTTAGAAAATAATATAAATTGGGTATGTGGCCCTATGAAATTACAAGTTTTAAGGTTAGTTTAACGTAGCCTTATGTTCAACTAGTCAGTTAATGTGGATGGATACAATGCTAAACGATGATTAAGATTGAACGCTTTTATATTTAGCAAAAGAATATAAATAATAATTTTAATTTTAATGGTTGTTTTTATTGTTTTTATTGTTTTCATTTTTTCTATTTTTTTTATGGCTATTTTGGATTGCTCATTGCCTAATCAATATCTCTTTGGATGTCATCATCTATTTCTACATGCTTACCTTTTTTTGTCTATGCTGGATTTTATTTTTGCTATGGTTATTATTTAGTCTATTTTCCTGCTTACTATTTGACTTAATCATCATTATTGCTTTGCTTCTATTATTATTGTTTGATTTATTGCTAATGTTTGGCGGCAGGTTGAATAGATTCAGACTCAAAGTCATCAACATTGTGATCAACAGCAGATTTCATTGATTTTTCATCAAACTATTGTTTGTTAATGATTCATATTACTTTCTCTGACTTCTTGCGTTTCTTATCATTGGTTTGAATACCATTTTTCTCATTGTAATCTTTCAACTCTTATTCATATATTTCCTTAGCTGCATTGTATTGGTCGAGATAAGGCTATGGACAATAGTAAAAATCTATACTTTCTTCTCCTATTCACTCATAGATGACCATTTATTTCCAGCCATCTAAGATATCTAAGTGAGCTTAATCTCTATGTATATTTACTAAATATCAATACCTGGGTTTCGTTCAACTACCTTCTCTCTGTACTTCTAATTAAATAAAAAGAAGGGTGTCAAANCCACTTATATATGAATGTATTGAAAATTGAAGAATCATTTTGATTAGAGAAATTATAACTAAAAAACATTAATACTCCGTATTGAATTAGTATCTTCGTATGACTTTGTAGATAAGAAAAATGACTTACAAATGTGCATTACAAAATCACTAACTTGTGTATAACAAAAAATTTATTCATAGAGTTTTGAAATAGGATATAGATCCTAATTAAAAGATGAGATTTGTAAGATAATATTAAACCAGCAATTTTGAACACTTTTATAATAGTGAACTCTACAAGAGCAAGATATATACAATCACTTAAACTATAAGTAATATAATGATCATTACACTTAAAATAAGAATTATATTATTTTATTGTTATAAATCCTGATAAATAAACATTTCCTTAAAAAGAAATTTGAATTCACTGCTGATGAGAGTTTAAAATTATAGTTGCTCAAGAAATTTCATCAGAATAGCTTATTATTTTAATTGCATTTTATCTTAGAAAATAATATAAATTGGGTATGTGGCCCTATGAAATTACAAGTTTTAAGGTTAGTTTAACGTAGCCTTATGTTCAACTAGTCAGTTAATGTGGATGGATACAATGCTAAACGATGATTAAGATTGAACGCTTTTATATTTAGCAAAAGAATATAAATAATAATTTTAATTTTAATGGTTGTTTTTATTGTTTTTATTGTTTTCATTTTTTCTATTTTTTTTATGGCTATTTTGGATTGCTCATTGCCTAATCAATATCTCTTTGGATGTCATCATCTATTTCTACATGCTTACCTTTTTTTGTCTATGCTGGATTTTATTTTTGCTATGGTTATTATTTAGTCTATTTTCCTGCTTACTATTTGACTTAATCATCATTATTGCTTTGCTTCTATTATTATTGTTTGATTTATTGCTAATGTTTGGCGGCAGGTTGAATAGATTCAGACTCAAAGTCATCAACATTGTGATCAACAGCAGATTTCATTGATTTTTCATCAAACTATTGTTTGTTAATGATTCATATTACTTTCTCTGACTTCTTGCGTTTCTTATCATTGGTTTGAATACCATTTTTCTCATTGTAATCTTTCAACTCTTATTCATATATTTCCTTAGCTGCATTGTATTGGTCGAGATAAGGCTATGGACAATAGTAAAAATCTATACTTTCTTCTCCTATTCACTCATAGATGACCATTTATTTCCAGCCATCTAAGATATCTAAGTGAGCTTAATCTCTATGTATATTTACTAAATATCAATACCTGGGTTTCGTTCAACTACCTTCTCTCTGTACTTCTAATTAAATAAAAAGAAGGGTGTCAAAGGCTTTTTTGGAGCATTTGGGTCTCGTTCCTTCTTCTTCTCTGTTGCGGTCGGGATCTCAGGTACATTCTAGTCCTTCAAAAATTGTTAACAAAACTTGTTCATGTGAGCAAAGAACTGTTAGAATTTCTTGGCGATTTCAATACCCTATCATATAGTGAGAAACTTGCATACAAATTAGTTATGATCCATAATATTATTTATTTAATTAAAATTAATTGATGTAGCAATTCAAAAGGTTAGTCCCCCTCATGAATAGAGTTCTTATTAAGAAGCTGGAAGTTCCAACCAAAACCTAAAGTGGTATTCTTCTAAATAGTGGAGAAACAAAGAACCCAGCTGGAGTAGTCATTGAAGTATATCAATTAATATTAATGAAAGGCTGGGGAAGGCTATTATGACCACAAAGGAGAATTTGTTAAAATTTGTGTTAAAGTTGGAGATACCGTTTTACTACCTGATTTTGGTGGATAAAAAGTCAAAGTAAGTGGATAAGAACTTCTCATATTTAGAGACACAGATTTGTTAGGAATATTGTCCAGATGATATGTATAATATTAAAAATTAAGAATTATAAATTTTATTTTTTTTAGCACAATTTCTATCAGTAATGATTATCCTTGTTGCCATTATAAAATGCAAAATCTAAAATCAATTTAATAAACAATTAAAATATAAACAATCTAAAATGGGAATTTGCCAATCTAAATCAAAGCTTAAAAGAAGCGGAGCATTTCATTTCATTCCAATTGACTTTGACAAATTGAAGAAACACAACAAGGAACGAGAAAAAAATGACCCTAACATGGCTTAGTAACAATCTTTTTGTCAACTCGTATGGTAGGATGCCAATAAAATCTCGAATCCATAAACATACACTTATAATAATGTCTAAACTCAATAAATTGAATTAAGAAAAGAATGACATCTTAAATTTTGTTCAATCTATATCAAACTATTTCATCAAAAATTCTATATGTTTTTCCTTGCTTTAAATATTATCAACCTTCTGCTATTTGATTTATACTCTCCATAAGTAGAGCATTAATGTTGAATGTTCTTGCCATGCATTTCAATCCCCCAAAACGCTTGCAAATATAAGAACCAATAAAAATTTTAGTAACTAAATTGATTTTAAAGTATAGATAAATTAATTTCCTTGACTGGAAATTCCTCCTATTTGCAACACAACCAATATAAACCAAGAGAATAAAGGAAATAATATTGAAAACCATCAGCATTACACGAGATAAATCGCTGTGAGCTTATATTCTTCATAAAAATCAAAACTCAAAAAATTTCTATTTTATTTAATTACGATTTACTAGCAGATGAATCCATTACCTATAATGAAATTTGACTCTTTATCAGATAAAAATCTATCAGCTCTTTCAATTCTTTATTTTTTTTCATAATTATCTATATTATGATCAAAATTCATATAGTAGTTTGCATTATTTCCTCGTCGTGCAGATCTAATATCACTAATACTAATATTATGAAGCATATTATTGCGGAGTAGAGTTCAATGTATTGCAATTCGAAAATGAATCATTAAATGATTATTAATAGATATTACTAACTTTTTTTCACTTCAAAATTTTAATATTATAAATATTTTTTTTCTTTTAGGCTTCTCAATAAGCTTGCTAAATTTGGTATGATATTGCCCTTAAAACATAATATCTTAATGATCCAAATCTAAATTTAACTTTAAATTGAAATTCCTTTCGTTAAATGAGAAAATTTCCATTCAACGGTCTTCTAAAGGTTACTGTTAGATTTCAACATAAGGAAATATTTTATACTTTCTTAAAAAAGAGGACAATCAAAATTCCTAAATTGATAGTTCACAGTTTTGAATATTTAAAAATAATCTAGTAAATTGAGTAAACTAATGATATTATTGCAATCAGTGATACTTTTGTTATAAAATTCTTGCTTTTGACTAAATTATCAAATAATCAAAATATATTTTGCAAATTGGAGTCATTAATTGAATTTAAAATTTAATTCTAACAGCTAAGTGACATTAGTATGTTATAATAATTAAGTCTTTTATTATATTTATAGAATTCGTGATTATTATAATCACAATTAAGATCTCATAATCCTAATTTTAAAATATTTAGATGGGCAACAAAATTCAAAATCCCCCTGATCGAAGCAAGAATACAAAAGCAGAAGAATCTAAACATTTTATATATGCTTCTTCAGAAATGAAAGGTAAATCATTTTGTTTATGATACAGGTTGGAGGGAAGATATGGAAGACGCTCATATTAATGTATTTGAAGTTATACCTGATGTCTCTATCTTTGGCGTATTTGATGGGCATGGAAGCAATGATATTGCACGTTTCGTTTAGGGACTCTTTATTGAAGAAATTTAAAAGAATAAAAACTTTAAAGATCAAAAGTTTGAAGAAGCTTTGACTGAAACATTCTTAAAAATAGATGAGCTCTTGATTATTCAAAATAGTTAAATGTAAACAAATTAAATGAAAGATGAAAAACTTAATCGTAATATATATCAATAATCATTTTAATATTAGTTTCTTATGCAGGATGTACTGCCAATGTTGCTCTGTTCCATAAGAACACACTTTATGTTGCAAATGCAGGTGATTCTCGATCTGTATTATGCAGAAATAATACAAATTACGACATGAGTGTTGATCACAAACCAGACAACTATGAAGAGAAATAAAGAATTGAAAGAGCCAATGGATTTGTTTCCGATGGAAGAGTCAATGGTAATTATTATTTAAATATACTTAGGCAACCTCAATCTATCCAGGGCCTTAGGAGATTTAGAATTTAAGGGTAATACTGCTTTAGGATTAAATGAACAATTGATAATTGCTCTACCAGATATAAAAAGAGAGGTGTTAACTCAAAATGATAAGTATTAATTTAAACTTAAATAGATTCCTTTTAATGGGAAGTGATGGCATTTTTGAGACTCTTGATCATTAAGATTTACTCAAATTTATTAATTCAAGGCTTGGTAATCAACCAGTTACTCCATAATTTTTAGGAAGGGTGGCTGAAGATTTGTTAGATAACTTAATTGCTTCAGATCTCATAGGTACAGGAGCTGGATGTGACAATATGACAATTATAATAATTTATTTTAAATGAAGTTTAATTGGTAAAATAAAGTTTTAATATTTCAAAATAATAAAGTAATATTTATTAAATTCTTTACATTATCTTTTGGATTGAAATTTTTTATTAAAAGATCTTTCATCAGAATTATTCTTTTCCTTATTTGTAAGGTATTGATAAAAATATGATTCTTCATTCAACTTATTAGGAAAAAATTCTAAAAAAGATTATATATTTATATATTCTTATTCAAATTCCTCATAAACTTCTTTTCTATAGAGTTCCATTAATAAAGACAATAATAATAATGTTTCCTATTTTTTTTTTAAATTACAACTACTTAATAATAATAATGATACTCAAAATAAAATTATATAGATTATATGAAAAAATAAAAAACAATTACATATAAAAATAATAATTAAATAAATATAATTTGAAGTAAAATTAGGATTATAGGAATTTTATTTGAGATTTTGAGATAATGAATATTATTTTTGAGAGTGAAAGGAAATGATATGATGTTTAAAGGAATTAATATATATTAAATATATATTATCATATTGTTCATTTTCCTTTAAGATATATGATTAAGGTTGTCATATTGTCACATCCAGTTCCGGCTAAAATAATATTATTTAGGGTACCTGAGGTATCTGGTGCAATCAAATTATCTAACAAGTCTTCAGCTACTCTTCCTAATAATTATGGAGTAACTTATTAATTTCCAAGTTTTTAGTTAATAAACTTGAGTAAATCTTAATGATCAAGAGTTTCAAATACACCATCACATCCCATTAAAAGGAATCTATAATAGAAATAAGATAAATACTTGTCAGTCTGATTTAATTCCACCTTTTTGATATCTGGTAGAGCAATGATCAATTGTTCATTTGGTCTTAATTTGCTGTCTCTCTTATATTCTAAATCTCCTAAGGCCCTGGATAGATTTAGGTTGCCTAAGAATATTTAAATAATAATTACCATTGACTCTTCCATCGGAAACAAATCCATTGGCTCTTTCAATTCTTTATTTCTCTTCATAGTTGTCTGGTTTGTGATCAACACTCATGTCGTAATTTGTGTTATTTCTGCACAATACAGATCGAGAATCACCTGCATTTGCAACATAAAGTGTGTTCTTATGGAACAGAGCAACATTGGCAGTACATCCTGCATAAGAAACTGTTTAAATAATTATTAATAAATAATTACCATCATCATCTCCACCTTTGATTTAATTAATTTCCTTTTGACCTTCTGGGGTAAGCAAGAGCTCATCCATCTTCAAGAAAGTCTCTCTAAGGGCGTCTTCAAACTTTTGATCTTTAAAATTTTTATTCTTTTAAAGTTCTTCAATGAAGTGTTTCTCTACAAACTGGGCGACTTCTTTGCCTCCATGGCCATCAAAGACACCGAAGATTGAAAGATCTTGTTACAAGTCACACACATGAATGTGAGCATCTTCCATTGTATTTCTCCAGCCTTATAAAATATTTAACAATTGTACCTTGCATTTCAGAAGCAGCAAAAATAATGCTCTTTCCGTCACCACTGGTGGTTGTTTTGTTTTTATTAGGTTAACTAAGGTATGGGCCCATTTAAAATAAATTTAAAATAGGATATTTTAGAAACTTAGTTCGGCTTATAATAATCACGAATCTGATAATTATAATAAAAAAAGTGATTATTATAGCATCCCGGTGTCATTTAGCTGTTACAATTAAAATTTAAATTCAAATTAGTATTATAAGACTTTTCAGGTTTTTTTGGAATTAATTTAGGCCTTATAATTATCAATTATTTATTCCAAAGAGTCCAATTTCTCCAAGAGGTACGTCTTTAAGTATCTCCTAAGGAAATACTAAAAATAATAATACTAATTGTATTCTCTTATATCTTCTTGTCCTACGACTCCAATTAAATACTTGGTAAGCAAAGCCAATTACTTATCTTACTTATTGTCATAGAATGGAATTATGGGAACACCATTATCAATTTAATAAAAATAACTGAAGGCAGAATTATCCACCAGAATGGTTTTGGAAAGAGATCGATTTTTTATGATAGATAAATCTTTAATGTATTATCCTAGACTAGTGAAGCAACAATGTTCTCTGGACAAAACATTGGATATAATTTTTTTTGGGTCAATAAATTCTACTATCTAAAATTTCGATATGTAATTTTCACTTTTTTTGCATATTGGACATGAGAAGCCGTAAAAATGATTATCTCAAAATGAGGCTACAAGTTTTCTAACATATTTTATAAGCCAGGACGAATTGTAAGTCCAACTTATAGGATTTCTGATGGGGATAATCTGATGTTGAGTTTTTTCTCGCATGGTAATCTCACATCTAGGGAACAATGAACAAGTGTTTCATCCAAATCTAATAATAAGGTATATTTTCTCTGATCTATTATAAATTTATGTAGTTTACCTTTGGGATCCTTCGGCAAAAAGAGAGGTTTGGGTCTGAATATGATTTTAGAAGTGGCGCATTATTTAAAAGCCATAAAACTTGCTTATAGATGATCTTGGAAAAGTCGATTGAAATAGCTATCTTTACTTTCATACGCTCTAATTAAGTCAGAAACGTAATAGACATGATTGACTTCAGGTAAGTTTGATGCTACTCGAAGAGTTTGCATGAGTTCAGAATTCTATTTTGTCATTGGGCGATAAAGAAATTTGAAAGAGGTAGGCTTTTGATTTGATTTTTTTTGATTTTCAGCTATTCCATTCTGTTTTTCAGATGTTTCGTTTGGTTCTGTTTTCTGAATATAATTCTGCCTTAACAATTTGACTGCATTATTCATCACTGGAGTGACTGACTAATTCTAGTCAATTTAAAGAGAATTCTCTTTTTGGAATTTACGATACGTTCGATTTTCTTAGAATTTTTGTCGAATAGAACTAGTAGAGGGTGTAATTTATGCAGTCGATTGATGATGGAGAAATTTTAGATTTGGCAAACTCTTCTGATGACCTCTCATTTTAATATTAATTATATTAATTTTACCCTATCATACAAACTTATTCAAAAATCAAGATATTAGACAGCTGCACTTATCTCTATCAAATNAAGACTTTTCAGGTTTTTTTGGAATTAATTTAGGCCTTATAATTATCAATTATTTATTCCAAAGAGTCCAATTTCTCCAAGAGGTACGTCTTTAAGTATCTCCTAAGGAAATACTAAAAATAATAATACTAATTGTATTCTCTTATATCTTCTTGTCCTACGACTCCAATTAAATACTTGGTAAGCAAAGCCAATTACTTATCTTACTTATTGTCATAGAATGGAATTATGGGAACACCATTATCAATTTAATAAAAATAACTGAAGGCAGAATTATCCACCAGAATGGTTTTGGAAAGAGATCGATTTTTTATGATAGATAAATCTTTAATGTATTATCCTAGACTAGTGAAGCAACAATGTTCTCTGGACAAAACATTGGATATAATTTTTTTTGGGTCAATAAATTCTACTATCTAAAATTTCGATATGTAATTTTCACTTTTTTTGCATATTGGACATGAGAAGCCGTAAAAATGATTATCTCAAAATGAGGCTACAAGTTTTCTAACATATTTTATAAGCCAGGACGAATTGTAAGTCCAACTTATAGGATTTCTGATGGGGATAATCTGATGTTGAGTTTTTTCTCGCATGGTAATCTCACATCTAGGGAACAATGAACAAGTGTTTCATCCAAATCTAATAATAAGGTATATTTTCTCTGATCTATTATAAATTTATGTAGTTTACCTTTGGGATCCTTCGGCAAAAAGAGAGGTTTGGGTCTGAATATGATTTTAGAAGTGGCGCATTATTTAAAAGCCATAAAACTTGCTTATAGATGATCTTGGAAAAGTCGATTGAAATAGCTATCTTTACTTTCATACGCTCTAATTAAGTCAGAAACGTAATAGACATGATTGACTTCAGGTAAGTTTGATGCTACTCGAAGAGTTTGCATGAGTTCAGAATTCTATTTTGTCATTGGGCGATAAAGAAATTTGAAAGAGGTAGGCTTTTGATTTGATTTTTTTTGATTTTCAGCTATTCCATTCTGTTTTTCAGATGTTTCGTTTGGTTCTGTTTTCTGAATATAATTCTGCCTTAACAATTTGACTGCATTATTCATCACTGGAGTGACTGACTAATTCTAGTCAATTTAAAGAGAATTCTCTTTTTGGAATTTACGATACGTTCGATTTTCTTAGAATTTTTGTCGAATAGAACTAGTAGAGGGTGTAATTTATGCAGTCGATTGATGATGGAGAAATTTTAGATTTGGCAAACTCTTCTGATGACCTCTCATTTTAATATTAATTATATTAATTTTACCCTATCATACAAACTTATTCAAAAATCAAGATATTAGACAGCTGCACTTATCTCTATCAAATCAAAAGGCTTTGATATAAAGTAATCCATTCCATTGCGAAAACAATCCAATTTAGAATTCAACCCTGCAACTGTAGCTGTAGCTATTGCAAATCCCTTGTCCAAACTCCCTTGCTGCATATTTTTCTTAATACGTTAGACAAATTCAATACCACTCAATCCCTAAATCTATCACAAAATAATTACAGGAAGGTTAATGTCAATGAAGTACAGTAAGTAGTAGCGATTTCCACAATGACATGGGCGACCTCGCTTTATTTCGATGCTGTCTAGTCCCTCTGAACCTGTAAATCCATAATCACATTTGATATCATATTTCTATAGTACCTTCTCTAAAACGATAATCTAAAAACTGTCATTATCCAGTATCAAAACTTTGGAACAACAATTATTCCTAAGTCGATATTTAATGACTTAAGTGAGTAATTTAGGGTTAAATTCCGGTAAAGATATTTAATTAATCGTTTATTCAGCTGCACCAAAATCAATTGCAGTGAAAGTTCTTTGTGATTCATCCGGAGAATCAATCTTGCCTACAACACTTAAGTTATTCCTATTCAAGAGTTTTGTAATTTATTGGATGCTATCCTATTGGATTCCTTATTTGTAAGTTCCAGAAAAACTCCCACTTTGTTCTCTAGATTGTTTATGTATAGTGCCACTGTTGGGAAATACCCTGGAATTCGAAGTCTCCTGTCTGATTTTTGAGAGTTGTGAAAAGTAGGCACTTTGTAGATCTATAGGATCTGTAGGTTTTATTGAAAACTATTTAGACAACTAGGTAAATGATAAGAGTCGTGATTCCCCTCCTCCCCCTCCTTGATTAATATTGTCTTACAAAAGAAGGGACAAAGATGTTTCAAAATATTTCTTCTTGCCTAATACTTTTATAGGTCCAGTGTCTGAGTTTTAATATCTCATTTAGGTATTCTGAGACTCAATCACAAAAGTGAATGTACAAAACCCTTGGCTGTCAATTAGAAACTCTAGTCCTCTTTTAAAGGATCCAGATAATTACCAGCAGAGTATAATGCACATTTGCAATTCTAATGGATTTGATAGGTCTAATTCATTTACAGATTTTTGACTCTTTAATTACTAATTAACTAATTTTGTTAGATTGATAATCTTTTGTTTAGCAGTTTCATCAAAATCAGCTTTGGTATCTTTAATTGTGATCATAATTCCTTAGAGTGTGTAACTCTTAATATCAAATTTGATTGAACTTTTGGATGATGATTATAAACAATAATGCAATAAACATGAGATGATTTGTTTAATCTATTAATTAAAAAGGAATATTTACTCTATCTTGATCACTAAAAATGATTGTATTGCCTTCCTATAATTCTATATTTGTAGTTAATTTGATTTGCTTCAATTTTAAAAGGGGATCAAAGGTTTAGAGTAAATCATCTAATAGGTCTTCTATTCTAATTGCATTCATCTTAAAAAACAACTCATTTTAGAAATAGAATATGTAATCCCTCATTGAATAGAGAAATAATGTATATCTCTACGTGTAATATCTCATAGTCAACAAAGAGTTAGCAACATATTCTTCTTTTTGTTTTTTGCTTTAAGACTAAATGTTTATTTGAGTGTTTTACCATGGTAGTTTAATTGCTGCCTTCAGTCATTTGAGAATCATTATGATGAGTGAGCAGTAGAATAAAAGTCATTATGCAATTGACATAATTGATGGATTCATGGGAATAGGTGGTGTAAATGTTCTATAGGTAGGAGTTAGGATCTGAATTATTGGTTTTGGGTAAGACAGGTGCTTATTCTAGATTGAAGAGTATGAATTTGTGTCCATCAATGTTGGTTATGAAGAGTTTGATTTGAATACCATCTAAGTCTAAGAAGTCATTCTTCACTTTAAAGATTGTTAAAGTGAAGAATCGCCATCTAAGTCAATGAAAATAGAATTACTTTTCAAAGTCTTTGAACAAACATGTAATCAATTCTCTAATAGTGAATTAGCCTTTGATCTTACATTTGTGGACTTCGTTAATATTGTTGCAAAGAAATGAGCCACTAATTTTAGGTTAGAGATTTATACTCGCTAAAGATGGAATCACTGTATCCAGACTGGCCTAGCAATTCATTGATTTCCTTGCATCCAATAATAATAACGGAATCTAAAAACAACAATTCACAGTCTAGTTTATCTCCGATGTTCTTTTGCAATTTGCCCAAATAAAACGTTTGATAGATGATACTTAAATCGCCATTGTAGATCAGCACTGATTGATTTGAGAGCCACGACCTTTTATTTTTTTTGTACTCATTAGTACATATTTGTCATGATAATGTCATCCTCATTGAGATTATTACTGTTCAATTATAAGGGCTTGATTTCCGATGAGGACAATACTTTGGATTGCTCATCCTATTGCTTAATCATCTCTTGAGACTTGGCTTAAAAAGTAGGAGGGGCATCTGGTATTTGCTTCAAGGGATTAGAGAATGTTTAAGGTTTGGGTTCCTTGGCATTACAAAACTTAATTTTCATTTGCAACACCACAAGGAACCAGTAGACATAGTATATAACATTCTGTGGAGTGTCGATTAAATTCTAAACATCATGCAAAATACTTAATAACCCATAATTCACAAGGAGAGCAACCTTAATTTCATATTGCATTTCCAAATGGTTTATGAGAACCAAAAACAACTGTGTGTTAGAGACAGAATTTTGAATAACGATTAGAATCAAACGTAACAAGAGTAATAAAGTAAAGCACCTAGTTAACTCTCTGTTCAAAAAGAGATTGTAGATTCTGACAAACCCAATTACTATGGTTAAGAATACATTCAAACAGGTGAGTACTAGTATTGTTTGATTACTATTTAATCTCTTAAATATAAGAAGTAATTTACCAAACCAGTTACAACTGCAAGCAACAAGAGTTCTGATAAAAGTATTTCAAATATTTTTTATTTCATTTATATCATTAAATGGTAAGTACAACCACAATATGTAGTCTTCGCGAGACCCATATCACCAAGTGCCAATGATCTTTTTTGATGGTCAGAAAAAGAATGTGATCAAAGTTTTTGGCAGTATCCTTATTATTATTTTCACTTTAGATAACTGCAAAAACAATCATCAATTCAGTATAGGTTGGGATGTCCCAGCCTTAGGGACGGTCTAAAGAGTGTCAAATAAAGTAGGAATTGAAACAGGATTTGTAATTCCAGATTACACTGTTATCACTTACAAAAATATCAATAAGGAACCACCACAACCCCAAAATCCGTAACTTAATCAACCACAATCCAATAAATTCGCCACGTTGGCCCAGAAGAACTTGGTCTAAGATAACTACAAAAACGAAATAATAGTCTAAAAAAGCATTGACAATGGCATCGAAAAGTTTAAGTCGGAAGAAACTCTGAAAGAATAAACGAATAAACAAATAAGAGACATATTAGCTAAGCAAAGAAGAGAAAATTAACAACATTTAAAGTACAAAGCTTGATTTAGCTACATAACAATTACTATCATTAGACCAATAATATTATAATCAATTGAGATAACATAATTGTTCCTTTAGTTAATCCCAAATTCCTTCTTATTCCTATTTAGATCTAGAATGATCATATTATCATTTAATCTTCATTTTCTATAACTATGCGCATCTGTTTTCAAACGTAGTCCTTTCTTTATAAGTTTGATAGGTAATTAAGGGAATTTTAATATTTTATGTTAAACTTTAATATTATTTTAATTATTTAAGATGAATGAGAAAGAAGATACTATTTATTAGTCCTTTATTAATTCAGAAGATAGTGCACCTTATGAAAATCAGATCGAATAATGCTAATAATGCGTATAACTCTAAAAATATGTTTATTAATTGGAATAGGAAATCTCTGAGTTAAATAAAATGATGTAAACATAAGTAAATATTAAAAGAGAAATAGTCAAAGAACCAAAAACCTCAAAATTTTCAGATACCCAAAAAATTATCGTTTTGTAAATTGTAATGTGTCAGTGTGAGACATCAGAATCATCAATACTTAAGCAAGAGTCTGCATGAGGATCAAAACCATAATACTAAAAGCATGTATACTAGTTCTGGACATCAGAAGAGGAAGATTTTCGATGAGGTTGAAGAAAAGACTAGCTCCAAAGCCCTTTAATTTTATAAATTGTGAAATTTGATATAAAATAGTCATATGAATGATTTAATTCAAAAATTCTTGATATTGCTGGAATGCGATCTTTGAGGAGCAATCCTATAATTGATATACGAGATTGATGGGTGATGGCAGTTCACTATTTGCTCTATTATTCTATTGGGACTTCTGCCCACTCTGCATCTGCTTTAATCTTGGCGAAAGGATGATAATTGTTAATGGAGAGATTCAATCATTTAATCCTTATTTAGGAGTTAGATTTTTGTATTTTCCATATCAATTTTTATTTGTTATTGTTATTTGATTTAATCTTACAAACTCAGCCTGTTTTTCAATAGCTGATCCTAAAAGAATTGATTCTCCTATTCCAATTTCCTGATCTATCCTAGCAGTTCCGAGATGTTGGTCTGGTTTTTCTTGTTCAAGTCTTTCAGAATTTATATTTGATCTAATTAATGTCAAAACCTACTTTGTAAACTTAAAATCAATTAAGATTATTGCGATAGTTGCTATTGCAATTTGATGATTGTATCTCTATCCTTCTCCTTATTCTATTGTTCAAACAGATTCACAAGACATATTTAATTATTGGCTAATCTGTCAAGAAATAAGAATTACTTAATTTCATTTCTACTTTAGAATCGAAAATGGAATCCTGACTTATTTTCCTGTTTGAATAGTTTTCAGTTGATTTATCATCCTTCTTTGATGGACTTACAACTTCTTCATGGAAGAAATATCTTTTCTATTTTATTGTGTTTAAAATCGAATACCTCTTTTGCTTGAGGAGAATTTGGTTCGACAAACGAAGGCGAAGCCAACGCTTAGCTGGAATCTACAAACATTTCATGTATTTAGTGTTTTGTCAGATAAATATGAGAATTCATATAGGAAAATTGTTAAATAATTAATCTGCTTTTGCAATCAAATGTTTAATTAATAGCAATATCAAATCTTATATGGTAGTAAACAAGAACTTAGGCGCGTATTTTATTGATTAACCTCTATGCTTCCTGGATATCCTTATCCATTCAACTAGCCATAACTTCAGAGATTATATACATAATTTATAATTAATCAAGACATTGTGGAAGACCTTGTAATCTAATATCCATTGTATCCTCGATTAAAGATCAGAATGATAGGATAAATGGATGTAATAAATTTAGTGATAGCATGCTTCCATTCTTATAGCACATCATATTCTGGAAGGCCATTCATTTCATTTGTGACGTCAAAAATTAAGTTGTTAAAATTAGAGCTCAAAATAATACAGAAATCTAATACCCAAATTATGGTAACATAATTCTTATAAATGAAGTCCAAAGAGCATTCGATAAATCAATCTTTGTTCAAATTGATGTCATAATTTTAACCTGATTGCCAGTATTTGTTTAATTCTTGAATTTGCAAAAATCTTAAGAGTATCCCAAGGATTTTTGAATAGCGTTATCTTCCAAGTATTTTATTTATCTGTTGCAAACCCAAAAATAATGAATTAAGAAACAGGGTAGATTTTAATATATTTGAACTGACTTGAGTCTTGATGGCGAAGAGACAGTAAAGATACTTTTCTATAAATTGAATAAAAATAGAGTGCTTGTGAATACCTAGTGGTAAATTATTTCTCTTATTTAATAAAACTGTATGAGGTTTTTGAAATAATAAATTTAGCTGTTCGTGACTCTACCTAATATTTTATTGTATCCTTGGGAATAGTTTAATTTATTTGATTAGATCAATTTTACAAAGTTCTATTGATATTTAAGATAAGTTAATCCTGAAATTAGACAAGATAGAAATCAATACGCAACAATTACAATTGATATAGAAGACAGCCAATAAGGATCTTTCTAGATTTCATTTGATTGCTTTTGATTTAATTTTAATGGTAAGTAGTTAATTGGTAATTTAGTATTATGAGATTCTTGAGGGTGTTTATTAGTTATTATAATTTGAAGGTTTTGAGTATGGTTTGGAGGAAAATTGGATTTGATTTAATTTGATTAAGATGTTTGATTGGTATACATTTAACATTGGTAAGTTTGTTATTTGTAAGTAAAATGGATAATTATACAATATTTTAATTTTTTCAATATTAATGTGTTTAGTATTGAGTAATCAATGAAGACTAAGAAATTGATGAAATGTTAAGAGTTATTGTAAAAGTAAAGAAAGATATTCGAAGGATGGGAGGTTGAATAAATTTAATTATAAAGAATTCAATATAAATTAATATATTAATGAAATCACCTATAAGAAAAGAAAAGAAACATCAAACTCACAATCCTACTTCTTAATAAGAGTAATTCCAGTAGAAATTACTATATCCAGGGTAGATTATAGCAGGAAGATTTAAGTTGATTGAGAAAGTAGGACAAGGTAGTTTTGGATCGATTTTTAAGACTGAAAATATAGAGACAGGGGAAATCTGTGCATCTAAATTTGAAAGGCGAGAATCGTAGAAAAATAGTGTGAGTTTGTTGGTGAGGGAAATAAAGATTTTGTTGGAATTGAAAGGGATCGCAGGTATTAAATTGCATTATGGAAGGGTTTCCGTAGATTCTGCATTATGGAAGAGATGAGAATTACAATTTCTTCATGATTACATACTTGGGTTAGAATTTGGAGTACCTGATAAGAAAAACCAAGAAGTTCTCACAAATAAATTGTCTGAGGATTGGGTTACAATTGTTGGACCGACTGGAGCAATTGCATTTGAAGAATTTGATTCATAGAGATTTGAAACCAGAGAATATAGTGATTGGATGGTAAGACATTGATGTGGTGTATCTGATTGATTTTGGATTGTCGAAATATTACAAAGATAATCATGGAAATCATATTCCTATGATTGAGAAGAAGGGTATTATAGGGACAGCCAGATATGCGAGTATTGGAGCACATTTAGGTGAGACATGTTAAGTGTAATTTTAGGTAGAGAGTAATCGAGAAGAGATGACTTGGAATCCTTGGCATATGTACTCATTTATCTGAATAAAGGGAAATTACCATGGATGAACCTGCCTATCCAAGATAAATCAATTAAATATAGCAAAATACTTGAATAAAAGCAATCTATTTCTCATGAGAAGTTGTGTGATAATCTACCTAAATGCTATTATTTATTATTACAACATGCTAAATCTAGAGAATACACTGAATAACCTAATTATGCATACATAAACGAGTAATTTTCAAAAGCATTAGGTGATTTAGAGTACATAGACAATATCTCCTTTGATTGGGAGAAGTTGCCTGAAATGAAATCTAAGAAATCAAGAAGATCTAATTCACAAAAAAGAACAACTGAGAAAAAACCAAGGATTTCTATTACCAAAGAACATTCAATCGTTCATGAATCTAAATAATAACAACTGCCTCCTTTATAAATAATCTAACAGACTCAACAGAAAAGTCAGGTTTCCTTTCTTAATGTGCCTGATCTAGACAGTTAATCTCCAGATAAGTAATCAGGACTTGATAGAAAAAGCAGAGGGGTATTATATCATTAATCATTCAGTACTTAAGTAGAGGGAGTGCAGGAACTACCAGATTGATGAATTATGATCTTAGTTAGATTGAGGAGGATGAAAATGATGGAGACAATCAGAACCATACTCCTTTTCTCAATGTGAAGAAATAGAGGAAGGATCTCAAAAGCTTTTCGGTCATGTCTTAAAATCAAGTATTGAAATTCACTACCTTTTGCAAACAAGCTGGCAAAACTATGAAAGAACAACAGATTGAGGAAGTCAATTAATTTTATGGGTCATTTGATAACCTAGATCTAATTGCAAATGATGAAATCCATATCTAGATTCACAACATTGGAGCATTTTCATTCAAAAAACATTGAATCCCACATCTTGATTGTCTATAAATGAGATATGTATTGATACTATTGAAATATTATTAAACTATTAATCAAACCATCATCAACTTTTATTTCAAATGTATATATTATTTTTAATTTACAATGATATTTTATTGCTGCAGAATGCAATCACAAAGATCCAGGTGGAATACTAACAATATGAAACGGACAAATCTATGGTCTTCCCAATAACCAGAAACTGTCAAAAAAGAAGATCTTTCAGAGGAGGAGGAAGTGCAAGACAATGAAGATGATTAGGAGTTGGAATAATTTAAAAAAAGAATGTAGAGTGCTCCTCCCAGATATTACATTATTCGATTGAGCGAAGAAGAGGACTAGTCATCTTCCAGTCATTAGTTATCATAGGTTGAAGAATAACTCGAAGAACAATAAGAAGACGATGATACAACTAGATTATCAGATGAATCTTCCAGCAATTAGGACTATGATTAAGTACCTGATGATAGACCAAATATAAAACCAAAATCATTGGAACCTTTCTCCTTTAAAAAACGATATTATAGAACCGACTAATCGTGAGATAACATTTTTTATATTCATGATTATTTAATTTCTTCATAATAAATAAATATACCATGATTTATTGCGTTTCAAGAACATATTCTAAACCCAACGAAACCTTACATCACAAAAACTCATCCCTTAGTACCATCAACTCAAAACCTCCAGAAACTAATAATAATAATTCAATTCATGATCTATATGTCTCTAACAATATGATGCTTAGCATGCTCACTGTTTCAGGACAAGATTCCAACAATTAGTCCTAAATCACCTCTAATACTCAAAGAGAGGATAGCCAATTCTATTCGTATCGATAATAATTGCAAAAACAATTGTCTGAAAGGAAAATTAAAAGAAACTACGAGTAGGCACCGAAAACTAGAGAAAATAATTCAAGACAATCCATCTGTACTCCTCAATAATCTGAACCACAGGAAAGCCAAAGACAAAGTAGTAGAACTGTGCCCAATCTATTCAGAACATCCTAACTTTACACTTAAACCTAAAAATAGCTTAATCCCTTATTATTAAACTCTTCTTCTAAAGAGATCAGTTTCGGATAGTATAAATTTACAAAAAATGAAATCTTATAAGATGTAAACTCCATTTCAAATGTGACTGAGGACGATGCTAGGATTCATCTCCCCATGAAATTTCAACCATTTCAGTTCAAATAATGAAAGTAATGAAGAAATTTAAATTTTTGTATTAAAATTCTCCTTTATTTTCTATATTGCTATTAATATATTCGCAAACTTTTTATTTAAATTTTGAGTTTATCAATTTTACTCTGCCAATATATTATATTTAAAAATATTAAATAATAGAACATTTAATTCACTTTTTTTTCTTTAGGAATCCTACTACTTTACTAGACAAACTATTATCCTCTTATTAATTTTGCTATTGACTCGATGAATTATCACTAAAAATAATAATTTGCTAAAGTACTTAAGCGAAGTTTCAAAATAATCTTTCATTTCCGTCAAGTTCCTTATCAAATCCTAATAGTTTGAACTACAATAATTATGATATTATACTTATCTTTAAATGATTTCATGAACTTTAGGGTTTCTTCTAAAGTGGTAAACATCTCTTCAGCCTATGATATTGGGATCGAAATAGCATTCTTTACTGGAGCTGATGCTTTATCCTTTTTAACTTATTGAGATTGCTCTTCTACTTAAAATTATGTTTTAATAGTTTTAGTATTTGTACTAGATAAACTAGAATCAAAGAAATTGGTAGTAATTGAAGATTAGTTGCTACTTTAATTTGTTTAATTGGATGGCTAAGATTACTACTACTGTATTTGTTATGAAGGCTATTACTATTGATAGAATTGCTGTGGTTTTTATTGTTGAGGTACTGGTTTTGGTTGTAAGGGATTAATAAATTATTACTAAGTTTAATTTGATTTTTCTGGAGAGGTTTCATCTTTGTAGACTAAATCTACATCACCCTTCATTCTAAATTATGGTTTTTCAGAAGTAATTTTAACAACCTTAGCATCCACTCCTTCCACTTTGTCAGTGGTTTAGGCAAAAAAAACAGGGTTGAATTGTCTATCTGAATAGATAGAGGGTTGATTTGATTCATTTTAATCGTCTAGATTAGTCGCAGACTTTTAATTCAATAAGATAGCTCTCACATTGATTGCTGACTCAAGTAGAGCTGGCAAATTAGAAACAGGTGGGTATTTGAGAAATCTTTGATAACACTAACTGGAATCTTCCATTTCCATTACTATTATTAAATACTAACAAATTACTTGGTTGTTTAACATACAATATCATTGCAATTGCTATGCAGTCAACAAAGAACAATGTTTCTGTTTTTTATTCATAAAAGTCATAGAAAATTGCATCCCAGGCTTTAAATGATTCCAATAAATGTAATTCTCTTGTAAACATACATCTATATAGTTTCTTATATTATAATACCTTATCCATTTTAATAAGAAGATTTGGAATTCCACTTGCAATAATTTGAGATGTCTAAACATAGGCATTTCAACTTATTTCAATAGAATGTCTTAAATTTTAGAGACTCTTGTCAAAATTGCACTTGGCTTTTTGCTTTGTAATTTGATCTTTTAAGCTTCAGTATAATTGGGTCTGAACATTTCCATATGCTGTGCATCATTCATCAATTTCTAAAATAGTGTGTAGATGTCAGCTTCTGCATATTCCCATGAATTAAATTCTAGCAAGATTTGCTTGTCTTCCTCTGTTGCCTTAATGATAGATAAATTCATACTCCTTGTATCTTATCAATTTCATCGGAGTAAAGAGCTTCTTGGAAATACACATGGATCAAAGAAGCTGCAACCTCATTCATACCTTATCTATATGAAATTTCACTGTTTTCTTTGCTCCATATAAACAATACACTCGTCAAGATTTGCAATACTTTTTTATTAGCGAAAAATTAAATCTCTTGATATGTTCTTTCGACGTCCTTTCTTATTTCATTCTTTAATTCAGCATCTTCCATTGGATTTTGTGTTGGTGCCTTTATTTTAGATCCACCCCCCAATGGACCACCTAAAGGACCTCCTAATGGTCCACCCAATGGACCTTTTTTAGGTTAATCTTCAATTTTAGTTGTTGATGACACATCTTAAGATCTTGAATACTTTTGCTCTAATGATTTATAGGTTTCTCTTGTTTTGGTTAACTTGGCTATCTTATCATAGACTGTGTCTTCTAATGTGTAGATGCTAGATTGAATGTAAATAATACTTAAAAAACAATCTCCATAAATTGAATCTCTATCCAGTATTGTCCAATTAACAAAATTTGATTAGTGTTTCAATGTCTGAGATGTCATTGTTGATCATATACCTGTGAAAACTCTTCACATTAAAATGATGACCTCTTACATTTATAATATGAAATGAGATACATAAATTTTTTGAGTTGTGTAATAGCTTCCATAAAAAATAATATTTATTTATATTTAATCTTCATTTTTCATACAAGAACTCTACCTTTCAAATCCCTTTTGCTATCACTTACTTTCCGCCTCATATCCTTTAATACTTAAGCAAAATGTGTTTTGAGAACTTCCAATATTGCATCTCACTCTAGAACTCAATTAGTTCTTGCAATCTTTGGCTTAAATTTAATGGGGATTGTGAGAGATTTATCCATAATTTATTAGTTTAAATGAATTGATAGTCTATGTTTTCTCTTTATGATATATATCCACTGTTTCATCGAAGTATTGATTATAATCATTCGATTATATTATTAATTCTATCAGAGCAAAACCTACATATAAATAATAAAAGTAATAATTATTCTGCAAATATCCGATTTAAATGGATAAGCCAAACCCATAATTTAAGCAGTCTTAAATCTAGTTTCCAAATTAAAGTAATTAGAACTAATAACCTTTCGCACAACCAAGGGGAGCAATTAATAATGTAAATGGTTTAAATAACTTAGTAATAGCAGTCTGGAATATCTGCACCATCAGGAATACCTGCACCTTAATTAAATAGAGCACCTTAAGGGTAGTAGGGGGTCGCGTAACCTAATTTTAACGTATTGAATGCTTATCAACCAATTACTCTTCGTAAGTGTTATATTTATTTCTATTAGCATCTACTAGTCCAGTTTAATTTGTATAAATTAACGAGTCAGAACTAAGTATTTTTATAACATTATTTAAGATACCAAAATTGAATAGAAAGAAAGTTTAGTTGAATAATTAAATTAGAAGGCTAATTAGGTGAATTAAACCCTCTTTAATGATCGTATTGAAGTAAACGATTTAAATACGAAACTGGAGACAATGGAATAAGAATTAAAAGAACTTAGATAAAGTAATAGAAATCTTGAGGAGGAAAATTTTTAATAAAAATTCCAAAAAGATAATGAAATAGCTCAACTTATAAAAAATATAAAATAATCTAATAAGGAAAAATAGTAGCTTTAGATTGAAATTAAATAAAAATAGGACCATTATTTAATATAAGAATAGTTGATTCAAAATAATAATAAACAAAATGAAATCTAAGAGAAAAATCTACAAATGTAATAAGTAGAAATAATTAAATTGGAAACTGAAAATAAAGCAATAGAATAGTAGTTAAGTAAGTTATCACTCTAGTAGAAGAATACGGATGTAATGGATAAATATGAATCCTTATAGAAATAATTATTAACTTTAGATCAGGAAATTTTAAAGAAACAAGAGGAAATAAAGGAACAAGAAGAAAAAAGGAGAACACTTAAATAAAATATGTTTTCCAAAGATCAAACTATTGGAATGATGAGAGATCAAAAAAAGAAGATTGATAAAAAAAGTAAAAATAGTCAAGAAGATATTGAGCAATTTAAATTAGAAGTTAGCAGATAAGAAAATAGTCTTTAAGGAAAATCTAGAATAATTTAATAATAAGAAGAATTACTTAGTCAAGGTAAATTTGAATTACCAAATGATTACTAAAAGTTACAACACAATGATCAAATGCTTGTGAGATAGATTAAAGATAATTCTTTTGAGGCAAAATAATAAGAGAAAACAAATTCTAAATTAATGATGAACCAAAAAAAGCAAGAGCAGGCTAAATTAGAAGAACTTGATAAATAGGCAAGGGCTAAATAACTTTAGGAATTACAACAAAAGTTTTAATCATCTCATGGATTACTTGAAATATGTTTTTTAATTGATTGCACTGGGTATTCAAAATATTCATAATATATAGATCCATGGATCCTTACAAAAAGCAGGCAGAGTTATGCGTTTTATTAAGTATGCTCTCAGTCAAAAAATAAACTCAAAGAGACACTTTATGGTCCCTTATTTGCTACTAGGATAAAGCTGAACTAAGAAAACTAGGGGCTTATTAGTAATTGTAATTTACTGATCAACCTGAAGAAGTAGTAAACTATTTGTAATCCATTAAATGTGAAGGAGGTGGTGATGCTCCTGAAGATTTAGATGGAGCCATGAGGCAAATGATCAAAAATCTTAAGTGGAGAACTTAATTCAGAATTGCTATGTTAATTTGTGATGCTCCTTGTCATGGAACAAAATTCCATGATTTTGAAAGAAACAGAGATGATTACCCTGATGATGATTTGACTGGAGCTGTTGAATAAATGATTTAGAATGACATCTTCTTCATTGGAGTCCTTTTTACTGGACACACAAATAAAATGTTTACATAAATTAGAAATATCTATCGACAACACGATAAAGAAGAATACTATTTCCATTATGATTTACGAAATGCATAACCAGATAGGATTTTTGAAGAACTTGTAGGAGTTTTGACAAAAGTGTCCTAAACTGCCACTTAAACTAATGTAAGAGGCACCAAAGTAAAAAATCGTGGCAAAGTACCCATCGAAAATCCTGGTACTAAAGGAAATAAGGAAGAGTAGAATCCTGTTGAAGTTCTTTGCATTCTCCTAGTAAGAGAACAACCAAATTAAAATGATTTTGTTCTTGAAACTTTTAGAGTCTTTAGAATAGAATTTAGCGATTAAGCATTCAATTAGAAATACTTAGAAATCTAGACTATAGGAGTTAATGATTTCAAGTAAATTGAAGAAGGTTAATGGTCATGTCTCAGGTCAAAAGATCCATTTGCTCAAGGTGCTATGAAATCAGCATATTTGATGATAAGAGCACATTAGAATGCCACAAAATAGAAGGAACTTTATGTTTGCAAGACTCCTAATGATTTAAAGCCTTTTAAAACATTTTAAAGTGCAGTCCAAGAGTGTTTGACACATTTAATTACTTAGAAATGGATGAAGAAGTTCAATCGTGATTTAGATGATGCCATAGCCAAAAAGAATATCAAAAAACGATATCCTTAAGTAATATATTCAGATCTCCTAATATTTGTGGATGCTAGGGGTAATTAATTGTATTGAAAATAGGTAATCATTGGATTGCAGAGAGATATTTTGAAGGCGAGTTTGTTAAATATAATAATAATTACGGGTATATAAATAAAGAGAACACTGATTTAAACAAAATTGCAAATTCCTTTTCTGTTTATTCTTTTGTTAAGAGTAACTTTAATTATCTAATATGCGACATTTAAGGTGTAAAGTGTTGCTTTACTGATCCAGCCATATGCACTATGAAAAGTAAGCTATTCATTCTAATTATGAGATCACAAACTTGAACCAACAGACTTAGGTTAAGATGGAATTGCATAATTCCAAGTTTCCTTCAATTTAGTCAAAGACACTTGTAAAGAGGTTCTACAAATTCTAGACATTAATGTTTGATAATTTAGATGTTGTGATTAATAAAATAAAGAAATTAGAAATTACAACTTCTTTTATAAGCTATAATATACAAAAAAAATTATAAATTAATAAGTAAATGAATAAATTTCTTTTAACTTTCAAAGACAGTAAAATAGAAAAGGACTACTAGGAAAATAAATTAAATACTCTATAAAAACCTATTTTCTATTGGCTTCTTGTAATGTCATTTACTTTAAATCTATTGAAAGTAATTCTAGACTATACCTATTACACAGTCAATAATCAAAGTTGGATGAATGTAGGATTTGTGATATTAGTAATCCTTGAACTCTTTTTAGCCTGCTATAAAAAATAATACATTAAATACGCATTAATCATTTCAAACCTTTCAGCAGGATTGCTATAAATTAATTTCGATGAAAGTAACACTTTCCCTTAAGAATATTATTCATATGGTAGCTATTATGCTATGCTTTCAGTGGTTGTTTATTTTATGACTGATTTTCCTTATAGCGTTTTCTAGGTCTTTATCCATTTGAGTATGAAAATCTTTTTTACAACAATCAAGAGTCATCGAATAGATATGTTGGGAATAATTCTGGGACTGATAACAAATGTATTCTTAGTGTTAACATTGTATATTTGTGATTGGAATTCAAGAAGATAATTCCTTCTAAATTTGAGAGAAGTAAGATGGGAAGAATCTTTACCATTTATAATAAAAAAACCGTTTTATTTGTTTACTTACAAGGACAAAAATATGTCCTTTTAAGTCAATAGAGCTTACAATCAAGATTTCTTCCCTTATTATAATTAGGAAGATTGTTGTGGTTGCAATTTTAGATAGTTTTTAAGAAAATGCAAAGTAGAAAATAATAATTTAGAAATTTATTTATTTGATAAAAGAAATGAAAAGTTAGATTTCGATTTGGTATATTAAAATAAGACTCATAAATTTGATATAAGGGTTTGTGCAATTGGATTGGATTAAATTAATTATCTCATTATTTTGGAGAAACTCAAACTCTTAACAACAAGCTACATTCCAAAATAAACAAATCTTCGCCAAAAGATATTTCAAATTAAAAAGACCCAAATCAAGTATTAACACTAAAAACATTTTTTATTGGGTGTCTTTTCGATGTTTCTCTACAATAACAAAGAAATCACTTCAATAAACTTAGTTGACGTACTCCAAAAATTTAGTAGTAGGTACTTCATCATCTCTAAATCAAAAATACATATTGTTTATTCAGACAGATCAATTTATTAGTTAATAACATATAAACATTAATTAATAATTTATTTAATTTAACTATTTGATTGTTTAATCAATAATTAGGCAGATCCACATTCGGGAATTAAATTGCTTTTAAATTAGGGTTTGTATGCAATTCGATTAAAAATATATTTGACTAATAGATTAAAATTCCAAGAACAATACAAAGATAATTTTTTCATCTAAGAAATAGAAAGAAATATTTTATCAGAAGAAATAGATGAGAGATTAGAAATAAGTTTCTTAAAAAAAGTTAGAAGTGCTGAAACTTCAATTTGATTTTATAGATTCATTGATTCTACTTTCTATTATTATTCAAAACATAAATATATGTTTGTTGATATCTTTATCTTTCCCTGGTTAGAATCTTAATTTTATTCTTACCTTTATGAGATAAGAATAAAAATAAATATTAATAACAATAATCATTAAATAATAAAAGCAATTGTAAATATAATTCAATTAATATCAATCAGTAATTTTCAAGTTAGCTATCCTATAATCTAAATGATTCACTGTGGAGATTTCTTTAAATTAGTAAATTGAGTCGAGGCCTAGTCTTCTTTTAATCTGGAGATAAGCATCTTTCCTCTACAAATGATTAGGCCCGTATTCTTTTATTAGTTAAAAAATCAAAACACTACTAATCTACAGTTACTTATTTTTGATTCTAACTAACTCTATCAAGTTGGAGCCTTCTTATTCTAATCAAGGGGGATATATCATGTGCTAAGAATTGTTGATTATAGGAAAACTTTAATGAATCAGGTTAAAATGATGTATTTTCAATATTTTATTTCGAATTGTTGGACACTTTAAATTATTTTGATGGCGATTTGGTTTCTAGCCTTATACCATGTACCCCTTGCTCAAAAGAGAAGCAATATTGCTAAGTAAGTTATTTTGGTAATTAGATTTTTCTTAGATTGTCGTTCACGAATAATTTATTATTAAGACATTCTTCGCCTCTTTTTGTATTTAATTTTTTAGAATTACGTTTTAAAGCAGTTCCAAAAAACCCTTGATGATTCATTTGTGTTTTTGAAGATTTATTTATTAATAATTAGTTGAATTGATAATTGTTTTGATAACATTAATTTATTATCAATGGATTAATAATTAACTAAAAAACTAAAGAAGCAATAGGTCTAGAAGGTTTAATTTCATTAATTGCATGAATTTGCTGGGTTCTAGGTAGCCAAGGACATTCAACCAATAGATTCAGATCCTCAAAGAAGAAAACCTTAGTAATTGACATCATATCAAGCACAAATTCGGCAACAATCATACATGAAATCCAAATTTTAATTGGTCTTACTTTAACAACCCATCAGTAAATAGAGACATTCTATATTATCAAAGAAGAAGTTAGGTGGGATGATGTGTATTAAGTAATTTACTCGACAACTCAAGATATTACTTGTCCTATATGTATAAGCGATCACGATATCATAACTCCTTATATCACACCATGCGGACACATTTATTGTCTTCCATGTTATCAAAGACATAAAATTCAATGTAAATTCATGATTCTTAATATTTTAGCAAAATTTAATTAAAAGTGCCCTCTTTGTGGAGAACTGGCAATATTGTCTGATTTGAAATCGGTTAAAATTATCAAGCACAAAATTAAAAATGTTGGAGACATTGTACTTTTAAATCAAATTTAAAGATATAAAAATGAAACAGAATTATATATTAATGGAAAAGAATCAATCGTCTATGCACGAACTTTAATTGCCAATGAATCCTATTTATTGAAAATTTTTGAAGAAGAAATTTAATAACTATAACAGTAAATAATTATCAATATTTCAGCTATATAGAGTTTTGCGAGACTGAAATTTAGGAACCAATTCAATAATCTATATAATTTCTCTTAGAAAGATAGGATAAGTTACCAAAAAGGAACCTTGATAATAAACCTGAAATTGTACTTAAATCATTCTCTTAAAAATCAAATGAAGTGATGTATAGATTTTTTTAAGACTCAAATGGGCTTTTAGGATTTTTACATCCTTTATGTCATAAATATGTTACTCTTTAATTTGGAAATGATAACATTCCTCAGCAAATTGAAGCATTCTTAATCTAAAAAGACTAATTTACTTAGAACGGAAAAACATAAACTAAATATAAGTAATTTCATATTTAAATTCTAAGATTTCTTTCTCATATTCCTATAAACACAGAATTCTATTTTTACGAAATAGATTTAAAATAGATTTTAAATGAAGATAATTTTAAGGAATATTCACGAGAAGTATATTATAAATATATATTTAGATTTCAGATTTTAGGGAAAGATAGAGAAAAGAAAAATTACGACAAGAGGAAAAATTTAATTAAATTCAAGCTTAATAAATTTAAAAATAATATATAATGGAGAATGGAGGAGATTATACTTATTAAAATTTATAAGAAGATGAAGTTGAATTTGATGAATAAAATTTTCCAGAATTGCCAGGTGTTAAAAGTATAAGTTAATCATAAAATGATGTACAAGATAAAAGAGAAATTGATTAATTATAATAATAATAATAATAATAATAATAATAATAATAATAATAATAATAATAATAATAATAATAATAATAATAATAATAATAGTAATAAGAGATCAATATAGATTTAGAATCTTAATTTCCAAGTTTAAATGAAGAATGTTCACAAATTAAAATTAACCCATTTTCAAAAACTTGGGGTTTATAATAACAAAAAGCAGAATAAAAAGTTGAAATCGAGTAACCGATTAAGAAAGAAACTACAAATCAAGAAGTAGTCAAGCTAAGTGATTTAGATTTTCCTGTATTTGTTAAATAAAAAAATAAAAAGAAGAGGCAAAATTAAAGAGAGTGAAATATATATATATTAATATTTATTAAAAAGTAATGTAATAAGGACTAGCTTAAAAGAGATTATTGATGGATTTTAAGAAAATATAATAAGAAAATCAAGAAGACTTTATGGCTTCCCCTTAAGAAAATGATATTTTCCATTGGGAAGCTGTGATTTTTGGGTATTTGATTTAATGTGATAATTAGACCAGAATAAACACCCTGGGAAGGAGGTTGCTTTGAATTAAAGTTAGCTTTTACAAATGATTATCCTACAAAACCACCTGAAGTTAGATTCGCTCCTCCCATATATCATCCAAATGTCTATCCAGATGGAAGAATTTGCTTAGATATTTTAAAGGAACAATGGACTCCAATCTTGGATGTGTGGGCAATTTTAACATCTATTAGATCGCTCTTGTGTGACCCAAATCCGAACTCACCTGCAAACCCAGAGGCCGCTAAAGTAAGATGAGTTCTATAATATAGTTATATATGTCTGACAGAGCTGAATATTATAGAAGAGTGAAGGAATAGGTAGAGAAAACATTGAACGGAATTGAAGAAGAAAAATGATTAGATAAATTATTAAATCTATATCAGACGGTAAACCAACCATTTCTAAGAAGTTATCTTAGAGACCATGCATTCCTTTGACTAATGTCTTGAGTTTCATCATAGGAAGTCTTCCATGTCCAATAGGTCCAACCTCCCTTAGCAGATGTGATTGTGTCTCTGTATTTGTCTCCAAAGGATTTGAAGCTTTCTTTACTAGCAAAAGGTGCATTGTCAGTAGTTGCAATACTCCATTCTCCAATAAATATTGGATTTCCTTTCCAAATATCTAGTTAATTTTAGACTCCTGGGATTCCAATATTCAGAATTTATTCTTCATTCATATCCTCATATCCCCATATTAAATATTTATGCCATTCTTACCATACATGAGGTTCTTTCAAAGCAAAATCATTGAAATGATCAGGATCTTATTCGTAAAGCAATGGAGCAACAGTAAGAATACAATCGTTTCCTGTGGCTCTGATTTCTGAAATGGCAGTAAGATAATACTGCTTAAGAGTGGCTTCATCAGTTGTTCCTGAAGGTTCATTAAGTAATCCCACTCCTAAAAATGCTATTTCTTATTTGTATCTTTCAGCCAAGAATACTGCAAGATCAACAGTATTTCTCACATTTTCAGGATATTAGGCCCAATAAGATTAGCCAGGAACAGGTGGAGCGCTATGATCCAAACCATTTTATGATCCCTTGGCAGCATGTATTTGGACAAGGACTGCCACATTATGTTTTACAGCCCAATTTTTGATTAATTAGTCTAAATACTTGAGACCATTTGGGGCAAATATCTTCCAATCTGATCCACCAGTTTTATCAAATCCAGCTATCCAAAAGCCAACAGAGACTCTAACAGTGTTAATTCCATATGATGCCAATTCTGCGATGTCTTATTCTGTGATCCATTCTTGTCTATGCTTTTCAAATCTAGCATCTCCAACACTATGACCTAAATAGGACATTAATCCATATTCTCCATATCCATGATAGTACTCTGGGACTCCTTCCCAAATCACAGAGCTAGATGTCATCCAATGCTCTACTACAAACCATCCACCTAAATTGACTCCTTTGCTCTTCACTTTCCCTGATCTAATGTCTGGTTAGATATGACAAAAGACTAATGTCATCATCAAACATAGAAATATGATTTTCATAAATTTTATAAAAATATTTATATACTAGTATGGCAGCATTGGATGACAATTATAATCATTGGGATTTAGAAAGCGATGACTATCGTATGCCAGGTTAGGTTATTAAAAATTACAATTCACATCACAATGAGCCACAACCAGTATCTAATTATATTTATACTATGCTAAAAAACCAGACTGTTCAGTTGAAAATTAGAGTAGATCCTCTGACACTGAAAACTATTACACTCATGCTCCACTTGTAACAAATAACCATTTATTCTATTATTCAGTTTACCGAAAAACCTAAGTGCACTCCTCTAGTCAAGAAAGAAATCATTGAATTTGAGGAAGAGGAGCCCAGAAAAATGGGCACCCCTTCAAGTCATGAAGCCATCTCATTACAAACACCGAAAAGCATGAGAAGTCAACAACCCCATAAAACTAAGGCTGCTGAAAAAATTAGAGCACGACTATCGAAGCCTTAAATACTTACTAAGAACTAAATTCGTCAAAAGCAGTTGTAACAATTTATAGATGGATGGGGTTTTTCTTTATTGATGGCCCTTGTTACAATATATGCATTATTTGGAGATGATATAAGAATCTTATCTGTTAACAAGGATGGAGATGACATTTTCTTTATTTTGACATCAATTTGCATTGCGTGTTTCACTATAGAAATTGTATTAACTTGCATAGTCAATCCAGCCTATCTATTTAATGTATTTAGATTTTTATCACAATAGTTTTACTTTTGGCTTGATTTGATATCTACTGCCACAATGATATTAGACATCGGTTGGATTACAGATCATTGGTATGGTGATGAGGGGGATGTTTAAAATGCTGCCACTCTCAAAGCCTTAGGGAAAGCGTCAAGAACAGCAAGGAAAGCGGCCAGGGTGATAAGAATTATAAGATTAGTTAGATTGATCAAATTATATAAACATGCGAGATAACAAATTGAAAAAGAAAAACAAAAAAGTATTCTGTAAGAATTGCTATTGAAAGATGAACAGAAACTCAATTCATCATAGTAATAACATCAATAATAATAGAACAAATAAAAATAAAATTATTTAATTAGAATTTCTATATTATAGTAAAATAAAAAGAAACCTAAGACAGGAGATCTGAATTCATAACTCCCTTATATCAATAAAAGTAAACATTCCAGATCTTAATCAGAACATGATCAAAATAGTAGTAATAATGAGCAATTGAAATAATCTACTCATTCATAAAGTGATTAAATCAAAGAATCTCATGTAGGATCTCAATTGTAAGATTTGGTGATGAGAAGAGCCATTACTATTATTATTTCTATATTAATAAGCATTCCAATTCTTACTTTGGATACATATTCTGAAATTATTAATAGCTATGACTCTGGAATATTTAGAATTAGTTAATTTAGAAAGAATTTACCAATTACAAATATGCTTATCTAACAATATGTCTAATTCCATAATCCCGAAATCTACCCTATTCAATCTGTTTTAGTACTCCAAGACGATTTGAATCAAGTATATACTGAGTATAATTACACTACTAATCCTGATTGGTTTTAATCAACTGAAATGGTCAAAAGTCAATATCGATTTTCAGATCAATAATACTTTGTAACAACTGATGACGACAATTAATTGATCACATACTCTGTCTCAGATTTAGTAGATTATAATAAAATTAATGCTATATTATCTATTTTTTAAACTGTATTTGTTTGTATAGTGTTGGCTTTGAGTGCTATTTTGTTTAATAAAGATGTCACAGAGTTAATAATTGAACCTATTGAAACAATGATACAAAAGATAGAATTGATAGCTAACAATCCACTTGAGGCTGTTAATATTGAAGAATAGGAAGATCTTATTACATAGGAGTTAGAAAAAAACAAAGACATTTAAAAAATTAGACAAAGGCAAATTGAGTAAACTACAGAAACATATTTGTTGCAAGAACTAATAATGAAAATAGGAGCACTATTGGCTGTTGGTTTTGGTGAAGCAGGTTCAGAAATTATAGCAGAAAATATTAAAAAGGGTGGAAGTGTAGATCCTATGATACCTGGAAAAAGAGTGCTTGCAATTTTTGGCTTTTGTGATATTCGTAATTTTACTGATGCCACTGAAGTATTACAAGAGGATGTTATGGTTTTTGTTAATGAAATTGCAGAAATTGTACATTTTACAGTTGACAGCTATGGTGGTTCTGTTAATAAAAATATTGGTGACGCTTTTCTCTTAGTGTGGAAGTATCCTGATATGAAATATCATGTAGACCCATAAACAAATAAGTTAATATTGCATAGTGATCATAATGTTAAACAAAGAGGTGATATGGCAGTTTTATCATTTTTGAAAATTATAATCTCTGTATCTCTATCAAAAAAATTAGATAAATACAAAAGGCATGAAGGACTAAATTCCAGAATTAAAGACTATTGTGTTCGAATGGGTTTTGGTTTGCATTTGGGCTGGGGTATTGAAGGTGCCATAGGATCATCCTTTAAAATTGATGCTTCATATTTAAGTCCAAATGTGAATATGGCATCAAGATTAGAAGCTGCAACTAAATAATTTGGCACATATATTCTTATTAGTGGAGTCTTAAAGAGAAATTTAACATAAGCTTGCTAAAATCATATAAGATTAATTGATGTTGTAACGGTCAAGGGTAGCATTGAGCCGGTGGAATTATACACAGTGGATTTGTCAATAAAAAATCTATTAAATAAATTTAAGGAGCCAAGAGATATTTTTGATATTAGTAGGATGAAACCAAGAGAATAAAAATAATTCAGAGTTGTTAATAGATATAAGAGAAATCTCTTAATTAAGAGTGTTGAGGATGATAAAATTCAACTTGCAACACTTTTTGAAAAAGATGAAGATCTGATTGCAGCTAGAGAACTATATACTTAAGTATAAAAATCATTTTGAATAGGAATTCTATGATACATGGATTTCAGGTTTTAATTCTTATATCAGGGGAGAATGGGATGAGGCTTAAAAGATTTTCATGAAAACATTAGTAAAATTAACGAAATAATTAAGACTATGATACCTGAACACAAAGATGGTCCATCAAACACATTATTGGAAGTTATAAATTCTGCTGGAGGTAGAGCACCTTATGATTGGAAGGGCTTTAGAGAACTCACAGAAAAGTGAATTGATTTATAAATCATTACTAACATTTAGGTTATAAGTTTATAAATTATTTCTTTAGAATATTTGATATACAATATTATCAATCGATTTCAATACCTATTGATTTTAATAACTATTCACATAATGCTTTTTTTGCTTAAAAAATTGTCAAATAATTTGAAATGCCATCTTCTCCAACATCTGTTTCGTCAAAATTACCTAAATTTAGTGTGCTATTTATTTGTACCTTTAACAGTATTAATAGCTGGATCAGTCAAATAATTATTAATTCCTTATATATCATTAATGATGTAGCTAAACTAGCTCACCTAATAAGTAAAGAAGGAGAAGCCCTAAGAGATGGCATTCAATTCGCTATTTTCATCACTTATATAACCATCATTATTGTTGTATTTTTTAAAATCTCCCTCAAAATATCTTTCTGCTATCCAATATTTATCTAAATTATAATAAATTTTACTCTAATTTTCTTCCAAAATTAAGAACTGTGTATACTAAACTTAAGGTGTTTTCTCCTTCACATTTGTGAGTTTTTCAATAAAGATTTTCATCAGATTTTTAGCAATTAAGTGAGATCTGCAATCATTAACTGCATCTGATAAGGTGTTGTAAGTCCCTTTTTGAATTGGTATTTTCACAACATAAATTTCATTAGTATTATTTTTTTTTTTCATTAAATAAACTTTCTTCATCATTCCCAAAGCAAATGGATTTTTTGTCCTAATACATTGCCATTGAGCTTATTCTTTTAAATCAAAATCATTTTCTTCATATCTAATTTTTTCAATATTTTCTTTTTTCGATTCAAATGATGCTTACTTAAGTTCGACAGAATAAACCTTACAATTAAAATCCACACATTAAACCTTAGCCTAAAAATTACCAATATCTTTCTGTTTACATAATGCTTGCAATGCCCCATCTTAACAATCTTAATTTTTTTATAATTCATCTTCAAATTTATTTTTATCATCTATTGCATCTTAAACAGAAACTTCAGGCAAATTTCCTTTTTATTTTTCTCCTTATTTCTAAATTTCTTATTATAGATCTTTATTTATTATGATTACTTCCTCTTTTAAATTTCTCCTGTCAATTAGTCCTTCCTCAAAATTGTGATTTCTGATTTAATAATTGATTTTAGTTTTTGTTTTGAGATTATTAGTTCCTATGATGTGGCCAACCATTTTTTGTATCATTTGTGTAAGCTATTAATCAGAATTGTTTGAACCAAGTCCTTTGACTGAGAGCGTGTTAAATAGAGTACCAGCATTATAGCCTTAATAGATTTTTTCCAATTAATTACACATTACAGTTGTCTCATCATTAAATCTTATCACTAAGAGTTCAATTTGTCTTCTAATTAAATCTTAAATTATATTTTCCATATCATCATTGGGTTTTGTATCATAATTAACAGAAATTAAACCAAACCATGAAGAATATTTTTTAGGATTATGGTATTTTTTTCCATGACAGGGTGAATTTGGAATTAAAACAGCAAGCTTATATTGTTCAGTCCAATCTAATTTAAGCATAGCTTAAAGGGCACTTTTCAGGTCTTCTGGTTAATCTTTATTATCTTGATTTAATTTCTAGCTTGATAAAAAATTTGATATATCTTCAGATGACTTACTAAATTCTTAAGTTTTCATTTGGAATCCGTTCTTTGAATAGCCGTAACAAACAGCTCCCCAAAAAGAATGTCTATTGGTATTTGTTTTAATCAACTTTTAGCACGATTTAGCAGCATTTATGATTGCTTTGGCTGTTTTTTCATTTGATCTATATTATTATACTAATTTACTTAAATAGATCCGTAACAAAACAGCATTATATTTTACCAGCCTTTTATATCTGTTCTTACATTCTCTTTTTCCCCTCAATGTTTCTTAGCTCTTATTCTTATTAATCCTATTATTTTTTTTATAATAATATCTCTTTAGCTCTTTTCATATCATCCTACTATTTATTTTTGACATCTTATTATCTTTATTGAAATTCTTTTATAAATGATTAGATTTCGTTATTCTCAACATTTTAATTATTATTTTAATTCTATTCTAATTTACCTCTCAACTCTTCTATACATTCCTCATAGTATGTTGCTTTATCTTAAAGCACTTTATTATCAATTTGAAGCATTTTGTAATTTGTCTCAAGTTCTTTATAATTATATTCAATAATTCTGATATTATTTTCTAATTCCTTATTTAATTAAAGTAAATTAGCCTCATCAGTCTTTGAAGAAATATTGTGGATATAAGATTCCTTTTCAATGTATTCTTAGTTGATTGTTTATAGTGTCTCAATCAATTAAGCTTTTTATTAAATTTCTCTATCTTAAGCGACTACTTTAGATTTAAGTTAATCATTTTCATCTTTTAAATCTTTCATCGTATTATCCATCCGAAAGTCTTTTATCTAACTTTCTTAACCCAAGCTGTTTAATTTTTCTATGTAACATTGAATTTCATCTGTTAAAATATTAACTTCTGCTTATAATTTTTTGTTTGCTTGTATATGTTTTCTTTCTTTTTCCTCTAACTCCTCACACTTTAATTGGTAATTGTATAATTATTGTTTAGACTTATCGATTTCATCGTTAAAAGATATTTTGGATTTTTATAAAGTTCCTTTTAACTCTTTTTTACTCTCTTGGAATTCTTATTAAAGGTTCTAATTTGCCTCGTTTAGGGTAGTTAATTAATTTTTTAAACTTTAAATTTCATCGTTTTTCTTTTTTACATCTTCTTTTAATTTTTATACCTCATCATCATTACTATTAACCTGGTTTTGTTAAAATATTGGTGGAGGAATTTAACCATTATTTTAACGAAATTGAAACATCGCAGGGTTGACATTTGGAGGACCCATCCCAGGGCCTATTCCTGGAGTATTTATTCTAGGCATCATTGGTTGTGCTCCTGGAGGGATGCTGAAATTTGGTTAGAATTAGAATTAATTTAATTATGAAGGAAATTAAGGAATTTAGGCCTAATATGAGAACAATATTTACAAATTGATTATTAGGAAATTGAACTGGAGGCTAAGACATTTATGGAAACTACTAAATGTTCTAACCCACAAAATTGCTTGGTGCTTACTAATTGTTCTAGACTGAAGAATTGCTCGGCACAAATTATTAGTTATTTTGGATACTCTTAGGATATTATCAAATTATTTTACTTATGTGTCTAATATCTCTGGTATCTATTAATTCATTTATAAAATCAATTATAATTTTTATTATGAATTAAATATCATTTAGAGTGGTTTTTATATTCATAAAAATTAAAGTATCTTAAAATCTAATAGAAATTCAAATATTTCGATAGGATATATCCCTAAATGCATTTATTATGAGATTCTAACCTACAAAATAATATCTTACATTATTATTGATAGTGATTTAAAATTAAATAGAATTATATCTTCCTTAAAATTAAAAGGATTTATACTAATTTATAATTGAAAGAGCTCCAATTAAATATCAATAGAAAATAAAGATTAAATGCAGGAATAAATTGGTTAGACTAAGTTTTAAAAATGGATGAAAAATGCATCTTAACAAAAAATGAATAAAATAACAGAGAATAAGAAATATGCTAAAGAAATTGAAAAGAAAACAGTAATGAATGGAGAAGATTTTATGATAGAGCTCGATCTATTTGATTAAAAGTAAGAAAGATAGGTCCCTAAAGATTCTATTAGTAAAATCAACAAAAAGAGTCAGTCTAAAGTACAAGAGAAAAATAACGAGATCTTATTTTTAGACTTACTTAAAGAAGCTGGGAGATAAAAACAACTTCATAATAAATTTTAATTTTAAGAATAATATTAACAAGTTGAGGAAGATCTAAATAAGGAGGAATAAAAATAGGAAAAAGAAAACCAAATCAAGCCTGATTGTTGGAAAAGGAAAAAGGATTATTAAGACTTATCAAATATTTAAAAGACCTCTAAAGTAATGATTATTTAGGATGATTCGGATGAAAAATATACAGAAAATAAAAATTCATTGATTCCTACTAAAATAAATGGATAGCAGAATTATACTATCTAAGTATCAAAGGAGTAAAAGGAAAGTTAGAATGATAAAACCGACTAGGAATTGTTAAGTTCAAAATTACTATGTCAATATGAAAGTTAAATCTAGAAAATAAAAAAATAATAAAAGCATCCAAAAATTTAGATTTAACAGAATGTAAATTCTAAGTAGCATAAAAAAATGCCAGTGATGATAGTGGATGCTTTTGTGTAGACAGATGATACTAGTGACATACATGGATAAGAAATTCTCAATTTAATTTTATTAGAATAAAATACAGTTTATTAATTGAACTAACTTCATGAAAAGATTTTAAGATTGCTTAATAATTAGATTTGATTATATATAATTTTGGTTAATTTTTGTATTTGATTATAATTCAATTCTAAAATTTTATTTGTTTTATTTAATAAATTAAGAAATGATTATTTTTGTTTACTACAACAAGAAAAAGGTCAAGATTGTTTTATCTTAACCTTCTTTATAGTTGCTCTACAAGCTAGTCCAAGATAATTTAAAAGTAATTAAACCCATAAACTAAAGTTACCATTTGACTTTGAACTTAGAGACAACATGAATAAAATTGTATTTGATTTATATGATGGATTAGAATTAAATGTGTCAGAAGTCTCTACAATAAATTAATAAATCAAATCTAAAACAGTTAATGATTAATAGTCCTTTAGGTTAGGTAGAGAAAGAATTCATTCATTAAATATATTAAGTTCACAAAAGAAGTCTTACTCAGATTTTTCTTCACCTATTGATTAAACTCAAATATAATAAAATAAACGGGAGTAAATAATATAAAAAATGATGGAGGATAAATTGTATCGAGAAGAACAACAGAAATTAAACCATGATGGAAATAAGTTGATTAAGCAAATATAGAAAAGAATAAAGTTGAGAGAATAAGTTATTAAATTGAAAGATGAGGCTCTGAATATTTCAGAACTAGAGAAAAAGAAAGTAAATAAATTTTAATAACTTCAAGGTAATCTTAGCATAGAGGAGAGAACTAAGTTAACCAATTAGATTGGATGTGTTGGCAGAGCATTAAAAAAGATATGAAGAAGAGAAATTCTAAAAATTGAAATAAAGACAACAATAAAAGCAAGAACAAGAAGAAGAGTTCAAAATGAAATTAATCAAGTTTCCAAAAAGCTAAACCCTTGTTCGTCTTGAAGAGGAATAAGCAAAATTAAAACTTTCTCAATAATAAGCAGTAGAACAAAAAAAATTATTGAAATAGAAACAATAAAGATATGGAGAATCTGTAAAGGATAGTTTCCTTAAGGATATTGTAAGACATTCTATATCCCCAATTAAACCAACATAAGAATAGAATAGTATTTAGCAGAATCAATTGGATATTGCAAAATAAAACATAAAGAAATTATAAAGTTTATTGGGAGAAAGAAAAGTGGATAAAATCTTGATACTTCCTGAGAGAAGAAGTGTGAATGATATTAGGTAAAGAGGATAGAATTCTTTGATTGAAATGAAAAAAAGTGATAAAATTGAACGTGTAGAAAAACCATATACAACAGATCATAAAAATTTAATATCCAAGAGAAAATTATTAAAGTCTGGACTCAACTCTGCAAACTTTCCTTCATCTTTGAATGATATTAAGCCCATCCACTTCGAAGAAAAGTATTAGACTGTCTTAAAATCCATTATGGAATTAGAACAAAAATGTAAGGAAAGAGAAAAACGATTTATGCTCAATAAATAGCAATAATTAGAGGAGGAAGAAAATGAAAAGTATATTGAAAAATTAAGATAAAAATTAGCTTTGATTTGAATAATAATTAATTCCATTTTTCCATAACTGTTACATTCTATATTTTATATAAATTAATTAATTATATTAAAAAGAACCTATGCTATAAAAGCGAGAGAGTATAGTAAATATCGTTGTCGGCCATACTAAGCCTAAAGCACCGGATCCCATTCGAACTCCGAAGTTAAGCGGCTTAAGGCGAGGTTAGTACTAAGGTGGGGGACCGCTTGGGAAGTCCTCGTGTTGACAACCCTTTTTATTTTTATTTCAATTATTAAATGTTTAAAATTTAATAAAAAGTACATAATTGAAATTTTTTAAGGTTTTAACTTTTCACTTTTATCATGTAAGTCTGTTCTTTATAAAGTAATTGATGTGTTAAAATAAATTTATTTTTAAAAATTGAACTTCCTATTTGAATTACATATTGAATAAATAAAGAAAGTATTAAAACATTCTGAATGATCATTAAAGATAAAAAGAAATGAGGTTAATAGAGAGAAAGTAGCATAAATTAGGTTCAAATATGAGAATAATTTGAATATATAATCATACTAATAAGATATAATTCGTTCTGTATTTGTCTACAGAAATCATTTTGAGTGAGTTTAGAATACTGTTAGATATTAATCTATCATAATCTTTTAATTTTCAATTCCATTTTTCATTTCTCTCATAAATTTATTTACTCATCTTCCAAAGAATGAGCATTCAATCCATGAAAAATTAGGTTTATTTTTGATTGTATCTAATTTTGAGGTATTAATGCATCTTGAAGACAGTGCTTGAAGATATTAGTTACTTTATTTAATTAATTGCTCCATTAGGTTTCAATTTAATCAAATCTAACAATAGCATCGTTTGAATTGATTTCAGTAGAAATCATAATATATAAATTAATTTATGAAGTACTCAATACAAGGAAGGTATATTCTATACAAGGATCAATTAATTAATGGATATATATGCATTGAGGATGGGTTAATCAAACACATTTTAGAGTCATAAGACGAATTGATAATATAATAATACCCTATAAAATATGTCTACGAGAATCAGATTATCATGGCAGCTGCTATTGATACTAATGTGTCTCTTAGTATATGGGATCATATTGAAGACTTCACCAAGTAAGAGTTACTTTGAATAGATTGGCTATCATAGGTGGAGTTTCCCTTATTATTAACAAACCCTTTGTTTTTGATATGGAGTTGAGTTCCAAGGAGACTTACGCGAATCAGATTGAATAATTGAACTTAAGGTCCTAGACAGACTTTATTCAAATGGCCAAGTTGCAGAATTATTAGGATGTACTTTAATATGAATTATGACTTAAAGATAAATGGTTTGTTGAAATTGGGAGCATTTTGTTTTGACTGTCATTTAGTGCCATCATATTCAGGAACATATTGCAAAGACAATGAGCAAATTATTTAAATAATTTAAAATCTACCAAGTAAATCATGCTTGTTTATCCACACTTAAAGTGCTTTAGATAAAGATTTGGGAATAACATCTCCATTCAGAAGCAAGCCTTTTAATGAGAGATTGGTGACTTCGTAATTAGANTTTTTATTTTTATTTCAATTATTAAATGTTTAAAATTTAATAAAAAGTACATAATTGAAATTTTTTAAGGTTTTAACTTTTCACTTTTATCATGTAAGTCTGTTCTTTATAAAGTAATTGATGTGTTAAAATAAATTTATTTTTAAAAATTGAACTTCCTATTTGAATTACATATTGAATAAATAAAGAAAGTATTAAAACATTCTGAATGATCATTAAAGATAAAAAGAAATGAGGTTAATAGAGAGAAAGTAGCATAAATTAGGTTCAAATATGAGAATAATTTGAATATATAATCATACTAATAAGATATAATTCGTTCTGTATTTGTCTACAGAAATCATTTTGAGTGAGTTTAGAATACTGTTAGATATTAATCTATCATAATCTTTTAATTTTCAATTCCATTTTTCATTTCTCTCATAAATTTATTTACTCATCTTCCAAAGAATGAGCATTCAATCCATGAAAAATTAGGTTTATTTTTGATTGTATCTAATTTTGAGGTATTAATGCATCTTGAAGACAGTGCTTGAAGATATTAGTTACTTTATTTAATTAATTGCTCCATTAGGTTTCAATTTAATCAAATCTAACAATAGCATCGTTTGAATTGATTTCAGTAGAAATCATAATATATAAATTAATTTATGAAGTACTCAATACAAGGAAGGTATATTCTATACAAGGATCAATTAATTAATGGATATATATGCATTGAGGATGGGTTAATCAAACACATTTTAGAGTCATAAGACGAATTGATAATATAATAATACCCTATAAAATATGTCTACGAGAATCAGATTATCATGGCAGCTGCTATTGATACTAATGTGTCTCTTAGTATATGGGATCATATTGAAGACTTCACCAAGTAAGAGTTACTTTGAATAGATTGGCTATCATAGGTGGAGTTTCCCTTATTATTAACAAACCCTTTGTTTTTGATATGGAGTTGAGTTCCAAGGAGACTTACGCGAATCAGATTGAATAATTGAACTTAAGGTCCTAGACAGACTTTATTCAAATGGCCAAGTTGCAGAATTATTAGGATGTACTTTAATATGAATTATGACTTAAAGATAAATGGTTTGTTGAAATTGGGAGCATTTTGTTTTGACTGTCATTTAGTGCCATCATATTCAGGAACATATTGCAAAGACAATGAGCAAATTATTTAAATAATTTAAAATCTACCAAGTAAATCATGCTTGTTTATCCACACTTAAAGTGCTTTAGATAAAGATTTGGGAATAACATCTCCATTCAGAAGCAAGCCTTTTAATGAGAGATTGGTGACTTCGTAATTAGAATTGGTTGATACAGATGGAATATCTGGGTCATGTACAAGTGATGACGAAAGTATATAAAATAACGATCTTGGATTCCGATCATAGATTGATTATTTAAATGAGAGTAACTCTCCAATAAAAGAAATAGGTAATATATAAAGTTATTTTATATTTAGTTAAAAAATATAAAAATTCAGACGAAAACAGAGTATCAGATTTTGATGAACAGAATGATATTCCCTCCTCTCCAAAATTATAAAGCAATATTTTTAAGTATAAGTCTAAATAAGTAACTGAATAATCATAATTATCATTAATAAGTAGAGCTGAATTAATTACATACTAAAGAACTCCCAAAATGGAATAGAACTATAAGTTTCCAAATGAAGAAGAATCCGATAATTAATTGGATCAAAATAAATCTGATAATAATACAGTTACTGAAAATGTTTAAGTAATATAGGAGCAAGAATCACCTTTAAGTTTAATGAAGGATTAACAAGAATCCACGAGAAAGAACACTCCTTAAATGTCTATTTAATCATCCGATCTATCTTCCCCTGATAGTTCTTCTTTGAAATCCTTACATAGGATCAGATCAAGAGCCCAAACTACTTAGGGTTTACTGTATAGAAGATAATCGAAGAATGGATTTTCATTGGTTTTACATTAAGTTGAAAACAAGTAGAGTTAAAAAATGCATTTCAATTTTTCAGAATCGAGACCGAAATAAAATAATAATAATAATAGATTCAATAGGGATTACTTATGTTTTCTAGCATTTAGACCTGCGATTTGGGAGAAATTAGCTATCAATAGGGTAAAGAAGGCACTCAAATACTAATTTAAGTGCAATGTCATATTGAATGGATATTCGTCCTCCTTTGCTTTAGTTGAGATTAAAGAAATGATCAATACTCAAATTTATAGTGACATATCTTATCCTTATTTATTATTGGATAGTGAAGATATTTAGGATGGTGTTACTAAATACAAGTCGGATCCTCCAATTAGATAGAAATATGATAAATAACTATTATAGAAAGCAGTACTGCAGAATAATTGGATTAGTAGTATTTCTAGTTCCCATTTGTATGTTAATGAGACATTCAAGTTTGTGGAGGCAGGAGATTTTAGAAGAGCAGTTGGAGGCTTGTGTAGTTTGGGTTGCACTTATTAAGCTTTGTGGACCTTATTGTTTTGCAAGAAGAACCAAGATCCAAATTTCATTAAACAGGTTTTTCAGAAGAAAGATATGAATAATATAAGATACAAAAGGATGGTTGAGAAACTAGTTTAATTATAGCAATTGGTGTCATCTGGACCAGCCTAATATTTAAATTTATAAAATCGAGGCAGTATAGATATTGGTAAGGTTGCTGATTTGGTGGTTTTCGATCCCTTGAAAGCATGGAAATTCAACTTCGATAGAATTAACCATCAATTTGCATTTTCAATCGATGAACATATTTTCAAGAATAAATTATTTTTAGGATCAGTTGATTATGTTTTTATTTAAGGTAAATATATATATATATATAATTTAGGATAATTGATTCTTAGTCAAAATAATTAAATAATCACTATTTGTAATCGGAAAGGATAACAAATTTTCATATGATTAGTTAAAAATATTACTTAATAAACAATATTGTTTTTATAATAATTCCATATAATGATTATTTGCATAAATCTAAAATCACAAACATGATAACATAAGGCATTGTTTGATTTCCTTTGCCTTAGTATCAGTGAAGGATTTTGAATCCAAACATTTCCTTGTGTTAGCGACATCATTCTTGCTAATATGAGTTTCACAATCAGCAATCATATTTAATTATTCTTCGCATTATTGTGAGCAATTCTTCGACTAAATCCAACACTTAGAAGAGTCTAAGAGGGCATCTGAGAAGCACTCAGAAACATTTGAAAAAAGTTTAATATGATTTAATTTCCCTTGCATTATGTTACATTGTCTAACTAAACAATCAAACAAATCTTTATTATACATTTTATATTTACCTGACAATAATGCGTTACTAATTTAAGCGAAACCCATATTCACACAATAGCTTTCATAAATTGAACTACCCCCTTGGATTACGCAATTTCTAAAAAGGTCATCAAATTAATTATTGCAATCAATATCATCAAAACATTTTGTGTATTGATTTTTACATTTTGAGGTTGAAGACAATGATTACGTTATACAGGTTCTCACTTAATCATGTGTGTCTTTACTGTTGATTAATATGAAAAGTGTTGCAATTATAAAATAAATTTTCATTTTATTATTAATGGGTTCTTGTAATTCTTGCAATAAATATGAATAGGCTCTCTCAAATTAAGAATTATAAGACGGAACAAATTCGACACAATAAGTTAAGAAAATTGAATAATTGAGAGATAAACCTAAGAAGAATGATTATGAGGACTATCCTGTTGCTGATGAAAGTTGTCTAGAAAATAGCTCTTAACTACCAATTTTTATTAAATAAAAAGAGATCAGAGACAATCTAGTTTAAGAAAGAATGAACAGATTCATGAAAGATATTGAAGAGGAAGTAAAATATCGAATAAAGTAGATGTAGAATATATAGATGATTACCTAGATAACAAGAAGAGTAGATCTAAATTGAAAATGCGTAATAAAATTAGTTATGGTCAAAGTCACTCAAAAATTAATAAAAGGATTCATCTGTTTCCAACAATGAACACCTCCATCAAACTATTTCATTTTAAAACTCTTAAAATTTTCAAACACTCCGAAATATTCCTGGTAAAACTTACTTACCTAAATAATTCTCATAATTTGCACCAAAAAAAGACAGCGAAACCAATACTCTAAATTCATAGATGAGTTTAACAATGAATTCTTTAAAAACTAAGACTGCATCAAATAAAAATAAATTCATCTCTATTCTTAAAGAAAATGAAAAAAGTTCTCAAGCAAGTTTAGGGAGTCTTAATGAGAACAAAGAGCCTTCTCTCTCTTAAGAAATGTAATTCAGCGATAATTAACCTGAGCTTTTTTCAAGTAACGCTAGTAAAGAAAGAAGTTCAAGGAGCATTCTAAAAAATAGTTAAAGGTTCTTAAGTCTTGAAAGAAATTTGTCTTTAAAATCCACCTGTACAAATTTAAAGTAAAAAAAAGTGTCTTTCTCATAAGATACTAAATATTTTACAACAAGAGGACTCAAAAGAAATCCTACAACCTTATTTAACTAATGAAATTCCCTTTCAACTATCATGATCATATTTTGTAAACTAATTATTATTACATCAATTAATTTTAATCTTAAAAATAAGAATATTAAAATGTCCTCTTAGATCGCGCTAAATTGTGCCACAATTCTGATTCAGCTTTTTTTGACATTCTAACACAACTCCTATTAATTACTTATATAAGTAATATTAATTAACTATGAGAAATGATAAAATTCCTAAAACTAACCTTTAATTGAATTAATCATATATTACGAAGATATATTATAGATAAATATTCTTATTTGATTACTTCAACAAATTATTTTTTGGAATATTATTTTTAAAAGTTGCTTGTTCTCTAAAGGAGTTTTTTATTCAATAATCTTGCATTAATCTAATGTTCTAATTATAAGTGTGAGATCTAAATTAATTAGTTACATCTAATCCAAAAATCAGGGAAGACTGAAGTTTAAATTTTGAAAAAAATTACCTTAAATTTAAATTTGAAGATAGATAATTGAGGATTGCCAAGTAATTTGGAGATAGTAATTTTACTAATTTTCAGGAATCCGCAATACTAGATGATGTTATAATACTACTGATCATTTTATTTTAATAATAATAAAAATGATTAATCAACGTTCTTAAGGTCCTCTAAGGGGTTAACACTTTAGATAGGCTAACTTAACATAAATAGGAACTAAAATAATTGATCAAAAAAGTGAATCAATTTATGTAGATTCTGAGGTTTCCTTAAAAAAGCGTAAAAGCAAAAGCCCACTAGAAGTAACGAGAGGATTATACAAATCATAAACTTATAAGGAGATTTGTCCATAAGACTCGTTTAAGGAGCCTGATAGATTTGATTCTCCTTTAGATTAATCTTTGAATTAACCTTTAAAAATCACATTTAAAGTTTCTGGGGCGGTCCTTAGATTTAATGCTCATCAAGTGATTAGAATATTTATTCAAAAACTGTTGTATTATTTGAGGGTCTAAAGACAACATTAAAGTAAGATGAAATGCTTTGAAAAGATTATTGAGGATAAAGGTAGTAACACACAGATCGAAGAGCAAGAGATTAAGAAATCATATAATTGGAGCCTACTTAAGAAAGACTCCTATGAAAAAATGCTATTAAATTTGATTTTAATAATGATTCTATTGGCATATTGTGTCGTAGCCCCTATTTTCAATATGAGATTTGAGCCTATTCTGATATTTAGTAAGAGATTTTATTAAAATTAGTCTTTATTTATTCATCCTACAAAGTGGTTGATTATAAATAATGGAATACTCTTGATATTTTGATAATTGGAATAAATGTAGGTAGTTTATTCAACAAAGTATTTCTATTTATGAATATTATAAATATGATAAAAGTGTATTAGATTATGTAAAGTTTAAATGTATTGACTTCAAAAAAGCTTTTAAGATTCATCAATTCAATATTGATAGTTGTAATTCATCTAAATAATAGTGTCCATTTTTGGTAATTCTAATTAGAGAATGAATAAACTTACGATATTTTATTAGGATAATAGATATAATTATTTTTTAATTTGGAACTACAAACACATGAAGATTAAAATATATACTATGTTTCTTTAAATAGAATTATGAGTCTCTTGATTTTGTTATACTTTACATAGCAATTCTTTACGTACATGAAAATATCAGATGAAATGATAAAAAAAGAAGAGTTTTTTGAACTATTACTTAGCAAAAACACTATGAATAAATAGCCTTTTAGAAATTAACATTAAGTTAGGTAATTATTGTGGTCTGAAGTGGAAAATCAGAAATATTAAGAATCCTATTTAAGTTAGATTGACTTCAATTTACCAAAAGAATTGAGAAAATCTCTTAATATTCATAGTTATTTGGATATCATTTAAAAGTCTAAATTTATAAAACAAAAATTCACTGAATCTTTTTAGAAGAATCTATCTGAATTTGTAAAGGAATAAACAATAGAAGAAGGGGAAATCATACAATAACAAAACTAAAGAGTAAATAAATTAATATTCATAATGGAAGGTGAAGTCACCTTACAAATTAATCAAAAGAGAGTATAAGTATTGAAAAAATTAAACATAGTGAATTAATATGAATTTTTTGCTTGTTTGTCTTCTCCTTGTGAAATAACTACCTAATAAAGATGTAAGATATTAATAATAGATTATGAATCATTTAATGATTTGATTTCCATGCATGAGGAAGATTTTTAAAAATATAAAATGTGGTTAGACAAAATGTAAGTGTAACAAAGACGTTGTGTTTACAAAGTAAAAGATCATTATATGCTAGATTTGCTACATCTGCATGGATAATCATGTGACTTCAATGTGCACTGGAGTATCTTACCAGCCTAATTATATGAAAATAATATCAAACAGTACCTACGCATAACCAAGTTCTAGAATTAAATTTAGAAGATTTGAAAGGAAACGAACGTCATCATTAGTTTAGCAGAATTTGGTAAGTATAACAGCGTTGAATTGGGCATAACAATTTAATTTGATATCTAAAAATACAGAACTTATCGACTAATTCCTAGGTAAATAAGAGGGGGATGATGAATTTCAGCTATTCGCAAATGATGATGATCACACTTCCAAACATCAAACACAAACTTATACTCATTAATAAAGTGTAAGGTCACCCAAAACAAATAAAACAGGAATTACTGGGAGAGAGAGAGAAAGGGTTTATACGGATTCAAATATCAACAGGACTTTGACTATTAGAACCTTAAAAGCATCTGAAAATAATACTTCGAGATTAAAACAGAATAATAATAATGACTCAATTGTAATAAGTAATTCCCCTTCGCCAATCTAATAATAGAATAAAACTACTTTAATGTTATTCACAAAAGAATAAATTAAGAGATAATCCAATATGGGTAGCAGTTTTACCATCGAGAGAGCTTTAGATAAAAAATCATCTATACATTCTTAAAAGCAACTTCCTCAATCAACTAGTATATTGCAAAGTAAGGAGGTTATACAATAATTGCAGAGTAATATCGGAAGTCCACATATGTACACCACATCAGTAAGGATGAATTAAAATGATGTCAGTTTGAATTTAAGGAGATCCGATTCACAACCAATTGTATGATATTTGCATATATAGATAGTTATCTGAATTGATTGCTTCTGCGAGATAATTGATTTTGATAAAAGAATTCGAGAATATGTAAATTTTTGAATGGTACTTTCCAAATCATAATTTTAATAAGGTTATTGAGAGATTTTAAAATTATCTAAGTAAACAATTCAATAATAGATGAGTTTGACTTATTAATATCAATAATATATAATCACATACTTTCTAAATTAATGAGAGCTAATAATCGTCTGGCATCTGTAATAGGAAATTTACGCGAAATAAAGGAAACCAATGTAAAACTGACAAACTAAAATAGCTTTTATTTAAAGTTACAAACACTTTCTAAAAAACAATTAATGAGGATGCTGATATGATTAGACAGAGATGCTTACAAATTTTGACTGTAGAACCAGACAAAAGATCCATAATATAAGCTAAATATGTCCAAAAATATTTTGAGAGAGATTTTGCCTATTTTTCGTAATATTACAAATAATTCTAGGAAAATAAGAGGACAATTGCCTGATGATCTTTACATTAGAATTTTCAAAGATTTATCAATTGAAAAAAGTGATGCAGCAGAAGTTGTATTTAATATGGGCGATATTGGACGAAAAATGTACTTTATCATGGAAGGAGAAGTAGCCATTCTAATTCCATAGTAAGAATAATAACATCACAATAATCATCATCACCAGAGAAGTAAGCTTTCATCCTAGTTGTAGAATCATTGACAGTCAAAAAATTTGATGATTTATTGAAACACAAGTATGCACATTATACATTAATTGCGATTAAAAGCAAAAATGACTACTTTGGGGAAATTGCAATTGAATAGAGAATTCCTAGAACAGCTTCAGTTGTAGCCAAAACTGATTGTACTTTTGCTACATTGAGTTATGATTCATATTAGAAAGTACTCGGACAATATTAAGAAAAAATCTTAGAGGAAAAATTATAATTCATTAAAAGAACACCGCCATTCAAAAATTGGAGCTAATCAGGTTAATCAGTTCTATTGCATAGTTGCTAGGAAGTCAGTTTTGAGGCTGGATCTTTCATTTATAAAAGAGGATAGAAAGGAGATACAGTATATATAATTAAGGAGGGAGAAGTACTTATAGAGAGATGGGAGAAATAATAATCAGTAACTTAAGAAGGGGATATTTATTCAAAGAGGAATATAATAGTTCTTGGATTATACTCCACTGGATAGATATTTGGAGATTATGAAGTCTACTAAACTAATATGAAATGCAGATATCTCACAAGAGTGACATAAGCCAAAGCTAGAGTGAAAACTACTGTTTTAGCATTATCAATATCATAATATATTGATAATATGAGGTTGAATGAACGTGATGCTTGGATCAGAGACTATTTTGAATAAAAATTTAGCAAAAAATGGTTGAACAAACCAGAAATCTAAAGACAATATGACAGTAAGAGTCCGATTCCATAAAGCAATAAATAATACATCAAAAGTAAAGAAGATGGAAGATAAGCATATAAAGTCTCTTTATCAAATAATTATTTTGAAGAATTAGACTTAGATAGTAAGAAGGATTCTAAGGATTTATAGTTGTTGTCTCCGACTTAATTGCATTCTTAAAGCAAAAGCAATAAAACCATAAGAAAGTTTTTGAACTTATAAGGAAATTTGTTTAAGACTTAATAAAACTATGAAGCACCTTCAATGGATGTCATTATCAGACAACTTAAAAACAAGGTCATTAAGAACAGAGACAACTTAACCAGCGAATCCAATGCTGATATTTCACAGAGTAAATTGTATTCTGTAAAGAAACACAGTGCTCCTAAACTTAAAATTGGTTTATCATTTAAATCATTTAGAGAAGGAGAACGTAATAAGTCTAAATTTTTAGACTGATTTATTATTTCACTTTTACTCTGAGTTTCACAATACATCATTTAATCCTTCTCCAAATCCTGAATTTGAATCATCATCATCTTCTTAAAATTCCTATTCTTCATTAGGTTATTATTATTATTAAAGCTATTCCTATTCTTATTGATGTTGATCTTATTATTAATGTTATTATTATTATTATTATTATTATTATTATTATTACTATTAATCTTATTATTATTATTATTATTATTATTATTATTATTATTATTATTATTATACTTCCTCTTTATTCTATTCCTTCTTTTAACCTTATTATTCTTCATTTTATGGCTAAGGCTATTTCTAATTTGAGATTTCTTAGTTTGATTAAATTGTTTTTTTCAAACAAATTAATGTTTTTCCCTCTGTCATATGAGATTTATAATAATCAATTGCCTATTAAAATTAATCTAAAGTAAACTAAATAATACTAATATAGATTACTTCTTTTGCAATTTTAGTTTTCAATGAAGTCTTTATAAAATTCTTCAGCTTTTTTAAAGTCATAATCAATTCTAATTTGTTTTATTCTTTTAACCAAACATTTAAAAAGAATCTAGAATAATGTAAATACAATACCCCTAGATAGATTTCTTATCTTTTAATAAATCATTAGCCTAAATTCCTCCAATTTACCAACTATCAAGAGTACCATACATCATCAGTGTGGATCCTTTAGGCATAATGTTTAAAATCTATCCACTCTATTCTCCTCCGACAGCGTCAAAGTATATAGATGCTTAAGTGGCTTCACACATAATTTTTAATTGTTTAAGGAAGTCTGGATCATTTTGATTGATAATTAATTCAGCCCCACATTCATATCTTAATTCATAAACTTATTCTTCTCTCCTAACAATGTTGATCACCTTTATGTTTCTTTCGTTAAATAGTCTATTCATCATTTTTCCTAATTAGGAAGCACCTGGATTATTAATGACAGCCTTTGCATTATTTTTCTTGCAAAAATCCAGCATTCCTATAGCAGATAATGGATTCACAAATGAACAAGCAGCTTAGCTCGATTCCATGTCGTTGTCTAATTCTATACACAAATTTGTGTCTGCTATACAATATTCCCCATATGTTCCATATTCATGATTTGTGTAAAATGCCACTCTTTTTCCAGACATACCCCAACTGGCCATTCCTCCCCCTGTCAATACTACTGTGCCAGAACCCTCAAATCCTGCAACACAAGGAAATTGTTTATTCGATGAAGACTGTCCTAAAAGAAATTTAATGTCTGATGGATTGATTGGTGCATAATCCATTCTGATTAATAGTTGACCTTCTTCAACAGTTGGTATAGGAACTCTGTTGACATATGGTTTAGCATCTTTAGATTCTTTCCATAAGCAGCTCATAGTATTTGCATTCGACATTATATTTATAATTATTAAATAAAGAAAACCATAGAATTAATTAATTTAATTGCATAAAGTTCATAATGAGTGTATGTATTTATATTTTATTAATAGTATAATATATCAAAATCCTATTTGATCAAATACAATATTAAATATTAATTGAATGTTGTATGCTAAATTACAGTCCTATGTAGGAGAGGAATTCCTAATCAAGGCACTTCCCGCTTAGCTCTCCAACTTTCCTTCGGCAAGAGGAATTCGAGTGATGAAATGTCCAAATAATCCATTGATAATTGGAGAGTTGAAACTATCAGAAGAGCTTTATTAATTCTCAATAATCCCTCATACAGAGTTATAAATTGAAAATTAGGTTGTCACAAAGGAAACTATTTTGACTAATTTTAGCAGAATCTACATACCATGTAAAGAATGTAGAACCAAACATTATTATACTTTTATTCTTCCATTGAGAGAGCCCTTAAAATATGAAGCATAAAGAGCAGCTTAAACATAATTTAATAGAGTTCATGATAAAGTGTTATATGCAAAATGGACTTAAGAGGATAAAGAGATGCTCAAGAAATTGATCCTTTAATTTGGGTATGGGAGATGGAACAAATTGTAATAACTAAAGTTTGCAAACAGGACAAAATAGGAGATAAAGGCATTTGCAAATTCTCTTTTAAGATCAATAGTTGAATTATTGGTAAATTACGATTTAGGCGCAGGAATAGTTAATTTAATAGAGGAAAACCCAGATGATCCTTATATTGAAACTAATCAAAGTATGCATAACTCAATACAATATTATAGAGGACTGGGAGTTGCAGAATCTAAAATAAAAGCTAATATCTATCAGTAAGAGAATTCTAATGTTGGCCAAAATTAGAGAGTTTATAAAAAAGTTTAAGGAGCATCAGCTAAAAAATTTGGGAATTAAGGACAAATCTTAATGTAAGAATTAATGTTGATAAATAGTGAAATGGGATTATCTATTGGGATTCATTCCAAGTAGCTCTTTTTATTCATAGAGACCATCTATTTGGTGGACCAGGAAACATGATAGTGATTTGATTAGAGGAGTGTATCAATATGGATACACAAATCATTTAATAATTAAGGAGGCTAGTGATCTATGTTTTAAAGACTTATCTACATGTAGACTAGATTGTATTATTACTTTTAGCTCAAAATTATTAAGAATTTCCATTTCCAGAAACATTGAATAAGAGAGTCAAGAAATTGGTATAGATAATATAAAAGTTTGATGGGTTTTATGATTTTGATAATTTGGCCTAAAGTGATGATGAAGAGGAAAAATCATGGTCAATTGCTGAAAAGTAGGCTTTATTTAATTTATTGTGTGATTATGGAGTACCTATTGGTGTTGATGGCAGGCAAAATTGGTAAGAACTCAAAGATAAGTTGATACTAAAGATCAATAAATTTGATAAAAATCTGAATCAATTGGAGAAAATGGTTTAAACAATACGAACTAGATGTGAATAGATGTTAATGAAACATAAAGAGAAAGAATTTTTGGAAAGTGATTCAAGTGATCTAGAAATTGAGTAACCCCCATCATCAATTGGAGAAATTAGAGAAGAATAAGGAGATGAATTCCAGATTTCATATTCAGACAGTCAAAAATTTAGTAAATAAACAAATATGTTGCATTTCATTAGAAAGAATATACTCCCTTAAAATCAGGCACTCTTCCAATAGCATATCCAATAAGTGGAAAAGGAATTGTTGATTGATATTCCTGAATATGATCCAAAGACTCACGACATTCAAATTATTATTACACTCTCTTAGACAGGATTTAATGGACTGTAGCCTATCACCCTTAGTAATATCAATACCATTATGACTACTGAATAAATACTCAATAGAATTGAATAGTTATGCTCGTTTTTTAAGAAAATTAGAGATCAAACTAATATTAAAAGGAAACCAGAATTAAAGGATGATTAATAAAAAAAAATTAAACCTAATTCTACAGGTGGAGTGAATGAAATCTAATTACCTTACTAAGTCAGTACTAGTCTAAAATTAGTAAGTCTTGGTAGAATCATACCAAGTCCTGCCTATCATAGTGAACATAATCTATTTCCAGTAGGATATAAAAGTATTAGAACACATGCAAGCATGTTTACAAAAGGTAAGAGATGCCAGTACACTTGTGAAATCTAAGAGGGTAGTGATGGAAAACCTTTATTTAAAGTAACTAGCGAAGAAGATGTAGAAAATCCTATAATTAAAAATAGCTGCACTGGTTGCTGGGTATAAATCTAGTCTTACATATTAGGTTCATATTTACAATAGAATCAATGAATTGTAGGAACATAAAAAATCCAAGGTTACGATCAGTGGTACAGATAGATTTGGATTACTAGAAGCTAATGTCCAAAGATATTTGGAAGAATTACCAAATGCGGAAATGTGTTCTAAATATAAATTTAAATATAGAAATGTTGCTTAAGATTTTTGAATTGTAGAATATAAATTATTTAATATTTGTTTACATAATTTGTTAGAATTAATTTAGATCATAAAATATTACTTAATTTCAATACTTTCGATTCAATTTTAATTAGGATTTAGTTGTTCTATGCAGTTTCTTTAAATCATCTAAATATTTCCTTTATTCATCCAATCTTCCTGTTCTCTAACATAAAGATCTTTCTCCAATAAATGAACTATCATTCTTAACATACTCAATATCTGAATGTTTGTTCATTGTTTCTGATAATCTACTTTATTCAACTCCTCTATTTATAAGGTCTACTTTTTAGAAATTAGACTTTAAGCATTGCAATTCAAGTTATCTGATGCTGGAATGTTGTTTTTTAATAGTTTCTATGCTCTAACTCAATTCTTGACTCAATCCATCAATAAGTTCTTGATTTTCCTCTCGAATCTTTTATTCTAGTAATAGGACTTTCTCTTCAATAACCTTCATTTATTTTTGATTGAACTACAATAAAGACTATACTTTATCTGTTAATGTACTCAATCCCTATTTTGCATTTTTCAATTAGATTTTATATTTTTCTTTTGAATTGATAGCCTAAAACAATTGATTTTAGAAGTTTTATTCTGTTTATTCAATATTTTATTATATCAGATCCAATTTGCATGCTATATCTTACAATTATTCATCTTTTATCCTAATAATTGATTCCTACTCAGATTTCTAATTTAGAACTTCTTTAATTTTATTTTCGTATTCTTCCTCCAAAACTTTATAAAATTGCACATCCTTCCGTAACTTATTGATTTATTGACTAGTCACTTCATTTAATTATTGATGCTACTTCTTAATCTCAATAGTTTCAGCCTACAATTCCTATTTGGTTTTTGAGAGCATAGTATGAAATCCCTTCACTAGATCACTCATTAATTAAGTCTTGAATTATTCCAATATTTGCATTCTTATCTTAACCTCAGCCTGTAATCCAGAGAGTTCAATTCTTAATGATCCTACTTGCTCATGCAATTGATAAAGCTGAGAAGGAGAGATATTCCTATGTTAGGATGTCTCTTTATTCATTACTACTTGTTGTAGTTCCTCTATTTGATTTTTGTATTATAAATTCATTTCTTATTCATATTGCAGTTATTAGCTTATTTCTACATTCTCATCCGAAAGCTCTTTAATAGCTTGTTCTGCCTTAACTAAGTTATCAGATAATAATTCAAACTTCTCCATTTTGGATTGAATCTCATTCAAGATGAAATTCTTTTCTTCCAATTCATCCTATAAGAGATCCCTTTGATGTTACAACTCAGCTATTTATTTGACATATCTAGCTTCCGAAGTAGATAGGCCATTGATCAATTATTTATCATTCTCTTTATTATGCAATTTATAGTTCTCCTCTATTAGATGTTGCAATTATTATTCTGTTTCCTTGATGTATCCGGTTTCTATCAATGTATACAGCCGGTTTTGGAGATCAATACAAGTCTATGATATATTTTCAATTTACTTCATCCTCATTGTGATTCATTAACTTTAAGGGCAATTCGCAATAGAGAAACTAATGGAGATCATTCAATCTAGTTATTCAAAATAATGATACCTGTCTAAATAATTTTATTTCATTTCCTCCATTCTTTGAATTCAAAATTTAATATTAAATAAAGCGCAATTCAAAATAACCATTCTATTTAATCGAATTATCCATCTTTTTATTGTAATGGGAATCAAATGATTACAATATTATGTTAATACATAACAAACTCAAATACAAAATTATGTACTCAATTTAGTATTAATTAATCAATGAGTAGATTCTCTATTTTATCGAATGATATGGACAAGGTGCATTCTGTCTAAGGGACAAGTCTTTGGTTAGGAAGTTTGAAGGCTGCCAAGAATTCTTGTCTTTTACGATTAAATAACATCAAAACTGTGATCACAGTAGCCAATAATATCACTCTTAAAATAGAGAATTTCAAGCATCATGTATTTAATAATTATATGATAGATTTTTAGTATTGAAGATAGTACTTCATTTCGCATAATTGATTATTTCTAACAAATTAATGAAGTTATAGAAGAGGGATTAAGAAATGGATCAGTTTTGGTACATTGCGTGGCAGGAATTTCCAGATCAAGTGCATGTGTGATAGCCTATTTGATGTAGTCTCAAGGATGGTCATATGAAAAAACATATTACTATGTGAAAGAAAAACGATTAACAATTAATCCCAATCCAGGTTTCAAGAAATAGTTGATTCAATATAGCAAAATATTAGAAAAGCTTTAAAATACTAAGAGTTCAAATGAGTCAACTCAATCGAGCAGATAATTGCCTTCTCCTAGAAACATGTAGAATATTTACATTTTATAATCATTAGACATTAATCCCCATAGGATTTTATTTTGCAATTAATCAAAAATAACATTAAGTCACCAAGCAGAAAGATAGAATAATTAGATTAATCTTCAACGATGGAGGACAGAGAAATATACAGATTTTAATTGGCATAAAAATTGTTTGCTCAGAGTCTACAGAGCAATAGTAAAAAGACAGTTCAAAAAATGTCTGACCAATTTACAATTAATACTCCTCCTATCAAAATGAATATCTGCAACACCATTGATTACTTTTCATAAACTGATAGACTATTTTGAATATAACTATTATTATTTAACAACTATCTTTATAAATAAATGTAAATATCACATCAATCATTATCCCTTACAGGATGGCTACATGAATAAGATCAATAGAATTTGCCACAAATTTATTAAGTAGTGAATTGTAATTCTATTTCAATTAATATTATATCATAGAGATTGTTAACAGGAAGCAACAAGCATAGAAGAGAAGTGTGAGTTTGTGCTAAAGAAGGTAAGATTATGAACCAAATAAATCAAGTATTTCATTTTATTATTCCAGATCTTATTGATTAGACCAGGAACTAAAGTTCAATATTTAGACCCCCAAGAGTTCCAACCACTTAAAACAAGATCTTAGAATTAAAAAAAGTTATGGAATTTCTGTAGCACAATGAACAATATAAATATGATACTCATAGAGTATTCAATTTAAATGATCCTAAGTTTTAAAAGGAGACTTTATCAATCATTGAACAGAAGAAGGAATAGTTTAAAATCAGATTAAAGTATTGTTTATCTCAAAAATAGTCAATAATAAAATAAAAGATACTTAATACCACTCTCGGAAATCAATTCTACTAACACCTCGACTGATAGACAAAAATATAGTAAGACAAAAAACCAGCAGAAAAAAACTCATTTTAAAACAGATTAACAATTTGAAATTAAAAAATCCAACTCGACAAACAGAATTTAGAGTATCAAAGATATTATGCCCAAAATTTTAAAGCATAATGAAACTCCTGGTACAATAAATACATAAGTCATATAAAAAGGATTAGAATTTTTATAATAAATGGTAGAAAGACAAAAGGAGAACATCTAGCATTATTTACCAAAACAATAAAAATATTTGAAATGATTTAGTAGTACTACTCGAATTTTAATTATAATATTTAAAAACACATTCAATTATTCCATAAAATATAATAATTATAATTGAACTCCCTTCGCATAGTTAAACCATACTATTTTTTTGGTCAATTCTATTCATCAATTTTAACATAATTTTTGTTTTATAATGTGCCATTTTTATTTTATATCTATGTACTTTATTGAGTTTGGGTATACATCAATATTGTTCAAACTAATACTTTTTACGATTCTATTAGATTAGTTAAGAACTCCTTTAATGTTTATTTAATTGCACATAATAAAGAATTATAATTATTTAAAAATGAATGAGTAACTTTTCTTTGTTCTATATAACAAGATAAAAATCTGAAAATGTACTTAAAAGCATTGAAACCACTATTTTAATAGTTAATTAAGCGCGTTCTTTTTACTTGTCAAGAATTTTAAGATTTTTATTTCATTTTGTTTATCTAAATAGCCTTACATCAATGAATTATCGATTCATATAAAAAAAATATTAACTGATTTCCTAGCTTTTCTTTGATTCCACAAGAACGATGTTATATTTTGATACAAGAAAGAACGATTTAGAGAATTGCAAATTTATTATGGTTTCACTGATTTTAAGTATATCCAATTATGAAAAAAGTAATAAATTGTTATATTGATATGAGTTATCAATTTTACTCAGACTGATTGATATATCTTTCATTTATTGTAGATTAAAATATATAAAATTTTAATCAAATTGAATTAAATTAAGGCAGGGAAAGGATGCTTTTGATTAAATGGGCTGTATTTTTCACATAAAATTGTGTCAATATTTTTATAAATATAAGCATCACATTAATTTGGAAGTCAAATTGCTAAAATTACTAAAATTATATATTAAAATTACTTAGATGAAGAAACTAAAAAATATCAATTTCGATAAGCGTTCATACAATCGGTATTATTTAAGGTTATAAGCTTAATAGGAGAAATAATAAATAGCAAGATTGCTAGCAACGTTTAGGATTGTTACAAACCAAAATAAACTAATTTCTATATCGAGACGAAGAACTATTTTTAACTAAATCATGAAACTATTTTTACTTTATTAATAATATTTTTAGAATTTATTATATTGATTATTAATGATATTGTACTTAATAATGCATGGATTATAAGTATTACCATTATCGTTGATTATTACTTTAAAAATACTTGTATAATTGAATAGTAGAACAAGTAAATTGCAAAGTGGATGTAATTATAGGCTACTTCTTCAATGGTTTCATTTTATTAATGATATTCTTCAATTACGTTGAGAGTGCCATCTGAATTTGATAGAATATTTTCATCAATCTCAATTGCTTTATCATCTTCTAAGTTTTTATTAATTGACATTTATAGTTATATTAATAAATTATATTCATAATTTTTAAAAAGACAATTCGACTGATTGTTCTTCTTCAATAATGTATAATGGAGATTAATAATTCTAATTTAATTTGCTTCTTTGACTTTGCTCTACTTATTAATCTTCCTACTCATCTGGTAATTTGAGACATAATAGATCTTCCACTTCCTTTGTTAAGGTATCTATAGTCTTTTAATCAACTTGTTCTTAAGGTGGAGAATCATGGATGAAAAGATTGTATAACTTGTCATCTATTTGAATTTTAGATTCGTTTTATTCAAGGTCCAACCATTTTTATTCGAATGACTATAAATATGAATCTTACTCAAAGTTACCTTTTTCTCCTCCTTCCAATTTCTTTTTTGTAGAACTTGTAATTTATTAATGTTGCTATATCTGACTTGTTCAATCTTAGAATCAATCTAATTGATCTCATTTTCAATTGACAACTTCTCCTATTACAACTTGAGCATTTGTGGCAATAGTGAAGTGTCTTATGTAATAAATTGTTTTTTCTTTTTCTCCTCTTGTTCTTATATTTATTTTTTCATTTACACTAATTAGTTAATCTAATTTTGTAACTCCTCCTTTTACGATTACATGCACTGAATCTAGTCCTATTCGTGAATCATCTTTAATTATTTCAAGGATAATGTTTAACTTCTAACTGTATCACATTACAACATCTAAATTGATTATTGCTTTTTCAATTAGGTTCTACTAATGATACACCCTGCATTTGAACTAATCATGCTAACATTGTTAATGTTCTTGTCTTGTTCCTTCATTATGCATGAATTGTTTTTCTTTCGTTTGAAAAGACCCTTATTTTAATCAGGAATATTGAGCTTTTAACATATCTATTCGTATAGGTATGCATAATACTTTGTCTATTTTTTACATTCTCTCTTTAAGCGATTTCATTTTTGAATTAATTAACTATAATTATGTTAAAAAATTTATTAATCAATAACATAGTATGGCAATTCTATTTTAATAATATTTTAAATTAAATCATCTACTTAATAATTATTTAACAACAATATCCATTGAAGGTCTCTTGGTTTCCTCCTTACTCCTCNTTAATAATGCATGGATTATAAGTATTACCATTATCGTTGATTATTACTTTAAAAATACTTGTATAATTGAATAGTAGAACAAGTAAATTGCAAAGTGGATGTAATTATAGGCTACTTCTTCAATGGTTTCATTTTATTAATGATATTCTTCAATTACGTTGAGAGTGCCATCTGAATTTGATAGAATATTTTCATCAATCTCAATTGCTTTATCATCTTCTAAGTTTTTATTAATTGACATTTATAGTTATATTAATAAATTATATTCATAATTTTTAAAAAGACAATTCGACTGATTGTTCTTCTTCAATAATGTATAATGGAGATTAATAATTCTAATTTAATTTGCTTCTTTGACTTTGCTCTACTTATTAATCTTCCTACTCATCTGGTAATTTGAGACATAATAGATCTTCCACTTCCTTTGTTAAGGTATCTATAGTCTTTTAATCAACTTGTTCTTAAGGTGGAGAATCATGGATGAAAAGATTGTATAACTTGTCATCTATTTGAATTTTAGATTCGTTTTATTCAAGGTCCAACCATTTTTATTCGAATGACTATAAATATGAATCTTACTCAAAGTTACCTTTTTCTCCTCCTTCCAATTTCTTTTTTGTAGAACTTGTAATTTATTAATGTTGCTATATCTGACTTGTTCAATCTTAGAATCAATCTAATTGATCTCATTTTCAATTGACAACTTCTCCTATTACAACTTGAGCATTTGTGGCAATAGTGAAGTGTCTTATGTAATAAATTGTTTTTTCTTTTTCTCCTCTTGTTCTTATATTTATTTTTTCATTTACACTAATTAGTTAATCTAATTTTGTAACTCCTCCTTTTACGATTACATGCACTGAATCTAGTCCTATTCGTGAATCATCTTTAATTATTTCAAGGATAATGTTTAACTTCTAACTGTATCACATTACAACATCTAAATTGATTATTGCTTTTTCAATTAGGTTCTACTAATGATACACCCTGCATTTGAACTAATCATGCTAACATTGTTAATGTTCTTGTCTTGTTCCTTCATTATGCATGAATTGTTTTTCTTTCGTTTGAAAAGACCCTTATTTTAATCAGGAATATTGAGCTTTTAACATATCTATTCGTATAGGTATGCATAATACTTTGTCTATTTTTTACATTCTCTCTTTAAGCGATTTCATTTTTGAATTAATTAACTATAATTATGTTAAAAAATTTATTAATCAATAACATAGTATGGCAATTCTATTTTAATAATATTTTAAATTAAATCATCTACTTAATAATTATTTAACAACAATATCCATTGAAGGTCTCTTGGTTTCCTCCTTACTCCTCAATTCATTCACTAATTGCATAATATTCTTTGGCACATTCCTACCAGGCAATTACTCATTCTTCATTGCCTTCTAAACAATCTCTTGCATCTCCAAACAATCCCAAGGTACCTCTCTAGCGAATATCTCCCATAACAACGTTCCATAAGCAAACAGATCTACTCCTTTGTCATAAGCCTTTAATACTCCATATAATATACTTACTCGTTTAGCAAATAACTCTGGAGCCATGTATGTTGGAGTCCCACTAAATTATTAATAACCTTAATTTAACTCGGACTAAACTAATCAAATCCAATATTTACACATCTTTTTGTTAAACCAAAATCACATAATTTCACCGTCTATCCTTATAGTAAAATATTGTGTGACTTGATGTCTCTGTGTACAACACCAGCTTAATGCATATATTGCAAAGCTCTAGCAATTTATACGGAAATAGTATATTTGAATTGATCTGAAATTTAATGACTAATTGATCAGTGTTGTCTTACTTGGTCTTATGCAATAGATGATACAAACTTCCTCCTTGAATAAATTCTGTTGCTATCACCAAATTAGGTGGTTTTGTACAACATGCCATTAATAAAACTATATTTGGATGCCTTAATAAAGATAGCATTTCAATTTCGTTATTGATTTCATCTAATAATTGTTAAGTAATATTTGGATTAAAGATCTTTTTTATTGCAATCTAATTTACATTTATGCTCTTACTTCAGTACCTCTAAAATATCCTCGATGCACAATTGAAAAGCCACCTTAAGAAATGATTTCATGAACCTCAAATTCATTTGAATCTACTTCCAAAACATGGTTTGTATGTTACAATTCTTGTATTTATCGAATTGCTCTGCTTTATGTTTTTGGTCTTTCTGGAACAATTTGCTGTTCCTATTTTTATTGCTGATTAGATCCTGGACTAATTTGAAACAACTTTTGCAAAATCTAGTTTAATTATGGTTAATGAAAATGCCCATTTAATGTTTAGAATTTAGTTATTAGAGGATTATTGCTTAAGTTTAAGCTCTATAAGTTTGGCATGTTTAATAGTTCTTCAGGTATTTCTTCAATGCAATTATTGCTTAAATCTAATTCTTTTAAAGTTGTCAATTAAAATATTCTAGGCTCAATAGATGTAATCTTATTGTAGCTCAGATCTAAATGAACAAGTTTTAATTAGTAAATCTCAGGTGGGATACTTATCATTTATTTGGCAGAAAGATTTAAACGAGGTTCACCTGATCGTTTAATTCTCCTTATAATCAATTAAATATCCTCCATACTTTATATAATATTATAAGTAATAAATATTATTGAATTATCATCAATACATTGGAAAATTCAATATTATCTATAATATAGTAAAGTTAGATTTTATTTTTTATTCTCTTTTATCTTTTTAGACTCTTCAGCCTAAATTTAATAATGATCATCCTTTTTTTAGCAACTTTTATTTTGACATAAGAATTTTACTAAATAATTGAGATTAGTTTTTAAGATCAGTTTGTGTTCATATTGTTGTAAGAAAAATTTCTTAGGTTTTAGTATTTTGATTGAAATATTTATTATAAGGTTACTAGTATTATAATAAGTGTTAAGAAATATAATAAAAATTACAGAATATTATTTTACTAATGAATTATGATGATCCATAATTTACGTTATTGAACATGGACGATGAGTATGAACTATTGAATAAAGAATAAACAAATGGTTTGAATCTTGAACCTTGGAACGGGAATTCTGATAAAGCATTTTTAGCAAAGAAACAACTAAAATTACCAAAACATATTAACTTTAAAATTAAGACTCCATCCAGAACAACTACTCAATAACGCAGACGTTCTATAGAGACGATTTAACCATCTCATTAAGAAAGCTGCCCAAAAATAGAGATGAAGACTCCTACTCAATCATTTTAGATGACTAGTTTATCTCCTAGGAAAAACTCTACTCATCAGTATAAACAAAGCTGTTTGAAATTGATGTTCAAAAAACAAATCCAATCGAATTTATTAACTTGGTCAGACTATTACAAACTTATATAAAGAAATCATAATCAATAAGTTGTGAATTATAACCTTATTGGTTATAATATTTAACCATTAAAATTAGAGGAACGATAAAATCTATTCAATAAGTTTAGAATGAAAATAACATAAAATACTAAAAACAAAACTGATTATTGAATTCATTTCAATCATTCTTCTAAATGCGTTTGAATTTAATTAACAACATTCTGGATGGAATTCCATTCATGAAATACCCATTAATCTTTCATTTTTATTCTAAATTCTGATGAATTCATTTTCTATTTGAAGTACTCATATAGTAATTCTCTTTCACTTGAAGAATACTCTAGAATCAGGTGAATAATGTGTAATTGATAACGAAAGAGTTTTCTACTATTCTCTTCCGATTCTTAAACTAGTTCAATTAAAATATCAAAGAATGTTAGCTAATTCTCCTGATTGGTATAATTTAAGTATTGGTTCATTCCATTTTTATCTTGCATCAAAAAAGTCTGAAGAACTATTTTGCAAAGGGTTGTTTGAATATCACAATTTTGGTGATTTTATAATAAAATGCAAATAGGTTTAACTAAATTTTGACCACAAATAAGTAGTTCATGCAGCTTAGACAACAATCTCCCGTCATCACATTCGAATAGATTGAGCATTATTTCCACTCCTCTTTTAATAAAAATGACTTCTTATTTATTTAGTAGGAAATACACTGTTTCAGCCACTTCACCATAGTAGTTGTAAATCTATTTATCGTCTATCAATGTCCAATATTTGAGGAACTACGTCATAAGTACACATTACTTTTGCAGCATATATGATAATTTATTAGTTCATCTGTCCCTGATGGATAGAATACCCTTGGGAAAGTGGTATCATCTTATCGATAATTCTTTGCATCTTATAGTTATCACTCAATTCATCTTCATATATCTATGCGTCTACAGACTTTAGCATCCATATAGCTGCATCAATAGTCTAAATAATGACATCGAACTACATCCAATAATTTAAGATTGCTTTCGTTCTCTAAAACCTCTTCAATCTTCTCAACTATCATTATTAACAGTTCTCCACACAATTATTCACCTCTTTCCATTATGTCTCTTATTTTGGCGCTGATCTCTTGCATCTATGTTTACTAAGGAAACAGTGATAAAAAGTAAAGTTTTCTCGATTCTTTGAATTGTTTCTCATTTCTCTATTTCCTAATATGTACATGAAACTGTTCTCTTTTGAGATTTAAGAGACTTGTCATATCATTCATCTTAGTTATTTTAAATTTAAATAAAAATTCCCAAAATTTTATCAATGTTTCGTTTAATTATTATAAATTTCAATTATAAAATTAATTTAATTAATAAGAATAGTTTATTCCATAGAATAAATATTTTTATAATTTATTAAAGAATTATTGTAAAAAAGTCATTAAATTCATAAGCATAAAATTTCTTTACCATTCAAAGGATATATCTATTTATTATTATTATGATGACCATAAATTTATTTAGAATAATAATGATATTTAATTATATTGTTAGATCAATCTCCATTTATTAGCTGAAACCAAAATTAACTTTTTTCTAATAATTCATTCCCTAAATTGAATCCTTAAAATAATTAAACTTATTATGAGGTTTTAATTTCTATTGAGTTTATCTAAAAAAATCTATGAAGTAAATAAGCCCTTCTTATTTCTTCTTTGAAATCTATTAATGAATAATCATTTAAATTGCTACATCTATAACTTATGAATATAAGATTAACTCAATAACAACTTAATAAATCTGGTTTCAAAAATCATTGATATTGAAGTTGATTCACTATTGTAAATTTCATAAGTAGTTCAAAATTTTATTAATCAATTCAAAATATATCTAGAACCCCTCATTATTATGCAAAAGGGCGAATAGCAATCAAATTTGAAATTGACGAATTATTTTTATATTTGATAGAATTTCATTCGAGAATAATATTATACAATTCAAATGTTTTCTACTTTGAATTTGTTCTTAAGCTCAACCATTATCGTTTAAACTTATATAATTTTTAATAATTCTCGTTTTAAATGGAAGTCTACAGAAAATTGAAGTTTTCAGACTTCAATTTATATACATGACCATATAAATAGTAGTAAGTACTTATGGTCTTTTATATAAATATTATAATCTGTAAATAATTATCTGTTAAATAAATACTTTAGTTTATAACAAATGGATTATATAAATTAATGGATTATTTATTAAATAATATTGAGGTAGAGATAGACTTAGATTAAAGTGACGATTCATCGAATCAGATCTGTTTTAAGGTGTATAACAAAAATCTGTAAACTTTTTGGATGGTTGAACATAAGTGTGAAGAAATACAAAGATTTGGATTAGATGTTTTTAATTCTTAAATGCCTGAGGAGAGTAATGAAAGATTTCAATGGCTAATGGATTTATGCAATAAGGTGAATAAGGTTTAAAATAATGATCGATGTATCCTTGAATTCTTTAAATCAAAACCAATTGAGATGAAAAGAAAGCAATCAAAAAAAAGAAGTCTTTCAACTTTTAGTTATTTGTTAAAAATGTCATGTATTGAAGAGACTAGAACTCACAGTAGAAACACTGTATCCGCTAAGTAAAAACAATATACTTAAATAATACTGGAAAATTCATCTAGATTTTGTGATTTGAAAACAACTCGAGATTTTATTGATTTATTAACCTTGTTACATTATAGAGATATTAAAAAAGTGGGATCAGGGGCATAATCCTAAGCATTCAAGGCCCTTAATTAACAAGAGCATTTGGTGGCTGTGAAAATTTCTCAAAACACTTAAGAAAATCTATATGCAGCATTAATGTAAAGACAGATAAATTAGGATGTGGCAGAAAACTTTGTAGGAAACTATTTGTTTTAGTATCAAATCTTAGAGGCGGAGGACATTTTAATCATAGAAGAGGAATTGGCTCAAAACACATTGGAAGATTTAATCGACAAAAAATAAAATCAGAATGAGAATTTCACAAATGATGAGATTCTGCAAATCATCAAAGATATTGTTGATCAGCTATACAATCTGCATATTGGGAGATGTAAACAATTTCCATTAATAATTAATAGAATCAGCTCACAATGATATTAAACCTGAAAACATTTTGATTCAAGATCATAAATTTATATTGCATGATTTTGGAGCAATTAGACAAGTTCCAAAAGATCAAAACTAAGTTGAAATTAATTAAATATTTGGCACAATATTATATATGTCTCCTTTAAAATTTGAACACTATCTCTCAACCAATCAAAAATAACAACTTGATATTCACATAACGCATACGATTGATTCAATCTCCAACAATTTTAAACATAATCCATTTAAATCAGATATCTATTCCTTAGGATTAGTCCTTTTGCAATTATTACTACACAATGACAAAATTAATTTAAGAAAACAAATTGAATGTCTCTTTTATGAATAAAGACAACAAAACTTACCAGGCTTAATTGAAAAATATGAAATATACCTTTATCCTGAAAAGTTTTTCCTCTTCGACTAAAAATTAAAAAGAATAAAACCTTTATTAAAGTTACTACTTGATGAAAATGAAGAAACCAGGATATCTACCATGGAATTAGCTACACTGTTCAATTCTTAAATTTGCACTTCTATTTAAACTTCTTTTACGTAACAATTTGTCCCTACAGTCTGGAAATCAGAATAAGGCAACTGTTAATTGGCTTATAGTTTAAAATCCCAAATATATCAAGGTGCATACAATATAGAAAAATAAGAGAGAGAAGGACAAGGCATAATGTTTAAGGCAGCTAAGAATGATTTAATTTTTAAGATTCAAAGACATAAGAAAGATAAGAAATCTATATGTGAGGACGATTAAGACTTCGAAATAAGTTAAGTAACTCAACTATAAGAGTCCAAATAAGTACTCAGTACTAAGTAAAGTTTAGTTTAGAATTAACTCTAAATTCTATATTCTGGACTATGGTTAAAGAATTTGCCTCATGGAAAAGGAGAATTACATATATATAATACAGTGAGTGATCTCAATTACAAGGAGGTTAATATTGATTATGGAAAACTGATTAATAAAATAGATGATCATCATGAAGAACATCAATTATAAATCAATTCATAATTTTATTTTGGATTATTAGATTAGAAAACTACTATCAATAGACTTTAGATTTAATACTTCTTAAATATAAGTGAAAGGTTGGCTGAGGATGATTTCATTGTTGGAAAGTATTATTACAAGTTTGAATTTGATGTCATAACCCAAAAATATTATGGTTATTAATAGCCTTATGATTTCACTGTTATTGATGTGCTAAGTTTGAATGACAAAGAAATCATATGTCTAATTATAAGCAGATTTATAAAAAATCTTAAAAGCAAAATCTCTCATTTCGAAATTCGAAGATATGTGATCGAAAAATAGATTTTTCTTAAAGACAGCAATAATAATTATATTTATATACGATTTGATGGACAACATTACAAGGAATCACATTAGAAGTAGCAAAAAGAATAATCAATTAGAAAACCGATCTAACCTCAAATGGTTTAAAAAAAATCAACTACTGCTTGTTGTGTAAAATAAAATAAAAAGATCAATCAAAAATAATAGATAGAAATTGAAATACAGTCTGATGTATTAGAATCCTAAATTGTCTTAGAATGTCTCAACCAATAAAAATCAAATGTGAGTGAATTGATTCTCTAGGCTGCTTCCTTATCCTCTCATGCTTTAGAGTGGTTATTTGCTGATGATATCATCTCTTAGGTACTTTTTTATCAAAATTTAGATTGAAATACTAAGCTTCAGTAATTCCTAAATCAAAGACACCTAACTTAATTTGATTTTGTTGAGTTAATCTGTAACTTAAGTGAGGGATTTAGATTTATCATATACTTAATTATCAGTATAAACAATCACTGCCTTAATTAATTCAGACAATTTAAACAAACTTCATAAATTAAGGATGGCTGGATGTCTGTGGTGTTAACAGTTTGAAGATTTCATTGCGTGTGACAAATCTTAGAAGTTAATTCTATTGGATATCTCCAATAATAAGTGGGTGGACTCCAACCTCCTTAAATTATTCACACCTGTCTATTTACCTAATCTTAGCCAATTGAATTTAAATAAAACTTCGTTAACAGATAAAGATCTCAAGAAGTTTTAGGAGACACCACTTGGGAAAAAGGTTAATCTAATGCCATTGACTTCAAAGCAATTCGAATAATAAATGATTGATTTTAAGATTTCAATACATACAACTAATAGTCTATTTGCAAATATTAGAAATTTGGAGAAATATGGTTATATGTCTTATCATGATATGGAGGAGAATAACTATATTAAAGATGAGACTCTTAAGAGAATAGCTCATTCTCAAGGTTTATAGAATATTGAATATTTGAATTTAAAGAAATAGGATATCACTCATTTTGGAATGAAACATTTTCTGCAATCCTAATTTATTACTAATATTATATCAATAAACTTATCAAATACCTAAATAAATGGGGAAGTGTTAAAGTAAATTTATTCCTCTAAAATATAACATTTGAAAATCTTAAAACTAAAAAATTGCAATAGTATTTTGTTTGATGATTTATAACTCTTTTTAAAAAATTATAAAGCAGCATATCTTTAAAAATTTTACATAAGCAGCAAATAAATATCTACTAAAAAACTTGTTACTGAGTTGAAGAATCTATAATCCTTGACTTAAACCTAAATCATTTTCAATGAGTATTAATTAATATTAGCATAGTTAAGAAAAGCAAACTGATATATCTGCTTTGCTCACCACCATTCTGACTTGGGTAGCCATATTGATAAGCAAGCAAAAACTACAAAAATTAACATTAGACTTAAGGGATTGCAAAGGAATCAACAACGGCTTTGACTTATTCTAGGAAGAGATTCAATAGTTGAAAGGAGAATCATCCAGTGTGCTGATATTTAAGATCTCTAAGTAAGATATTGTCTAATTAAAGTTCCTCAATGCCAGTTGCTATAAGAAATTAGTTGGAGTAGAATTACAAATCAATTCAATTTGTTTAATGATAGTTATTTTAATTATTTAATGAAAGAACGTTTTAAAAAGAAAGACAATTTCAATAGTAAAATGATTCTTACTCAATTGTTTTCACTACTATGCACTTATTATAGTGGATTGATAGTTGTATGCCTATTTCTGGATTTTGCTTTGGGATTATAAGTAAAGTATTAAATGAATCAATAATCATTAGTTTCATTTAGGGTAAGTTTGGGACTTCGGAATCTATAGCTATGATACTTACTTCGGTGTCAATCTATTGAGTAATATATTCAACATCTTAGTGGTTGTGAGTGGATTGGTAAAAATGAAATTTATTTAACTTTTAGATCTTTATAGTAGTTAAAGGAAGCAAGGTCCTAGATTTTGTATTCTCCTTGTACTTATGGCATTTCCTTATTTGTTGTATTTTAAGCTCTTCTGAATTCAATAAAATGTGGTTAATAATCAATACGATCCTAAGTATTTTAACCATATTGTTGGGAGAATATCTTTGTGTTAGATTTGATTAATAAGATACTCTAATTATTGATAGATTATTTAAAAACAAGAAAAAACCTGTTGCAGAACATAAAAGAAATGATGATATAATAAAAATTAATATTCAGTGAACACTCTGAAAATATAAATTGATGGACATATCTATTTCTTAGAAGCTATAATGGGAGTCACTCTTTTAATATTTTTATGGTCTTTTGTTGTTTTCTAAAGCTTAAATCTAAATTTAAAGTAAAAATTGTTAGTAATCACTAATATTACAATTATCTGCCTAGCTTATTTATTTAAAGCCTATTAAAAGATTCCCCAGAATGCAAAATGTTATTAAATACAATAGTGGATTACAAAAATATCATTCTTAAATTTTAATGAAGAATTATGTTCATTTGATTATTTATATTTTTTCTTAGATATCCTTTGGTATGTTCTACTATACATTTATTTGATCTGTTTCACTTATGTATTTGTGATAAGTTCCCCATAACAATATTCCATTCTCCCAGTACCCTCCAGCAATCAGATTCTAATCACAATAAAATCCTATGCTATTAGGACTACCATCTGCATTCTAGAAACCTATATATAATTGGCGATTATTTCTAATAATATCTGGTTCATTTTCAAATTGCAAGTATTTTTCATTGACATCAATTTCCTTATCTAACTTGTTCTTGTTATACACTTCTTTTAATTTTACATTATGTACATAACCTAAACTAAAATACAGTTCTACCTGATATTAAAGTATCCATAAATTAGTATATACGCTTGAAAAATCGTAATTTCTTTTGATGATTTAATTTTTATCTAAATTAATAAATTGCTTACATCTCATCTTGCTCTTGTTTCTCCTATTCTTTCTATAAAAGTTTAAATTCTTCATATTGCTTTATTTACTCTTCCGTTATAGTACCATAGTATTGGAATAATTGGTTATTCAACATTGAAATCCATATTCCCCAAATAAATTCACCCTCCTCCCATATTCCATCTTTTATACAATAGTTCCCTTCAAAAAGTATGCCTATGATTCATGTATCAATTATACCTCTCCCATGCAATGTTTATTTATCTTCCATAAGACTACCAAAGTATAACTAATCTTTGTTGATTTGTTTTGTTTCTTAATATTTGATGAATTGTAAATAATGATATTCTTCTGGGATTTCAAAGTAGAGTAATAATTGTCTATGTTGATTCACCACTTTGGGATTCATCACATTTTATAGAATCTGGGATATTTTCTCTTATTCTTACTCATCCCATTAGAATCTTTTGATGTTGGATGTTTTCAATTCATCATAATCCTTAATTGTCTTTAAGTAGTTTGTTTAAACGATAATTGATTTCATTTATCTCTGAACCTATTCATCAACCACTCCTTCTTTAGATATGATTTCTCTTGCTTAATTCTCAACCAACCATAATCCATAAACAAATTATCCATTCTTAAATAGTCCATCCTATATAAATGTTTAGCCAATTATGATTCCTCTTCCATGTAAGGTTCCATTGACATTTTACCCATAATAAATAGATTAATCCTATTATTCAAGTGTTGTTATTTCACATTATTCTGTTTCGATGTCAATTTGAATATTGCTGAGAATAGAATTATGTTCTTCTCTTAATTTCTCTTACCAATCTGCTAACTTTTGAATGAAATCCTTATTATCGAAGTCTATTTATTTATTTAGATATTCAAATACCTTGCAAATACTATGAGATTTCTTAAATTTCATCTTCAGTCCAAAGCAATTTTATTTGAAATTCATTGATCACTTTTTTTAGAATAAGGTGTCTTATCTTTAGAAGTCTTTGACTAATAGATTATTGGATAATTGCGAATTCCTTTTTATTAATTTGATTTTGTTTGGAGATATAATTATCGACTAAGGTTCTGTAGGTATTAAATTATTCAAAAACAATTTATTGAGTGAATTCAATATCTTATAATAGTTACTATGAGGAATCTTTAATTGATTTTTCAAGGTCTTGAAAGTCGTTTGCATTCATGAGTTGATGATTTTAATGAGTTTCCAAGAGACATTCGCAACAACAGTAATATTGTTTGTAGCATTCTCTTTCGAGACAGACTGACTAGATAATTTACATATGTTGGAGGCATAATTATTTTTCCATTTAATTGCTTTGAAATTTATTTAATGTTTAATTTGCTCAAGAAATACATTATTGTTTGTAAACTAAAATCTTAATTAAATTTTTTTTTAAAATCAAAACAAAATCATGAGCAAAGCCAGATAAATGAACAAAAAGAAGAAGTTCGTTGCCGATGGTGTCTTCTAAGCTGAATTGCACTCCTTTTTGAGCAGAGCTTTGACTGACGCCGGCTATGCTGGATTTGTTGTCAGAACAACCCCAGTCCAAACTGACATTGAAATCAAGGCTGCCAACACTGCAGGAGTCACAGGACCAGAGGGAAGAAAATTGAGAGAACTCACAAGCTTAATCCAAAAGAGATTCGGATATGCCAAAGGTATTTTGTGAATTTATATCTTTAATTTAGAGGCTCTTCAATTGATTGTTGCCAGAGTCCAATCAAAGGGATTGTGTGCCCCAGCTTAAGCTGAATCACTCAAAACCAAATTACTCGCTCAAGTACCAGTCAGAACAGCAGCTAATGCAGTCTTGAAATAAATCATGGCTGATGGTGCTATTGGTGCTGAATGTATTATCTCTGGTAAATTGGGACAACAAAGAGCCAAGTCAATGAAATACAGAGCTGGTTACATCATCTCCACCGGTCAACCAAAGAAAGACTTGATTGATGTTGCTGTCAGACATTGCTTCTTCAAACAAGGTATCATTGGAGTCAAAGTAAAGATCTACAGACCATATGACCCATCTGGTATTTCATTTTAATTAATCCCTCCTTAGGCAAGAAAGGAATTCCCATTGAAGTCCCAGACAAAGTCAGATTCCCCGAATAAAAGTACGAACAAGAAGAGGAGGAAATCAGAGAACTCAGCAATCAATGATATCAATGTATTCTAATATATAAAATAATTAATCATGTCTTCAGATTATGTATATATTCCCAATCTCATTTTAGTCAACCGTAAAAGAAGTCATTCTCTCAATGTTGGCAAGTCCCATATGGTAAAATCAATACAATTCCTTTGTTGATGAATATTGCATCTATTTCGATGATGATGAAGAAAATTCCATCCAACAAAATAATATCTTCAAGCAATTTCAAACTGAAATGGCAGCTGTCTATGACTCCTTTTTCAATTCTCTGGGCTTAGACAATTCAGATGATTTGCAAATGCAAGTAAATAATGTAATCCTCCTTATACAGGTTATCAAGGAAATACTTAATAGTGATGAAGAAGAAGAAATTGATGTCTAATAATTGCTAGCCTTGGGAGACTTTCAAGTTTTCAAAGCAGAAATGTCCTATTAGAATAAACGAAGAGAAATAGCAGCCTATTAATAATTAGTAGATGATGCCGAAGATGAAGATGATGATGAGGATGAAGAAGTAGAAGATCCTGTTGCAGAATAAGCTAAAAAAATGCTTATTTTGAAAATCAAATTGGAGTATGAATAACTTCAAGATGTACTTGAATTAAAGTAAGCTATGCAAATCTCTTTTGATAATCCAAGTATATCTATTTATTATTACTGTTAGATTAATTGAAATTAGATTAAATTTAATAAATACTCGAGGTAGTTTAGGCTAGGTTATAAATTCTCGAAAAAGAAGAAGTAGGAATGCAATAAAAATAATAAATGATGTAAAATAATGATAGAAAAAATAAATTACTTGCTTAACTTAACAACCTTCCATTAATTGATTTAGAGAAAGAGCAAGAAATATTTACAAAAATCAAAGTAGATGTTAGTAGAATCTGATAATCAACTTTATTATCATGATTTATTATAATTATAGAAATTGTATATTTTCTATTATTTTTAAATCTATGCTAGCAGAATTGTAAGCAAAATAAACTAAATTGACCTTGCAAAGAATGACTCCAGAAGAGAGAGCTGCATACGAAGCTAAGAATAAGCCACCTCCTCCACCCACTAATTCTGCAGATTTTTAAGCTAAACTTGCCATGCTCAATCAATAAGAACCAGGGTCTGCATAATCATAACAAACAGCTCCTCCCAACACTAAAGTCATGGTAAATAAAGCTGCTCCTCCTCCTCCCCCACCTCCACCACCTCCTCCTCCTCCCAAAGGAGCTGTACATAATTCTCATATTATTATTAAAGCCACCTCCTCCACCTCCAGGTCCTCCTGCCGCTAAATCAACAACCAATCCACCTAACTCAACTCAAACAATGCCAGCTTATTAACCTCCTCCACCTGTTTAAAACCTACCGCCTCCTCCACCACCTCCACCTCCTCCTCCTCCAGTTAAACAAAATATAATGCCTCCTACACCGCCACAACCAGTACAATAATAATTTCAAGCTCCCCCTTATCAATAAATGTAATAAGCAAGCAACGTTACAAATTACCAGAATCCAGGTTCATAAAAGTAATAATCAAATGAAACTTATCTCCCTGTTACAAAAAATCAAGAGAGTATGGCATATTATATTGTTTAGGAGAAATTGTGGGAGATACAAAGTAAGTCGAATTTCATGAACTTCAATAAGATAAAAAATAAAAAATCGAAATCAACTATTTTTTAGCTATTGGTGGTGTTAATTTGTAAGAATCGTTTTAAGCAACTACATTTGAAAATATTGATAAAATTAGCTAATTAAGTGCCCCTTTTTAAAATGAAAATAGGAATCCAGAATTCTATTCTATCAAAAAGGGATTCAGAAAATTAGATTAGAATCCTAACTAAGCTGTGATTTACTTTTAAAAGTCAGATACATCATCATAAGTAAAAGTTACCAGAAATTTTGAAAAATACCTGAAGAATGACAATAATTCATGGACATAAAGTCAAAATAAGCAACATTTGTAATTATTAAAGAAAAAGTATCGAAAGGACATTGAAAAATACAAAGAAGATTAACTTAATGCAATTTAATTAGCCATTTAATAAGCCATCCAATAAACCATTTAAGAAACAGTTGAAGAAACAATTGAAGAGAATGTTTTGAAAGAAGTAGATGAAAGTAGATTTTAAGCAGCCAGTAAAAAACTATAAGAAATAATAAATATTAAAGTGAGTAATAATGATTATTCTTCCCTTTAAACATTGCTTCCATAGATTCAAGTAAAATTCATTAAATCTTTCTTAGAAATTCAAAGATACTAAAAAGATTTATGATTAGTTAGATCCTGAGGCAAGATAAGATCTTGCAGTTAATTTAGAATCCATGATGACCACAATAGAAGCAATGATTTTGTGAATTTTAGATATTAATATTACCAGACATAAAAATTATAGATAGCATTAATCATACACAATTTATAGCTTAAGTATGAATAAAGTTCATTTGCTTTGGTTATTGTTATTGATTAATCTTCTGTTATATTTTATGAGTTTTTGAGTATACTATTTTACTTTTTGTTTTAAATACACTATTTCTTAATTTTATATTGTTAACTTGTCTTCTAAAGTCTTCATTTACTCTTATTTCAATGAGACTGAATTTTTGTAGTTCTACTCCATAATATTTAAGTATTCCTTTGCGTTTTTGTAATTTAAGTTTTATCTTTTCTACATTTTTATTTGTTAAGTTAGTAATTGCACATGAGCATTTAATTACTTAATTATTTTTATTGAATTTTTGAGATGATTTTCCAATTCAGTAGGATCTTTTTTCTCTGAATGAAAAGAATAATTAGAATGACTTTTTTTTAAATGATTAAAATTAACATTGTTCTCATCAAATTGGAAAGATGCCAACTCTTACTTTACATCATCTTCATTGATATCAAATGCTGTTGTGTTGATGTCTTCTCTAATATAATGATAGTCTCCTTATTAATCAATTGAAGAGAATGCTCCTGTTTTCCCATTCCCAATTGATTCTTATTTCTCATACTTTTATGTCTAAATAAGCAATTCTAATTCTGCTTTCTTGACCATCAACTCATTGATCGTATTAGTGTAGATCTTATTTTGATTATTTAGTTTCTAATTTTGGATTTTGAATGAAGAAGTCTGATATTACAATTCTTAAAGTTCTTAATTAGTATTCTATTATAATTAATGAAAAATTTTTACATTAATTTACTCTAAAAATTGATTTTTATCTTTGCAATTGTTAGATTATAGTTACTCAATTTCTATTTGTAATCTAAGTATTTATCTATTTTAGGTAATTTGAATTTCTTCCAATTTGGAATTGCTTTCTTTAAATTGTTTATTTTAATTTATTAAAGAGATGTGCATGTTTTCCTTAATTTCTAACTACCTTAAAATGAATGTTTTACTTCATTCTCTAGCTTATTTATTTTATCTTCTAAGATAAATATCTATTCTAAATGACTCTTTAATTTTTAATCCACTGTAAATTCATTCTAAGCTATTTGATCTAATAAATATTAGTTCCACACCTTTTCTTATTCTTACAATTAATCATAGTGTTTGGTTTACAGATGTTCCAATCTAGTTTACAATTCCTAAATATGACTAGAATGAACTAAAATTAGTTACTTCTTATATTGACTCACTTCTTCTTGATTGTTTAGACTGGGTCTTCTGGAAGAGTGTTGCAATTGTAATTCTAATTGTTCTATCATCTAATCTTTTTCAACTATAATATCAATTGCACTTTTCTCTAATTGCTCAATTTAAATTTAGAGTTCATTAATATGTTACAGGCCATAATCATATGCTTAGATCATGCTATTAACATCTAAGTTTCTAAAATCTTATAAAGAATAGATGGTGTTAGACATCAATTTAATTACGTATATAATAAATATTATTTACAGATGTATAGTGTAATAATAATATATTAAATTTAGGTGAATTAACAATTAATAATTGAAAGTAGAAAACCGAATAACTAATTAAGATGGTTATTGGATATGGAAGCATGTCTAAGTTAATTCAAAGAAATACGCAAAAACTATATTTGTTCACTATATAATATAATTCCTATATTCCATATTGTTTGCAAAAACATTTTTATGATCAGATATTGGTCATTTTTACAAGTTGCTTAAAACAATGGGGTTTTCATCATAAATATGATTTCATAGATTTATTTGATCTATAGTTCCAACAACTATATTTTTAGCCTTTTTAGAGAGTTTAAATTATTTTTAGCTCATATAAATGTTCTTTAAATATTTCATGATATTTATAATGCTTGCATATCATTTGATAAAATTCTTTATTTGTTTACATTTTATAATTATAAATTTGAGGTAAAAATTTCCACAATTGAGTAAAAGAAATATTATTCAGAAAAGGTATGTTTGAATCCTATTTGGATAGGAACTCAGGATATCATTTGTAATATTTACGAATTCCCAATTAGATAGATAAAATTTCAACTTACTCAATTATTCATAAATAGCAGTATTTGAGAGAAAAAAAAGAATGATATTAGCTTTCCATTAACGTTGATTGATATTTCTAGGAAACAGATTAATTATGCTTGTTAATAAGAAATAGAAGGTTTAGAGAATTTTTTATTTTTCTGATAATGATGCTATTCTAAAGGGGGGAATGCTTTGGATATACTAAATTTTGCCTATGCGTCTACAATATTAGGGATTTATGAGTGGAAGGAACTGTTTCAAAGAGAAATAAGAACCATATTTTTTTCAGTTTACTTTGTGGCAAACAATACAATTAATTATTTATTCGAAAATTTGCTAAGGTTTAAAAAAAACATATAAATTAGATTCATTAATAAAAAAAAAAAGTATTTCAGAATGGACTAAAGCGAGAATTTTGAATAGGATCAGGGACCAATTGACTATTATAAAGAATCAATTAGGCTATATTACTACAATATTGTTTTACATTCTTATGTAAATAATTAGTATTTAGAATTAGTTAGAAAGAGTGAACTAGGAAAAAAATGAGATTAAGTCTAAATTGTAAAAATTCTAAGTTTTAGAGGATTAAGAGAGTGATATATCACTGGAGGATAAACGGAAAAGGAATAGGAGAAGTGCAGTTGAAATTCCTAGAAGTCATGTATGCACAATCTCTAATTGTAATAAATCCTATGGATCTGAGGGTTCATTGATGTAACACATGAAGATCAAACATGGGATGGTGATGAATCAGGATAAAATTGGTCAAGTTCTTGATCAGTTTAGATTCCAATATAGTAGTAACTCAAACTGATTTTAATTAATATAATTAATGGATCTATGTATTTTACATTATAGAATTAGATGATTCTTCAAAGGCAATTCTGCACTGAGAAATCTGAATGAATTCTAACAATAGTAGATTTAAAAAAACAAATTGCTATTCTTGGAATAGTTTTAGGATCAGCTCTTTCCAAAACAACATTGGCATTTAATCTCGAAGTCAGGGATAACGCTTAAAGGCTTATGTTGCTCTTTAGCAAATATCTTTGAAGAAGAATCCTTTGTAACAAGATCAAAACTAAAATTACTCAATTAATAATCTAAGGTTTCAGAATTTATTCAATTCAGTAGACAGCTTGTTAAATCATTACAGACAGCATATTTAACTCATTAAGCTAGGCTAGTTTTTATTAATAGATGAGCTTTATGATTTTGTTGATTAGGTTTATAATATTTGTTAAACAAATATAACTTAGAATTTAAACTCAAAAAGCATACAGATATAATGATAATTACGAATGGGATATAATTATTTTAACTTGTATATTGAAAATATTTAGATGATTAAAATTAAAATATTTAGAATCAAAGTTTATGTTAATTATATACCAATAGTTGTTAAGCCTTTTAAATTGAAGTTAATTATGAACTAACTATAACAATAATTAAAACCTATTACTTTGGAGAAATTATAAAATTGAAAATGGTATTATAATATTAATCTATTTATCATAATAACGTGGAATAATCAAACTAGTTCTCAATGATTCTCATAATTCTGGTGTGAAGACTTGTAACTTAATAAATTAAGTTCTATTAGAATTTAAGTAAATAGTATATTTCCATGCTCACTGGTTGCTATGAGTTCTAGACTTTATCTAATTTTATTAATTGTTTCTCCAGTTTTTTAGTTTGCTTGCTTCTGAAATCCAACTTTCTTGATTTTCCTTTATCATCCTCTGAGTATTCCTCATCTTCTCTTAGATTATAATCATCATATGATGTATCTAAGGATAATTATTTTTAAGACTTTTTATCCATAAAATAATAAATAAATATCAAACATTATCAGGATTAAATCTTATATATAATAAATCATGATATTTATTTTAAATAATTTCAATTAAAACAATGATATTTTATTAATAATTCTGATTTTATTTTGAGTTATTAAGTTGATAAGATAATAGGAATTCAAAAACAATTCTTTTATTGTTTAGAATTTTAGAGACTATAGACTATAACTAAGAGAATTTATGCAATTTACAAATCATCTTTTATTGAAATACTATATAAAGAATTGATCAAATATATGTCAATTTTTTATATATTTACAAATATAATTGAATTAATTAAATTTTAATTAATGTATTAACCTAGTATTGATTAGAACATTATATAATCTACAACAGTTAAAACAATTAAAGAACTAAAAAAATTGGGTGATTCTAGGATTAATTTAGAGGCGGAAGAGAATGAAATTAATGATTCTACTTTAAGCGGAAAAAACTCTCCTGGTGGAGAAACATCAAAAACCTAGCATACTAAAATTACTATAATTAAAAAGCCAAAGTTTACTTCCAATGCTTAAACTTAGAATCGCATTGTTTCTATGAAGTAGACTATCAATAAACCAACTGAAGAAGCTACTGAATAAAGTAATGTTTTCAGAAGGGCCTCCTTAAGATAAGGTTCAATCAAGCCTTTGAAACCTAATACTTAATTATAATAAGAAGGAAGTGACCCTGTTGATTTGAGTAATGCACTTAATTTAGTTTTAACGAAATCCAAGAACTTAAGAGATTAGTTTGAAGAATTACAGCTTACGAATACTTTGATTAACAAATTTATAAAAAATGATAAACAATTTCATTTTACATTTTAGGCTTTTCTTGATGATTTAGTAGGGAAAGGAAAGTTATCGCAAAATCTAACTAATATTCAAAAACCAATTTTACAAAAAATTGAATAATTTACAATCAATCATGTTAAAAGGTGTATCAAAAAATCTCAGATCAACCAATAATATGAGGAAAAGTCAAAGCATGTTGATACTTTATTTAATAGATACTATAAAGAATTGGCAAACTTTGGATAAAATGTATAATACTTTTGAACAGATAATAATAGTTTGAATGATGATATTAGTATTGTTTTATAAATATTACATTTGATATATCTAATTATCACATTGCACCATATAATCATTATATAAATTAATATATTTCATCATGATTGATATAAATTATTTACTTTAATGTATTCGATGATTTCAGGTGTTAATACACCTAAACAATCTAAATATTCAGTTTTAGAATTCTTTATCCTTTTCCTAATTTCAGTTGAGCTAATTCCGTATTCAAAATTTTGCACCAATTCATATTTTGGAGGTAGATTTGTAATTTAATCGATTTTATGTGAACTTCTATTGAGAATGATAAAATTAGTTTCTGCAATTAACTTTTAGCCCTCAACCCAATTAGGTAAGGTATTTACTAAATCACTACCAATTACAAAATGAACATTTTAATATTTCTCCCTCAGTTTTTATAGCAAATAATATGTTGGCACCAATTATCCATTTTATAATTCATAGTTATCAATGACAACTGAATCTATATTTTTTAATTGATCTTTAGTTCATTAAATATTCAAATACTTTCTACCAGCAATTAGAGCATTTTATATCTGTGAAATCCATCTGTTAATTATTTATCTTTTCTATTACCACAAGGTACCAAAATAATTTTCTATAAGATGTTTTAGTTTATTAATTCAGCTATCATTAATAAATGACCAATTGTAGGAGGATCAAATGATCCGCCAATTATACCGATTTTAATTTAGCTTTATTTCATGAAAATAATTATAATTATTATTAAATCAATTAAGCTTCATTTTCATTCTTTGCCACTAGTAAATCAATTCTTTCCAAATACTCTAATTCATCTTATAGTTTATTGATAATTTGAATTTGCTTTCTTTCCCCTTTTTTTAAGAACTTTTAAACTTTCTCAGCTACATTCTCAAAAGGCTAGAAATTCAAATTTATCTAAGGAATTATTGGACCAGGAGTACTTCTCAATTATTCCCAATTGATGGATGCTAAAAATGGATGATTTTTTATTTCCTCAATTGATCCATATCCTAACCTTTAAGTGTAATCAGGATTTAATAATTTTGTTAACAAATCAAAAGCTTATTGTGATATTTATTCTTCTGGATCATTACCTATTTCTGGCCATTCAATATCTCCTTTTAATATATTTTGATAGATCTTTTCTACAGATTCATCATTAAAAGGAGGAATCCCAACTAGAAATTCATATAAAATAATTCCAAGAGACCAAAAATCTTAGGATTTATGTGAAAATGATTGACCTCTAATAATTTCAGGCGCTATATAATCTGGAGTTCCTATTATTCTTCTTTCAGCATTCTCAGGAGTGATATTAGACTTCTTAAAAGATCTCCCCTTCTTCATCTGATATATTGGCGAAGGAGATAAATCACTCTAAGAAAAACTCTATTGACTACACTTCTTAATCATTTTTTTATTGATGCCCAATTCGCTAAGACCAAAGTCAGCTAATTTAATGTGTCCATATTAATCTAATAATATATTTTCTGGTTTTAAGTCTCTATGAACAATATTATTATTATGCAAATATTCCAAAGCTATTAATATTTCAGAAAAATAGTGTCTGGCGATGTTCTCATCAAAAGCCTAAAATAACCTTAATTATTTACTCCTTCATTGATTAGAATTTTAGAAAAATCTCCTCCAATCATATATTCTTAAGCAAAACATAAGGATGACTCATGTTAAAATGAATAATAAGCTTTGACTACATAATCTCCTGTTAATATTTCAAATATGTTTCTCTCTTATTTAAGTTATTCCAGCAGTCTTTCAAATCTTTTATTACAACAATTAATTATTTTCATTGCATATAAGTCACCTGTTATTATTCTTTTTACTAAAAACACACTACCATATGCTCCTTGTCCTATTTGTCTTATGAAATTAAAATCTTTTAAGCCTATATTTCTTTCCTTTATCTTATTCTTGATGTCTGATCTAATTATTTCAGTGTCTGAGAAGTAACCTCTTTATAATTCCAGGAAACAAGCAGACTCAAAATTTAAATCATCATCCCTTTATGTGGGTTCATTTACTTACACTACAGTACCAATAATATCGTCTAGTTCACTATCTGAACTGCCAGTTTTGGCAAAATAACTTTTCTTTTATATTTCTTGTCTATGTTTTGGTTTTTCTGATATTTAATCCTCTTCTGATGAAAATGTAGAGTGTCTCTTTGGCCATTCGGATAATTTACCCCTTTTTCTGAGACTTTCAATTATACATATTGATTTGACTGGAGTGTCCTATCCAGAAATACTTTTTCTATCTGATTGTGTATCTTCGGAAAAACTTGACTTATGTCATAATTTTATACTTAGAAGAATTCAAATAATCAGAAAATGAGTTCATTCTATTATGAGTTTCACCATTAGATTTAGGACTGTCTTTACTGAACTTGCTTAACCTAAAGGAAATGCTGGGAATTGCTTAAAACTTTGCTTATAGGTTTACAAAATTTCATACTTTTATAGCATAAGTCTAATTTCTAATTTATCAGACTGTTCATTTGCTCTATCAAATTCAAAATCTAAGGGTTTCTTATAAATTATTGGGCTTAAATGAATTCATTTTGAGATATAAGATGATCTAATATAAATGTGTATTAAAATACATTTAGCATCTACCTCCGAATTTAATGATCTTTCTCCGTAGGAAATTAAGACTTGGAGTATTTTATATTCTTAATAAATTTCCTGTGTGTATTCGGGTGAAATCTAATCCCATTTCAATCTAAGGCTGTTAAGACTATTTTAGATAAAAACTTCAATACTATTTTTAACCCCTTGAATGAATTTAGTGCTTTGTTTTATAGGCATTTTCACAAACTTTGGCAACTTGCAAATTCAACCTGATTTCCTTTCTTCGAAATTCAGCACGAGACTTGCAAGTTTCGTTGTGTAATTTAAGAAAATCAATCTTTATTGGCAAATTGCATATTCTACAGATAATTTTATGTTCCATTAATTTATTTAAGAACTTATTAAGCAATAACCAGTTTTTCTGATTGGAAAGAAAACTCTATACAATAAATAATGAATTTTCAGAACAAAGCACAAATTCATAAACATTCCCAACTTTTAAAACATTTCATTTTTGAAGGATCTTCAAATTGAAACGATATGCTCTCTTCGAAAAACAAAGAGCCACTATATATAATTTCAGATTAAATGAAGAAATTAACCATAATTATCAATAATATTAAATAAGAAGCAGCCTAAGTCTAAGATGACACTTTAAATCTATAATATAATTATAGAACTTTCGCCACAGCAGAAGCATTAAATTCGCAAATAACTGTTTTATTTTTGACTGCGAATGGAGCACTATTCATCCTCAAAAGAATTGCGATTCCTATATGGATTGAGATCGGAGGATATATGGATTGAAAAGCAAGTAATTGTCTTAAGGAGATGAATAAGATAAAGCTACAGATTTACATAAATTATTTTTGATGAATATAGATACACATCATAATATTATTTTATTATCTATCAACATATAGTGAACCGTAATTTAAACTCACTCAAAATATCAAATTAGTATTTGGTTCCACGTTTTATAACTGATCTTCTTAAGCTCACTTAAAATTTATTCGATCTATCTTTTAGGGAATGGCTAAGTACATTCAGAACTTTCGCATATTTTATGGATGGTTATTATATTANTTATGAGTTTCACCATTAGATTTAGGACTGTCTTTACTGAACTTGCTTAACCTAAAGGAAATGCTGGGAATTGCTTAAAACTTTGCTTATAGGTTTACAAAATTTCATACTTTTATAGCATAAGTCTAATTTCTAATTTATCAGACTGTTCATTTGCTCTATCAAATTCAAAATCTAAGGGTTTCTTATAAATTATTGGGCTTAAATGAATTCATTTTGAGATATAAGATGATCTAATATAAATGTGTATTAAAATACATTTAGCATCTACCTCCGAATTTAATGATCTTTCTCCGTAGGAAATTAAGACTTGGAGTATTTTATATTCTTAATAAATTTCCTGTGTGTATTCGGGTGAAATCTAATCCCATTTCAATCTAAGGCTGTTAAGACTATTTTAGATAAAAACTTCAATACTATTTTTAACCCCTTGAATGAATTTAGTGCTTTGTTTTATAGGCATTTTCACAAACTTTGGCAACTTGCAAATTCAACCTGATTTCCTTTCTTCGAAATTCAGCACGAGACTTGCAAGTTTCGTTGTGTAATTTAAGAAAATCAATCTTTATTGGCAAATTGCATATTCTACAGATAATTTTATGTTCCATTAATTTATTTAAGAACTTATTAAGCAATAACCAGTTTTTCTGATTGGAAAGAAAACTCTATACAATAAATAATGAATTTTCAGAACAAAGCACAAATTCATAAACATTCCCAACTTTTAAAACATTTCATTTTTGAAGGATCTTCAAATTGAAACGATATGCTCTCTTCGAAAAACAAAGAGCCACTATATATAATTTCAGATTAAATGAAGAAATTAACCATAATTATCAATAATATTAAATAAGAAGCAGCCTAAGTCTAAGATGACACTTTAAATCTATAATATAATTATAGAACTTTCGCCACAGCAGAAGCATTAAATTCGCAAATAACTGTTTTATTTTTGACTGCGAATGGAGCACTATTCATCCTCAAAAGAATTGCGATTCCTATATGGATTGAGATCGGAGGATATATGGATTGAAAAGCAAGTAATTGTCTTAAGGAGATGAATAAGATAAAGCTACAGATTTACATAAATTATTTTTGATGAATATAGATACACATCATAATATTATTTTATTATCTATCAACATATAGTGAACCGTAATTTAAACTCACTCAAAATATCAAATTAGTATTTGGTTCCACGTTTTATAACTGATCTTCTTAAGCTCACTTAAAATTTATTCGATCTATCTTTTAGGGAATGGCTAAGTACATTCAGAACTTTCGCATATTTTATGGATGGTTATTATATTAAGAAAACTATATTTATAGATTTAGGTTTGTAAAATAAAGAAAGATCATTCTAAGTTTTAGGATCACTTATTTCTGTGGATGAAAGAAGCAGTTTGTAAAGGACTAACGATGGATTTTGAGGAGGCCCTTCTTTGGAATATTGGGTTCTTCTTAATCACGTAAGGACTTTCGTCTTGAGTATTTGATTATATTTGTATCTAATTCTTTGTTGTTGATTGAGGTTAAGATTTAATAGAAGTTTTAGTATTCACGCAGCCCATTATTTATTTTAAATATTAATTTCAAACTAATAAAATTGAGACTTATAAATCTGACAAAATATAATTATTCATTATTTTTTATCAGTATACAAAAATTAGACATTGACAAATAAACGAAGTCAGATTTCATTTAAGATTAAATTTCTGATAAGCGTTTTGCAGAATAACTTAATTAACAAATTTATTATTGACAATTAAACATAAATTTAAATACTTAAGAGCTGAACTATTCTTTTTTTTAATTCTTAGTAACGGGGAATCATCTTAAATTAATTCCAACATTTCATCATCAATTATGATTTATGTGAATTCTTATTATTTGATAATCTAAAATTCCATATAAATGTTATAAATATTATAATAAAAATTATACAATAGATAATTATTTATAAAGTGATTGATTTTATCTTTTAAAAAGTTTAATGAGAAAAAACATTTTTAAACAAAAAATACTCAATCAAAAATATGGCATTTACTCACTTTAAACTCTAGGATTGGGTTTTTGTGATTGTAAAGAATTGATTAATAGTATAGCATATCATATTTGCTTCCTAAATCCTAATTCTCAAATTCTTATAGCTGTTATTCAGTTTAAAAATTCATTATAAAGTAATCTTGAGGATTTGCATCTAAAGTAGAGACTCTTGCTCTTTCCCTTTATTACTGCAATATTGGACTTTTGTTATGTATTGAATATCTTGAAAATTTGGATGGTTCATAACTTATTGAATATCCTACTTTTATGCTTTCTTTTTCTTTATTCTGATCACTTATGCTATTTTATTGTTAATTATCATCACTTGAATGATATAGTGTTTTATCGTTTTAATCAGGGTACACAAAGGTTTGATGTTGTTTTTAAACGGGAGTTAAAGGTTAATTAATCAATTTCTATGAAGATTCTTGTTGGATGTTATTTTAAGTTTTATGAAATTATGATTTTGATTTATTAAATATTTTTGCAGATTTAGATGATTTAATGGATTTATTTGACTACATCCTCTTATTCATTCTTATCTTTTTGTTCCAATCAAAAGGCATAGCATCATTTTAACTTTCTACTTTAAATAAATCTTTCAATTATATATAATTGGGCTTGACTTTAACAGATAATCCTTTGACATATTTCATATACCTATACTAAGAATAAATGAAGAAAATCACTTTAATATTTGAGATGGCAAGTTTTCACACAATTCTTCAGGAGAAATGTCTTGTTTCAAAAGACCAATTTTCTCTATTCTTTCGCTGTCTTGCTTTTCAATATTCATCCAAGGTAATTAACCATTTAGAAAATATATTAGAATGTAACCCAATGACTCAAGGTCATCTTTTCTGTTTTGCTCTTTACCTAAATGTGCTGCCAAGCTTGCATATCTTGAAGTACCTATGAAAGAAATTTTCTCTTTGCTCTTCTTGTTCTATTAAAGATTCTTTGCTATACCAAAATCTATTAAATAAATTTTGTCTGAAAGAGATGCTCCAAGGATATTTTCTGGCTTCAAATCTCTGTGTATAATATTTCTAAATTTTGAATAAGTTGATATTTTCTACCTTGCATGAATTTATTCTAAAATGCTAATCATTTGATAAGCTATGTTACAGACACATTCGTATGAAAACTTTTTAAGCTTCTTGTAATAGTGAGTCAAATCCTTGCCTAAAAGGTTTTGTATCATAATTTTTAGATTCATCTCTTATCCAAACCAATAAATTTTGGGTACTTATGGAACATCTAGCAAGAGTTTCAGAACTTCGACCTATATTCTAATAGTTTTTAGTAATACTTCATGATTCAAACTATTAAAGTAGGAAACTTCACTCTTTTCAACTTTTATCGCCACTTTCAAATTCATCGATTATGATCGTCCCAAATACACTTTTCCAAATGAACCTTGTGATAATAAACTCAAAATTTGATAATCCTATGCAATTATATCTCCAGGTTTAAAATCTTGCATAAGAAAAGAAATATATTTAATTATTTAACTTAATCAAATTATTAAGTAATAGACACTGATTCATTTGAAGTTTAAAAAAAAAACTGTAAAAAACCATTCATTTTATTCGATTGGAAAAGTTGATTTTTACTATTTATTTATATATTTTTAAAAAAGATTTCAAATATCTCTCCTAAGACTTCTCCTCACCTTCTCATGACTTAAGTTCCTATGCCAATTTTAGATATATAAAAAAATAATAAAAATTAACTAAATCAATATCAGAAGTATGGACAGCTATTAGAGGGTTGTTTATAATATAATTCTTGTTTATCTATCACTGTTTTGCACTTTTTCGACCAAGCCAACCCTTTTTATTAGATGAATTGTGTATGAAAGCAATGAACTGATGTATTAGTAGGCAAACGAGCAGCAGGAAATTAGTCGTTGTGATATGGTTTAAGAGTAAATTCATTTGAAGGCGAATCGCAAAGAGGAGGACTCAATATAATTATAGTAATTTCTGCGCTTGGCCCTTTATTTTGAATACATCCCATAGATTTGTTTTATGATTTGCTAAATTTAATTATTAAAATACACAATTGATTTATTTATCAATAAGAGTTAATATTTAAGGAAGTAATAATAAATTAAGGAATCTTTTCATTAATTGCAGTCATGTAACAAATTGTTGCTTACCATTATAATTTTGTTCGAAAAATTTGATCTAAATTTAAGAAGTCAATAAATTCTTATAATTAAATTTAATGTTGAAGGCACATTAAATTTAATATTTTAATAAAAATTAATAATTTATACTAATCAATTATCCTATTATTCCTATTCTTATTCTTATTCTTAATTTTCCTCGTTGTTCTAAGGTAGTATTGGTTCTTATTATTCTTTAGGCTTATTCTGACTTTACTTAACATTTGATTTCTCTAGCAATATCAAACAAAATGAATACTTGTTAAAATTGGCTGTCTATTTTATTCAACTGCTTTAATCTCTTTCCATTGATTGACATCTTCCTCTAATCTTTTAGATGCCTCTAAACAAATAACATTTATGAATTACCTTGTTTTCTCATTTTATTTGGTTTCTTCTTAGCTTCCACTTCCATCAAATACCTGAATCTCAACTCAATACCAGTTTTGTCATTTGGTAATGCTAAATAAGTAATAAGAGCATCTAAAGTTTAATCATTAAAATTCTATCCTGAAATATTGTCAGTTCCCATAATATCATTTAATGCTTAATAATTATCTAAAATCAGCGCTTCTTTATCCATCTTCTTTTTTTCTTCCAATTCCTTTTTTGCTATTTCTAATCTTTTCTCCTACTCTGACTATACTTCTTTAATTCTTTTGAGCATAAACTCTTAGGTTTATTAGGTTCTTTTGATTGGAGATTAATCTTAAGGTAATTCCTAATTCTCTTATTTTTAAGGTTTGGGTTCTTTGATGCTTTTTGCTAATTTATTGAAAAATTCGTATCCTTTTATACTTATTCGAAAGAGAGCTTCTAGAAATTCAACATAATCTAGGGATGCTGGTATCTCATTAGATCTGTATGTGATTGCATTGAAGACTCTAATGAATTCAATTTGTGATATGATGTCTGGATAAATTCTGAATCTATCTCCAAACCACATCCATAATTTTAATGGGATTTATTTAAAATCAATCATTTCAATAGATTTATAATATTCCAATTGCAATAACTCGTATAAATAACTTAATCTAAAGTTATTATTAGTGAAAATGGTTTGGTAAGTTTGATGTCTAAATAATTTGACAATCAATTCACTTGTTGCCTTTTCTTTAACTTTAATTTGTTCACCTTTCTTTTCTATATTTTTATAAAGAGCTTCATGCATTTTCTAATGATCAACTTCCATTTTTTTTCTCTCTTCAGCTGCCATTTATATTTTAATTTGTTCAGCCTTAAAGATTTCTCCATATTATTCAATCTTCTTTTGATTAAATAATTTGAATTCCTACTTCTTTTTCTAGATCTCTTCTGCTCTCTATTTCTTCTCTTATAACTCTCTTTTGATTCTCTCTTATTCCTCCTCTTTTTATTTTTATGCAATTTTATCCTTTTACTATTTCAAATATGCTTCTTATTCCTTTTGCTTTTCTTCCTAATATAGTTTCTTGGGATCCTTCTTAGCAGCTTTGGCTTCCTCTTCCTTTTACTTTTATTACCTTTCCTTCTTCAATTTTTCCAATTTGGCTTTAGCTTATTCATGATTTTTTTGTATTTTTTCGTCTCTCAATTTAGATTCCTCATCCTCCTTCTTTTTCTCATCCAATTTATCCTACTAAACCTTATTAACAATATTCCATTTCCTTGTTATAGTTTTTTAATTGTTTTCAACTGCGAACAGCATGTCTTCCAAAACATCAGCTACCTGTTCAACTAATAATCGTTATTTTGGTTAATTAAATGGTATCTTAGCCAATTCCAATTTGATTCCCAAACTATATTATCTAAAAGGTTCTATTTCTAAATTTCTCTTTGGTTAAGTTGGCAGATTTGGCAATGATTGTGCTACTGAAGCTGATTTCATCATAGTTTTATTTTTTTATTCCATGTAATGATCTTTCTCATAATTCTATTTAACTTTGGATTCCACATACCCCAACATATTGGGTCTGCAGACAAGTTAGAATTCTTTAGAGGTTATGGGTTCAATTATATGACAATTGCTAACTTTAAATACAATATCATCCAAAATTGAATAAGCAATTGTGTTTGAATCCTCAAATTCAAATGCATAATTAAATTTAATAATCTCCTCCTTCTATGTTTTGTACCCCTCAGGTAAAACATATTTCGGATCTTCTACTAATTTTTTATTGAATTCTTTAATAACATCCTTCTAATCAAAAAACATATTATCTGGATCATCATAAAGTTAGGTGGTCTATCCTTTTGCTGCTGTTACTTATTTCATCCTTTAAATCATCATTTCAATGCAAGTATGAGGCTAAATGTATTTGGCTCTCTTAGTAAATAGAATGCAGGCATATTATGTAATAATGTGTTTGAATCCTTCATAATTGAAATTAGTTAATTCATTTTTGCATTTCAATAGCTAAATTGCAATCGATCTCATCAAAGCATGTACTTGTTCTCTAGATACATTGAATACTAATTCATAATCCTTGAGAAATGCCCACAATTCAGCTTCATTTATAGTATCAGATTGATCTTTCAATTCATCAAAATCCTTTGGTTTGATAATTTTATTTCCTGAATTAGCATATTTAAAGAAAACATATTTAAATATCTTATGATACTTTCTAAAAAGCTGTTCCACCAAATAACGTTCTCTATCTTCTTCCAATTGCAAATCCCAAACTTCATATTCTGTTAATCCGTGTTTATTTGGCTAGGCTATACTTTTTGATCCATCTTTAAATACTAAATTGGTTTCTCTGTCTTTCACAATTGACACGCCTTATTCAATAGATCTCTTTTCTAACTATTTTCTAAGATTTGCCTTTTATTTCTGTTAGGCCTCCTTCATTTATTCTATTTTTTATGCTTCACTTGTTGCTCTATCATCAAATTATTTCTTGAGGGTTTCTAATTTTTCTAGTACCTTTGGATCAGCTTTAGTAGTTTTTAAGGAAGCAAGAGAATACTGTTCCTCCTTTGATAATTTAATAGATCCTATAGATCGAGAATTGAATGGAACTAATTAATCATCATCTTCTGGAGGTCCTTACAATTTACTTGCTTGTTATTCTCGATATTCAATCTCATACTATTCCAATATTCTCTCAGCATTTCCGAATAATTCTAATATTGCCATCATTCCTTTAGAATTTCTTTTACTGAACTACTTTATTTGTATATTTGTATGTGCAATCAATGGTTTTATTTTCTCATTCAAAAGTTGCTATTAAAATTGAATTATGGTTCTGACAATCTCAACAATTTAATTACGCTTCTATGCACTGATCGGATCCTTTGCTTATTTCTTTTTTTCAGATGCAAAAAACATGGCCAATGCAATTTTAACGAACTTCAAAATAAATTCTTACATTGTCTGATTCTCCACATTCTTCGATAATATGTTGATGATGATTTCAGATGATATACTCTAATAAACTAGATTGTTTAAAAATATTTTAGCCAAGAAGTCCAACAATTAAATAGCATTCTTAATTCCTATATTCAGATTGGATACGAACATAAAGAAGTGCATATCAAATGTATTCAAAATATAAGTGACTCCCTCTGATGTTTGCATCTACTTGATCAAATTCTCAAGCACCAAGTTTATTGGTACTGCTTCCATGGTGGAGAAGATGTGAATGAAATTATTCAAGATATACTCTCTTATTTGCTGGTTATCATGATTCTCCACCAAGGACAATGTTAAACTAAACTCAATTAACATGTTATTTACTTCTTGTATATAAGTGGGGCAAAATTGCTCTTTTAAAGACTGAAATGATTGAGTAACTTAAACAAGTGATTAAGACACATTAAGGACAGTGATTATGACTTATCTCTAGATCCCTTTTTGAGTAGTGCAATGATCGTATTCGTCAATGATTCATCTAACTCTGTATTGGCAAGTACTTCACTTAAAAAGTTAAGGGAAGATATTCTGGTATCAATTGTATTTTTAAATTCATTTTCAGCAATTCCTATAGCCTAAGTCACCCAATCATTCAAAATGCCAGTCGACACCAACTCTTGATTATGGCTTAGAGGAATGTAGATTAATTCAATTGAATTTATGAAATCCTTAGTCTCAGGTAATACAGTTCTAATGCCTGTTGTAAATACTTCCACAAAGTTGTTTCTTGCAAACTATTAAATCATCTCAACATGAAATGACACCAATTCTGGATGTCTCCTCGTACCCATCAATGCTGTGTGTAGCCCTCCTTACTCCTCAAGGAACCATTCCCTTAACAATTAAACTGGTATCATTGAACCAAGTCTAGTGAATAATCGAACTGATTCATAGGCTACATCGAATGATTTGGATATTAATCCAGGTTTAAGAGCCTGAGAATAATAATAACAAAGTAATACTTGCAAGGCGAATGTTAGTGATTTTTTGGTTGAATCCTCGTTAAATAACTTGATTAATTAATTTCCATTTGCATAGGTTTCTTTATAAAAGGCAACTATTGGCTCGAATACTCCCTTCACTCCTTTGGCCAATATGTGAGCAAGGAATTTGTTGTTATTAGTAAAGAGAGAGGCAGACTATTTGATTGACAGTTACAAGTTCTTAGCCAAAGCAACTATGAAGAATTCTAAACAATTTGATGTTTTATTAAGATCTTTCTTAGGATCTAATTTTGATAAATCAACTTATTAATTAGCTAACATAAAATTAATCAATTAAGTACCTTGGGAGATTTTACTGTTAGCTAAAAGTTTGGTGTTTCCACCTAAACTTAATAATGAGTCATCTAACATTTGAGATTGCTACAACACTTATGTCTGTTACTGACCTCGATAATATTTATCATAAATTTCCAAAAGTAATTGGTGTATCATTTCCTTATCACCTCCTAGAATCAAGGCCTTGGTGTCTTAATCAATCTGGATATCGACCTTCTAATATTCCTCGCATAGAATCTTCCAATTGTATAAGATTGAGGACTTCTACTAATTATCTTTGAGTGTGTCCAACTTTGCCAAGGGAGTGGAAGGTCTTTTAAATTGATTAATAAAAGAACCTGTTTCGTAACTTCACAATTTCCTTGAGCAATTATCCAAAAGCAATGCCATTTTCCAATTGAGATAAGGATGCCTTGCTGATTTCCACCTTGTCTGCATATTTCTTTCCATCCTAAGGTAGTACCTTTAATGAGCAAAGCCAATTGTATAAATTTTCCCGAATTTGCATTTGTTAATATTATTATAATAAAATAGGATTATGAAATTGATCATGCTTTCTTCTTCTGATTCTCATCCCTCAACTTCTGCACAGTCTACTCTGCTAATCTACTGTAATATTCAATAGGCTTGATGTAAAAGGAACTCTTGTTTTTGATCTCCTCTTCATTGATCTAAACTTTCTTTATAACTTCCTACTCCATCTCCTCCTTCTTCTGTATTTCTAATTTGGGTTCTGTCTTTGCAATTACATTCTCCACCTTTTCTGCATCTCCTCCATGCAAAGGCACGTCTACAGCTGGACCCCACACTACTCTAATACACCAATTGCCTTGCTCTAGGATGTGCAAAAGTGTCTATCAATTATGAATATCAATTACCCTCATTTTCATATTATAATGAAACACACACAAAGGTTGAGTCTGTATCCCATGCTGAATCTTTTACAACATATTTGTCGCCCTCTGTCCTCTGGTCTTGATGAATACCACATTTTCTGCCACCTCTAGATAGAATCTAGCAATCTACCATTTGAGGGGTCCATTGTTCATAACGTCTTCGTAAAACCTACTTGAATAAATTTCAATACTGAGCAGCCAACTCATTTGAAAGGAAGAGGAACATGAATTGCAATCGAAATCCCCTCTTGTTCTCCAAAAATAAAGCGGGATTGCTGTCTGGATATTCATAAATAGTAATGACTCTTCTAGAAGGGTATTTGTCTTCAGTAGGCAGGAACTCCTCGATAACCTCCTAATAATCGGGAGGTATTGGCTTTCCTGATATCATTATTTTTCTGACCTCCTCAGCCATTGCTTCATAATGACTTAGTGTTTGCATTGAAATTATAAAATTGAAGTGGTAAAAATTATAGTGATTTCAACCCTTTTATAATTTCTTGCTTATTTTTGGAATGCCTTTAATTTTACATTTTATACATTAATTTTTATAATAATGCTAACACTTTTTTTATTGCTGCATTACTTAAATGGATAACCATGTGCCACTCCCGTTACTTTGATTGGCACGACTTAAACTAGCGGGGTCTGCACTCCCCCAGGTTAATTTTTAAATTGATTGACTAGTACCTGGAGCATCCCTCATCAAATTCCCGTTTGCTACCTTAGGTGCTACCACAGAAAATGCTGTCAAGTTCTCTGTCTCTTTTTGGCTCAAACCTCCCAGTGCGCCTACTTTGGGTGGTAAGTCGTACGGCATTCTTCGGGTAAGCACAGACACCACAGATACAGTTCCCATAACTACGGAAGGGATTAGATTGGCCGTGTACTTTTCGCTGGACTCCGTTAATAGAGGGTTCTAATTGGGATACTCAGAATCGCCTAGTGACCCCATACTCTATACTGACATTACTCAGATGGGTGCTGCATATTCAGGGGATTGGATGTTCATCTATGCAGGCTTAGACTATACTACTGGAGAATTAAGTAATCTCAAATCACAACATATATAGAATTGAGCACTTGGGAAACTAAGTAAATATTTTGGCAACAAAAGAAGTTCTCAGCCTCCAAAGTGAATTTCAACACTCCCTTGTCAACAAGCACGGCTATTGAAGCATTGTACTGGGGCACTCAGGACAGTTTTTGTGGGGACATTAAAAAATTGAAATGGATGCCAAATTACTATGAAACTACAGATGAAAATATATTTAAACTGGCTTACTTCCTGGAAGGAAAAACAAATGCTGGAAACTATTTATATCGGTTTGATAGGGTTACTAAAAACACAGTTACGAACCTTGCAAGTTCAGGAACCTTGACCTTACAATAAGCAATGAAATTTACATATTATGAACTGGATTTAACTCATCCTGTCTTAACCATTCCTATTGCTAAATGGACTACTGTTACAAGTTCTTATACGTTTGGAACCTATATCCTTCAAAAGAGTTTGCCTCAATTCGCAGCTGATATTATTTTGTTATAGAGATAAACCTCAGGAGCTGTCAACCTATTTTCTATCAAATTGGCACTGCAAGCAAGTGGTAAATTAGGAATTGTATTGACTTTGGAAACAGTAGCTAAACTAATAGTCCAATTCGATTGTCAAGTGGATTAGTGGTATTTTCTTCAATTATCTGTTGCTTTTGCAGGAAGCCTGTAAAGTTAGGTTAATACTCTATCCCATTATCACATTGTGGCTTAAGATGGGTCAATCTTGAGTGGATACGTTTAAATCACTTACACAGCCACAATAAGTAGTAAATACTCAGGCTCTGACAAAAGTTACATCGGAGACACTCTGAACCCTTATTAGGGCACAATACAATTGAGACTGTTCAGATTTGAAGAGGGATTCTAAATATTTATGAACAACCCTTGTTAGGCAGATTGCACAATAGGGAGGTACAGCTTGACATCCTCTGAAAATTATTGTTACATTTGCAGTTTGGCTGCCAAGTTGGATTCCACATTTTTATGCAGTACCAGTCCTTGTTCTACTGACTATTATATGATAACTGATATGACAAGTCACAATTTCTGTGCATTTTGTGATTCAACATAGAGTTACTACGTAAATCCTAGTTAAGTTTGCATATAAGCTGCTTGTGGTAATGGATACAAGGAGCCTCCTAGTGAGGACTGCGATGATTCTGGAACTACCAGTGGAGATGGATGTAGTGCTCTTTGTGTGTATGAAAAGGGGTACAATTGTGCTCCAGCCACAGATTACGAATTAACAACTTGTGTTAAATATTGTGGGAATGGTGTGAGAGATGAGGTTCTGACACCAGCAGCCTTGAGTTTCACAGAGGAATGTGATGATGGCAACAATGTATTGAATGATGGATGTTCGAATTGTGTAGTTGATCATGACTTATGGGAATGCGGCTATTCGTTTCCATCTTAATGTACATTATTATGTGGCAATGGCAAACTGGATAATGATGCTTTGTATTCATAAACTGAGTAATGCGACGATGGTAACACTTCTAATGGGGATGGATGTGATTCGTCTTGTGCGATTGAGCCTGATTGGATGTGCAGCGCAGTTCCATTACAGATGAGTGCTTGCATTCTCATATGTGGAAATGGAACTTTAGATGTTGGAGAGTAGTGTGATGATGGTAATGTAATGGATTTTGATGGATGTACTGGATGTGTAATAGATGCAGGATGGGATTGTTCAGGTACAATATGCACCCAATATTGTGGCAATGGAGTCAGGGATGTGATACCAGCCAAGTCAATAAATGAGATATGCGATGATGGCAACACTATTTAATATGATGGGTGCTACTTATGTTTGGTTGAGACAGGCTGGACTTGCGATGCAAGTAATCCAAGTCAATGTCATATGTGTGGTAACAGCAAAAAAGAACCCTATGAAACTTGTGATGATGGTAACATAGTCAGTCTAGATGGGTGTAGTAGCACATGTTAAATAGAACCCTCATGGACATGTAATGGTGGGAATCCAGATATTTGTAATAATTGCGGAGATGGAAAAAAACAATAAATTGAAGATTGTGATGATGGTAATCTTAGTGCCAATGATGGGTGTACTAGTTGTAAAGTAGATCAGTATTATGAATGTTCCGGTGGTTCACCTACATCACCTGACACCTGTGTGAAAACCTGTCCAAATGGCATAGTTTCAGGAAGTGAAGAATGTGATGATGGGAACAATGCAAGTGGTGATGGGTGTTATTTATGTATCATTACTATGGGATTTGTATGCGATAATTCAGTTCAACCGTCGGTGTGTAGTGTTGATATTTGTGGAAATGGGAAGTCTCATTCATTAAATGAGGATTGTGATGATGGTAATACTGTGGATGGAGATGGATGCAGTGCTAGTTGTAAAATTGAAACTGGCTGGGATTGCTCAACCAAAATTAAATGCGCACCTATATGTGGAGATAGTAAAAAGGTGGTTGATGTAGAGGAGTGTGATGATGGCAATCTAATAGATGGAGATGGATGTAGTAGTAATTGTAAGGTTGAATTGTCTTACTCTTGTGAGGGTGGTGATTTAACAAAGAAAGATGTTTGTACAGTTACTTGTGGAAATAATGTTAGAGATGCCAAGGAGGAATGCGATGATGGTAATGTTAGAAATGGGGATGGATGTAGTAGTCTCTGTTTAATTGAGACATCCTTTGGTTGTTCATAGGTTTTGATGTAAGATAATGTGACCAGAGATGAATGTTATCCCTGCATCACGAATTGTGCCATCTGTACAGACACTGACATCGAGGGATGCGAATTATGTTATCATGGCTATTATAAGTCTGAGACTACTTGTACTGATGATTGTGGCGATAATTTCTATGCCGATCCTTTTCTATAGGCTTGTCTAAAATGTGGTGACAATTGTGTCAGATGCTATAACAATTCTCAATGTTTTAGATGCAATTCTCCATATATTTTGGATGGAACCCAATGTGTGTTGAAATGTTCAGATGGATATTACATTAAGGAACATGAATTAAAAGGCTAGTGGTGCAAGAAATGTCCTCTTCATTGTACTGTGTGTGAGACAGAAACATAATGTACAAGTTGTGATGATTATTATTCTCCATTTGGTTCTTGCAAGTACTGTGATATGGGGGAGTTGTGTTTAGCATGTAATTTCGAACTAAATACGTGTACAAAGTGCCAGTTAGGCTATAGACCTATAGAAGATAAATGTATTAAGATTGAGGATAAGTGTGGAGATGGTTTGGTATCCCTTAATGAAAAGTGTGATGATGGTAATCTTGCTAATGGCGATGGTTGCAGTAGAGAATGTGCTATAGAAGTGGATGCCAATTGTAGACTTGTGCAGAATGAAGGACCATCAGAATGTTTTGATACGTTAGGATGGGAATTTGAATTAAAATCATTTATCTTGGATCCGCAACTCATACAACTTACATTCACAGATCAAATCAAATATGATGATATTATTACTAAGAATATTAGCACTCTATTCACTCTGTCCATCAATGGATTCACAGAACAAGATTACTCTTATGAATTCGTTAATAGTAGTGGTTCCAACCAAACTATCTAAATCCAATTTACATTCTTGAAAAATGTTGTATCCCAAACTCTTACTGTCACTTTGAAAGATCAAAAAAAACTTACCAATTATTACGATGTACCCATCAATCCTGATAAGATCACCAAAAGTATCGATTTGGAAGATAAGGAATTCTACAACTCATCAGAAATCGAATTCTTTACTCTTCTTAGAAATCTAGCTTATGGTTTACAAATATTGAATTGGATATTAATGATTGGAGCTGGGTTTTTGGATTAATAATATCGAATCTGGAAGACTGTAGAAGTACTTCAAGTCATATGCACCTTGTATTACATCAATTTGAGATCTTATCCACTCAATTCCGAACTGCTGCTTGTAGATTTAAGATACAGTAATTTATACATACTGCCCAATTTCCTATAATAATAAACTGATTAATATTTGTAGTCCTTGAGGAGATTCTCAATGGCTGGCTTAACCTATTAAGTTATCAATAACACGGGAGGATTATTCTTGTTTTATCTTGGTGTTTCTTTGGCTGTTTATGCATTCACCAAATTAGTTTATCATAGATATGTCTTCTATGTTTTCGAAGTCTTTTTGGATAAACTAGAATTTAGTTATTTTTTCAAATTTTATGAAGTGTTCTTATTAGAACTTTTAATTAGTTGTTTGCATAATGTTAGACACAATTCCATGGCTTCGAATTGGAATGGTACAAACACAGTGATAGCCTTAATCTTATTGCTATTCATAATTTTGGTTTAAGCATCCTTTTTCTTATTGGCATTCTTTAGGGATTATTTTGGCACTGAATCAGAAGTTAAGTCTATGTTTGGTACTTTGACTGATGGTTGTCATGATCACGATCGTAAACGTCGAGTATTTATGAGTCAACAAGATTTCATCAAGAAGGTATTCATTGCTTATGCTATGATCTATGTGGATGATCCATTCCAATAGATGTTACTCATCATCATCCCCAGAGCTGTCATAGGTTTTGTAACATGTTTCCTTATGAAAAATTGGTTTTTGAGAGTTAAGGAGGTACTTTCAGAACTGATTCTTTATGGCATTATCAGTCAATCTTATATCCTAGCTTTGGGTGATTTTGTAGGGGATTTGGAGAAAAAAGTATTCTATGGGTCATTGTGGGTTTACTTAGTGTTGGCATTCGAATTAGTTCATGGATTATGCAATACATATTTGGTGTGGAGATTGTTGTATGTGTTGGAGTCCACTTTACCTGAGGATGTTGATCCCAATGCTGGAATCAATACAAAGATTGACTTATTCAAATAGAGAGGAGGGAAAAAAGAGAGAGGCAAAACCTAGAGGGAACTTTAAGAGGAAGCTGATAGATTAGCAAAGTTGGAGGAAGCAAAAAGAAAGAAAAAGTTGGAAGCAGAATAGGCATTGAAGAATCAGGGTAGAGAAAAATGGAATGTATGGAATATGCAAAGGGAAGCTAAACCTGAGGAAAGAAAATTTGTGTCTGTCAAACATAATGAATTTGGTGATGTCTTGGAGCCCATTTAACCATCAATTCCAAAATTAGATTTATAAAAATAAGCAGATAATTTCGATGACTTTGATTAAATGGAGGATTTCTTTGGAAATCCCTCTAAATCTGTTGTTAATAAGTCTTCAGCATTTGGTTAAACTGGACAATAATTCAAAGTGCCATCTCTGAATTAGACATAATAAATGAATCAAACATAATAAATGAATCAGACGTAGTAAAAATAAATGAATCAAACTATCAATCAATCAAGTAATCAGATTTTAAATCAAACTTAAAAATCTTAGAATATTGCTTCACAATGGTTGGGCAATGATAATTAATAACCACTATTCCAAGACCAATCATTCAAACCAGCTAGTGCTGCCCAATAATAATAAAAGTCATAGATTAGTGCCTTTTAATTCTAATAAGAAGCTCCGAAAAAGAAGGATGATGCTAATGATTCAGAGTAAGAATCAATGAATAATGATAATCCATTTGATTTTTGATTTAAATAAAATAGAAATTAATAATTAATATTCTTATTTTGACATTTTATTATTGAATTCCGATATATCATTATTGATAATTGATATAAATGCAATATTGAAGATTAAAATAAATTAATGAATAAATGAGCAGATTTCTTATAGACTTTTAAGTGGAATAGGGTCATATCAATTTATATAAATGTATTAAAAAATACAAATATTTTATGAAAATATTTTACAACCTCTATAAACAGGTAATATAAAAAACTCTAAGTATTCCAAATTAATTAATATTAAACAATACAATCATTACTCTCATCAAAAGTCCAAAACAGATGATATTAAAGAGTAACTTGATTAATTGTACGTAGATCTAGGAAAGGAAAATCCGAGTCTTTTCGATAATATCTAACTAGAATTAAAAATCATGAGATTTATATATAAGACTATTTAATTTTAGAAATTTTTATTATTACATAAATATGAATCAAGCAAATGAGAATCAAGTGGAAAGTTAATAAATCCTAAATCCAGAATTGTTTTCTGCTCCTAAAGGTGTCAAGCATTAAATAATTAACCCTATCATTAAAATAGAGGATCAGATAAAAAATATCAAGTTGGAAATCAATGAAGCTGTACATTAAGGAAATGATACAAAATAGCTTGAATAATAATTGGAGGACTTGTTAAACAGTTTGAGTGATAAATTTTATCAACTGGATATTTGTATGAGGGAAGTTTTGCAAAAGTTTGTTTAGAATGGAAATAAGATGTTCATAAGATTGAATGAAAATTATTTTGCCAACAATCAAAGGATCAAAAATACCTTTAAGGGATTAGCAGAGTAGTTTAATTTGCATTTCTTAGATCAAAATCCCACTTAAAGATATATTGTAATTACTAAGTACTTAAGACCTGATGGTCGATATGAAATATATCTAAGATAGCCCAGAAACCATGGGCATGGACCATAGACAGTACCCGAAGAGGATAAGGTTCCTAAGCCCTTTAAGGAGCTATTTGAATAGATTCAATAACCTCTACCGCCTGATATTATAAAGGAGATTGCAGTATAAAATGATCCCCAAGAATAATATAGTATTAATATAAGTTTCAATAAGCCAGAGGAATATGGATGCGAAATCACTCTTTATAGGATATATTAATTAGACATATATGATTAATCATTATCCTTGTAACCTGCAAAGAGAATAGTGCTCGAATTTCCGAACAACAAAGAGTAAGTGTAATAGTAAACACTAACCTTTACAAGAAATCATCCTTTAACTTAAGGCTAGTTACCATTCAATGAAATGGTCTACTTATCTATAGAAGCCTAAAATAAAAATGGTTGGTCTTCTGATCTTGAGGTATATCCAATCAAACTGTACGTTAAATATTATGAACCTCTTTCTCTCTATCTGTAAGGAACTATTAGTTCTGTCCTAATCGATGATACAAGTCAATTTTTAGAACTATTCTAAATACAATAGATTGTAAATGAGGAAAATAAGAGTTATCTTATAATTGAAGATTATAGCTTGGTTTTGCTTGAGAAGTAATAAATAAGGAATGTATCTATCAAAAAAGAGTATGTGTTTATATGAATGTTAGTACAGTGGCACTGGTGAGTACTAGATTCCAGGCCTGTTAATGGGGTAGCATACTTAACTTCTATGATGAAAGCATTACTTAAAATTTCGATGTAGATCCAATCAAAGATTTTGATATTAGTCCCCCTTATCACATTAACACAGATAGAGCAATTAGCAAAATAGCTTGTGGATTATATCATTCTTTGGCTCTCACTGTGGATGGCAATGTACTTTCTTGGGGATACAACAAACACGGCTAATTGGGAAATGGTAATCATAAGATAATACTATCAATTAGGAATGACCATTAGTTCTATGTAGCCTTAGCAAATCTCTTATTTCAAGAATAATTAAGTGTTTGTAGTTGATATATCTGCTGGACAAGAAATCTCAATATGCCGATCTGATTTAGGGGATGTGTATACTTGGGGTAAGATGCAAAATTTATTTGGGGATAACATTATCAAAGTTCTGAATGCTTAGAAAGAAGCAATTAATCTATAATGTGCTGATCAATCTAATAGTCAGTTGGTCCCTAGAAAGATAAATCTTAAGGCTAAGCAAATCTAGGCAGGATATTCTTGTTTTGCAGCACTCTCCTTAGAGAACAACCTTTATATGTGGGGGTGTAACGAACACGAAGTCTTTGGGTTTCTGAAATGTCCAGAGTTGGATGACCAAATTATTGTTCATTTATTGGATCCAATTAGGATTAATATTGAGAACGAATATGAAATCAAGTAGATAATAATATTCTTATAATTTTTTAGAGATTTTTAAATTGGTGCTTATCATTGTGTAGTAAGAGTGATTTGTAAGAGTAATTAAAGTGAACAATACCTTTCTTGGGGTTACAATAAATACAATTAATGCGGACAATCTGCAAGTAATAAAAATTCAGCTAAATCTTGCAAGAGAAACCAAATAGAGTAAGTATAAAAGATTAATATGTATAGCATCTTACCATAAAAGAAATTCAAATCATATAGTTGTGGTTTTGATAGATCAATCTTTGCTTCATTTGACAATCATATTTATACCTTATCAAAAAATGATACTAAGAACAATGACTGTTCTGTTTTTGTAGAGGTAATTAATTAATATTTTCCAGGAAGTTTTGGCCGGAGATCTTATATCCTTGGTATTGGGAAGGGAATGATGAATATTAATGTTTCATTTTAAGTAAATTTAACTTTAAATTAATGGGCAAACTCTTAACAAATAATGATTAAGCCAATGATTATCAGGTATCTTTAAACATTATAGAATTATTCTTACCTTGACAAAATGTAGTTGTGTAAGTACTTACTTTTAAGGTATTAAAATTTGAATAGTTGTGTTTTCTATGAATATATATTTAATTAATTAAATAATAAAAATGTCATCTCAAACAACAGCTTAATATAGGATGTACTTAGGTGCTAGGGTGTTGTGGCCACCTGATTGTCCTGATGATATTCTAGAAGGAGCAATAAATGAAACACAAAGTTGTTTGAAAACTTATGAAGCTAAGGACGGATAAAAGGTAACAGTTTCATAACTTATAATAAGATGGCAGAGCATCTTAAGAAGTATTTGGATACTAATTTTGAACCCTATTGGCATGTATTTTTTGGTAAAAATTTTGGATGTCATTCCATTCATGAAAAAAGAAGATTTATCTACTTTTACATCGATAAAACAGCATACCTATTTTACAAAACATAATGAAATATATAAATATTTATCAGAGATAATGATTCGTTAAAATTAAGCTAATTTGAATATTCTGTTTTTCAAGATTATTACTTAATCATTATTGATAACTTTCTAATTCAATAAATATTCATTATTTCTTTTTGAATATATTGTGTATATTTATATATGTATCAACAAAGCTCTAGAATTTAAATTCATAATTGGAATTCTTAGAAAGTCGCAATGATGTAATATTGAATTATATTGATATTTCATTTATTTCTTGTTAATACTTTTCCTGCTTATGGTTCTGAATTTACTATTAGATTTTCCTCCTCCCTTAAACTTTAAGGTATTGAATCACATCTAGGAGAAAAAGGATACATAATTCCACTTTATTTTTTAATCATACATTCGAAAAATGTTTTAATTTCTTCATCCATCTGGCCTATAATAATTTAATCTAGTTCAGATGGGTTTTCTTTTTATCTAATTTTCTGATAGGCATGGAAAGAATCCTCCAACTTTTGAATTTCAGTTTTCTCCTCTTCAAAAATGGAAATAGATTCTGCTTAATTAGAATTAAAAGTGTATTATTTTTTAAATCCAACATCAAAGATATCCGTTGGTATTAATGGTTTAGGAATATAATTAAATAGTTTTACTTATTCATTCGTCATCAAAATACTCTTCAGTTTATCAATTTCATGTAATTTTTTAATGATATATGCTACATCCAATTTCATCATTATCTTTTAAATAGCAAATCGATATATTTTTTAATTGTTCCCTAGACATCCCAGATACATCAGCAATGCATCCTTAAAAGAGATACTTATTGGATTCTTCTTTTTCTTAAGATACTATTTTAATTTAGTTTGATCACTGTTTTGAATTATTGATAAATTCTTCGTTTATTAATCTGAAGCCATCATATTAATCTCTTTTACTTCATCCTCCTTTAGTATCTTTTTATCAAAAGAATTCTTAGATTGATTACCTTCAATTCTGAAGAACTTACTTACAAGTGATAGATTCATGTATGTAAATAAGACTGGTCCAAAGAAAGCTGAAATCACTAAGGAAATGATCTACCACAAACCACCGACATTACCCAAAATAGTTTGCAGTTTAATATATGATCTATAGTATATGGTTTCCCTTTATTCTAAATAGAGAATATTGTTGGCTAAATAGTATCCATTATATGACTCAGAGTATTCTTTTGTTGCTGATTGTAAAATGGTTTCATCGACTTATACATCCTTATTGATCAACCCAACGTCAGTTTAGGTGTTGGCTATCTTAAAAAAAGAATGCAGTTGTTAGGATTTGGCGTAGGAAAATTAAGTATTTTAAATTGTGATTACATCATCATATGGTCTTCCAGGATTTTACATTTTAATTAGGACATCAGACATATATATTGCATAGTATGAACTTACAAGTCCTTGTTAAATTTCTTCCATAGGACTGCATTACTTGTAGGTTGTACTGTTTTTGCAGAGATTTACGTTAATCGTTATAAATTTAAAGTTATCACTTTATGAATGACCTTAAAGTTACTAAAATTAATTTGATATATTACTAATGGTCTTTGATCCCATTATTCAGGATTTAAACAATACATAGTAGATAATTAAAACTTCTAGAAGTATGTTTTTTACAAATCTGTTACAAAATGCTTCTCCAAGTCACAAGGTTCTATTGGGTAATTAAAACACCTTTTTATTATTTTTATCATACTCCAACGTGATATTCGCTTTACTGTTCACTTCATCATAGCTTCTTTTTCTGTGACATTAATTGACAGTCAGATTATAATATTTCAAATTTTTATCAAAAGATTGCAAGAGAGCATTTGTAATACTAATTACAAAAGTGAAGTTGCTTCTGGATAAGTTTATTACCTATATTTTATATCAATACATTGTTCATACTGGAGTGTTAAGGGGTTGATTGTCTGAAATGATGACTTGCGGATTAGATTACTTTGTGAGTTCATCCATTTATATATATAGATAAAATACACAGATCGTTGATAACATGATCGTAAGTAAGTAGCCAAATGCTGTACTAAACGAAGTCTTTTTTAAAACTTAGAATTAGGGACGCTAAGCAAAATAATCTAGTTTTGTGAATAGACTTCTCGAAGTATTCTTGCAGAATTATGCTTCTCTTTTTTGATACTTGAACATCGAAATACGTATATGAATAAATAATTATATAAATTCTTCAAGAATAAAAAAATGTTGTATTTAAATACCAAGAATTTTTTTGTAATTTCTTAGAAAATATTACCTTATTTAATTACTCAAGTGACGCACTCAAAATATGTTAATGTTAAATGGAAATATTTTATCTGAAAATAAAAAGTACAAAAGTTACAATATATATCAAAAAAAATAAATTTCATTTTTGACATTACTCAAATCAAGCTTATCTAGTAAAAAGATAATTTATATTATTTTCATCCCATTAAATTTTTAGGAACGATACGTGCTTTAAATTACAGAGTTACTTTATAAACTTAAAGATACTGATTTCGACTCAGATATTTTTTATATAAACTGCTTATTCCAATTCTAAATAATAAATTATCTTATCTTATTAATTAGAAGGATATAAGTTTACTAAATAAAGTAAGATAGAAACTGGATTAGTATGCTCTTTGATATCAATACAACAATAGGTTATTAAATTTAACTTGGAGAAACTATTTATAATTTTTAAAAAGGCAATTCTTTGAGAATCAATTCCAAATCCTATAGAATTTTCATTTGATATAGTAGATCATAAATACTAGTAATATAATAATGTTGATATGAGATTCTTGGTATATTTCAAGTCTTTCAAATTTGAAATTACAATGCATTAAAAAATACTTTCAATTCGATTACTCTGGCATTTTTGAAATTACTAAAATATAATTGGTTTTTTTGAATTTTATTTCCAAACATCTTTTCATATATTTTTCAATCTCTTCAATTGGTTCTCATTGAAAGTAATTTCTCTCTTTTTTTCAAATTCAATTTAAAGTTTAACATCTTATATCCCTATTCTTTGTGTCTAAATATCATTAGTTGATTTATAAAACTATTTTCCAAACATTCCAACACAATAAGTTACTACTTCTAAATTAATTATCATTTGACATTATACTTCATTTCTAGTTCTCCATAAAGATGATATCCTTCAAACTTCCCTCAGTTTTCGTTCATTTTGCAATTAACTATATCTTTTGAAGCATATCAATTTTTGTCTCATTATATAGTATGTAGATTCTATTGATATTTAATTTGTATATAGATTTAAAAGTTTAAGTTCGAGTCTATAAAGCTCTCAATGTTATTTGGTGCTTTAATTCATAATGTAATTAATGAAGATACTGAATAAATATAATTATGTGGATCTAGATTGAGAATATTCAATGTATTGTTATATAATTTTTAATTAATATGGCTGACTTGACAACTTTGCGAAGTCAAATCAATCAATGGACCCTAGATCAAGATAACAAAGTATGAATAATAGCTTAACTTACTTTAGACCTTCACAAAATTAGATCAGATGAGTACCAATCTGCTTACAAAATTTGGAGCTGTGTCATCTGACATCCGATCAGTTCAACATTAAGCCAACTCTATCCATGCTCAAATCAATCAGGCTTTCAATAGATTTCTAACTTTGAGCGATAGCCGCTTCACTGAATAAGTATTTTGTTTAAAGATCATTTTAAGAGAATGGCCCCTCCATAAGAAGCTCCTCCGAAAGCAGCACCCCCCTAGAACAAAGACGAAGGCCTCTCAACTGCTCAGAAGTACACCAAGGCCTTAGGCATAGCATTACAATCTCTTGATTTGTAATAGATGGCACAAGACGGTACAAAATATCTCGAATTTTCCTAGATGACATATTTGATGACAGAGATGACAAGTCAATCTCCGTCTTCTCTGCAGCCACCACCAGCGGTACTGTGAGTAAGTCTGTTAAGTTGCCAGCCATGTTTGGTACACCCCAATTCAACAATAACAAATTTATTGGTATTATTCCACACCAAACTTAGGTCTTTTTGATGACTTTGATGAAGCTCCCATCCAAGAGCCAGTTCGTCAATCTGCTCCTGTCCCTGCATACAGATAATCGGAAGCACAACCTTAACAACAAGGCTTCGCCAATTAGTAGTCTCAATAGGTTCAACCTTAGGCTCAATAGCAAATTAGATAATCCATCAAATAAGATCAATCTTAATTCTTATATAGTGGAGATAACAATTAATTCATCACGCGCACCAACTCTGCTCTAGGCAATTCAATGATGAATTCACAATTAGGATTTGTAGACCCTCAATAAAAGGAAGCCTTTAACCAAGCATTTGCACCCCCATATCAATAACAACAATAATAAGGGTACCAACCACTACCTCCTCCTCAAACACAAAGACCAACAGTGGTTGATGCTCCTCCCCCTCCTCCTCTGCCTCCTCCTACCCAACAACCCTAATACACTTAACCTTAAACCGTAGTGCAATAACAACCTGCATAATAGTTTGCTCCAACTCTCTAAGATTAACTGAATAGTTTAATTTAAAAGTAGAGAGAACAAAATCCTCCTACCATTTAGCAGTAGCCAAATTATAGCACTTAGCAATAGGAATAACCACCAATTCCTGAATAGAGAAATCCACAATAACCAATAAAGGTATTTTAACCACCAAGTGTAATTGGAGCACCTGCGTATGCAAAAGAAAAGGATAAGATTATGAGTTTGTTTGATGAGGATGATGACGATGACAATGAAGGTGGTTTATTTAAATCTACAACCACAAATAAAAATAAATTCAACAACCTACTAACAGATGGAGTTGCAAAACAAGAATAAAATTAAAAGCCAGCAGCTGTTGTTATCAAAGAAGAAGAAGATCAAGATTTCAGTGTGTAACCTAGAGTTCAAAGTGTTAAGCCTCCTCCAAAAAAACAACTATTCGATGAGACAGAAGAAGAGACTCTTTAAAAAGCAAATGCAGATAAGATTGCTGCTATTTATACAGTCCAACAATAACAGCCAAAACAAGAATAACCAAAATAATAAGTGCCTCCTCCTAAATTGACACCTTCAAGAAATGCTTTTGAGGATTCAGATGATGAGAAGAAAAAGGAACCTTAAGTTCCAGTCAAACAAGCAGAATAATTAGCTGTTTCAGCTGAAGAACCATAAGTTAGACCTTCCATTTAATAATTACAAAATAGATTGAATTTGAACATGTTTATGAAACCCCCTGGAGAGTAGGTCACCATGAAGGATATCAAAAAGAATGAAAAGGAACACGAGTCTGAATTTGTTGAACAATAAGCTGAAAGACCAATTGTATAGAAGAAGAAAGCTAGAGGAAGACAGGCCCTTGACTTCGATGATGATGATTCTAATAAGAAATCTAATAAACCAGCTTTTGTTATAAAAGAGAGAACCTAATAAACTCAAAAAGCTGAAGTGGTCATCGATAGAACATCATATAGAGAGTCCATTAAATTGAGTAAATAAACCGATTTTGAGGTTCCAATAACTTTGGAAGTCAAAACTGAAAAGAAGGATATTCAAGTGACAATCAGTCAACCAACCCAACAACTACCAAGTCTAAGTTCGAATAAACCAGCCTAATAATCAGATCCACTAGCAAAAAAGAATATAGGAAAAGAATTTGAACAAAAGTAATTTATTTACTTACTTGATTTAGAGGCTTACCAAATTTCTTTAATGACCCTCTTGGAGGAGGAGGAAAGAAATAATAACAATAGCCAGTTTAGATAAGTAATCTTCCAGGCTTTGGAGGTAAGCACTAATTAAGTATCCTAGGCAAATCGAACACATAGACAACAACTGTTTAAGCAGCAGTCACTCCCACAATAGCTAAGCCACAAAGAAAGAATATGTTCAGTGATGAAGAAGAAGATGCAGTTCCGAAATTGCCTATGCCAGGATAGAGAAATGAGTAAAATCTCATTATTATAGTTGACCTTCGAGAACGTCTATTTAATAGCAATAACAAATTGCCCCTCCCCAATAGAAACCATAAATGAAGAAGAACATGTTTGAAGATGACTCAGAAGAAGACCTGAAACCACCTCAAAGACCTACTATTTAATAGTAACAAGTCAAACCACCTGAACCAGTCAAGAAACCTGAAGCACCTAAACCGACACCTGCTTAGCAAAGGAATTAAAGAATGCAGAGAGCATTATTTGAAGATTCTGATTGATATGATTGATTGCATTTAAATATATATAATTAAACAAATCACCAAATAAAGGGAATCTTTTCTTTCAAATGTTTAAGTCCATATTCGCAACTACGATCTTTTTCTTTGTCTTTTTTTGCAAAAGCAATTAGTTTTTTCTCCAATTATTAAACATCTCCGTCAAATTAATTGATCATATCTTCCAATTCATCCTTTTGGGGTTCCAAATTCCCTAACCATCTAGACCCTGTAATCCATAATTCACTGACACTTTCTGTTTTGGGTAAGACAGTTGCTCCAACCCATGCCATATTGATAGGCCTTACATCTCTGATAATAGTTTTGACTTCTACTCTTTCAATCTCATTGAGTTCCATTACTTGGAACTTGTCAATCAACAAGGCTTCCACTTCATCCACAAGATCGATGAGATGGGCTCCTCCTCCTGTAAACAGAATGTTATTGGCTAATTTCTGCCTGATTTCTGGATCCTAGACTTAGGCAATGGAGTAAGCAATCATATGATCTAGAGGGATCATATAATTAGGATTCAACATTTGATTTCCTTCTATGAAATATTATTACTCTTTTTCTTTTGACCCCCAATACCAACACAATTGAATACCTCCACTAAGTTCTTCAAAATTGTCTTCTGGGTCATATTACATTTCAAAAAGACGACCTGTAAAATCGAAACACTCATGCATATCTTGTTTTCTGATTTCATTAAACGGTTCCGATTCAAACAGTGTATTTGCAGATATGTACAACCCATCATTGTGTTACACAAAGAACCTCTTTTCCTTTTAATTCCTTAAACAATGAAGTTCATAATTGTAATTGAGTTTATCTTCCTTTTGAGTCAATTGGCAAGCCTTTTCTTTGAGTTTTTCCATTTAGAGTAGATCTCCATAATTGTTACTTTACAATTGAACAGTCTAATCACAAGCATTTCTTTTTGTAACTTGCCTCATCAGTACTAAATCGATGTCTTTACTTCCGAAATTCTTTCTCACATATGTTCCTGGCAAAATGACTCCATCATCCACACAAGTAATGTTGATCTTCTCATATCCGATATCCACTACACAACACTATTAAAGATTGGCTCCGAAACTGGATAAGACAGATTCCAAATGTAGATAGATGCCTTTGAATCCCAATTGTCTTATTAACATATCTACAAGCATTTTCACTTGAACTCTTTGGAAGATATCTGGAATTACTAATATACAATAGTAATCAGAGACATTCTTGACTTCCAATTTGCAACTCAATCCATATAGAGTTAGTTTGTATAGATCTTCAATCACATCTTGCATATTGTAACCATCTGTTAAATTGAAAAATCCATGCTTAATAGGTTGTCTCACCAAATACTCGCCTGTGAATATGTCATCCTCAAATACAACAGATTTATCCTCTATCATCTAAGCAAGAATGCATTCTGGCTATTTTTGTTCCTTCTTGCCCAGAAAACCCCTGATGTTACGTAAATCTACTTCAATCTTGGCTCTAGGCTTTCCACGCATACTTTTAGGCTGAGCTTTTAATGCACATTTCTAAATGAGTTTTTGTTCCAATATTAAAAGACTTTCATCAATCACAGTGAGATCTGTGGATTAACTTTGTTTTTGCTAAGAATTTACTTTATAGCCTATCAAATTTCTGAATTTCTTAGGAAGCATCTCTATATAGAATATAAACACACCAATTACCGCTTGCTTTATTCATCTTTATACTATGCGATCCATACTATATGATGATGCAATCACTTCCCCTCTCTATCAAATTCTCAATATTTTGGATCTTATCCTGCAATGACTTAATAGTGTTTTGCACATTGTCTTATTATTGATTAGGCTTTTCTTGCATCAATTTATTAGAAAATAAAATATAATTAATATATCACTATTGCTAGACCAACGACAACAATATATGTTCGTTACTACTTTGTTTGATACTCACCCTCATACGGATGGATAATTAAATTATTCAAGTTGAAAATGTCCTAGTTTTATGAACAAAAATCATCTATTTAATTACTACACTAAAATTTTACGAGATCAATAAGGAATAAGGAGATGAATTAAAATTACTTATAAGTAGAATACAGGATGGGCATGTAGAAATTTAAATGGAATAGTAGAATAATTAGTTAGAAAATTGTAGATCATTAGAAAATAGAGAAAATAGATTATTATTAAATGAGAACCTCTTAAATATTTCACTTCTAATTGTTGTTGATTGAATTAGCAATACTAGTAATAATAATTGAAATATTATATCAAATAAAATTATGAATTTTCAACCAAAATATCCAAAATGTATTCAATTGCATTCCTGTATCATCTCAAAATCTAGTAGAATACATTTTATCTAAATTGTATCCATTATTCTTCGCAAAGGAAGTTAAAACAATTTTTGAAATTATTTTATATATAATAAATAAACGAATATATATGTCTGAATTCGTCTGCTTTGTAGTAGAAGGATAAACTCATTACATTGAAGCTAGCAAGTGTTTGAGCATGACTCTCCAAACTGAGAAAAAAGGGCTTGTAAGCAGATTAATCTTATGAAAAGGTGTATACTGCCACAATGCCAAAATGGTTAACGATGGAAGCTTTCTCAGTTTTCCAATAGTTCCTCAACAATTAACTGGATATTCAGAAAAAATACACTGATTAAACTCTACAAAGACTATTGTGGTTAGGAGATCATTTGTAGATGGAATTCTTTTAAGAGACTGTCATTCGCGATCTCATTTTAGACAGAGTAAGTGTTTAAAATTGCATTTTGTTTTTAAATGAGGCATTCAAAAAGTTGAAAGCATGCGAAGTAAGAATCTAATTTAATTCAGGATTCCCCAGAAGTATGGTATCAGATGTTGAATGTGTGTATGAACTTCACAGCAAGAAATTTACTATTAATATATTAATCCAATCCAATTGATCTCAACAAGATCAACTAGAAGGTCATTGAAGAGATATTAGAAAGAGCATTGAAACACTATCGCAAAAAGAACAATCCTGAACTCCTGCAAATAGTATAAAAGATAAGGAATTGCCAAGACATAGTTTAAATAATTACTTAATAAAAATAAACAGTGTTGGCCAAGAAGATCAACTATCAAACTCATCCCAGTATTAATTGGAAGTTATCGAATCTATCATCCATTATCAACAAAGAAACCTAATAGTTTAAATTTTCAGATTTCACATGGAAATTAGTGGCAAAGATGGAGGATAAAGTCTTGAAAATTTATCTTAAATTAGAAGATATTGATCCTGAATTGAATTTGAGAATCATCGCACTTTATTTCTAATTGCAGCTTTCACAATTTGGTCTAGAGCCATTGAAGTTAGTCAATTTAGTAGCCAGCAAAGGAAATAAAATTCTCCTATGTGAATTCAATGGTATATCATTATTCACTAAACCATAGATCTAAATAAGTTTGACTAACAGAAGTTGGAATTTACAGTATATCTGAATACTGATCAAGTATTGACTTTGTGTTTAAATCATCTCTATTACAACTTGAATCCTACATACAATCTAAGTAAGCTGGATCTAGATGATTGTCTGATTCTACTAGCTGCTACTCCTTAAGTATAACAAGCCTAAGAGAAGTCATTCTAGCTGCTCCTAGAATTCGGTATTTTTATAACACAATATTGATTAGTGCCTTAGTTAAATCCAAATGATTACGAAAAATGCATCAATTAACTCAACTTGTCCTTGATGAATACTGAATTCTTAATGAAATATGTCAAGTGCCCCTTAAACCAGTTTATTCAATATGAATTAGACAAGAGACAACCATAACAATAGAGATCTTATTCTGTTTCTAAGGATTCAAAGAGCTCTTCAAGAATCTTAAGATAGGTTAGTGCAGGAGGAAGCAAGAATGATAAATCAGGAGATTAGTTAGTAAATCGCAGTTAAAGCAGCGAAAAATTACATAATGAAATGCCAATCAATAAGTTGCAATAATTAAAGAGAACCCCAAGTCAACAAAGATTTGAATAACAATAAATAGTTAATAGTGGAATAAGCAATTAATCTGCATTATATTCTCGGAAACAATTATTTGATGAGATCAATATAGTTAACTTTTTGAAAGTGAAAGATCCTTAGCTAATATAAGAATTGAATGAATTGGTTAGAATTTATTATTGATAATTTAAAATATTCAATAAACACATTATCATTCTTTTAAAAGTCCATGCTTTTTCCATACACTCTTGAAAAATTCGATCTCATCTGCACTTCCTACGATGATTTCACTCTTTTATTGATATCCTGTAATTTCAGTGTCAAGCACAGAGTGTTTACCATTGAAAGACTTTCCTTCGGCCTTCTCGGTTAAGAAGGAGAGTGGGGCACATTCATAAAGATATCTCAATTTCGATGGATTTTTGGCATCACCAAAACAAGAGAACACTCCTACTTCTTTCAAGAAGATTTAGCAAATATCTGGAGCCATTCCACCTGAATATCTCAATGTGTAGCCATTATGAATCCAATAATCAACCACCTCTCTATATGGAATGTGATCAGCTATGCATCTTGTGTTTCCTGGACTGAACAATTTGCCTTTTGGCTTGATCTTGATGTTATCCTTTGTCAATTCCCAATGTCCTTACTTATCACCATCTACATAATCAAAATTAATGCCATACCAAATAATGTGTATTCTTAGACCTTCTATTCCTTCTCATTCCAGAACACCACGTTTGTTCTGCTTCCATACAAACAACAACAAGCAGAAACCATGTCCCTACCTTTTTTTCCAATTAATAATTTGTCATCGGATTTCCAAATGGCAACTATTGTACCCACTGCAAAGTTGGTTCCTATAATTGAACTTCCATCCAATGGATCAAATGTTACTATATACTTTCCACCTTCAGAAAGAAGCTTCATCTATAAAAAATTAGAATTCATTTGTACTTCTGGGGTTTCTTCACTTGCAGTGTGGCTAACAAATCCTGTTTTCTTCAATTCGGTATTGACATTCAATTCGCATTGTACATCCATCTCTAATTGATGATCTCCAAAATCATTTTGGGTGTTTGTATAGTCTCCACCTCCAGAACAGTATCTCAATACTCTGGAGTTTTCAATGAATGCAAGAAGTAGGGCTGAACATACTGCTGAGAGTTCTGGTTCATCACTAAGCTTAACGTGAAGAGAGTGCATTTGCTGGATATTTATAAATTAGATCATAAATCGATAAATTTCCTTAATTAGTGCCTATTAACATGCGTATTATCTTTTAAACTTATATTAAAGTGACGCATTTTTTATTTAGTTAATCATCATTATCTCATTACTATTTTTAGAGCTCATTATTATCATTTGATATCATATAAACTCTTAAACACATCAAAATAATCAATATCATTCCAATTCAACATTTCAAAGACAACTACTCACTCGAATAGAAAATATACATCTCGAATTCAATTATATTAATCTCAAATTTCTTAGGTTGTCCACTAAAAATTACAACTTGAATGCGACTGAAGATCAATAAAGTTTACAATGATTTAAAATAAATGTACACATCCACTTATTGAATAATAACATAAAACTCAATCTAATAGCTCTGAATGTTAATTATGATTCAACTTAAAATGAATTTTTTCAAGGAGATACATAATGATTGTTCTACTAGCATAATTAATCATCAAAACCCTATACTACTAAATAATAGAAAGTCTGTATTGTAATATATATATTTTTATATTCTTAAATAACAATTCAATAAAAATTATTTTTATGTTGAATATAAATTTAAGTCTGATGAAATTCTAACTTATATTATTAATGTATTAGTTAATTATATTCATAATTTTAATAATCTTTTCATCTCACAACCGCACACAGGACAAACCTTGATGGACTCTATAGATTGCAAGTCACAGCCTTTGCAAACATAAAGTTATTATTAATATACTGGTTCAAGTGTTGTTTAACATCTAATAAATCGATGAGTTGGACACGTAACCCACGTTATTAATTATTGTTTACAGATTGGACAAACATCTTCTTTTCTCAAGAGACTTGGTACAAACTTGTTTTTGACTGCAGCAATTTAAATTTTAATTTTATCATTAGTTGGTTTGATTGACTCAAGATAAGAAATATAGACATGCTGATAAAAGTCTTTGTAGACTTCATGTTATTCCATCAACATCAACAAATTTAAAATAGCCTTGCCAGTTGCTTTCTATAAGTCTTCAAATTTATATTATTGCAGCTATAAATCCTAAGCTTTCTTTTTTTTCTCGTATAATTGCTTAGCTATTTCTAGACACATAATTTCCTTTTTGGCATAGTAGTAATAGATCTTGAAATCATTGATATCAAGTGGTTACTAAAAATTACTATTTAATTAAGGTTGAATCATGAGTCTGAAAACTTCTTGTGGATCCTTCTCCAAAATGAGACAATTAATTGATTGCCCTACTTGTTCTTTGAGACAAGCAAATTCTAAGATTTGGTTGTAAGATTTACACACCGAAATCACTCTATTAATATTGCTCCATTTGTTAGAGATGAAGAGTTTCCCATTCTTGAATAAGAAGTCTTACTCATTGATTGGATAAAACCTACTCATGAAGGACATTTGCAGTTTTATCTGTTTTTCCTAGGATCTAATTTTGAGACTCTGTATTTGAGTTCCACATAATATATATAGGGTGTTTTCATCAATAATTTCTATCTGCAAGGCTCCAGGAAATGGAATTTCAAATGCGCTTTTGTCATCATAAATGAGAATTTAAGAGGAATTGTATAAAACTAAAATAGAATGTGAATACATCATTTCATCCTTATACTCCTAATTCAAAGTTAATTATATGTTTCCAATCATGAGTTCATTATTCCTATACACAGCCAAATTGTTATTCCAACATGCAATTGCTTTCACGTTATCAAGCATGAATTATTGGTCTGTAACCAAAGCACCATTATTCCACAACACAATCACTTATTCTTACATAACATAGAAATCCTTTATTTATGGCTATTCAGAATTAAGTGAAATAATTCTTTTTTCAAGATTGCTGCTATACAATATGGGATACGAACCCTCACGATATGCTAATGCAATAAACTTAGTTTGCTCATTGTCATTAAAAGCACTAGTAAGAGCATCAAATGTTTGAAATTTAGGAACGCTGATTTTTTTTTTAATAATGTCCTTTCTTTGAGTCAAACGCTTTAGCGACAACACAATAATCTCATTCGCATATGCAATATAGAGGAATTCATTTTAGGCAATCATTTTGATGACATCTTGAGATGGCTCAAAAAACTTCTAAACTTAAAATTCTTATGATTAATTCATAATAAGTTTATAAACTCTTTTTAAGAAATATATAATTAGACACTTATAAAGATATTCTAAAAAACACAATGAAATCATTTGTATTACTTAGATTCTGATGAGATTAATAATTTTTATCAGATTAAAATGGCTTGTCATTTTGTTAATGAGTAAGAAGTGCTTGAATATGCTTCAATGACTAGTTCTCATCATGATGATGGTACTGAGAATGAGAGTCAAAGTGAGAATGCCAGACAATCGAATCAAATAAAAAACCCCATACTTCTAAAATCTGAGTCGTAGTTTTCTGAGAGTGATTTATCAAACAAAATTAAACTGCCCAGAGGAGGGAGTGTTATAATGACTAAAGCAGGTGCCATACAGTTCAGTATGGTTCCTGAAACATTGAAAGACAGCATCAACTTAGGTTTGGATGTGCCAGGTATATTTATTGTACCCTCGCATCGATTTGATAAAAGATTTTGTTTGTCTGTAGCTGAATTTGAATTCCCAGCTTATTTCAGTTTTTTTGTAAAGAGAAGGAGAGTGACTCTAATTACTGATAAGGAAGGGGAAGAAGCAATCAGAGCAATATTTCAGGAAACATTACTTGGACCAAAAGATTTATCAAAATTTGATTAAGATTTTAGCAATGATTACAATGGCAAACCAGACATAGTGAAAGAATTAGGCCATTTCGCGAAGAATCCCTTCAATCCTACTGACCCCTTGACTGTAGACTTATTGATCAATTTTTTAATTTTTGATGAACAAAATCAAGTTAATTTAGGTTAGGATGTGATAGTAAAGAAGGTAGATTAGAAATTTTTGATATTTGAAAATGGAAAATAGATCGCTAAGATGAAAAACAAAGTGGAAATCATGATAGATGATGTTAAGTCCAATGCGTATATAAAGTATGGATTATTCAGTAATCCCAATGATTAATAATATGTTGAGCATTATTTTGAATAGACATTCACTCCTCCTACCTTTGGAGTGACAGTATTGGGTTGTTCACATGGTTTTGATCCAAAAGGTTCTGTATCGGGTTACATCTTTTGGATAAATGGGTTGGGAGTAATGCTTGATCCTCCTCCATTCACAACCCTTCTCTTGAGAAAGAATGGAATACCAAGTAGATTAGTGAAATGGGTAATCATATCTCATAATCATGCTGATCATGATGCAGGAACATTTTAAAAACTATTGGAGTCTGAAAAAACAGTATTAATTAGTACTGCCACAATTAAGGAGAGTTTTGTTAGGAAGTATGCTGCAATGACTGGATTTTCAGTGGATTATATTGAATCCCTTTTTAATTTTGAGAGAGTTATAGTAGGAAATCCTTTAAGGATAAACGGAGCCTCATTTGAATTTCACTATTCACTCCATAGTATTCCTTGCTTGTCTTTTACAGTAAGATTGGGTGGTAAATCAATCTATTTCAGTGGGGACACATTTTATGAACCCAATGGATTAAAAGCAATTTTTGAGAAAGGAGTGATTTCAGAATCAAGATACAATTTTTTGATGAGTGAAGATAAATGGAAGAACTCTCTCATCTTACATGAAGCTGGTGTGCCCCCTATTCACACTCCTGCTAAATTGTTGGCCTAACTACCACCAGAAGTTAAGGAAAATTTAAGATTAATTCATACGGCAGCTAAGGATATCCCTCCTGATTCGGGATTAAGAGTTCCAGGAGTAGGCTTAGAAAACACTATTGTTCTAATTTAATCATCTGAAGATTGTAGATTAAATACCATTTAAGAATTAAGTTTGATTGAAAACATAGACTTGTTTAAACATGCTAATATCCATCAAGTAAGATAGATTTTTGAGAGCTCAACCATTAACACTTATGAATAGAACTAAAATATCTGTATTTAAGATGAGATTGGAAATGAGTTCTACATTATTCGCAAAGGCACTGTCAAAATACACTCTGATAATCCTGTTTTTGTGAAATATATGCATTATGGTGATTATTTTGGTGAAGGGTGTTTCTTCAATTAAAATAAGAGAAGAGCCAATGCCACTGCTATGAATTAATGTGAATTAATAACTTTGAGTAAGGCTGACTTTTTGAGGATATTCTAATATGGGGAAGTGATGCAGAAATTAGAGAATCTGCAAGTAGTTCGTTCTTAGATATAAATTATGGAAAGAAATAAATTCTTTTCGTAATTAACATCATATCAGAAGATTCAATTAGAAATGATATCAAACTTAAAACGATTTTTCTAAAAACATTCTATGATTCAATAATATGGTGTTATGGCTTCAGTAGCTTTTTTTGTAGTTTCAGGTAAAGCTTAAGTGATATTACCTTCTGATTATGTTGTTCAGTAATATGAAGGATAATCGGTTAAAGTTAATCGATAAGAATCAACCACAAGTGATCATACCAAATAACAATAATAGATTATTGATTAGAAAAAGAAGAGACTGTCTTTGCCCATCAATTTAGCAATGCTTGAATAATAAAAACCAAGTATCTAAACACCAGAGGCATCAGAGAAATCTTCAATAAATGAAATAAAAGTATATTATCAATTGCATTATTATTTAGACCTATCCTTTGACAAGCGGAATGTTCTTTGGAGAAATTGATTCCATCGTGAGAAACAGAAGAACTTCTACGATAGTTGAGGCTGTGGAAGATACTGAGATTATTATCTTGGATTCATAATCATTAAGGTCTTTCTTAGCTGACAACCCTGGACTTATGGTGCTCTTTTAAGAGAGTATTATTATTGAATGAATAATTGTCATATTTATGAATAGAAAATACTTAAAAATATTTCAAAGTGCAATTGTGAACTAAGCAAACACAGGTCGATGATCACTACCTAAGAGGTCAAAGTTGGCATCATAATTTTAAAGTTTCAATTTAGAAGTCATTTCTTGAAAACTTTATTAGGTGGATTGCATCGTCATTTTTCTATTTTCTTTAAAGAGAATTCTATCGCACCAACCTGGAACTCTGAAATCCTAATCTACAGCCCAAGAATTATAATATTATAACAATTTGTAGGTGGGTGGAAAAAAGATCATTCCTTCTTAAAATTAAGATTAGTAGTCTTGAGTATTAAACTAAAATTACTTAATTTATTACGACGACTAAGATACATTTAATCCTTTCCTAGCCATCCAAAAAAATCAGAGTGAGTTCTGATTGTTTAAGGACTTATCCTGTCATCGATTCTAGAATTGAAATCTCCAGTCCAAATAAGATAATCATACTAGATTTGATTATGATTAGAAAACACTTAGCTTTCAAAATGAGTTTCCAATTTAGAAAACTAGGTTTAGCGTTTGGATTCAGAATTTTACCCACTTTCTAAATGACTATTAATGAATAAGAAGATCTTTTCATTGATATTTATTGATACAGCTATTCCTCCCTTGTTACCAACAATTCCCATGAAACCTTAAGAGAAAGTGTAAGACTTACCATTCCTTATTTTGGGTATCAATGATTTATGAGCGAATACAATGATATGCATTGCATTCAGTGAAGCTGATTATACTTTTATATAAGATTTTCCTAACTCATTCTGTAATTTGACTTCCCACTCGCTTTTTGATTCGCAGAATATTGAAGTAACTATACTACGTTGACATTCTTGTGTTCCAACAACTATGAGATCATGATGCAATATATCAATATTGAAAAGTCGTTTTAGGGAATGGTTGGGTATCATGCCATGCATGTTCCATGTAATGACAAGCATTCTAATGTCGTTCTCGAAATTCCACTCGTTTCTGGGCTAATTTAGCCATTTGTAGGAGCACTTATGATTGAGATGCAGCATCTCTTGATTCAAGCTGCCTATAAGTTTTGGATCTTGAGAATATTCACTAAAGAAGTTATCATTAAAAAGTGGGAATGGGAGAGGATCCTCAATTAGAGGATAAACAGAATGAGTTTTCATTTTAAAGAATGATTTTAATATATAATGTAGTTATCTAAGAAATTTGAAGAGTTTTAAGACCTTGATCCGATTGAACACATTCCCTAAAGACGAGTATCAAGAACAATGGGTTACCAGAACAGCGAATCGATCCAAGAAGAAGACGAGGAGCAGTCCTCCTCAAGTCTGAATATGCCAGAGTTAATCAACAAATTTAAGAATTCATCAATCAAACAACCAGTGGATGGCAGTGGGAGTGATATGAAAATACCCACAATCTATACGAACATGCACTCCAACAACAGCCTTGAAAAGAACCCTTTTCAAATTGAATAAAAAATAAAAGTTTATAATAGTGATAGTAGATTGATGGATGTTTCAGTATTGGACCCACAGGATTCCCAATACTCTGAATCTGTAAGAATAAAACATGTATTCTAGTTGCAATCCGAAGTGATGGACAAAATGAAATCTGCCACTCTCAATTCAATTCACGTGAAAAATATAGTGACCAAATTCGTTCAGAAGATGAGACCAAACATCAATTGGAGCCAATTGAAAGACATCACGTTGATAGACGATTCCACCCAAAGTAAATGCATTTAAATATATGTAGTTTAACCCTAACTGTATAAGTGGTTCACCTTCGCCTATTTCACCTTGACCTCAGCCATCATCCTCTCATCCTCCATATTCATCCCCATACACATAGCCAAAGAGCCAGGCTTCGAGTTACCAGCGTACATAACCCACTGTTTGGCACTAATCCAAATTATAGCTGATATTTATTTTAAACGAGGCCCCTTCCATCTGAGTGAGGGCAAGTTTAATCTTGAATATGTTGATCAAAACAAAGTAGCCCTCGATTTGAGTCGACTAGCATCAGCCATAGCCTTGATCTTCCCATACTAATACGAGATCAAATACCTCATCATCCCTTATATCGTATTGCAATTGGTTAGACAATCAGAACGCTTTGAAAACATCTACAATTCCACTCAATTAATAACTTACATTTTGATTCTTTGGGTGGCTTTGATTATGACATTTGCTTGTCTCTTAGACTCAGAGGAAGACCTAAATTATTCACTTACATTGGCTGTGTCCTTATTGACTCACAATGGAGCTATATCTATTGATGTCACCCAATCAAATGCCCTGCTCTTACAGGGTTTTATGATCGTTAGCTCATTTACTATGATTTACACGGCCTCTGCCATTTTCATCTGGATCAAACCTGCTATGAAGTTGGAAGAGGAGAAAGAGAAACATCTTGCTTCCTTTTTGAATGGGATTAAAGACAAAAGAATTGATTATGGGTTGCAATGTCGTTGTTATTCGTATTTGGAATATGTGATCGATGTAATGCCTATCGTCTATCTAAGATTAGGAAGACATCATTAAGACGAGAGAACTTTTATCTAAGAAGTTGTCACCAGGGCTTTAGGAAGAACTCTAAGTTTCCATTCGTTCTAAGATGGTCGATAAGATCGGATTGTTCGAGAAGTTTTCATCCAGTCTGAAGTAACAATTGATTTACTGGTTTGATATTGCGCAATACAATCCTGAGGAGAACATTGTCTAGGTAAGACATTCAATCAAGAATTACATAGGAACATTAAGTCGAAGATTTCTGTCTCTACTTTATATTAAAAGGGAAAGTGAAGATCCAATTTTAGGGGTATTTCCAAGGCAAACCCAAGAGAACCTTTCATACATTATCGGAAGGATAAACCTTTGGGGAGTTCTCATTCGTTAGTGGGATTCCTCCATATATTTCAATCAACAGTCAGGGATTGACCACCGTGTTGAAATTGAGAAGATCAGATTTCTTAGAAATCATTAAGACATACCCTTAAGACAATGAGATTTTTTGTTTGTTCAAGGACAATTGTTACCAGAATCATAATATGTTCGAATGCAATTATTGCAAAATCAAGGGTCATTTGCTATTTGAATGCCAATACTTGTAGTATTACCCTAAAAAACTGAACGTAATTGAAAAGCATATATACCCCCATCCACAATAACGCTATAAAATTGAAAGAAGAAATAAGGAACCAAAGGCTCTTTTGATGTTGTTTGTTGTGGGGGAACGAGCCAAACAATATTAGTAGAAATTATCATAGGAAGTTATGACATCAGAGGACTTCCCTATATCATCTCAACTACCTTACAGTGAAAGTATTTATACTCTTGATATAAATATATATTAAATCTACATAGATTAGACCTAACAATCCGCCAGCTATTTGAGTAAAACCCAATCCGTGCACAAGTATAGTCCTGAACAGTTAAGCGAGAATCCAGACAGCGAGGAAGATCAACTCTATGAGGAGTTAGCCATCGACCCATTACTTAGCAATCAGTTAAGAAAACAATAGAACAAGACTACCTTAAGAACCGCAGGATTTCCCTTCATGTCTGAAACTCTAGGTACTAATTCAAACAAGCATTCTTAGAAAACCTACACAAAGAAAAACTGCAAGTGATTACTGAACAATCATAAAGTAAGTAATTTGACTCTCTTAATTCAAAACAAGAGGAAACCAATCAATTGAGCAAGTAGAGTAGTGGTTCACAAGCATTCGCAAAGAAAAACCATCATCTTTATACTGCTGCTCGTTCTATGCATGCTAAACTCACCTTTCGTTATCAGCAACAACAATCAGGATAAATTGATGATCAAATTCAATACCAATAACAATAATAGAATTCAGTAAGACAAACATCGAATCGTTCTAACACTTATTCGAATCCTCTATCTAATAATTTATCTAATAATCCCTCAAGTAATTCTAAGCCTAATACTAAATCTGCTAGAGTTTCCCCAACACAATTTTAATAACCTCCACCATAAAAAAAGAAGGAGGAAAGAGGATCGCATAGTGATCAGTCACTTTCAGAACAGTAGAGGCACACAAACAGAAAAAAAAGTACTAAAACGGGCACTAAAGTAAGCATACTAAATTAGATGTCCCAGTTCTAAATAATTAACACTCCAGAGGTATCAATTTTATCTATGATAAGAATCATCACTATTAATATAACGATGTTGTGTTTAATCGATTCGAAAAGATGCATTTATTTAAGCATTATAACCCACATAATAATTATGATAATGTAATCATCAGGTACAATTAATTATATAGTTTAGAATGAACAAATTCCGTAGAACCAAAAGAAGTAAACCAATTCATTACACTATAAAATGCTTTGTTTCCTCAAAAATAAAGAGAGTAAAGAAGATTTTGGATTCTTAGTTATGATATCTGTTAAGTGTGTTACTAAGATTTAAAGAGAAATGTTTTAATATTATATTTAAATGATGAAAAGGGTTATTCTCATTTAGAGTTTTAGTTTTCACCAAACTTCTCTTCAATCCATCTCATAGTAATGGATCCCGGTCTTTCAATTGGTAATCCAAATGCTCTGGACCAAATAAGATTAGCCATGCATCCTAATGCTCTTGAGACTGCGAATACGACAGTGTAATATTAGAACTCTCTCATTCCATAATGATAGAGCAAGACTCCAGAGTGTGCATCGACATTTCTGTGATAATAAATATATAAATACGGCCATGGGTTTTAGATCTTTCCAATAGTTTTCAAAACAGGTGGGATCACGTGATAGCATTGTCTGACTAAATCAACTAGTGGATCATTCTTGATGTGTCTGGCTGCAAACTCTTTTTGATGGATGAAACGTGGATCAGTATATCTTAAGACAGCATGTCCATATCCTGGAATGACTTTGCCCTCTCTGATTGTAGTAAGCACATAATCTTGGATTTTCTCGTTGGAGATGTTTTCACCCAGTTCATCCTAGACGGTTAATCTATTGAAATACTCTCATTTCCAATAGCCATTTGAGCACTTCTTAGTTAGCAAGACCATGCAAGGGACCAGCCAAACCATTGACACCAGCAGAATAGGACAAGTAGGGGTCTGCCAAAGCTGAACCAACCAAATGCGTTGTATGGGCACTCACATTACCTCCCTCATGATCAGCATGAATGCTTAAATATCCTCTCAAACATTCTCTAACTTCAAATTTATTGTATCCGAGCATATGAGCATAATTACCAGCCCAGTCCAAGTTGTTATCAGCTGAGATGATTTCTCCATTCTACATTGTAATAATCCATATACTTTATATTTATGTCTGTAAATGAGGGCAGCCACTCTTGGGATCTTGGCCAACAAATCCATAGCATCCTCATAGAAGTACTCCCAATATTGGGGCTTAGAGATCTTCCCTTGATCATAAGCTTGCTAGAAAAGAGAATCTTTCTGTAGATACAATAGAGTTTATGATAACATAGTCATTGGATGTGCTGATTTTGGTAAACTCAAAATGAAGCTTTGTGTCTACGAATCCAATTGTCCTCTATGTTTCCATTCTTATTGTAAATCAGCGAATTCTTGCTCAGCTAAAAATAGAAATGGATCACTTTACATGGGAAATCGCCTGTACAGAGTAACCAGAATAGAGCTTCAGGAAGAGGCTCATGGCCATTCTCTCCTTTCTGGAGATACTCTTGCAATTCGGGGATGTTGTAATCTCTCATTGTGATACCCTAGAATCCTTCGTACAAACATGTTTACAGTCTTAGCATCCAACAATGAGGCGTCGTAAAAGAGAGCAAAGACGTTTCTCATACCTCCTATGGCTTGGTCAACTGTCACCTTACAGATTTCCTTGGATCCATATCTCTTTCTCACGTCTCGGAGCAAAGCTTGTTTAACTGGCACAAGGTCTCTCATTCTTTGCTTTAAGAGACCATGCGTGTTATTGTAGATACTTCTATAGAAGAGTTAAGCTAAGCCTTTTTATTTTGTATTCATGATGAGATATTAAATTTATTGCCAAGTTAAAAAGATATTTTATCACTTAAACACGTAGTATTAATATTATGATAACTAAATTAACAAGATATTCGATGAATTCCCCCTTTATTTTGATGAATTGAAAATTTATAATTATACACTTTTTAAATTTTAAGGGGGATATTAATTTACAATCCAAAAGTCATCAGATTAATTGCACTACAATTGTTTTCAATTTATCTCCATACATTAAATAATTTAACATTAATAATTTTATGATTAAACCTTGAAATAGTTGTGCAAAACATTGAACAATTTTGACTTCAATACAAATTAAAATTATACCCAATTTAATATATTATATATCTATACTATCATAATTCCTCCACTTTCTTAAGGTAAAAGAACTTCCCTTGATATTCAGGGTTCACTTCGTGTGGCAATTCCACCAAGTATACTGGAGTCAAGGCTCCTTGATCTATTGTCAATTCAGCCTCATCTCCAGCCATATCAGTCTTCACCCATCCAGGACAACAAGTGTAAACTTATACGCTCTTATTCTTAACCTCAGCATTCTAGGCCAAGGTCTTAACATAAGTGTTGATAAGCAATTTGCTTATTCCATATCCCCAACTTGGCCAGCCATTCTGTTCATATGTATCTAAGGTTATAATATATCATTATACTATTCTTAACATGTTCTTAGAATTCTTCAGCCAATTTGAACACTTCTTCTCGAGTGATGTTTGGATTCTAGAATCTTTTCACAAGATCTTCGGATTTCAAATATTTTGTTTTGCCAGCTGATGATCCTACTGTGATGATCTTCCCATTTTGACTCAATAGAGGGATGAACTTTTCAGTCAATTCGACTTAGAGATTTAGGAAAAATATATACTAGTGCCATAGAAGTTTGGTTTAAAGGTGTATTGAACAACTTCCAAATTGAAGTCATCTGACTTGACAGCCACAGCTGCGTTGTTAATTAAGATATCAGCCTAATGGAATCTGGTTGTAAATTCCTGTATGAATTTATCGATACTGTTACTATTACTTATGTCCAACTCAATGGTGTCAATTCTATCCTAAGATAGCTAAGAGAACATTAAGGTGATTGAATACATTGTATTTTTCGAGCAATTAGGTTCTAGACTTTTGAGCTAATTCAACGGATCGGCAAGCCATGATTACTTTGTATGACTGCTTCTGAATGAGATTCTCAAGAATGCCAAATCCAATTCCTTTGTTTGCTCCTGTGATGACAACTGTCTTTAAGGCTTACATTTTATTAGAAAATATTGATTTTCCAAATTCCAAGAGTTTGGATATGAAATGATTTAATAGATGTAATTAATCAGTTTTAGAATTCTCAATTCCAAATAAGTATCCAAGACAAATTCAACTTTAATAATATAAGTAACAGCTAAATAATAATGTCAATATTGGAATGGGCATTGAAAAAGGCTGTGGGTTTGGGCTATATGAAATGGGGATTGATATTCGGCTTGACAAACGGAGTGGCTGTGTATTCATACTATAGAGAGAATCGAAATAAATACGATTTGGAAGCCTATCAATAATCAGTCACTAGATATGTCTCCTATTAATCTGGTAAGGTGGCTGAAACATACATTCCAAAATGGCTAAGAAATCCTTTATTTTCATTATTCGGCTACGTTTATGATGTGAATTATGAAGATATGTTGGAACCTCTTGAGAATTACGAAAACTTTCAACAATTCTTTACTCGCAAAATAAAAAGCAGATAGTTCGACAAAAATGCAAATAAACTAATAGTGCCAGCAGATTCTAAAGTGCTATCATTTTGCGAAGTGAAGGATGACAGTCCAATATTAGTTAAGAATGTGCATTATAAATTGGGGTATTTTTTGACTGGACAAGAGACTTTTGAGATGACTCCTTAGATATTGGAGGATGCCAAGAAAAGAAAGAATACGAAGTTGTATTCAGTGATATTTTATTTGGCTCCTGGAGACTATCACAGATATCATTTGCCAAGTGATTTTTAATTGAAAAGCAGGAGTCATATAGTTGGACATCTGGCACCTGTAAAGATCAGCTACATTTCAAGCACACCAAAGGTATATGAGACGAATGAGAGAGTGGCCTTGTTTGGAACTTATAATTTTGGATTAATGAGTATAGTTTTGGTGGGTGCAACCAATGTGGGATCAATGACTTTAAATTATGATAAGGAATTCTAGACTAATTAGAAGGCTCAGGAATTGTTTGTTTACAAACATTATGATCCAACTATTTCGCTTAGAAAAGGTGATGAATTGGGAATGTTCAAATTGGGCTCAACAGTTGTTATGATTTTTGAGGCGGAGAATGTGAAATGGAATATAGAGGAGGGATAAAAGTGTAAGTGGGGGGATGTATTTGCTGAAGTAAGTTGAGTTTTGATAAAATATATCAATTTTAATTTTAATGGCAATATAAAGAATAAAGGAATAAGAGGTGTCATACTCTTATCTCTACATCGTTGTATCATACATAGTGATCAAGTATCTTTTGGAACAATTTATCAATCTGAGACAATTGGATTAATTGTCAGTGAAACAGATGCCTATTCATATTGAATAGACTCTGGGAATCACACAGAAGCAATTCAAGAGAAGTTAGCGATTCTATTATGACAAACTGTAAATTTGATTTGATGTTGCTTAGGTCGTTTGAAATGTACACGAAATCAATAAAAACAGCAATGGAGATTATTGTAATATTATGTGGAGTGATGCCTTTTATTTGGGATAGGACTGTGACTTTCTTTAAGATGGACCCGAACTCAGAGGTAATTCCATTTTGATTATAGTTTCAAAGAGGATTGGCATATATCTTTGTGGAGTTTTTACGCCTCAAATTAATTGATGTTCCTAATAATTTTTATAACACTCACGTGATAGAGAAGCGATATGATCTGAGTCAAATATCATTCGCTCTGCAATTCAGTGATCTCGTCATTGAATCAGCATTGTGGGTGGTCTTTGTACCAATACTACTCTACTCCTACTTATATGTGGCTGAACTGGGAGGAGACTACTTTTTCATAGCGGTATAATCGACTACACAACATATAGATGCAATTCTTTGTACTGATCATGGCAATAGTGTCCAGTCTCGTCTATCCTAATTATATTCAACCACTATTCAACGAATTCGAAGAACTCAAAGAAACTCAACTCAAATCAGCCATCAGCCAATTAGCATTCAGAATGAATTTCCCCTTGGAGAAGATCCTGGTTATGGATGGGTCCAAACGATCAGATCATTCAAATGCCTACTTCTTTGGCATGTACAGTAAGCGAATAGTGCTGTATGACACTCTCATCAATAATCTGACAAACGAGGAGATTGTGGCTGTGGTTGCACACGAATTGGGACATTGGAAATATAGACATCCCTATATCAAACTAGTATTCTTCTGTATCAAAAGTATGCATTAGTATTTAATTATAGTTCTGATCACTTTCTACATCTTTGGGTTCTACAGAGATTCGGATGTCGTGTTCTTGAGTTTTGGGTTCAATGAGAAGTCCATCTTCATAGGGTCTGCGTTGTTCTTCTCTCTCTTTGAACCCATGAATACGTTGTTCCAAATATTCGAACTCCATTTGTCCCGTTTCTTTGAGTATCAAGCTGACATATTTGCCAATCGTCATGGTCTTGGGTCGTATTTGATGAGTGGGTTGATCAAACTGTTCAAATAGAATTCCACGAATTTGATGATAGACCCAATCTATCAATGGTACTATAACAGTCATCCTTCATTGTTTGAGCGATTAAAATACTTAAATAAATTGAGATGATTAATTAATTACTTTTTATAAATCATATTAATTATTTGACAATATCATATAAATTATTTGACCAAGCTTTCCCCTTATATTCCTGATCTTTAAATTGCCAATAATTTAATGAACAACAAACTTGCTGATTTAATTAGCAACTATCTCAACGAATAGAAACATCTAACAGATAAATATACTAGACTATTCAATCAAATCAAATAAGCTGACAACTACTATGGTCGCAATTCCAATTCCATCCTAAATCTCAAGAAGAGGTCTTCCAATTCAGATTACAGTTACAGTTCCAATAAGGAAAAAGTCTATTGCCAATTTTGTGGAAAACAATACACCAGCAGATTGCCATTGAAAAATCACATCGAGAAGTTCCATTTCCAAGAAACCTACCCTTCCAAACAAGAGTTATCTACTAAATAAATCACCCCCTATGATGATGACGATGATTGCGCAAATGACGATGAAAATAGTTATAATGAAGCAGACGAGGAATTGAGACAGAAACTGTTAAGGAATGTCCAAGCCATCGAGAAGCGAGAGTGCTAAGGACCTCCCCAAGAAGAGGTCATCATCAGTGGCATCGATTCAGATTCATAGAATTGATTTTTATTACGCATTCAATTAGTTACCTTTATTGTTTAATATATATATCTAAACCTTCATATACTCTTATGAACAATTTAAGAAGGATTTTCATTTTTATACAGATGGGATTTATTTTTTTATGGCTTTTCAATAATATTTATGGATTCACAATAAATTCATTGTCCACTTTCAGAATTGATGACCAATGAAGAAATCAGAGAATGGGCTTTCTCCCTGGATCCTCAACCTGAGAAGAAGAGCAAGTTAAACTCCTCCATGCCTCAAATAAGCAGTTCAGCTACAATTAATAGGGCTTGTATGAAACAATAGGAATAAAAGGTCAAGTATGTCCCTCGGATCATCCAACCACAACCACTTCAAGTAGAAAATCAAAAACAAAAAAAAGAGATTATCCATCGCCTGAAACTCCAGAATAGGTTGATGAAGGAAATGATTTAGTAGCAAAAAGATTTGTTAGAACAAATGAAGAAGTCTTGAATTCAATTTTTAATTATAATTATATTCAATAATTTAAATAAAAAAAGATAACTTATGGATCAGGCCAATAAGTTACAATACCAATAATCGGTTGAGAAGTACCTTGAAAGAAATAAAGTTTACCACATCTTCGAAGATCTACTTAAAGCTCTGATCATTAAAAAACCTGAAGATCCCATCCAATTTCTCATCAATAAATTACAAGAACCAGAAAGTATATATGATACCTGAAATCAAGCCAAAAAAATCTTTGTGGTTGGTCCTCCTGGATCAAAATTGAGAGAATTATCACTAACATTGGCAGATTATTTGAATTTTCATATTGTTTCAATCGGAGATCTGATTGAAAAGGAGCTAAGCAAAAAGTCTGAATTGGTATGCATCTCCTCCTATTTCTCAATTAGAGTCAATAAATCTAAGAATCTTTGGACAAATTCCAATATGTGAGTGATGACATTGTGATCAACATAGCACTTAACCAAATCAACCATTTGGAAAACGAAAAGAAAAGTTACATTTTCGAAGGGTTCCCCAAAACCAGAGTCCAAGGTTTAGCACTTCAAAAAGAAGGTATAATACCTGATGCATTTCTTATTTTGGAAATGTCACAAGAAAAGATTTATTAATGTTGTCTTAAGAAGTTAGACACAGAACCCTTCAATAAACTAAACAATAAAGATGATTTGGTAAAATCACATTCTTTGGAATACTAATTGAATTTGAAATAAGTCAAAGAAATTTACAAAAACTAGTATTTTTCAGTTGATGGAGAAAAAAACTATGAATTAGAGGATATGGCAGTATGTTTTATTAAAAATACCTTATCTAGTAATTATTGAAGTACAAACTCTATGATAATGCCCCAAAGAGAGCTCTTAGAATAGTTGTTATCGGACCTCCTGGATCTGGGAGATCTACATTGGCTAAGAAATTGTCAAGCAAATATGGATTTGTGTATATTTCAACAAGGGAATTGATTTCAAATTTGGTAAATTAGAAAGGAACAACAGGAAAAGAGGCATTTGAGAAAGTAAATAAAGGAGATCTCGTAGAAGACAGAATTGTCAATGCTCTAATAAAAGAGAGAATCAATTAGACCGATTGTTAATTGCAAGGTTACGTTCTAGATGGTTATCCTAAAACTGAGAAACAACTGGAATCTTTGAATGAAATGAATATTCAACCAACTCTGATGGTTATAATTGATGTGGCTGACGACATCATTACAAGAAGACTTGTTCAAAGAAGAACTGATCCATTGACTGGAAGAATTTACAATTCAATTGATGAGGCTGACAAGGAAGTGAGACCCAGATTGATCATAGCACCCAATGAAAAAAGAGAAGTTGTTTAATAGAGGTATGATTTAATTTTATCAAATTTAGATTGAAGAGATGGGATGATTTAAAATAACTGATAGATGGAACTCCAAAATATGCTTCAATCATTTATAAAGTCTAGGGAGAGAATCCTTTAGATAATATGATAGAATCAGTATGTTATCACCTGGAGAAAATGAATTGATTTTATTATTAAAAATAAATATAGATATTTTATCTTAATATCATAATCATTATTAGCTTAATACTTCCTAAGCCTGTTTTTTTAACAATTTCTTTAATTCATCAGGAACCTTAGATACTTCCTCCTCTTCCTCTGTTATAGGAAAGAGCTTAAAGCGTGGATCACCATATTTTGTAATACTGATTTCGCTCTTGTCACAATCAAAATAAAAACTCAAAGTGAAATCAATTTGTTAAGCTCCCTCCTTTGTACAAGGTATGACTGCATATCTGCCATTGCTTAAAGAGATGTCATTAGTATCAATTTCTCTTCTCAAATTCAACTTACCAGAGGAAGCAACTACCTTTTTGTCATCAAATTTGGCCAAACATTTTTCAGTGGGTCCTAAAGAAAATACACAAAGCAATATAGGTTTCATCACATTTGGAAATGGATATCTTTCGCCCAAAAACAATCGTCCTATAAAAATAATACAATTAATATATACCATCCACCTGTTGCATTTAAATGTACATATTTGTCTTGTCTCCTTTCTTTCTTTTTAAATCAAGTATGTATTATGGATTCTTTTGAGCATATTGAATTAATGAGGCTTCAGTTTTCATTGGAGCTCCAGAACTCTACAGTCCAAATTAATCGAATACTCTCAATCCACTCCAATCTTCAGGAAAATCACTATTAATAAATTGAAATCTTCATACATGCATTAGAATAAATTAGAAAATACTGTTCTCCAACTTTTGAAACACATAAAGAATGTACCGTCATCTTATCCATAAACGTATGGCTCAGGAGGTTCTTTACCTTCCAACTTGGCCTTTTCAATTTCCTTTTAATAATAATCATTTATCCAATCAATCCATTTATCCAATTTAGCAGAATAATCTGGATTTTCTGACCATTTCAACTTCCACTCTCCATATCCCCAAGGATTTCTGATCTTTAATAATCTATGTGATTTATGATAGTTATTGCAACTCTAATCAGGTATCTCAAAGACATCTAAGATGCCATAAGCATGTCCACTCATAACCCCTGTGTCCTCATCATTTATTTTTAAATACAACTCAGTTCCACCTTCAGCACTACAGCCCAACATTGTTCCATCCTTCTTACATTTTAATAAGAGATTCCAGAGATCTTCCTTTTCCGCCTTTGTACATTCTTCATTCAATTTAATTTTGTCAGGTACCTTACCAGTCATGTCAGCCAATCCCTAAGCTATATCTCCAGCTGTTAAAGAAAAGTAATTTTGATGAAGCTTTGCATAAGCCTTCTCAATCAAATTGACCCAACATTCTGTAGGCTTTCTACATTTACCAAATACATATTCATTATCCTTTACACATAACTTGTCATCGATTACAACATACTTCCATCCAAAGTTCTTGAAGAATCTCATTACATATAGACCATATTTTCTTAAGAACTTGAAACAGGGTGGATAAACTCCGATAAGCATTCCATTCACTTCCTCGTCTGTCAACTCTTATATGGATTCTTAAGTTATCACAAAATCCCCTTGCAAATATTTCTCATACCCTGATATAATAGATAATGCAGAGACAAACCAACAATTACCTAAATACTTTGATTAACACACATCATTTGAAGCAGCTCCATCCTCATCAAACACATCAACAGTACAATTCTTATATTGCTCGTCTCCATTTTCTACTAATGCAGCCAAGAACTCCTCAGGTCTCAACCACTTACATTCCTTAGGTTATGGAGCTCCCTCTGGTACATCATTATCAGCAAAGTACATACTCTTACTACCATAAGGATCTTCTTTGGTAGGTCCAAAGTCTGGGTCTTCCCATTTTGTACCTGGACTCTATTCCAATTTCGAAATTTCTTCGTAAACATATCTTAAACATGCTAAATCTGAATTAAAAATAGTAGTCCATTTAGTTTCTTCTTTATGTAAAGTCCTTCCACTTCCTTCCATTCTGTACTTACCAAAATAATCCTCCTCTATTAACATAGGTTTTAATTTTGATAGTGTTGTTGCGTATTCTCCTACTGATTTCAGAGAGGCTCTCATTGACTTGTTAAGTGTATTATCTAAATTCATTGTTTTCTAAGGAACATAAATTAATAGAATCTTTTGGACCTAATCAATAATTTCTTAAGCTGATAGAACTCCAGATCCATCTATATCAAAATAAGAAAATAGAGCATCAGAATGCTTCTTTGAGGGACATGAGAATAACATCTAGGCCAATAGATAAAATTATTCTTAATTCAATTAGGTATCTTCATAAATTTATTCAGAAGCTAAATGTTAAACTATTCCTATTTCTAACGCTTACAATTTTCGAGTTAAAATTTCAAACAACAAATCAAAATTGTCTTTTGGAGACTTGAATTCTTAGAAAAACACCATTAATTCATCATAATCGATGGACCCATTTTTGTTCAAATCAATTGCATTAAAAAATGACAATTAATCGCTTTTTGGAATCTTCTTGTCAAATCTCTTATAAAAGTCATACAACAAAATTCCTGCTCCTGGTACTTCCAATTATTATATAACATTTCTAATAAACTCAATAGCGTCAACTCCTTATGCTTTTAATTTGGTCATAATTGTTTGAATATTCTTCCTGTCCTCATCAGTCAACATAATGATTGTCTCATTCAAAAATGCATGTGAAGATGACATATTCAGACCTGATTTTGATTGTCCCATCTATGTTTGAGTCATCCTAAAGGGATCCAATTATTAAGAAGCTTGAGTCGGTTTCAGGATCCCCACAGGCTAAGGTTTAGGAATTGGATTGCCTCCTCCTCCTCCAGCATTTGGGTTTATTTGAACACCCAAACCAATATCGGATTATGCAACCCTCATAGCTTTACGAACTTCTTAGTCATAAAATGTAGCTTATAGAACTCCACTCTTATTGACATCAATGTGATTGAAAACAGCTATGATTTCCTTTTCATTTAATAAATTTGAGCCATCAATTCCATGAATGAAAGACCTTACAATAGTTTACAGAATTACACAAAATGCGATGGAATTATATTATCTCCCATTCTTTTGAGAGAATCCTCAACTGACATTCTATTCATCAATAGTAAACGAGCGTACTTTAAGAGACTCTCCTAACCATAAGTTCTAGCTTAACCAGATACTTTCTCTTCATTAATTCCATACGCTTACAAACAATCATAATACTCTATATTACTTTTTGTATAATACCTTCTCTCTTTATGACTCCTGAGCAATCCTCATCAAAAATTCTCACCAACATAGTCAATTAGGTATTATTCAAACCTAATCTAACTTTCGATAAAAACAGTCTCATATCTTCAGTACTTATCTATCCTTGTCCTTCTCTATCAGATGCTCTAAACATCATTTCCGGAGTTAGTCCAATCCTTCTACAGCTTCTTGAAAAAATTCCCATAACTGCTTGATTGCTCAGATCAACTTAATCGTGCTATTAATCAAGAGGAATTCCTTGCTCTCTTAGTTTGTCCACTAGCTCTTCATTTTGCTTTTGCAATTTGAGCACTTTTAATTTTAATAACTTCACAGCATTTCTATAATCTTCAATTGATTTTTATTTAGTTGCCATTATTTATTAAAAAAATAATTAAAAAATAATTCCCACTAAATCCATTAAAAGATCCACAATATTCAAAAGAAGATTGTTCTCACTCATCTTCACTTTACTCAAGCAATCCCAGAAGTTACATTCATTTAATAAAATATTAATAACTTACACAAATATTATACGATTTAAATTGTTTATTATTAATCTAACCAAATCCAAAAATAAAAATATTACTTATTAGAAATGCTAAATAGAAAGCAATTAACTATTCACTTAGGTTTCAGGTCTCGTTAGACTTCTCCCTCTTCACAAGGATCTGAAACTCCTAAACATAAGAAATCCAATTCCTACCTCCAATTCTCGCCTAAATTGGATTGCAATAATGGATTACAATTTGTAAACGAGATCAAGGAAGTTAAAATTATATCTCCCAGAACCGAAGATCTTTATTCTCCCAAGTCAAAGCCACTTTAATAAAAGAACACAGTAAAAGATGAATAAATGAAAAAGAGTCAGTTTAGTAAAACCAAAAATGAAGATTTCATTTGACATTATCATAATTTCCTTGGAAATAATGTTCTTTTTTAACTTAATATTATTTAAAATTCATTCCCTCTTCTTCATCAAGTAAATCAGCAAGGGTTGATAACATGATGTAGGAGAACACTTATAAATATATGATTTACAAATAAATGCATAGAAATTATAGAAGGAGTAAATATTAGATTTGTTAGAAATTTTGACACCTTGAAATATAATGGTATTTAAACTCTGAAAATATAGAGTTTAAATATATATAAATTTTGAAACTTATATAGTCACCTTGTTAGATATTGTGAAATTTTATAATTAACGATCATTTATGGACTTCAGTTAATAAAAACTATAGATTATTTTTATATCAATTTTAAAATTATATATCATCAAATTATAAGAAATCTGTATTACAATAAATTTTAATATAATACATTAATATAATATAATTGTATTGGTATCATTATTAAAAAAATCTTGATTTGTTGATATTATTAGCCATGCTAGGGCTCTGAGTTTGCTTTGGTGATTTGATTGCTGGCAATCTAAATTATGTGGGAGAAGGAGTTTTAAGAGTCCTTTTACTTTTAGATGAGGGTGTCATATTTTATGGAGAATTAATAAAGCTGAGTGCTAAGGACTATCTAGATACTTCCCTTTTAGACATTTATGGTGTATTAAAGGTACCTTACACAGTTTTAAGCATTTTTGATTTGGATAAAGGAGGCTTGTCTCTTTAACTCATGGGTAATCTTAGGTGAATGAACTCTTATTCTTGTTGAGAATTAACATCTGTGAGGTTGGACTTAGTGTATTGATTGCTCTAACTGTCTTTTGGATCCTTCTTTATTGATAATTATGATAATTTAGTCTGGACCATTAAGGCTTTGATGATCTTTATGAATTTTTATTTCACTATGAATGTGGAGATAATTTCATTTGTGGTGATAGGAAATTTCTATTATTCAACATTCTTTATCCATGGATGATCCAAACATTGATAAGCTGACATCCTGTCATCAGGTTGTAGAGCCATGGTTTTTTATATAAAATCTTTAGCCATTGGTGGAATATTCTCTCTAAAGTGCACATTAAATTCTAATTTTGCTAATCTTCTAAAGTACTCTGAACTCCTCATTCCAGGAACAAAGAATGGATGCTATCCATCATGAAATAACTAATATAAAATTATTCCAAGGGCGAAAATGTCGACGGTCTAATTATAAGGCACATCTTAAGCCAATTCCGGTGCCATGTATAGCAATGTGCCACATTACTTATTTGCTATTTTATGTGAACTAATTTAATAGCTAAGTCCAAGGTCAATCAGTTTAACAATGGATTTGTTGTTTTCTCGAACCAAATATATGTTTGCTTAAATCCTAAATTTTTCTTACATGGCTTCAAATCTCGATGAATAATCCCTTGATTATGGAGATAACTCAATCCTTCTAAAATTTGTTTGATAAGATTTCTAACTTTGTTCTCCAACAATTGCTTTTACATGACTTCTTAGAGAGTGATTCCTTATAGGTATTCCATTATTATATACAGATGATTATGAGTATAGAGTAACTAAAGGATTATAAAAAAATACAACTTTGTGAAAATGCACAATATTTTTGTGATTGCACTTCTCCAATAGAGATGCTTCCTAATCCTGAGCTTTATTCTTATTTCTTTCGATAATCTAAACATTTAAACCAAACTCATTTACTTTGATTGCAACAGTTTAGTTAAGCTCCTTGCTTTAGGCCTTAACAACTTGTCCATAAGCTCCCCCTCCCAACAAATCTATGTAAACGAATTGATCTGTTAGTATTTAATCATTCAATTCATCAATTAAAATAGAAACATCATTCATTATTAATATCAATATTATATGAACTTTTGTATTAAGTTAACAACTAATAAAAAACAAATTCAATTTCTAACTATTTGTCCAATTTTAAATAATTTCTTTTTTCTTATTATTTTTATA